GCTCGATTCTACCAGAGTAGCCGTCAGACCAAAACACGTGCCCATTCTTGGGTTGCTCGACTCTTATCTGAGGATCCCATCCGATCAACACAAGAACTAGATATGGTTGAATGCGATCCTCTAATCATGCAGTATATGCAGTATATGCAGTACAATACAATCCTGTCCTATCTTTCATCCTGCACCATCCCTGCATCGGCAGGATCAACATCAACCTCTCAACTATATCCCAAAGTACCAGATCAATGCACCCAACAGACACATTGATTGCCCTTTTTTTACGCATACAGAGAGAATCCAAGAAGTAACTCTGTTTGAACAATCCGGCGTGACCAAATTCCATGTTTGAATTCCATTTTTTTAGTGGAGGAAGTGCTGTTCCAAGGCCCGCTCGAACCGATCAAGTCCTATCATACAACATGAAATAAGAATAAATCACCCAACGACAAAAGAAATAATACACAGGGTTCCCCTTTCCCTCGATTTCCCGAAAAAAAGTATCATAAGAAAAACAAAAGTCAAGGTCCCAAAATCAATCCATCAATATAGAAAAAGGACAGAAGAGAAGAAGAGAAAAAAAAAGGCTCGTGAAAGCTCTTGGGGTTTTTTTTCTTTCTTTCTTTATTCCCTCCCCACACTTACAGCTTAGCACCGACCAGCTTGGCGTAGGCCTCAGTGCTGAACGACTTGGGGCGCTCAATGGGCATGCCAAGGGCACGGTCGATGATCAGCTGGGGCAGGACACCCAGAGCACGGGAGACACCGAACAGGACGGTGTAGTAGTTAGCCTCGGTCAGGCCGTAGTACTGCAGGAGGACACCGGAGTGGGCATCAACGTTGGGGTAAGGGTTCTTGGTCTTGCCGTGCTCGGTCAGAACACCGGGGGCGATCTTGTAGACCTGGCTGACCAGCTTGAACATGGGGTCATCGGGCAGCTTGCGGAGGGCAAACTCGCGCTGGGACATGTAACGGGGGTCAGTCTTGCGAAGAACGGCGTGGCCGTAACCGGGGACGACACGGCCGGCGTTCAGGGTGGACCACAGGTAGTCCTTAATGGACTGGTCGCTGAGGTCGTTGCCGATGGCCTTCTTCATCTCGGTGAGCCAGTTCAGGACCTCCTGGTTGGCGAGACCGTGCAGGGGACCGGCCAGACCCTGGAGACCAGCAGACAGGGAGAGCATGGGGGAGCTCAAGGCACTGCCGACCAGGTGGGTGGTGTGGGCAGAGACGTTACCACCCTCGTGGTCGGAGTGGATGGTCAGGTACAGACGCATCAGCTCAACAAAGTCCTTGTTGTCGCCGAATCCGAGCTGGTTGGCCAAGTTGAAGGAGTAATCCTTGTCCTTCTGGATGGCGGCAACCTTGCCGTCCTTGAAGACGTTGCGGTAGATCTTGGAGGCGATGGTGGGCAGCTTGGCGATCAGGTCCATCGAGTCCTCGAAGGTGTAGCTCCAGTACTCCTTCTTGTTGATACCCTTGGCGTAGGCCTTGGCGAAGGAGGACTCGTGCTCCAGAGCGGTCACAGCCAGAGAGAACTGAGCCATGGGGTGGAGGGTGCTGGGGCAGCGGTCGATGAGCTCCTCGACGAAGGCGGGAACATCGGAGCGAGCGGCCCACTCGGCAGAGAGGGCGCGGACCTGGGCCTCAGAGGGGATCTCGCCAGTCAGGAGGAGCCAGAAGAGACCCTCGGGGAGGGGCTCCTCACCACCAGGAGCCTTGGGAAGGAGCTTCTGGAGGTCGGGGATCTAATGAAAGGGAGGGGAGCGTTAGCTAGCTGGCAACAATTGTGTTGCTTTTTTTTGGGGCGCAATTGGTGCGCAAGAGGGTCAGCTTACGGTGTGGCCACGGAAACGGATACCCTCCTCAGAGTCGAGGACGGAGCCCTAACGAAATATGTTAGCTTCTAGTCATGCGCGCGCCGCAATAGGCCCTCTCCCCCTTTGGAATTGGCGGGAAGACACTCACCTCCCAGACGAGGGACTTGATACCACGGGCACCACCGTAAGCCTGGTCGAGGGTAACCTCACCAATGACCTTGCTACCGAACTCCCTGCAATTATGTTGTCAGACGAAATGATCTGGAATGGGATACAAAGGGAGGGACGAAGGGGGCGCGGTCGACATACTTGCGGAGCTTCTTGACCTTCTCGATCTCGGCGGGCAGGCCGTCGGCGAAAGTCTCCTTCAAGGACTATTGTGAAGGTGTTAGCATATCAATTGAGCTTCCTCGAGCTGGAAAGAGTCGTCGACAACATACCTTAACCTTGGCGGAGGAGTAGCAGCGAGCGCCGTTCAGAGCAGCAGTCTGGACGGGCTTCGCGATAGAAGACCGCAAAGCGGAAGTACCGATCCGAAGAGAGGTGGCCATGACTGAATGTGAATATCCAAAAAAAGATTCAAGGATATGGGGGGGGAGGGATGGAGGAAGGAGGAAGAGTGATAAAGAAGAGGAAGAGGAAACACGGGGGAAAGAAAGGGAAGAAGAAGAAATCCGACAGCTCCCTAGGGATCTCGTTTTTTTTTCTTTCGGATTATTTTTTGGTCTGGTAATACACGCCGGTATTGGTCACGGACTCACGGTCGGGAGCCCGTTCTGTGTCTGGCGGGACAGCGGGACGGGACAAAAGCTCTGGTAATTTTTCCCATTCTCAACGATACTGACCGAGTTGGTATCGCCGATTACGGGGAGGGGGGGGGGGGCGGTTGGAACTTGGAGAGACCAGGTCGGGCTGCCGGCAGATCTACAGGTGTGACTGGCCCCCCGTCCGAGAGCTTCCGCTCTGGTGAAATACTGCGTACAGAGTACACAGTACACATAGTTGAGAAGACAGTAGTATGTAGTATATCGAGTATTTATATATATATACATACGACTACCACCACTTTTACTTTGGAGTTGATCTCCAATGATTGATATACCCGGGGTAATTTCCATGTGCGATGCCACTTTTCAAATGCTAGTTCTTATTTGAGTTTATAGACCCCGTACCATATATACAGCCAGCTGTGTCTTGTTCATTTGATGACCTCATTCCCTGTGTATTATTCTTCCGAGCGCCTCGGTCATAATACTACTAGAAAGGACATAGTATTTCTATCGTCTATCCAATTCTACAATCGTACTCTGAATTGATCAATGCTTCGGGATCCGGTACTGGAGAATACAGTCGTCTGTCCAATTCTCGACATGATGATGAAATGGTTATACAGTACTGTACCCGTTGATGCTGATGGAGGGTGGCAGTGACGTCGGCAAGTCGCCATCGTTTGTCCCGTGCCGCCATCCGGATCCCCGAAGATGGATCCTCGGCATCGCGGGTTTATCTTAGTCCTGTTGCGGGTATGATGCCTTGTACTGTATTATTACATACATTCACCACCCCAATGTACAGTTCGAGGAGGATCCTCCGATCCACGAGGTCACTCCTCTCGTCTACCCTTTCGACCGGGCATTCCCCATTGAACAGATTCCCCTCCATTTCCTGCAAAAACCCGAGTGATTCACTGATGCCCCCTCGCTCTATGGTGCTGACCTTCCCCGTATCTAGCCGGCAGGTTGCTGAAATGGTTCACCGAGATCGGGAGCCCCACGGGCGGCATCAAGGGGCAGAACGGGCCTCGAGAGACACTCTCGCTCTCCTGTGTACGGAGGAGTTTCTTGACCAACTCTGTAACTTTACTCCCGAGGCAGCAAGCTAACAGGGGCTAAACAACCAAACAATCCTTCCTCGACATGCCTCGGTCGCCAACGGATTTTTCTCCGGCCCCATTCCTTCCGGAAGATGTATCCACTGTTCCCATCTAAAAGGGTAATGGCCACGGTGGACATGTGTACTGAGCACGATTCTATGAACGGAGAAAATCATCCACAGCTCAAGCTCTGTGCCCCATGGCCCATGCCCCCCCCCTTTCGTGGTGGTAGCCGGGGGAACCAGACCTCAGCAACTCAAACATCAGATCTCCACCAGGAGACATCCACAACCAGTAGGTGGATCCGGGAGCCGGCAAAATTGTTGTTCCATACGTACAGTACGGAGTGTCACGGCAATACAATCATTCAACGGTTGAGTATACAGTCACATGATTGTAGATCACATGATGACACGTGCCAGTTGATCACCTGCCAACGTCATCACATGACTCAGCTTGAAGAAACAGGTTGGGCAACATGCAAACCATGCAAACTCTGCAAAAAGTCTTTTCAGGTGATCCCCTTTCTCCCTTCCATCACCTCCTTTCATCCTCCTCCTCCTCCTCCTCCTCCTCCTCCTCGTCCTTCTTCCTTCACCTTTTTCTTTCTCGACCCCCCAACCGCCATCGTTTTCATCAGCTCTCATCTCGCCGACCATCCACGGATTACCTGTACACTGTAAATCCGTCATTATTTGGGACTTCTGGGGGATACTTTCAGATCACCGTACGCTTTTAGGTTGTACCACTCCGTACCTCGTACACTTGTACACTCGCCAGGCTACACCCCGAGTCCCTGGACCTGGACTCTCCCTATTTTTTTTCTTCTTCCCTTCGCTTTAGGCTGTATCTCAGCTGTAGGCGGCAAGTTCTCTGGTCCAACAGTGAATTACGCTCGTGCTGTAGTGTGAAGCTAAAAAAGATACCTCGAGGGCAAGAAACCAGAAAGAAAATCCCAGGGAAAACTGCTTATAAGAAGATAACGGGAGTCGAGAGAAAGTCCAATCTCTCGCACTGAGATTTTAATCTCCTTAGGAGCTTCTCAAATTCTTTCTCTTATTTCCAACTCTCTCTCTTTCTCTAACACAACCTTCTGCTCTTCGAAGTAGCCAACCCAGGACTGGCCCTGGAGTACCGTTGCCAGCAGTTCTTTGTTTTGCCAGCCTCCCCAGGACAGGCAAGTGCTGCATTCTAGAGCCTTCCTTGAGAGATCAGACGAAAAACACCAGAGAGAGAGTCGAGTCCCTCTACGGGTTTCATCAACTCTCCACCCTTCACCTCTTCACCTTATCCCGCCCACATCCTCCACCATGTCGTCGGCTGTAGCAGAGCTGGAGAACTATCTCCAATCCATGCTGGCTTTGAAGCCTCCCGGTGTCTCGGGCACCAAGATTCAGGGCATCACTGCACTGTGTACTGCCAATGTCCAGGTAAGAAATAACCACTTTTGAGACGATCGATGCGAGATCCGACGAAAACGACTCAGAGATCGTGATTATACAAACAAGGAATCCTCTCCGGCTAACCAAAGCATGTTTCTCACAGAATGAATCTGTGCTGATCCAAAAGATCTACACGCATTTCAAGAAGACCCCGGGCACCCACAAGCTGGGAGTCCTCTATGTTGTAGACTCTGTAACCCGGCAATGGGTAGAAGCAGCACGCAAAGCTGGCCAACCCTCTGGCAGTGAAGCCCCCGATGGAACCTTTGCCGCGGGCGTCAATCGAGTGACGGAGTTGCTGCCCGTGCTGATGACCGACATCATAAACAACGCCCCCAATGATCAAAAGGTACGCTCACTCAATACATTTGCTTTGGCACCAGGATGCTGCACGATGCACTCCTCTTCTTATATCCCTCTCTTTGTACACATTTGTACTGTATACGCACTAGACCTGCAAGTCATGGCCCGTTCCTGGTCAGCCTCTGGGCGGGTCCAATTTGGGGGCCAAGTCCCCTCTCCCGCCGTATCCTGGTCGCTTCGTCTTGTCTCGCCCAGGAACCAACCACAGTGTCCTGAATGGGGCTGCCTTTTCTGGCTGTATCGGACTGCTTATTTGCTGGCCTCGTTTGTTCATACGTTTATTTCTTTGTAGGAGAAAATCAAGAAACTCATCGACATTTGGGAGCGTGGTGGCACCTTTCCCACACCCATGCTAGCCTCATTCCGAGACAAGCTGAATGCCCCTCCACAGAGTAAGTCTTTTTTCCCCTCTTCCTAACCTTCGACTTCAATTTCTGACTGTTACCTTGTATCTAGATGTGGAATCCACTACGCCCGAGGGCTCTCCCGCCCCAGGGTTCAACCCACTCGGAGGCCCCCCTTCTCAGTTTCAGCTCCCTGCCAACGGATCTGCAGCTGCCCCAGATACCTCGAGTATCCTGAAGGCTCTGGCTGATATGGCCAAGCAGAGCTCTGCGGCACCTGCTGCCCCGGCAGCTCCAGCTCCGGCTCCTGTCAACCCTCTGGCTGCCCTGGCTGGTGCAGTTCCCCCGCCGGTTTCCTCGGCCGACTCCTCCTTAGTTCCACCAGCTGCGAACCCTTTCGCCGCCGCTGGGATGGGTGCCAATCCTTATGCTGCTTTGGCCGGTCTGGCCCAGAACCCAGCCATGCCTGCTCAACCCCAGAGCCAGAACCACACTCCCAACCCCATGGCTGCGGCTCCGAACCCACTGGCCGCCATGATGGGCCAGGCCAATGCTGCTCCAACTATGCCTGATGGCAATGCTCTATCGCAACAGCTTCAGCTGCTGCAGTTCCTGTCGACCCAGGGTATCCCTCAAGATCAATGGGCAACCGCACTCCAGCTCCTCAACATGTCGAGCACCATGGGCGGTGCCAACCCGGCTGCTTCGCTCCCTGGATTCCCCATGATGCCTGGCCAGGCCCCTGCAGCTGCTGGCGGCTGGGGTCAACCCGATACCCAGAACCGTGACGACCGTGACCGCGATCGCGACCGTGACTATCCTCGCTCCCCTGGAGGCTATCGCCGCCGCTCTCGCTCTCCAGGCTGGGACCGCCGCCGCACGGCTTCCCCACCTCGCCGCCGCGACAGCCCCGTCTATGGCGAATACCACGGTGATTCCCCTGGTCGCCGGGGTGATCCTCGCGATGCCCGTGGTGGCCGTCGGGGCCCCAGCGAATATCGCCAGCGCAGCCCACCCGGTGGTCGTCGCCGCCGCTCTCCTTCTCCCCAGCAGAAGGACCCGAACCTCCCTCCTCCCGGTCCCAAGCTCATCGAGTGGGACTACTCCATTGGCCAGGGTAATATCAAGGTGCTTAGCCGTACGTTGTTTGTGGGTGGCGTGACCTCCTCCGAGGCACACCTGCGCTCCCTCTTCGGTCGATTCGGCATGGTCCAGACCTGCATTGTCAACGTTGACAAGCGCCACGCCTTCATCAAGATGATCAGCCGTCCTGATGCGGTCGCAGCTCGTGACGGCATGGAGGCCTATCGGCAAGCCGAGATGCAGCTGCGCACCCGATGGGGTGTTGGCTTCGGTCCCCGTGACTGCAGCGACTACCAAACCGGTATCAGTGTGATCCCCATTGAGCGGCTGACTGAGGCTGATCGCAAGTGGATGCTGACCGCCGAGTACGGTGGTACTGGTGGACGACCCATCGAGTCGGGCATGGTGGTCGAAGAGCCCGACATTGAGATTGGTGCAGGCGTTTCCTCCAAGGCCATCAGCCGACGCATTGCAACCGACACTGGCGGCAAACGTGGACCTATCTCCTCGCGTGGTGGCCAGGGTCCTGATCAGCGCTTCGGTGGTGCTGGACGTGGCCGGTCCGACCGTGATGGCTTCGGCGGTCCTCCCCAGGGCGCTCAGGGCCAGGATCAGCACGATATGTCAGTTGCACCGAATCCAGGCGTTCCTCCCGCTGTGCCAGCCTATGGCTTCAACTTCCCCGGCATGCCAGCTATGCCCTTCCTCCCACCAGGTTATATGATGGGCAATGCGCAGCCACCCTCTACCCAGCCCCCACCTCCCGGACAGGGCAACTAAATGAGCAAAAACACCAAAATCCTAGCACAGTGACAACTTTCGTCCTGTTCCTTTTCCCCTTCAGTGTCTCCATTTCCATTCTATCATCATGTCTTCATTCCACACTTGTGCATCTGGCAGCCCCTCGGATATAGCGGTGTCCCGGGAGGAGGAGGGAAGGGCAGTCAGTCGGCGTTTTAGGGAGGGTTGGTTTTGCTTGGGGTTTAGGGCGGCTTCCTTTCTATCTTCCCTGTATCCCCTTTCTTTGACCTTGTTTCACAAAGTGTCTTAAACTTTCAGTACCAGATTCAGTTTCAAAGTTTCATAGGTAGCGGTAGCGGTGACTATGCCTAGATTAGGACAGTCCCAGGAACTTAGGGTTCATTACTGTATTCAATTTTGCTTCTTTTTGACTTTGAAATGCTTCTTGCTCCGTTTGGTTTGTTGTTTCTGGTTTCTCCTGGCCTTCTTTATCACATGTCCCTTGTTCCATTGTTTGCTACTTGCATCTTCTTCATACTAAGTGCGGCGCCCTAGGCAGTGATGCCCTAGCTCAGCCGGTGGGTGACATCCCACTCTGTGTAAAGGGTTAATCTTTATCTTCGTATTTGTTCTCTCCTGCATTCATAGTACCTAGTCTAAGAAAAATAAATATTTTCAACTAATTCATTATGTCTGAAGTCATTCGTAACTACGTAAGAGTCCGTTCAAAATCGTTCCAACACCCGTCTATCACGTAACTATGGCTTTGTTGGCGTCGAGACTGATTCAAATGACTGAATTCTTCGTTCTCTTTTTATCCTACTGTGATTACTATGACTGGAAATCTCCTTATCAAGTAGCGTCAGAGGTGAAATGGTAATAAAGTTATAAAATTGGCTGATTGTACTAAAGTATCACACAGAATACTCCATATCATCTAGCTCCCTCAGATCTAAGGAAGCGTAAATTTAAACTGAACGCTCGGGATGTCAGAGCTGTTCGCATCCATCGAGAAAGTGACATTCCAGAATTCAAAGTTGCTGTGATAGTTAGCAATACTGTTCAGCTAAGAAGGGACGTTAATCAACTCACTGGATAATATCGCACGTTCCACCAAGCAGACCACAGAAAGAAATCTCAGGCACCGGGTTGACAGTTCCACCGACTACCTCGATCTGAAGGCCATCGACATCTTTGAATCCCGAGATATCCCGCTTTGAACCCAGCGGGTTGGAAGCAAGAACGAATGTAAAAGTGCTCGAGGCGTTGCCCAGAGGATAGGTCAGGTTGAGTGCGTAGGGGCTCACTTCCGCGTGCAAAGCGGTTTGAGTCGGATACAGATTGAAGTAACCGATAGAGCCACCGGGACGAATCCACTGCACGACCGAGGGAGAAAAGGAGGATGAATCCTCTGAGAACCCACCAACGACGCTCTGATTGAACGAGTCTGTGCCAATGGTCAGATTGGCCGACAACCACGTCGTGATATTCCGCGGCTCATAGTCTGCCGGGGGCGCATAAGTGTGTCCACTATAAGTATGCTCGCCAGAGAAAGAAGTCAAACTCGCAAGAACCGACTTCGGAACGAGGTTCTTGTGGAAACCCGACAACACAGCAATAATGGGCGCGATCTCAAAGTCATCTGCATGAGTCATTGACCAAATTGGAGACTTGGACTGCCAGACATTCTCCTTCTCAGTCAAAGACCAGATCCAGATCGACATGATAGCCACGTATTTGTTCATATCATAGCCGTACGATCGATCCCAGGGTCCTGCAAAGTTTCTCATATTCGGATTCCACAGCTGCGACTCGTACCCCCAGATCTGCTGGATGACTCGCTCTGCATTCTTTCCGATGACGGAACTAGTCGAGGAAAGGTACTTGGCAGCGATGGTCAGCGCATAGAGGGAAACACCTGCATAAGTTGGCCCATTGAACTCGGACAGGGTGTGATTGCGATCGAAGAGGTCGAGGAACTTCTGGGCATCGGCGTCTCCTGCGGAAGTCATGTTGGCATTTTTCAGGTGGTGGCCTGTCCAGGAGGTTGCCACCGTTCGCATTAGCCAGGCATTGGAATAGGCTGGGTAGAGGTTATCGTCGTCGACGCCGCCGACGCGATAGCTATCGCCGATGGTGTTATTGTACAGGCTCTCGAGGACGAGGTCTTTTACGTCTGTGGGTAAAAGATTGCCGAATTCCTCGTAGATGAGAATTAGTGCGGTGCCGATGAAGCCTCGCCAATTGGGATCCCATGAGTTATAGATCTATTTTTCTTTTCTTTAGTATACGAGTCCGGGGGGTCAAAGTTTCGAGGTGAATGAGTTAATACGTACCACGGGGGCATATGCAGGACTTGCAACCGTAGGCTGCTCCGGATACTTCGTATAATCACCATACCACAGCACCGACTCGTTCTTCTCCTGGCCACCAATCACATTCTTCAGGATTTTGATCGCTTCCTCGCGATCATCGCCCTGGTTCCGCTGGAGTAATCCAACGGAATACCACACGGTCGAACGGGTCTCATGGACACCCGCCGCGAGTGGATAATAGAAATAATTCAAATAGGAAGCATCAGGATCGTAAATATCATCCATCAACGTCATTGACTGGTCAAAGAGAGTCTGCGACTGCTTGCTCAACCCGGCGGCGCCCACCAGACTGGCGCCCAACAGGCCAAGACTGGCGATCCGAGACCAATTGACATTCACGCGCATGTTGAGGTCGTAAAAAGCAGGGAATTACATGTAACGTGACACTCGATGTGACCTCGTCCCAGTCCCCCTCATCTTTATACCCCCCTGGCCGTTTAGTCCATCATCCATGTCTGGCGATTTCTGAGCCCGTTATCGTCGGGAACTGATTTCCCCACGGCTCGGCTGAATTGCGGAGGAAAAGCCACCAAACTCACTAAACCCCCAACTAAAGTTGGCTAAACGGCCTAAACCAGTTAAGCATCTTGGCAACCACAAAGGCCAGTCCAATCGGCGCTCCGGCACCGGCCCATCGCCGGGGAAATGACCGGCCAAGTCGGTGTTTCGTATCAGCCAAGACTTGGAATCGGTTATCGCTGAGTCTCTTCAGAAAACGAGCCCTGCCCCAGGTCGATAAGGTTGGTTGCTCCTGCTTTTACCGTTGAACTCCGCAAAGTCGCGAAGCGACAGTGGAGCCTAACAGGTCAAGTGATATGAAGGATTCGTTGAGATCCTGGTATCCTGATAAATACATAAACAGCACTCGGGAACTCTCGTATCTCTTCCAGCAAGTGACACTCCATCACCGTGTGCTACCCCCTCAGCGAAATCCAACAGGCTGCTGGTTCAATCTCAAAGGGCGGAAGAGATGGGCGAAATTATCAGCGAAAACTCGGTCGCCGAGTCCAAAATGGATGGTTCATCTATGGATGCTGACGAACTTCGTCTGGCTCAGATGGGTATGCCCTTGCAATTACAGCTAGATACTTTTCCGTGCTGATGATGGATGTAAAACAGGTCATACGCAAGAGTTGAAGCGCCATTTCAGTATCTTGTCTCTGATCGGCCTTGCATCTACGACGACAATCTCGTGGACAGGTCTTGGATTAGGCATTGTCACTGAGATTAATGCCGGTGGTCCAGGGGCTATCATCTATGGATTCATTCTGGTCACCATCATGCAATCCTTCCTGGGTGCCTCCCTAGCTGAATTTGTGTCGAGTTACCCAACCGAGGGTGGCATGTACCACTGGATCGCTGCTGTAGCTCCCAAGAGATACAGTGCTTTCTTGAGTTTCGTGACTGGGTGGTTGACAGTTTGTGGCTGTAGGTCGACCATTCCGTGTGTTGAGACTAAACCCGGGCGACTAAACGATTTCTCCTAGGGATCTTTACTACTGCGTCAACAAACCTGATTTTTGCTCAAGTTGGTAAGTCAATCACACGTCTCGATCAAAGCATTTCCTGTCTCAAATCTAACAAAAACTAGTCCAAGCTCTGTATGGACTTTACCATCCTGACATGACCTTCCAACCCTGGCAAACATTCGTCATCTATCAGATCCTGAATGCTCTCACGGCTGCAGTGGTTCTGTTTGGAAACAAGATCATTCCAGCCCTCAACAAATTCTCTCTGTTCTACCTCCAGATTGGATGGCTGGTCGTTCTTATCACAGTGGTTTCATGTGCACCCACCCATCAAAACTCTACCTTTGTCTTCAAGACCTGGATTAACAATACGGGCTGGAGTAACAACGGTATCTGCTTCATCACCGGCCTCGTCAACCCGCTGTATAGTCTGGGCGGACTCGACGGTGTGACGCACATCACCGAGGAGATGCCAAACGTGAGCCCTCTAACCATTATACCTGGTAACTGTCCATGACTAACATGAACTGAACAGCCCTCTCGTAATGCACCCCTAGCAATCGCCATTACTCTAACCATCGCCTTCGTCACTGGCCTCACCTACCTAATCGGCCTCATGTTCAGCGTCCAAGACTACGCCGCCCTCTCAACCACAAACACCGGGCTCCCTCTCGCCGAGCTCTTCCACCAAGCAACCCAATCTGCCGGTGGCGCATTCGGTCTCACCTTCATCCTCTTCATCGCCCTCGGCCCCTGCGTCGTATCCTCCCAACTCTCCACATCCCGCGTCCTCTGGGCCTTCTCCCGTGACAGCGCCATGCCGTTCTCAAACGTCTGGAGCCGGGTCAGCAAGCGCTTCGGCATCCCCTTCAACGCCCAATTACTCGTCGGAGCCGCCAACGCCGTTCTAGGCTGTCTGTACCTCGGCAGTAGCACTGCATTCAACAGCATGCTTGGTGCAGCCGTTACGATTAACAACGTGGCTTATCTCATCCCCATTTCCACGAACATGCTCACGGGCCGATTGAACATGCACAAGGGTACTTTCCACATGGGTAAATGGGGATGGCTCGTTAATGGCGTTACTGTAGGATGGCTGGTGTTTGCTATCACGTTCTTCAGTTTCCCTTATACCATGCCTCTGACTGCGCAGAATATGAATTATACCTGCGTGGTTGTGGGTGGATTGCCTATTTTGATTTTGATGTGGTGGTTTGTCGGGAGCAAGCAGTACAAGGAGAAGATTGCTAGTGCGAAGGAAGAATGATTTTTTTTTTGTTGATGGATTTGATGGGGGTTATGATTTATCTGAATGGTGCTTTGTATATGAAGCTATACGTTTTGTAATGGATGATCTTGAATGAATTGTTTCAATACACTATTGAGTAATATGATAGAGAGTCGGTTTTCCTGGATGCTGGATGCCTACAATTAAGACTTTGCCCTTTGGAAACCGATTCTGGATGCTTCTGGCTCGCTTGCTTGCAAATTCTTCTTTCATCAAGATTTCCAGCCATGTGATCCCAGACCCATACATAATAGCAGTACACCTTATCAGCTCAGAATAGACCGGGTCCGAGTGGAACTGTAGTATCTACATTATCGCCGTTCCCAATTTACGGCGTCTCCGGACTTTGAGCCACTTTGCCGGTTGACCGGATTCACCGATATCACCGGACCCTCTTTCAATCTAGAGAATCCAGGATACCTGTCATGATGAAGGATGGAGTCAAGCTGGATATCGTATCGGAATGGTTACCAGGGATTGTGATCATCTTGATACCAGACATATGGGTCGCAAGAAAACTGAGTCATTAATTTGCCTTGTAGTGGATCACTTTGGCCTTTTCCTACGCTGCTTCTCACGGCATTCACTGAACTTGGCTTCAAACTCCTCCCTTTGCAACTATCTTCTTTTATTTTTCATATTCAGAATACTCAATCTTGAAATATGCGTTTGATTGTCAGAGAGCGCACCGAGCAGGCCGCACAATACATCGCCGCGTATATTGTCAGTAAGTGTTGATACCAGATACTTTCTGGATCTCCGACTTAACTATCATAGAACGAATCAATACCTTCGCCCCGACGGCAGAACGGCCATTCGTCCTGGGTCTACCGACGGGTAGCAGTCCTCTACCCATATACCAAGCCTTGATTGCCGCATATTCTCGAGGGGAAATCTCATTTCAGCATGTCGTAACATTCAACATGGACGAGTACGTCGGTCTACCTCATGAGCATCCCGAATCATACCACTCGTTCATGTACAACAATTTCTTCCGACACATCGATATTGACGTCAAGAATGTCAACCTTCTCAATGGCAACGCCGCAAGTCTAACGGACGAGTGTCTCGCGTACGAGTCCAAAATCAAAGCCCTCGGTGGAATTGAACTATTCCTTGGCGGCGTGGGTAGCGACGGACACATTGCATTCAACGAGCCTGGATCTAGTCTGGCCAGCCGGACTCGAATCAAGTCCCTCGCCCATGAGACCATCATCGCTAATGCACGATTCTTTAATGGCGACGTCGACGCTGTGCCACGCATGGCGCTGACGGTAGGAGTGCAGACCATTATGGATGCCAGGGAGGTAGTCATAATCGCAACGGGACACGGAAAGGCACTTGCTATTCAACAGGCTGTTGAGCGTGGTGTCAGTCACTTGTGCACATTGTCTGCCTTGCAGCTACATCCATCCAGCATGGTGGTCGTTGACGAGGATGCTACGATGGAGCTGAAAGTGAAGACGGTCAGGGTAAGAGTTCCTTCAAGCAAATCAGTTGAGTGTGAAACTAAAAGCGACATTATCTACAGTATTTCACGGGCGTGGAACATACTATCCTTCAACAAGGAATAAGCAACGAGACTTCGTCCACACTCACACTGGCTACCTCGAGTGAAACGGCGTGGAGAGAGCCGGAAGATGGAGAAATGACGCCAGACAGTATGTCTTCACGCATTGGACACCCGAAGCCGTTGACCGTTCGATCTGTGACGATGCCGTTTTCACCGGTTTGAGACGTATTAGATTTTCTTAGTGTTGTTCAATTTATTGTATGTCTAGAGTGCAACTTTTGTTCCTAGCTTTCGCCTATACTACAACTTGTCATAACAAAATACATCGTCCTTGTTGTGCTTAAAGCGTTATCGGCTTCTATTTCTATATGGTGTTATCTGATGTTCTATCCCCAAGAGTGTTATGAAGAGATTCAAGCAATTGAAGTCTCTTTTAGTTAGCATCTGTCTCAGTATGGAGGCAATCATGCTAAAGTAGAGCGCCCTCGGTGGGAATATAGAAATCTCGATGACCTTACAATCTTAGAGATCACCATTTGCCGAAGACGCACAAGGACTAACCGACCCTCCACGTTCGTCAGCTTCCCCTCAAAAGGAGTGTGGACCCCCGGCAAAAACCGGCGAAGTCAAAAATCGCCGGTGGGGTGGGACATGGACCACGTAACGACTGGAGGAGCTAAATCCACCAAAGGGGCCAGGTCTTGGCTTCTTTAGCTTGATAGTCCGAATTAACCGGCCGTCTACCGGCAATTTGGCCGTTGAATGAATAATCCAACACAAATTCTGTAACATTGGCCTTCAACTGCTCCACATCGTGAAGGGGACAGCTATTCTCGAATCTCATTCTCGAATACTTCAGTCGCTCATTATGGATGGCTTGTGGATGTCCTTGGTTCTCTACTCTTCTATCTCTCTTGACCATGGCGAATGCGAGAGAGCAGCGGTTGGGCTTGGTGGCCCAAGCCGAGCAGATTGCTAGGGACTTTAGCCTCAGCCCTGGGCGCGTCCGACGTGTGACGAGACATTTAGTTCTACAAATGAGTGAGGAATGACGTCCTGGACTTATATATGAGATTAATGCTGACTTTATCGCCTGTTAGAGGACGGCCTTGCAAATGAGCGCCCATGGCAGTTACCCGCCTATCTACAGAGTGTCCCCACGGGAGCTGAGAAGGGCCAATTCCTGGCTGTCGATCTTGGTGGCAGCAACTGCAGGATATGCATGGCCGAATTACACGGCGATTCCACTTTCACCGTTCTCCAAAGCAAGAACAGAATCCCGGCTAGTGTCATGGTCAATCAAACCCATCAGCCTCTGTTTGATTTCATTGCACAAAATATCGGAGAGTTTCTGAATGTACATCTCGATCCGAGCAGTGAATCACGTTATAAACTGGGCTTTACATTCAGTTTCACCTGTGAGCAGGAATCTCTTAATGGCGGTCGTCTCATACACTGGGATAAGGGCTGGGATATACCAGAAGCCGTGGGTCGCGATCCATGCCTCATGCTGCAAGAAGCCATTGATAAAAGGGGGTTACCAGTTCTAGTGACAGTTCTGGCAAATGACAGCGTTGGTACACTCTTGACGAGATCGTACAGCTCAGGTCAGGGGATATCCACACTGGGCGCAGTCATTTTTGGGACTGGGACCAATGCGGCCTATGTGGAGAAGCTATCCAATGTGCAGAGGCTGAAGAACATCAATGCCGATGCAGACGGCATTATGGTGATCAACAGTGAATGGGGCTCCCTAGATGACGAGATGAAGGTGTTGCCCCGGACGCCACTTGACGATGAGCTAGACGCAGCATCTGTGGATCCCGGATTCGGAATGTTGGAGAAGAGAGTGTCTGGACTGTATCTCGGAGAGCTACTCCGATTAGCAATTCTTCAGCTATTAAGAGCGAGCGCGTTCGACATGACTGTGGCTGAAGAGTCTTGCCTCTTTCAGCGAGACGGAATTGACAGCTCGCTTCTGTCTGATCTTGCAATTTCCGGGAACGACATCGATAGCGCAATTCAACTACTTCAAGACACCCTTTCAGCAAACAACGTCACGAAAGCAGATGCCGAAGCTATCAAACTAGTATCCGAGGCCATTGCAAGACGGGCAGCGCGCTTAGCTGGTGCATCATTAGCAGCTGTCATCATTCAAAGCGGACGACTTGAAATATCGTCAAAAGCACGCCGAGTCCCTTCACAAACGACATCTACCATGCCATACAGCTTCAAAAGCTTGTATAACTACGCACCTCTTCTTTTTCGCCATATAATTGATTTTGTGAGGCTGATCTGCAAAAGACCATCTTGGATGTCACCAAAATACGCCCCAGATACTGAGACCACGCCTCTGTCTGACGAAATCATCGATATCGGAGCCGACGGTTCCGTCATAGAATCCTATCCAACATTCGAGGATGAGATGCGAGGGGCAATGAGGGAAGTCCCTGAGATTGGTCACGCGGGTGAACAGAGGATCAGGATTAGTCTCACGAAGGATGGGTCTGGTGTGGGTGCTGCATTGATGGCGCATGCGGCAAGCTTGGCTGATATTGGTGGATCTTGTGATTAATAGACGATCATACATGTTAGAGAACCGAGGATTATGTTTTAGAAATAGATCAAAGATTTACACTTCAAGATACCTCGAGGAATATTTCATCTTATTTACTTCTCTACAAAAATTCAAAAGATTTTTGTCAAGTATCCTTAGGAAGATACGCTAAGAGGTAATTCTCAAGCTCTCTACAGACACAGCTCTAAATAAATGTAGAGAGATATTTCGAAAAGAGAAGTTGAAGCACTTATAGCTAGACTTTGCCCCGGTCGCAAGGGTACAGACATTTGAACAGCTATGATGTGAACGAACCAGCCCTACTTGTTAAGTGAGCTGATGGTTTTCTCGTGGGAACTGATTGACAAGATTGTAAATTCAATAGCGTGTGTGGGTGTGTGAAATGAGTGTCCTAATATACCCAGTTCTCCGGCCTCGTTATGCCTCTTTCTTGTGGACAGTATGTCCACGGAGAAATTCAAGTCCAGTCTTCCATCAAACAATCTTTACGTGAACTTGATCTGTTCAAAGACAAATCACCTGAAGCGGGAAGGTTACTGCCTACGCAGCAGCTCTTGCCTGCGTCTCCATCGGCAAGCCTAGCCAAGCACACACCAGCACAATCCAAAGGGCCCCAGAGAACCAAACAGGGGCCCCGTTGGATATTATCGTACTCTCAAAGGTAGTAATAATATGCCCAATCAGTCCAAATAGACCCCAAAAGAACCCCATGACGCCGAGGCTGAATCCTCGCGTTGGAGTTGGAACAATCTCCACGGTATAGAGCGTAAGTGTCGCGAGACCAGCATAATGCAAGAAGCTCACTATACACTCAAAAGCCAGTGCAGCGTTACGTGACCTGGAAGCTGCGGAGACCAGCATGAACAGTCCTGTCAAAACGGCAATTCCAGCTCCTGTACGCTTCCGGCCAACACCCTTCGCCTCGACCAGGAATGAAGCCACGATTGGACCCGGAATTGCGCAGAGAGCGGTGTATAAATAGCGACTGTATAGGTAGCCTCTCGTCACAGTAGTCGCATTGACCTTGCCAACGCCATGCACAGCCAGATAATTGCTGATGTAGGTTTGGTAAAGGATAAAATTGAGACCCATGGCGATCCAGAGAAGGACAAGACTGACCATACCAATAATTCCCAAAGAGGCGAGCAGGGATTGAAGTCGGAACTTGGTGCGCAATTCCTCTTCTGATGCCTCAATCGTGGAATCGACTCGCGTAAAGGACGCTTCGGTTAACCAAGTCTGTCGTCCGTTGTAGAGGGCAATATCCTTAACAAGCTGTGTCGCTTCTGCATCGCGACGACGTGCAGGGAGAAACTTCGGAGTCTCATAAAAGGACAGGACGAACGACAAAGATACAGGAACAAAGTGATGCATCCGAAGGTCCACCATACGTAGCGCCATCCCTTGTTGCTGACGTAGTGGCAGGAAGAGTTGCTGCTGCTGGATGATGATGCACTACTGGATTGACCCAGCGCACGAGCTTTCCGACTCATTGCTTGTGCGGTACTGACCTCATCGGGACCAGTGCCGCATGTATATAAAGCAATGAATGCCCTGTAAAAGCTCCATATTTAGCAAGAGATAGATTGACGTCGAGGAATAGCAATCCATTTACCATCCAACGGCAGAGGCAACCAATTGGCCCAAGCCCCAGAAAACCCCCTGCAAGGCAACCAAGAACTGGTGTGACGCTGGTATGGACTCAAGGAGAGTCATCACATCAACAGCTTGATTTCCCGCAACGGCGAAACCAACAACAGCTCCCACCACGCAAAGTCCCGTGAATGAGGGCATGCCCGCCCCGACCAATCCACCTATACCCATCAATAAGACGGTACTTGTAAACATCTGCTTCCGACCGAGGGTATCAGACATCAAAGGCCAGACTGTGCCTCCGACGGTGAGGCCGACAAACAAGCTCACGAAGAGGTAGTCGGTGTTATTGCCGGCGAAGAAGAATTGGGCCTCGTTGCCAGCGGATGGAGCAATGATTATGAATGACATGATCCAAAACTGTGATAACGTTCTGAGTCCTCTGTTGAAGTAAGTGGGATATATTTCTAGTGAACAAACTCACACTGACAAGAAACCACCCCATGCCCGTCATTAAGAAGATCAACCATTGGTACTTTCCCATCCCAATATCCAACAAGGCCTGATTCAGCAGCTGAATCTTTGCGGCAAAGGCAGCATCAGTACCTGCATGACTGTTCGGGGTTGCAACATTGAGACCGAGGAGACTTTTGTGCTGCTTCTCGGATTGAAAAATGGTCTTCGATGGCCCTGCTTTCACCACATCGTCCACAAGAGTAGATGCAAGGACACTTTGCGCTTCGACCCTTCTATGTGGGGCAATTGAGTCAGACATTTTACGGGATTATTTGCCACCACGTCGAGAAAGAGAGTGGAGCTATTTGGGGAATATCAAGATAAGGTAAAAACTTTCTTTCGACGCCCTGCTGGGGTACCAGGACAGCCATTTATATACATTCTCGCCAACTTCTGTTCGCTAAATACATGATGTGATAGGTTGGAAGTTGACGCTTTGCCCATGAGCAAAGAAACTAATGATAATTGAACCTGGCATATCATAGGTGTATCCTGAGTTTCCCCACCCACATACTAGTAGAAGGCGGACGAGAATACCGCACAACCAGCAGAGGTTCCTGCGGAGATATTGAAACCTCAAGGTCTCTCTCTAGGTCCGAAGAATATCAGATAAGACCTCATTCGAATAGGCTCACAACGTGATATAGGCCCACCGGCCTCCGCGGAGCTTTGAAGGAAACACCATATTATCAATCAGAATTCCAGTTTTTTTATAACTTTTAACGGGTGATGTATATGTATCTCATCCATTTGTGCTCCGAAGGTATACACAGTGACACTAGGCTAGCCAGAGTAGTATAGACCGAACGAATATCAAATAGATATAATCGTAGATTAGGGGCCTAAATATATACCCGGGCCAGATTCGTGATTGGTCAAGCACGGTCCGCTGAATCGAATTATGTATTGAATCATCATGATTTGGGTGTGATATGTTAACACTTTCAAGACTCTAAATACCTGAAGCAAGGACAAAAGTATGGCACAGAGTCGCTGGGGCTTGTAAGGCTTAACCATTGCCAATGCCTCATTACAACTCCTCCGATATCTCCTCTTCCTGAGATATCTGGTTGTCAGGTATAAATCCGAAGCTACGTCATGCAAAAGTCGGACGAGTTGTCTGAATTGGGACTAGGTTAGAAGAAATTCGGAGCGACATGACTCTGGCCGGACGCCTGGATCAGATATGGCCTGCACGGTCCGGGCGTGTTTTATTACTATCTTAGGTCTAACTCACTATCCGTAACTAGCTCACTATCCCCCTATTCGGGGAGATAGTAATCCCGGTCACTTTTTCCCTCCATTTCCTACTATTTTACCCTCCTATACTCTACCACAAGTATATAACCCCAATAAGCGGTTGAGACAACGAGAAAGATGCTGAAGTGATATTGATATCCTTACAGAATTAATCTGATTAGCTACAGTATAGCTTGACACTTCACAGGTCTTATGCCTTATCTCCAATTCCCTCAAATGTGATCATCCTCCGCGTCATACTTAATTTCCTTGCCCGGATTAGGAGGAGACACCAATCCCAGCTGCTGCAGAGCTGTCAGAGCTTGCTCCTCGCCAATTTCGTGCACTATTTTGCCATTATTCAATGTAAAAATAGTTATACCAGAGAAATAGATTTCTTTCTCGGTATTGGGCCTGTCAAGCTTGCCCACGGCCAGATCGTCAAATGCCACGCCGGTATGTCTACCACCACCAATCCAGCGGCCAACCACATAGTCCCCTTCGGCAATCAGAGGGAACTTGTAAGCGTGAAAGGAGATATTCGGAAATGCCTATAGATTATTAGGTCGCCAGGACTTGGGAAAGCATGCTTCTTAAGGATTTATCTGAATTCCATACCTCTTTGAAGTCAACCATCATCTTCTTTGCCGCTTCTTTACCCCGATGAAGACCATGCATAGGGTAATCGATGACGAAATTATCGGCGCAAAGCTCATCGACGACCTCCTCATTGCCCTTGCCCCAGTATTCTTCAAAATATTTCTGAATCAATACCTTATTTTTTTCTTGGAGAGTGACCATAATGTTGACAGTGTATATGTAGAGTTTTCGAGAGGATAATCTTGAATAAAATAAATTGAATTAGGTTGTGTTTATTTTCTCAAGGCATAGGCAACATTTTTATATCTAACCCTGGATCGTGGGAATACCAAACAAGAAAGCTTTGCTACTGAATTAGTCAATGATGATTGAGTATTTGAGACTTCTGTGAATTTTCACCATATGTTCCAGAAGTAGCCAGTAAGAGACGGACAAGCGGACAAAGTTTGAGCTACCACGAGAATGTGGCCTCATGGTTGGTCAATTTCATCATAGCCTACTGATCTCGTCCGACTGGAAGCCGTAGAACAGGATACAGGTCTGCGAACGCTTTATCAAGCCGATTGAGTGATTTTCATTGGCTCCATCTCCTTTAAATTAAGGATAAAAGTCATCTTATAGGCCTAGGCATATATCTATGCACAATCCCGCGAATCTCAGAAGTCTTATTAAGAACTTTACCTACTTATATCCCAGTAGATTCCGAAATAGGATTGCCACCCTCTGTAGTAATAGTGCTGCCTTACACTGGTCATAATGTAGCTTTCACGGTGTTAGTGAAGTTATTCGTGATCTTGGTCACCATTACCATTGTTACGGTTCACATATGTTTGGTGTTGATGCCTAGTGCCTAAGGCATCCACAGAGTATTTAGATAGCTCTCTCGCCATCTCTCCTTCCTTCTTTCCTTCCTTATGCTTAGTTGTTTCGTGAAATGCTACTACATTGGTTGATCTTCTTCCTCTCGTACCTGAGCGTAACAACCATGAGAAAACTCCACCTCCAGTTAGCTCTGATATGCTTTTCTTGAAATACAGAGATAACTTCAAACGAACCTGATCCATTCATGCACTCCCGGTCAAATATAATTCCCCATTTGGGCTTCCAGAATAGGAAAAAAGTGATTCCAGAAAAACTTATTCTCTTATTCATGCATCCCTGACAAATATTTGCGCAAACCACCAGCCAAAGTATACGGCATCCATGGTGCTTCACTAATGTATGCCATTAGATTTCTTTTGTTTTGGCTTTTCTTCTTCATTCGCTCCTCCGTCGTCGAGGGAATTTGAAAAGGGTCTGTATTCTTCAGCATCGATTGCGGTGACGGTCTACTTAGCGGCTCTCTTGTATGCCAATCCGTAGAATTGCGTAAAGCTCATGATAACGGGTGCCACTTGTCGGGGTCAATTCGATTGGGATATCCTGTCATGCGAATCTTCTCATGGACATGAGTGCGAGGACCTTGACCTCTAACACGATAAATCCCCTTATATCGACGTCTTCTATCATCTCATACACCCCCTTTAATTCAGCCTCCATCTAACCTAGACATTCATCAACGCGTGGAGGCCGAACAAGATCGGAGGGGACACGCCCAAATTTATCCTTCACGTACTAGTAGCCATGCGTGCGTTTGAAATACAAATATCCAGAATCTTCGGCCGCTGTTAACATCTCTTTCGCTCCAATTGTCATCGCCAGAGCATTCACTGTTCCAGGCATAGTATCGTCCACAAGGCTGAGAACGCATTGTTTAGTTCGAATCAGGTTGATTGTCGTTTGCGAGTCGGCTCCTAGTCCTAGCATGCATCGGTTTCCAAGTCACCATGCTGAGGACATTGGCGCAATGTTGAAAGTTCCATCTTCATTCTCGGTTGTGATAAGCACAACAGGTGTGCCCCAATAAAAGATAGGTGGAGAAATCGTCCGAGTCGGAATTCTTGACATTTCCGTTCGTTCCCCCTTAGGAAATGATATCTTTTCGACGCTGCGATGACTGAGTAGCTTGTACACTGTCTACACCCTGAATTGGTGCTCGGATATTTATATTTCAGTCTGCTGTACTCTGTGGGGACAACTTAACTCTCGTCTAGAGCTGGTCTTATGGTCAATGGCCAATTCTATAGCAATGTTGCCTCGTAGCTAGTCAGTTCCATTGCAATGCTGGTACGTAGTTAGCTAATTCCATCCGCAGTAGATTCCGACCTTTGCCGATTTTGATTTTCACAATTACATAATTGGCTAATTCTATGACACTGTTTCTGCGCAATCGCCCACCACGGATTCCGATTTTACCATGGGCAGTTACTGTGTAGGAATTATGCGTTGTCATTGGTCAGTTTAAAGGCACTAGCATATTTGACCACATTTTCCCAGAACCTCACAGACCTGAGAGTTTCCTCCGGGAATAGTATTCGTTATACCCCTTAATAACAAACTCGTTCTCTTATCGTATGATTTATTTTTATTCATACCTGTCGTCGCATCCTGAACTAATCTATGCTGTAAAGATTTCCCCGTCTCCGTCTAGATCGTCAGTCACATCAATGAGGTTCGAAGCAAAACGCTAGTAATATAACTTACCGAAAGCTATACTATGTCCTCTTCTTGTGGCAGAATATCCTCTAAGCTATAATCACTAGCTTAGAAAGACCCTCCGAGGTTACTCGATTGCTCTATAATTATAGTCCGGGTACCTAGATAATTAAATAAAGATGTCGCAAAAGCATGGACGTTTAATCACTTCATCATGAAGTCTCCTGGATACCTTGCTGCTTTCCTGAACCGGCTTTTTCTATTCTACATTAATTCTTCGCAGTCAAAATTCACGAGGTTCATGAATTGATTCATATCGTATTCGTGTCATTGCTTCATTACTAAACGCGACGCAAGGAGAAACAAACTCTACAGGGGTAAGGAGAGCCCTGCACCAACGCAAGCTTTAAAAAGCTGCCTGGAAAGGCATACCTATCCATAATTCAAAGTGGCACTTATGTATCGCCTCTTTCAAGCAGTCCGATCCGGCAAAGCAGTCTTCAACGCGCTGAACGACTGTTCAAAGTCGGCAATGATATCATCAATGTGCTCAGTACCAACAGAGATACGGATAGCATCATCGGTGACACCCGAATCAAGCTTCTCCTGGTCGGTGAGCTGCTCGTGGGTTGTAGACCAGGGGTGAATAGCTAGGGTCTTGGAGTCGCCGACACTGGAAGACGTAAGTTAGAAAGGTCCGGCAAGAAATGCTGTGCGATTAACTTACTTGGCAAGGTTGGAGATCAACTTGAAGCCATCGACAACCTGGCTTCCAGCCGCCGCGCCACCCTTGATGCCAACGGACAAAACACCGCCGAACCCGCGAGTCAGATACTTCTTCGCAGTAGCATGCGATGGGTGATCCTCAAGACCGGGGTACGACACCCACGACACATGCTCATTCTTCTGGAGCCACTTGGCTAGCGCAATGGCATTGGACGCATGGCGCTCACAGCGCAGACTCAGCGTCTCCAGACCGAGAATCAACTGCTGCGCCGCGAAGGGGTTCAACGCAGAGCCGAGGTCACGCAGGATCTCGACACGCACGCGGATAGCGAAGGAGATGGGGCCAAAAGTCTCCCAGAATTTCAGGCCGTGGTAGCCTTCGGAGGGCTCGACGAATTGTGGGAAGCGGGCGGCGTTCTTGCCCCAGTCAAACTTGCCGCTGTCGATGACTACGCCGCCGATAGTAGTTCCGTGACCGCCGATCCACTTGGTTGCGCTCTCAACGACAATATCAGCGCCGTGGTCGATGGGGCGGGCAAAGTAGCCGCCGGCACCGAAGGTGTTGTCAACCTAAGTACAAAATCAGATGGTTAGCTGGTTGTTGGGTTCTCATCTCAGATGGTTGATAGCACGATATCAATCCACAATCCACAAAAACTTACCACCAGAGGGATACCCTTTTCATGCGCAACCTTCGCAATGGCCTCAAAGTCGGGCACATTGTAGCGGGGGTTACCGATAGTCTCGACATACACAGCCTTAGTGCGATCATCAATGGCAGCGGCGATATCCTCGGGGTTTTCACCATTGACAAACTTAGTAGTAATACCCAGACGCGGGAACATCACCTTGAACTGGTTATACGTGCCACCGTACAAGTTGGTAGTGGAGATGATGTTATCGCCCGCATGCGCCAGCGCGGAAATAGCCATGAACTGAGCAGACTGGCCGGAGGAAGCTGCAACAGCAGCAACGCCGCCCTCGAGAGCAGCAATGCGCTTCTCAAAAACGTCGACTGTGGGGTTCATGATTCGGCTGTAAATGTTGCCGAATTCTTTGAGGCCGAAGAGCCTCGCGCCGTGGGCGGAATCATTGAAAGTGTAGGATGTAGTTGCGTAGATGGGGACTGCGCGAGAATTGGTGGCCGAGTCAGGCTCATGGCTAGAGGGGTAGTGTTAATTCTATATTCTTGTTATATGAAAAGCAAGAACGGACTGTTCTTACCCAGCATGAAGCTGAAGGGTCTCGAAGTGAAGATTTTGTTGGTCGGCCATGGTCGGAATGCGGGGAACCAAGAATGTGCGGGGTACGACGAGATCTCACGGAGTAAGATGGCAACCAAACGGGCGAGGGATGAGATATTAGATCAATGGAAACTATTAGGATCAATTGAGAGGAGTGTAAAGAAAATACTTGAAGAGAAGAAGGGAGGGGGAAGTTGTAGCTTCATAAAAGAGACAAGGAGGAGGGGCGCCAACGACGCTGACAGGGGACTCGATGGCGTGATTACGAAGGTTCACTGAAGAAGCCAAGCGGGTTCGTCGAGTCCTGCCTCAATTCGGATAAACTCGAGATTTTGCTTTTTCTTTCACACTTCCTCTCGGTCGATAGGATCCTAGTTTCCTCTTTCCTTTCTCCTTTGGGTTGACCCGTATCGAGATTGTCTCGTATACTGGTGGCACAGGCTGGCTCCCTCTCTATTCAGTACATGTCCTTACCCACACCAAATTCTCTCGTATTCGGCCTCCATATAAAATTATAAATTATCTAACTACCATTGAATGTTTACCCCTCTAATAGCTGCGGTACTTTTACTTTTTCCAGGTAGTGGAGTGGGTCAGGAACAGAATCGAAACGCCAAATGTGGGGTTGGACCTTTGTACTGTAGCACCGTGCGCTGTCCCTGTCAAGGGCAGAAGTCCGGGTAAGTCATCGGCTGCTGCTGAAGTTCTTGAATGGCTTTTAAGACTGAGATACAGTGATGGACATGAGAATGCTCCCTCGCTGATCTTTCTTGGTCGGAAACGAACCTATCTCCAAGTCGCTAATGAATTTCTAGTCGGATTCATCTTGCGTAGACGGATTTTTTGTCAACGTATAAGTATATCTACTCTTGGAAAGCAGAAGGAAATCACTTTGGAATACTTAGTCTATTCTATCATCGATAGCTCTCTCTCCACTCTCTACACTCCTCTATACATGAACATCCATGTCTCTAGTTGTCTAGGCCGTTCGTGGTCGGTTGACTATACACACTTTCACCTGGAAAAGTCGAGTTCTTCAGATAAGAACAAAAGTTGAGTGCCTACTTGACTCATGACAAGTTTGAAACTGCTTGAAATTGACTCCTGTCAAACGAACGGCGATCATAGAAGTGATTGTATATTCGGGGGTGGAAGTAGACCTTCTCAAGGCAGAAATACTCGGTTAGTCAGTCTAGTTGAGCCACAATAGTCTTAATAACCTTAATACGGTAGCAAGCATGTCTCTTTGCTGTATCGTGACAAATTATGCTGATCGGCTTTGGATGTCTTGGAGAGAGGGCCGAAAAGGAGCACTGCGTCTAATAGAGAATGTATATTTTCTGAAGTCTTAGGTCTTTGGACGCTCTAGTCCTCGCTATTAAGCTCAAGATAATATTTCTAGATTATGAGCGGTCTAGAATACAACCTTTGATCCTGAAATTGCTACGCTTAGGAGTGCTTAACAGGAGTCTGGTCAGTCGACCCTAATGAACGCATCGGTAGTGCATCACGGAGTGAAGGCAAGTTCTATCACAAGTAGTAAGAGAGCTCCGAAGCGAAGTCGGGCCAGAATTTGAGAATATATATATACAGTTGAACAATTCTTCAGCTTATTAATGGTCAGTTATATCGTTTTTATAATGATCTCGGTCTACTAGGGGCAACCACAAGCCGACACAGCCTTGATCCGATTGTCTCGGTTAGATCGGCCTGCCTTCGCCCCACCGGCCACATCGAGCAGCAGAAGCATTTTCCCGGTTCGCTTCAAGCGCATTTCTCTCGCGTCAGGATCATTGGTGTCGTATTTTTATGCTGATTGCTGACAAAATATACAGGTTGTGTACTGTAGTTGGATCCCACTGCTACTTTTTAGTTCTGTTTTGCATTTTCTTCTCTGATGTTTTCTCATCATCGCCTACGTCTCTCCACTCGCTCTCACTGCCACTTTCTACGCCGAGCGCCTCGGCTGATCCTCGGCACCCTCTCTACACAGTACACAAGCTTTTTCTTCATTCCATTTCCTAAACTCTACGAGTCTATTTCCAGCCACATGAAGCATTAACGAGCATCGAATCTCCGTTTAAATCTCATCAATCATATCCTCGTGCTTGGTCCCAAATCCACCAGGGTAGAGATGTCCGGGAGCAGTCCAGGGGCCAATCTAACGGTCTATCCGAAACGAATTCCCTTCTGGCACCTACTCACCGACCATGGTGCAATCACTCAAGATGTGCTAGACTACGAGTATACAGGCTCCGGAACGGAAGAAGATCCCTTTGCGGTAGCATGGATACCCAACGACAGCCGAAATCCACAACTCTTCAGCGGCGCCCGCAAAATCTCAATTACTCTCACCGTGGCCTTTGTTGGCTTGATCGTTTCCCTGGCATCATCTGCGTACAGTGGCAGCATCCACGAGATCGTCGCTGATTTCCAGGTGAGCACGCCCGTGGCGACGCTCGGTTTGTCCTTGTATGTGTTAGGCTTTGCGATCGGTCCGTTGTTCTGGGCGCCTGTGTGTGAAGTCTATGGTCGGCAGGTGTCTTTCTTTATTAGCCTACTGTTCCTAGCCACTTTTCTGGCTGGTTGTGCTGGAGCACAGAACATTTGGACTTTGTGTATTCTGCGTTTCTTCGCGGGATCCATTGGTTCTGCACCTTTGACGAATGGTGGCGGGACCATCTCGGATATTTTCTCGGCGAAGAAACGAGGTCTTGGATTGAGTCTTTACGCTGCGGCGCCCTTTTTAGGTCCTTCTTTGGGCCCTATAATTGGAGGCTTTCTTGGGATGAAAGCTGGTTGGCGGTGGGTGGAGGGATTTCTCGCTGCGACTGCTGGATTCGCCTGGATGTTATCGACCCTGTTGACTCCGGAGACATATGCACCAGTGCTCTTGCGAAAGCGGGCGGATCGACTCTCGCGTATTACGGGGAAGGTTTACCGCAGTAAAATCGAGCTGGAGAAGGGTCCAGTAACGACTGCCGAGTTGTTGAGAAAGACTCTATCCAGACCCTGGGTTCTGCTATTCAAAGAGCCTATTGTCTTACTTTCGGCAGTCTACGTCGCACTAGTGTACGGTACCCTCTACATGTTCTTCGCGGCATTCCCGATTGTATTTGAAGAAGTGCGTGGCTGGAATCCCGGGGTGGGAGGCCTCTCCTTCGTGGGTATCATGGTTGGTATGATTATCGGGATTATTTGCACCATCCCCGCGAATCTGCACTATACCAAAGTACAAAGTCAAGGTGGGGGATATGCGCCACCGGAAACCCGGTTGATCATGTGTATGCCGGGGGCTCTGGCAATTCCCATTAGCCAGTTCTGGTTTGCATGGACAAACTATACCTCGATCCACTGGAGTGTATGCATCATCGCCACGGCACCGTTCGGTACGGGTGTTATCTTGGTCTATATGGGGTGCATGAACTATCTGATCGATTCGTATACCATCTATGCGGCCTCCGTGCTAGCCGCGAATGCAGTGCTTCGGTCGATCTTCGGGGCGGTCTTACCTATCGTGTCAACCTGGATGTACGATGGTGTCGGAATCCACTGGGCGCCGTCAATCCCTGCATTTATCTCGCTCCTCTTCTTGCCATTCCCGTTCTTCTTCTACAAGTATGGAGCTATCGTGCGGGCAAAGTGCAAATATGCGGCAGAGTCTGATCGATATATGAAGAAATTGGTAGAGAATACCGTCCAGGAAAAGAAGCAGGGGGTATCAACAGCGGAGCCCGAGGCATCGGCTGGGATTCTTGCCATGGAGATGGAGCGCGTGGCCACTGTGCAGTCGATCTAGGGGCTGGACCGCGTGGAATAATCATTAAACGTTTTTCATTGGCTTCTCTGGGCATCACGAGATCATCAAGGTTTGAGAGAGGCAGTATAAAAATCCAAATAGACTTATACTTCAAGGCATGGGATATACTTTAGACTGTTTTGGTTTTCAAGGTTTTAGAGGGGCCCAATATATTGCTTCAGCCACGACGTCATCGATGCACAGCCAATTCTCGCCTCAGCATTCAGGCACAACCCACAAACTTTGGATACCTCGGCCAATCAAGTAAACAAAGAAGTATAGCCTCTCAGATTCCAGCCATGGTCCGATCGAGAAAATCTACGGTCTTCGGCGATTTCTCCTAGGATAGGTACCAGTCGGCTTTTCCCCTGATCCACTCAATAGCACTTATCCTCGACGACCCGCGACAAAATACGAGACCCTGCGATCGGCGAGCGCCTAACCGAGTTTCACATGCCGGCCGTTAGGCAGCGCAGCAAAAACTCTCACTGACAGCAGTGGCGGTGCCAAGGTCCTTTGAAGAAGAAAGAAGAAGACATTGTACGTACCATGGGCATAGGCAGCAGAAAAGATCAAAAATAAACCTGATAAGCGAGGGAAATCCAGCTGCTTTCTTTTTTCCTTTATAACCTCTCAAACTGTACCTCCTGATCATCCTTAGTGTCCTAACTTCCACACCAGAAAGCATTCCATAATAACGTCACTTTGTCACCTCGCTTCCCCTCTCTCTGCCGATCGATTTAAATTAAAAACTAAGTTGCACTCAAACAGTAAGGAAAACTCCCCCCAGACCAACCAACTATCCGCGCTAGCAGCACAACCCACGTCAGCCCTACCAGTCAGCTGCAAGCCTTGCAAACCCTGCGAGCTAGCACCTGACGGGCGTGCCAAGATGTCACCGATGACGCTGGCGCGACGCTGGTGGCTGCCCACTTTTGGGTGATGTTCTGGCTTTATATCTTGTTCTACGTCCTCTTTGTGTGTTTGCGCTCTTTGTAGTAACACCCTACCCTTAACTTAGGAGTCTGCGACTCTCGCCAAAAAGAACTTCCTACCTTTCTCAAACTCTTCGCCAGCCACCACCACTACCATCACTACTACTCAAAATGGCTATGCCTTGGATCTACGCCGTCCGCTTCGTGCAGATCATCTTCGGCCTGATCGTGGTCGCTCTGACCGCCTATGGTACGTCTCCTATGAACATACCCTCCATACTAACATATACACTACCTATTTCAGTACATACTAACACCACCCTCCCCATCTAGTAATCAGCACCTTTGCCTACTGGTGGAGTTTCTCCGATACAGTAAACTTCCTCCTCTTCCTCGGCTGCTGGACAACCTTCGTCGCGACGCCCTACCTGCTCGCTGCGCCAATCTACTTCCCGCGTCTGGCGCATCGCTTCGTGATTCCCGCTGTGGAGGTCATTACGATGATCTTTTGGTTTGCGGGCTTCATTGCGATTGCTGCCCAGTTGCCGTCGCCGGCTTATTGTAAATGGAGTGGATGCCGGGCTTTGCAGGCTGTGGCTGTGTTTGGGGCTTTTGAGTGGTAAGTGAAATCATGCTCTAGGTGGAATGATTTGTCGCTTGTTGGGGAGGGTTCAGCTTTGTTTATTTCGTTGGGAGGAACCATAGCTAACATGTTTTTCTGGTTAGGGTCCTCTTCGTTGTGACGACTTACTTCGCCGTCATCGATCTCAAGGAGCGCCGACACAGTGGGGAGAGTGCTCAGAAGACTCAGCATAATGCCCATTTGGGTGTTTAAAGTGGCAGATGAAGATTGAACACTGATTTGTCGAGCTGGAATGGTGAAGATCAATGTCTTGGTAGCCTCTTCTGGGGTGGCCATGTCTGGTCAAAGGATGACTTCTTATGCAGCGCAGTGTTTTTCTTTTCCTTTCCACGATACCCCTCGCGGCTGTTACGTTCTTTTTTGCTTACCCCTGAATCTCTTAAATTCTATGTGAAACGAGGGCATTGTGTCTATATTGATGACTGAGGTTCTACGATGGAATTCATATTCGTGAGAACGACCTTAATGCCTGTTGGATGAGTTACAGTAATACTTCATAATCGACTTTCTATGCTTATTTCTACTGCTACAACAAGAAAATAGGGGCTAGTGAAATCCACGCCGAAAGTGACAGCCTTTGGCGCTGGAAACGTCCTCCGATCCACCCGTAACTTCAGGCGCGAGCCGCCGCTTAATGGCCCGCTGTAACTCTGAGTTACTGAGATTTTCTCAACACTCGCCATTTTATTATAGAATGATTCACCAGAAATCCAAAGGACTTGAATTCGCGAGGCAAACTAAGCATTCCCGGGTTCTAAGCAACATTCTAGTCACGTGTGATGATAATCAAGCACTGACCATTCCCACCATTATTCCTCATACCTGTCCCTCTTCTATATGTAATCTCTGTTTTTTTGTCTTGCTTCAACTCTTTCGCTAATTTATTCATTCGCATCCCAAATTCGGCGAAATGTCCCCCCACCGCCCGAGATGGACTCGCCTGGGATGACAGTGGACTCGACCTTGCGCCGGTCTGAGCTCGAGAGCCAAGCTTGGAGGCTATCGTAAACTGTGTCGCAAGACCCTTCAAGTAGACGGCTCAGAAACCTGTGAAGTTGCATTCCACGCCGAAGGGGCCTTCAACAAACTCTATCTGGTTCGGACAAACCACCATCAATATCTCATGAGGGTCTCACTGCCTGTTTATCCAACAGTAAGACCCTGGGGAGAAGTTACGAAGCTGAGCTTCATGCACAAATATTCCGCCATAGCTTTCCTGGAATTGGAACCCTAGTGCCCAGCAATGGAGAACACCGCCAGAACGAACAGCCAGGCGAGATGGTCTCGGGAATGTACTTCTGGGGCAACCACTTTGATTACGATATCGCTCGGGGACCGTTCCGCTCAAGCTACGACTGGCTTTCCTCATACATCGACATCATTGTCAAAGACCAAACTGCGGCCAAAGAGGAAGCTGAGGATGAGGAAGACGAGGAAGACGCTGCATTTGCCTTGGCGCTTGCTCAAAGATTGATTGACCTATTGCCGAAAATTTTCCCTCCTCTACAGCACCCTCCCGAACGATCAGTAATATGACACGAAGATCTTTCACTGAACAACATCTTGGTGGATGAGCAAGGAAACATCACCGCTGTGATTGACTGGGAATGTGTCTCAGCCATGCCAGTGTGGATGACAACCAGAATGCCCAAATTTCTGGAAGGGTCGGACCGGGAAGAGGAACCCAAGCGTCAAGAGTATGCCGATGAGAGCGCTAAAGGATCCGACGTACCGGGGGACAGCGAAGATGACGAGCTGGATAATGAAGGCAAGGACGGGCTATACTGGATTCACGTGATGGAGTATGAACAGACCCAGTTGAGGCGGTTGTACCATGCATCCATGAGTCAATTACGACCGTGCTGGGATGCCGAGGTGGAAGACACTGCACTGAAGCAGGATTTTGCCGGGGCAGTTTTCCGGTGTGGCCAATGTTTCTCTCTAAAAAGGATTGCACAATGGGTTGACGTGGTAGAAAGGGGGGGAATTCCCTAGGTTGATGGGTGTTTTAGAGGCAGGGCTAAGGGTCTAGCGGTAGTTCCCGAGTATCATGGTTCGTGCATTCTACGGCGTACACAAATTAGTCTTGGAGCTGTGTCCCCGCCCATGGCAAATCTCTTTCTTAAATCAAGGGTTCTCATTTGTAACCTCCTATTCCCTTGGACACAGTCATATCTCCCCTCATCAGTCGTTCTTTCATTAATATTGATCCTCGTTCGATTTGCTTTGAAATTGAACCTCAGTCTGGCTTCGGCCTGGATAGAAGCATAGTGGGTATATTATCTGACGCAGTCGGAACTATCACTATTGAATCAGTGTATATGTCGGACCTCAATTAGCCTATATGGGGATATAGATCATATGTCATAGATATTAGTTATCCTGTAGTTCATTGGTTCGTATGGAATCAAATCAATGGGCCCATATATTAGTTAACTTAGCTTATCGTGGCTTATCGACTCGGATCCAGTGATTGGCCTGTCTCATGGGTGGCTAAAAGCGGAAACGGGACCTTTGCTCTGGGCCCACGGGTTTGCCGACCGGAAAAGTCTTGCCTTTGAAATTCAGGGAAAGAGATTGCTTTTTGCTCTTCTATGTCGAGTACATCTTCTCATTAATCTGTAGAATAGTTCGAAAAGGGCATAGAATTCGCAGAAGACTCAGAAGACTCGATTTCAACTGCCCAGTCTCAAGCCTCGTGGACTTACAGTTCGGCAGCAATCCCGATCGGCGGGTGGCGCCTTCCTTCATGCAGAGTCACATCGGCCATGCCTGAGTATACTCCGTTCTCGGCGGAGAAGGAAATGTCTCAATAGCCTGGTCTCGCACCTCGTATATCTGGAGAGAGAGATAGGACAAGGTCGATAGGGACTTGTCATCCGTAGTAGTCATATCCTGCCAGCCATCCAGAGGCCCAAGTTCCCCCCAATTCCTCCCCGAATAATCGCCACCAAAGAAAAACTTTTCGTGAATGCGGCACGGCCCACATGGCAGGCCAAAAGGCTAATTAAAAAAACTTAACGCCCGGGGGCATCGAAGTTTTCACGCGGGAAGAGAAGAAACGAAAAACTCTGTTGAAAAATTATACAAAAGGAAAAGATCGAGGCCTGAGAATTGGATTTCGAGGTCAGGTCCTTGAAATCCATTCCAGTTCAGCCCTGGGCCAAGGCTTATTTCCCCAAGGTCTTAGAACCCACGCCTCTCCCTCTACGCATTTCTTTTACCTAAGACATTGCCGGCTTGGGTATTGGAGAGGTGAAAAGAGTACTGTACTAGGGTTTTGGCGACTCCACCAGGGAAAAGAAGAAGGCCCCAGGCCACCGACTGCCGGAGTCATCCACGCTCTCTCACTCTCAGAGATCCCACAAGTGGAGCTCGCATCTCTCTGACTCTTCTCTCCTCTTTCTCCCCTCCCACCACCTCCTCCTCCCCTTCTTGCATTCCCCTCTCTGAACCTGCTTCTCTTCCCAGCAGTCAGTGATGGCCCCGGACGCCCCTTGGTCTGAAAAGGGAAAGATGGAGTCGGAAGGCCCCATCATGCACGTCCAGCCTCAGGACGCTGCCAACCAGTACGATGTCGACTATGAGAAACACGGTGCTGGCCGCGAGTCCAACCCGCTGCCCGATCTGAAGCGCAAGCTGAAGAGTCGTCACTTGCAGATGATTGCCATTGGTATGTGAAAGAAAATTTCTATGCGCTCCAGTATTGGAGTCAACCGTCGGAGCTCGCCGCAGAATTTTCCCCTAACTCGTATCTTTTTCTTCTCGCATCTAGGTGGTACCATCGGTACTGGTCTCTTCATCGGTAGCGGTACGGCCATCGCCAATGCTGGCCCCGTCGGCGCCTTCATCGCCTATATCTTCGTCGGCACCATCGTCTACTCGGTTATGATGGCACTGGGTGAGATCGCAACCTATATTCCTATCCCCGGTGCCTTCACCTCGTACGCTGCTCGCCTGATCGACCCGAGTCTGGGTTTCTCCATGGGTTGGATCTATTGGTTCTCGTGGGCATCGACATTTGCGCTGGAGCTCACGGCCACGGGTCTAATCATCCAGTTCTGGGACGAGACGATTCCGATTGCCATCTTCATTGCCATCTTCTGGGTGATGATCATCGTGTTCAACATGATGCCCGTCGGATTCTATGGTGAAATGGAGTTTTGGTTCTCCAGCATCAAGGTCCTGACTGTGATTGGTTTCATGATCTTCGCTATTTGCATGAACGCCGGCGTGGGCAAGGAAGGTTATATTGGATTCCGGTACTGGGTGCACCCGGGTCCCTTTGTGCCCTACCTGATCGAGACCGACGATTCCCTCGCCAAGTTTATCGGCTTCTGGTCTTGCCTGATTCAAGCAGGTTTCTCCTACCAGGGTACGGAGCTGGTCGGTATCGCCGCCGGTGAGACCGAGAACCCGCGCAAGACTGTCCCTTCGGCTATCCGCAAGACCTTCATCCGTATCGTCTTCTTCTTCATCCTGACCATCTTCTTTATCGGTATTGTGGTGCCCTCGGACGACCCCGGCTTGGTGACTAGCCAGAACGGCGGTGCTAGCGCCAGCAACGCTAATGCTTCTCCGTTCGTGGTTGCGGCCCGTCGCGCTGGTGTCAATGTCCTTCCCGATATTATCAACGCCGTTCTCCTTACGGTGGTGCTCTCGGCTGCCAACTCCAACGTTTACAGCGGTAGCCGTATCATCGTTGGTCTGGCCCAGGAAGGCTTTGCCCCGCGCCTCTTCAAGCGCACTACCAAGGGCGGTGTGCCATACTATGCCGTCGGTTTCACCGCTTTGTTTGGTCTGCTCGGTTTCCTGAACGTGTCGAACTCGGGCTCGACCGTTTTCACCTGGTTGCTTCAGATCTCCGGTGTCGCCGGCTTCATCACCTGGGCCTCGCTCAATGGCTGCCACCTGGCATTCCAGCGGGCGCTCAAGGCTCGCAACATCTCGCGCGATGTGCTGCCATACAAGGCGATTATGCAGCCCTGGCTCTCGTGGTACGGTCTGTTCTTCAACTGCCTGATCATTCTCACCCAGGGCTTCACCGCGTTCATTGGAGGCTTCCAAGTTAAGAGTTTCTTCATCAACTACCTGAGTCTGATCCTGTTCGTGGTGCTTTACGCCGGTCACAAGCTGATCTTCCGCCCGGCCTTTGTCAAGCCTATCGAAGCCGACTTGGACACGGGCCGAACATCGGCCGACAGTGAGAACTGGGAGACCGTTGAGCCGACGACCTGGTACGGCAAGGTGTGGTACTGGATCTGTGGTTGATGTGTGTGAATATTGAGCCTTTTACCTTTTGGAGGGGTTGAGGCATGTGCTTTTGACTACATTTTACTTTCTCCTGTTTATTTTTTGTTTCGGCTCTCTGTTTTTCGTGGCATGTGGGCATTGGGCATGGCGTTGTGGTTTTTTTTTTGGCTTGTGTGTCGTGTACAGTACCACTTTTTCTTGAGCCTCTTATGTCGATAGTTCTGGGCATTATTATTTATACATCATGATATTCACATCTCCGCTTGATGATCTTTCCAAATGTCCAACTTCTGAGTAGAGGTGAAGCATGAGTATAGTCTGTAAAAAGCCCTTAATACTGTCCGCTGGTAAAAAGCTTCAAAAGTATCGACATCCACGGGCCTCTGATAATTTCATCGCATGTGAAAACGGGCATGTGAGGGCCGATGGCGTCGGGCCTGTAAGAACTCTGTTAAAACTCCAGACAAGGAACCCCCAGCACGGGTACTTGGATTAACTATGGGGCCGCCACTGTAACCACAGGTACCCAGTACAAATGGGCCGAGGTACTTTCCCTGCCGATCCACTCTCCACCCGTCACGATGGAGTTTTGACCGAAAAAGGTTGCCCTCTCCGGATTCCCTTTTCTCAACTCCGGACTCCAGATTCATACCCCCTTCTCTTCCCTCCCCCCCCCCACACTTTTCGTTTCTTCTCTTCTGGTCGCAGTGGACTCGTTCGCTTTGGGAGATCCTCTCTCTCGTCTTCGATCCTTGTCTTTCTTCATTGCCTTTATCTAATCTACTTGGTATGTGTTGAATTTGACATGTCCTCAGCTTTGCCGCCGCATCCGAGCATGTGCTGACGCTCCAGCTGCTTCCCACCTAGATAGACACATCATGTTCTTCTCACAACCGCCACACCTCGCCAAGGCGGAGGAGCTGAAGCAGGCTCCCCCAAAGGGCACCCCGTATGCCGTGGCCATCCCCGGGACTGAGCAGCCTGGCCGCACTCGAGTATACCGGGCATGGAATGCGCAGAAGGAGCTGTTGACCACGTTGGATCCCCAGGTATGTGGGAACGTCGATCGCGACAATCAGGACAACGTGTAGGATGGACATGGGCTAACCCAAAGCTGCATGGATAGGTGATCACCGCGCATGACATGTTCGAGTCCTCGGCCAACCGCCACCCCAACAGCGACTGCGTCGGCTGGCGCCCATTCAACCCAGTCACCAAGACCTTTGATGGCTATCAGTGGCTCACATACGGGCAGGTCCAGAAGCGCCGCGCTGCATTCGGTGCTGGTCTGGTTGAGCTGCACAACAAGCACGGATGTCACCGTCCTGGCCAGTATGGTATTGGTCTCTGGTGCCAGAACCGCCCGGAGTGGCAGATCACTGGTATGTAATCTGCTGTGATAACCATTGCAATACTGTGGGTCAGGCCATGCTAATACCTTCATTTCCTAGATCTGGCCTGCATCTCCCAGGGTCTCTACTCAGTCTCCATCTACGATGTGCTCGCCCCAGACGCGACCGAGTATATCATTAACCACGCCGAGCTGAACTGTGTTGTTACCTCTCTCCCGCATATCCCTACCCTTCTAAAGCTCAAGAATGCCCTGCCCAACCTCAAGATGATTGTCAGTCTTGACCCTCTCGATGCGGGTGAGCAGGATGGTCACTCCAAGCGTGCCCTGTTAGAGTCGATGGCCGCTGGCCAGGACTTGTCGATTTATACTATTGATCAGGTCGAGGCTTTGGGAGAGGCTTCGAAGCGTGGATACAATCCTCCTTCTCCTTCGGACATTGTCACCATCAACTATACCTCTGGCACTACTGGCCCTCCCAAGGGTGTCGTTCTGACCCACAAGAACGCCGTGGCTGCTTCCTCTGCCGGTTTCGTCACCCTCGGCCAGTCCAACAATGACACCATATGCTCTTACCTTCCTCTTGCTCATATTTACGCCCGTCTTTCCGAGCACATTGCCTTCTGGGGTGGCGCTCGGATTGGCTACTTCCACGGCAACATTGTGGAGCTGGTCGATGATCTGAAGCTGCTGAGGCCCACTGGCTTCATATCCGTGCCCCGTCTGTACAACCGCTTCGGTACTGCGGTGCGAGCTGCCACCGTCGAGGCTCCTGGCTTCAAGGGTGCCCTGTCGCGTCACATCGTTGCCGCCAAGACGGCCAACCTGAAGAACCCCGACCCCTCCAAGGCCACCGGCAAGCATGCCATCTACGACCGTATCTGGGCCAAGAAGGTCGCCGCCGCTCTCGGTCTCGAGCGTTCCCGCTACATGATCTCCGGCTCTGCTCCTCTTGACCCTACCCTGCACAACTTCCTGCGTATTGCCACTGGTGCCGATGTCCTGCAGGGCTACGGTCTGACCGAGTCGTATGCCTGCGGTACCGCCCAGTCTACTGATGATCTCACCGCTGGTAACTGCGGTAGCCTCGCCTCCTGCACGGAAGTCTGCCTCGTCTCCCTGCCTGATATGGAGTACTCGGTTGATGACAAGCCCTACCCCCGTGGTGAGCTGCTCATGCGTGGTAACAACATGTTCAGCGAGTACTTCAAGAATCCCGAGGAGACCTCCAAGGCCATGACCGAGGACGGGTGGTTCCGCACTGGCGATGTGTGCCAGATCGACGAGATGGGCCGCATCATCATCATCGACCGCCGCAAGAACGTGCTCAAGCTCGCACAGGGCGAGTACATCTCGCCCGAGCGCCTGGAGGGTGTGTTCATGTCCGAGCTGGGCTATCTGGCCCAGGCGTACGTGCACGGTGACAGCATGCAGACCTTCCTGGTGGGTATCTTCGGTGTTGCGCCCGACCTGTTCGCTCCGTTCGCCAGCAAGGTTCTAGGCCGTCCTATCGGCGCGACCGACTTGGATGCGATCAAGGAGGCGCTGTCGGATGACAAGATCCGCCGCGCTGTGCTGCGTGATCTTGAGCGTGTCGCTAAGAAGCATAAGCTCGCTGGCTATGAGCGCGTGCGCAACGTCTCTTTGAAGTTGGAGCCGTTCACTGTCGAGAACAACCTGCTTACCCCGACGTGAGTTTACCTTCCCCCGACTATCACTCATGTTCTTGTAACAACATTTACTAACCCTCTTCTTCCCCTCCAGTCTCAAACTCAAGCGCCCCCCTACCGTCAAGGTCTTCCGCCAGCTCTTGGACAAGCTGTACGAACAGGCTCTGGAGGAGCAGTCTGCGCCGCGCGCCAAGCTGTAGTTACTCATCTCGAACATACCGACTGCATCGCCGCGAGAACCCTCTCTCTATTCCCTTTTCTTGCCATGTTGTTATTTGTATTTGCCCGACCGTCTTTTTCGCCTTGTCGTGCTTGACTTTGCGTCTGATTGGGGACTTTTTTGTACATAGACCGTCTGCACCGGGTCTAAGGCTGGTGGTGAAGCCGAGGGATTCGTGCTTTTTGTAGTATATTGAATCAAGCATTGATCATGAGTGTTGAATTCTAATAAGACCCGGATATTTGATTGTAGATGGCGGTTGTTGTTTTCCCTGTGGCTAAATTGGAGCCCTTGACAAAATATACTGATGCTGAGGGAGGAAGGTATATTGTAATGAAAATTTCGAATGTGATCCTTGTCCATTACACTGCCTCAATAGAGTATTAACAGTAGATTATAACCGCTATCGTTCGAGGTTAGGTTAGTATGTACCCCAGAGTTTCGCAGGCACTCCGATTCCACATACATACACAACAACACCATCGTTGTACTGTATCTGCGTAACCCTATCCACATGATTGGCTCCCAGAACCATAAAAAATCTTTCCCGCTCGTCATGTGCCATCGCCACTGCACCCAGCCAGTCCCCCTAAAAAAGAAAAGACTAAAAAAAAGAAGAAGGTATTGATAAGAGTGAGATTCGAACTCACGCCCCGTAAACGAGATCAGGAATTTATGCTAAGGTGGACCTTAACCTGACGCCTTAGACCAACTCGGCCATCTTACCAATTGATGTTGGGTGGTGGGGTGGATTGGAATATGGGCCATGTTGGTGGGGCTAATGGGTAGGGGTTTAAGGTGGGAAAAGATACCCAGGAGGTTTTTGTTGGGTTTTCTAGGGGTGTGTGCTTTTGGGGATAATGAGATGGAAATGGTATTGTGAGTATTTGGTGTCTTCTGCCAGGATGGGCATTTGAAAATATGTTTGTCGTAAACTTATGTGGATTTTTAGAGTTGGGTTGTGAATATATTTCAGTTGAACTTGGGTTAATGACTGCACCACTGATGGTACTAGATTATTCACCAAATGCATTATAGTCGTACTATCGGTAGAATGCATCCCCCTCAGAGCACATTGATTCCCTTGGAATAAAAAAAAAAAAAAAAAAAACCATTAATAGGCATGTACCATCATATGGATAGAAGCAAAAAGATAATGCTTTGACAAGAGTGGGATTCGAACCCACGCCCCTTTCGAGACACGGAAGTTTGGATCAGGTAAACCTGAACCGTGCGCCATAGACCAACTCGGCCATCTTGCCTTGCTTGATGGAATGTCGCTGAAACTTTGGATTAGTGAAGCTGTAGGTGCCTCCAGCCTGATAGAGTCGCGATTATCGGTATTATCGAGCTAGTGGATAAAGCTTCTTGGGTAACAAGGGTAAGAATGGAACCTAACTATATATAGCAGTTATGTTCTGACCGAGATATAAGATATTCTGCCAGGAATACCCCGCTAGCCTGGGAAATGCAGGCGAAGGGCAAACTGTAGCCCCAGTATGTTGTACTCCTTCCGCCCCACCCAAGGGATATGCTTGGGTATACAACTACAATGGCTCTTTTTGCTTGAAAAGGTAGCCAACCAAATTCAATCTGCTAGCATGCAAATGAATAGAGTGAGAAACACAGCCGTTGCCAGTTAGATATAGACTTTATCTTTAACGTATCAACTCTATGACACTATCATCTTAGGTCAGCGCTGGAACCCTGGTCACTGGTCAAGCTTCCGCACCGCGTGATGTGATGGCTTACATACGCAACAAGACATGAACCACCCCGCGATAGCCCGCCGAAAGATATCCCTGGTCAACTTCATCTTCTCCAACTTCCCTCAAATGTCTCGACAATGCGGCCAGTTCCTGACGTGCCAGCCTTCTCCCGCAAACCCTCTGCGGACCCTCTCTCCTCGTGCTCCTCGTTAGATCCCCGCACTGCTGCCCCCGCAACCTTCTTCCTATCCCGCAGCCCGCATGCCTCCGATACAGAACGCAGCCCCTCGCCAGATGCATCCGGAGACCCCAAAGAAAGCATGTACGGTGTGCACAGTCTAGCAGAGACACTTGCTCGATCAGAGCTTAGAGACAGTTCACCCCGAGACTTCCCCGCAGAAAATCAACGGACACGAAGCTCGTCGCCAGGATCGGACAATATGCGAGATACACGGTGCTCACGACGACGGTCTACAATCAGACCGTTCGAGTCTGATGATACTCGGGATACATCTTTACAGGCCCCTGCCTCGGATACGGTCTCTCGCCCGCTGACTCCATTTCATCCCGACGATCCATCGTCGCTGCCCAGCAGCCCAAAGTCCATTTCCAATCAGTCTCTCCGACCGTTAGACGACATCTCGATCACCGATGAAATCAATAGCCAGGCGATTGGGTCGGGGGATGAGGAAGAGCGACCCCGGCCCTCGCCGCGGCTAGGGTTCGCTGGAGCTTCGCAGTTGATCATGCCCAGCATCAAGATGCCAAGTCGACGGCCATTTACAGAGCGGGGAAAGGCAATGGGTAGATTCAAGATGCTTGTGGCTGGAGCACCAGGTAAGTTTCTCCTTGTAAAACTACACGTGTCAGGGAGTTTCCACACCCTCTAACGCATGCTCCAAATCACACAGGCACCGGCAAAACCTCCTTAATCAAAGCCATTGTCCAGACGTGCGAAGATATCGTGCATGTTGATTCTATCGACTCGCTCTCCGTGACTGCACTAGAGCGGCGCCGTTTCTTGCGACCCCACTCCGGGTCCACCCCCACTCGCGGGATGCCCACCACTACTACGGAGATCTACGCTAGCACCAAGCCGTATCCTTCGTGGTGGTCGGACTTGGAGGACTCGCGTGTGCTTCGACGGCGCAAAAGTATAGGCGAAATTGTGCTGGAGCGGAACTTGTGCTTTGTGGATACACCGGCTACCTCGTTGAGTCGTGCAGGGCAGACCGATTCTATTGTGCAGTATATGCGACAGCAATTACAGCGGGCGACAGCAGCGGTTACAGGATCAGGTGTAGATTTTCAAAATTTGCTTGCTGGAAACGGTGGGACCCAGGTGGATGCTATTTTATACTTGATCTCTCATGGTGAGTGGTTAATATACTGAGTTGGCGGCATGGCCTGAACACTAACAAATTGCAGATACACTATCTACGGACGTTGAATGCATTCGCAAGCTCTGCGAGCTAAGCAATGTCATCCCACTCATCGCCAAAGCAGACACCCTCTCCCCCGAGAATCTCACATATCTTAAAGACCGATTCCATCAAGAGGCCCAAGACGCCGGCATTAAGCCCTTTATGTTCGGCGACTCGCTCGCCGGGGGATTCGATGATCAAACCTCCCAATCTCCATATGCCGTGTCATCCGAGAAAACCACAGATCTGGAAGTCATGGACGCTAGTACCCTCATGAGCCCAGACTACGAACAGCCTCTTACTCCATCCGAGCTGGACATCCTCGTACAGAAACTATTCGACCGGGATAATCTCGCCTGGCTGCGCCATTCAGCCGCCAAGAAGCTCGTTCAAAAATGCGGTGACCTGCCCACTATGTCATCACCAGCCGGCCCAGCTCCGAATGTACTTTCCGGTACCACCTCTCCGGGAATAGGATGGAGAAGTGCGTCAGGGGTGTCTATGAGCTCGTCCATTTCTTCCCTCGGCGAGTCACCACCAAGCTATACCATAGCCCGCCTGGCAGACTACACACGACACGAAGAGCGCATGGCCCAGGTACGACTCGCACAATGGGCGACGGACCTACAACGCAGCCTCCAGAACGAACGGGAGCGATACGCGGCGCTGGCACGAGGCGACCGCGCTATCTGGCTAACGGAACGACTGAGCGAGTGCGTAGTCGATGGGTCGTTAGTGCCCATCTCGCAGACGCCCGGTTTCTGCGGGCTGCACATTCCAGCCAGCGACAAGAGTGGCGGCGGTTTGGACGTGATGAAGGAATACCGTGTTGCTGGATTGAGTCCGCATGACCCGCTGGGAGTGGTTGGGTGGATCGACGATATCGGACGACGCGGCTGGATTATTGTCCAGATTGTGGGGAGTGTTGGGGTGGTTGGTGGGTTGGCATTGTGGGTGGCTCGGTCTTGGGGACTTTCAACGCGAAGTCTTTCGGACTTGCAGTTCGATCACTGGTGTGGGAGTATTGAGCAGTGATTTTCTTCATCTCACGGAATGATATGATATCTACGAGATCGAGGACGGTCATGAGGAAATGATTTCATGCACAATGCACCGGTTTGGCTTATTGAGGAGGAAGGTGGAAGAAGAAAAGCATACTGGCTGGTTAGTGTTTCTTTTCCTCTCTGGTGACCATTCCCTTATGGTTTTCCTCATCTGGCTTTTTATCCTGGTGTTTCTGATTCTGGACGTTTGGTGGTTGGCGCTGGATTACACTTTGCTTCTTCTTCTTCTTCTTCTTCTTCTTCTCCTTAGGGATTGATAGGGCTAGACCATACAGTGTAGTCCAATAAAACCATATCTTCAAAAAAACATACCACAACCTTATAACAACAAAAATGTCATATCCAGCATTATCAACTAGTTATATCCGCATAAACCCCCTCCCCTCCACCATCGCCATCAACCACACCCTCAATTGTCCAACTCCTCAAACCTCCTTAAATCCATCTCCCCCTCCAACAACGGAATAACATACGGATCAAAGGTCTTCCAATAAGGGTTATTCAGATGATACTCCTGCGACGACTCGTGGAGGTAGCGCTCGACGATGGTGAAATCCTGTTCATCGTGGACGGACTGCATGACGAACCAGGAGAGCGTTTCTTTGTCTTTGGAGTAGATGGCGGATGCTTCGAGGAGTTTGGCATGGAGTTTGGAGATGGATTCTGAGTCGGGTTTGGCGCGGAGGTCTACACAAGGAGGAGGGTAGGTTAGGTACTGCGAAGGTGTGGTTTGGGTTGAGGGTAGTAGGAGCAGGAGGGGAGGGGAGTAACCACGTACGAACGACAATTGTGTAGACCATTTTGACTAGAATGGTTGTCTATTGACAGGTATACGTGTATGTATTTGATGTGGCTTGAGTCAAGGTTGTTAGACTGAATTTGAAATGTGATGAATTGGAGGAGGGAGGTTGAAGAGCCGCAGGTGGGGTGGATATGTCGGTGAACCTACCCCGCCGATGGGCGGGGTAGGTAACGTGCAGTACACTTCACAGCCCTTCACAATTAATCCTGACATAAAATATCATTATAGGATTAGAATATCCACTCAAAGTTTGCAATCCCTCGCCCCTTGAACCCGAACCCGAAATCCTCTCGGTGAGTCTGGAGTGGAGCTGGTAAATCGCCGAGTGTAGTCCCGAGGTGAAGCCGACAGTACGGGGCGATTTGTGGATCTTGGAATTTTGAAGAAGGATGTGATACTGGGTTACATATTGGGTTAGTTACTACAGCACTGGAGGTACAAGGAATGAAAAAGATTGATATTCAATTGTGGAACGTGTTGGTGGGATGGAAATGAATATCAAGAACGAGTAATCGATCGTTTGTTGATCTAGGTATCCTATCCCGGTAGGAATCATCCTCTAAGAAGAACATGCTTGTTTTCGATGATACATACATATACACGCATGACTTGAACTGCTATACAAGGATAAATTGCAACTACTGGATAACGACAAGATCCACAGTACGCAAGAACATAGTATAGCGATATCCCAAGGATACGGAATCAACTCTAATTATATAGTAGATTCTAGTTCAGTCCATTCCCAGATTATAGTCACCACCTAAGGTCTATCTACTACTGTAACAAGTAAACAGTTATATAAACCTAGGAAGGTACCTTTATCAAAGAGTCCGTTAAATCCTACGTGGAGGCTTTTTTGTTCCTGAGGGTCTTAATCCAGATTCTCATCAGCATTTTTCATACATAACACGGGACGTGCATCAGATTCAAATCTAACTACAACCCAGTTCAGTACAAGTCGACCAAAACTCCATAAACAATACTAATTAATCCTCATCTACAGAAGCGGGGGAAAAAGTCAAGTGTGTAAATCATCGATCTTGATTTAAAGAACAATAAAATAAAAACATCAAGGGTCATAATCCCGTTTCCCATTTCCCGTAAGAACTTTGAAAAAATAAGCGCGCATACAAGGGCCCAGCAAGAAAGCAGATTTTGAGAAAACAACAAAGCCCCATCTTTAGCTAATCCAGTTTAAAAAAGAGCCTCAGAAAGAGATTTGCGACTGCTGGACACCTATAGAAGGAAGTATGAACTGATTTAGTCAACCTCCTCCATGGCAGACTCGCCGGTGGCCTCGGCAGGGGCGGCAGCCTCGGTGGCCTTCTCGTCGACGGTCTCGGCATCCTCGTCGATGTTCAGGCCGAGGGAGACGAGCTTGTGGATGCGCTCAGCGAAGCTGGCGGGCTCCTCGATGGTGAAGCCGGAAACCAGCAGGGAGGTCTCGAAGAGGAGCTGGGTGATGGACTTGACGGTGCGGTCGTTCTCGCCGTCAGCCTCGACCTTGTTCTTGAGCTCCTTGATGATGCTGGACTTGGGGGAGATCTCAAAGGTCTTCTTGGAGGACATGTAAGAAGACATGGAGGTGTCACGGAGAGCCTGGGCCTTCATGATACGCTCCATGTTGGCGGACCAACCGAACTGGCCGGTACGGATGGCGCAGGGAGCACCCATGAGCTTGTGGGAGACAACAACCTTCTCGACCTTGTCGCCGAGGATGTTCTTGAGGGCCTTGGCGAGGTCCTCGTACTCCTTCTCCTCCTTCTCACGCTCGGCCTTCTCCTCGTCGGTCTCCTCGAGCTCAAAGTCCTTGGTGATGTCGACGAGCTTCTTGCCGTCGAACTCCTTCAGCTGAGTGAAGGCGTACTCATCAATGGGGTCAACCAGGAACAGAACCTCAAAGTTCTTCTGCTTGAGGGTGTCCAGGAAGGGAGACTTGGCGACGGCCTTGATGGACTCGCCAGTGATGTAGTAGATGTTCTTCTGGTGCTCGGGCATGCGAGTAACGTAGTCGGTGAGGGAGGTGGACTCGTCACCAGACTTGGTGGACTGGTAGCGGAGGAGCTTGGCCAGAGCGGGGCGGTTCTGGGCGTCCTCGTGGATACCGAGCTTGATGTTCTTGCTGAAGGCAGAGTAGAACTTCTCGAACTGCTCACGGTCCTCAGCGATCTCCTGGAAGAGCTCAAGGGTCTTCTTGACGATGTTCTTCTTGATGACCTTCATGATCTTGTTCTGCTGGAGGGTCTCACGAGACAGGTTGAGGGGCAGGTCCTCGGAGTCGACAACACCCTTGACGAAGCTGAGCCACTCGGGGATGAGGTCGGTAGCATCGTCGGTGATGAAGACACGGCGAACGTAGAGCTTGATGTTGTTCTTGGTCTTCTTGGTCTCGAACAGGTCGAAGGGAGCACGCTTGGGGACGAAGAGGATGGCACGGAACTCGAGCTGACCCTCGACGGAGAAGTGCTTGACACCGAGGTGGTCCTCCCAGTCGTTGGAGAGCGACTTGTAGAAGGAGGCGTACTCCTCCTGGGTGATATCGGCGGGGTTGCGAGTCCAGATGGGCTTGGTCTTGTTGAGCTCCTCCTCCTCGATCTTGGACTCCTTGATGGTCTTGGTCTTCTTCTCCTTCTTCTCCTCCTCCTCATCGTCGACCTCCTCGACCTTGGGCTTCTTCTCGTCACCCTCCTCCTCCTCCTTGGTCTCCTCAGCATCCTCATCGGGGACCTCCTTCTCGGTCTCCTTCAGGACGTGGAGGTAGATGGGGTAGGAGATGAACTCGGAGTGCTTGCGGACAACCTCCTTGATGCGGGCCTCGTTGAGGTAGTCCATCTGCTCATCCTTCAGGTGGAGGATGATCTTGGAACCGCGGCCGAGCTGCTCGCCCTCGGTGTCCTGGGTCAGGGTGAAGGTACCGCCAGCAGCGGACTCCCAGATGTACTGCTCGTCATCATTGTGCTTGGAGACGACGGTAACCTTGTCGGCAACCAGGTAGGCAGAGTAGAAACCGACACCGAACTGACCGATCATGGAGATGTCCGCACCGGCGGACAGGGCCTCCATGAACTGCTTGGTGCCGGAGCGGGCAATTGTACCAAGGTTGTTGATCAGGTCCTAAAAACAAAGAAAAAAAAACACGGTTAGCCCCAGGATTCGTCGACTTTGTCGGAATAGTGGCTTCAAAAATGGAATCAACTTACAGCCTTGGTCATACCAATACCGGTATCCCGGATGGTCAGGGTCTTGTTCTCCTTGTCAGGGATGATGTCAATGCGGAGGTCCTTGTGGGAGTCCAGCTTGGAGGGGTCCGAGAGGGACTCATAGCGGATCTTGTCCAGCGCATCGGAGGCGTTGGAAATCAGCTCACGAAGGAAGATCTCCTTGTTGGAGTAGACAGTGTTGATAATCAGCGAGAGCAGCTGAGAGATCTCAGCCTGGAACTCGAAAGTCTCGGGCATTGTGGCGGGTGGGTATTCTGCAGTGGGGGGCGGAGCCGGTTAGAGAGATGGAGGAGGAATTTGGCAGAGAGAGAAGAGAAATCGATGAGTGTAGTGGAAGTGGAAGAGGAAGAGGGGGGGGAGAGATGAGGACTTGAAATCTTCAGGGTGGGAATACTCTCAAGGTGAGAAGATCCTCCAGAGAGCACAAGGTGGGGAGTGGATCAGAGGAGACGGAGTAGCAGGTCAAAGTGGGAGAGAGCAACGGGAATGGTGATGGGAGATACGCTGTTGGAGAGTTGGGGGGAAAAGGGAAGAGATTTAAATACGTACAGAGAAATTGGGGAGGAGGGAGATGTGAAGAAGAGAAAGAACTGCCAGCAAGAGACGCAGATCTTATGGGGAGAAGAGGAGGTGAAGAAAGAGCCTTGTGTTTCCAAAAAATTCTGGTGGGTTCAGCCATTCGGCGGGTGCTTCTACGGTGATCCAGCAACTTCCACGGGCCTCCCCCAGCAACGACACCGCCTAAGACTCGTCACTGGTTTGGTATTTTGTATGACCAGGTCCGAGTTGGCAATTTCACTGCTCAAAATGACTGGTCTATTTTCCCAGAGATTCTGACGTTCATTGCTTTTCTCAGTATGATTTCCTGGGACAGACTACTCCTGCCCTGACTGTGCTCTCTCTCCCTCTCTCTCTCTCTCTCCTGTGATACCCATGAGGCTTGGATCCACTGTCTGCCTGAGGAGTCAGGCACCGGAAAAATCTAGAACCTTCGCCCCCGTCGGATTTGCCCCAGTCTCTCCAGGGTGACTGAATACATCCTGTAGTGTCTATACATAATTTAAGAAGATCTAAACTAGAACAATGAATGTTAACGGACACCATTGAACCCTTTGGAGGTACTGTACTGTACTATTCCCACAATACACGCCATGGATGTTCTACGCAACGAGACCGCTACCCAGCAACCGGCCTCGTATCAGGTCACACAACACAAGAGAGTTTCTGTCAGGGGCAATTTGGTACAACCATCTGATATTGCACCTACTCCAGTAACTATGGCAAAACACTCAGATACCCAGATCCCCAGATCCCTAGACAAGTGCCAAGTTCCAACACCCAGACGATCCCATTTACAAGGCCCATCTCCTAGCAAAATACACATCCAACCCTATCCAATCCACGCAGGGAAAGCGAAAGGGAACAAAAAGGATACAAGATCGAGAATCATAAAAGGAAACAAGAAATAAAGAGACCGGATGGGTGCAACACCGCAAAACCCTCAACTTGCTATGCTAGATAAACGATGCGATATAGAGTCGTCGTGGTGGAAACGAAAACGGGCAAACAGATCAAAGGAACACGAATGAAGAGAAAAAAGATCATTGGAGAATATAGGGCATAGAAATCGTGAGACTGGAGAACCACGAAAGCCAGACCACCATCACCACCACCAAAGAAAACTCAAAAAAGATATGGTTAAAATAGAGGAGTCGTCGGGAGTTCAAAGCCCACAACAAAGGACGAAAATGGCAAAACCGCAATAAAAAGATCAAAGACAAAGTGCCCAGAGAGGGAAGGGAAAGAAAGACACAACTTTTCCAGCCAACCCGGACCCAACCGCTAATATGCACTGTGACAGGAGACACGAAGAAAAAGGGGTGGTGGAGGGGGGAGTCACATAACACATGTCATTATGAGAGGGACAAGGAAAAAAAGACCAAAAAGTGGATAACGGGTAGAGACCAAAAAAAGGAGAAAAGAATTATCAAAAATCCGGAGTAATACAAATTTCTGGAAGATGCATCCATCGAAAGTGTACGTAGAGTGTCGGAGACGTATCGAGGTGCTCGAAAGAAAAGAAGATTCGAGCTCGGAGCTCGGAGCTGGACGCTAGAGCTCGAGTGGAACCTCGCCTCGTTGACCAAGTTCAGGCATGGGATTTTACCACATTCACCTCAAGCAAAATTCAAGTGTAAATCGGCGAATAGAGCTTAAGCGGCCGGGGCACCGGTGCGGCCCTTGGCAGGCGCATTTCCGCCGCGACCACGAGCGAAGCCACCACGGCCATCACGCTGGAAACCACCGCGGCCACCGCGGCCACGACCAGCAGGGTACCCGTTGCCGAAGTTGTTGGGGCGAGGGCGGCGCTCCTCGAGGATGATCTGCTCAGTGCCAATCTGATGGGGGTTGGCAGCGACGGCGGCAGCATAAGCGGAAGGCTCGGCGAACTCGACAAAGGCAGAGTTCTAGAAAGATATACGTTAGATATCAATCTATAGTAGAGAGACAGGGGATCAGGTTAAATATGGGAAAACAAACCTTAGGGCGGTTGACATCAAAGTACTTCAGCTTTCCGAAGCGGGTAAGAGTCTGCTTCAACAGACCAGCGTCCACCTTCTCATTAATGTTCTTCATATAACCAAGGACAACCTGGTCCTCGCCAGCGCGAGACTGGGTCTTTTTGTGGTCAGCACCGGCAGTTTGCCAGCCAGCACTGTCAGCAGAGGCAGCATCCTTCTCAGCAGCGGGAGTTGGAGTAACAGCAGCACGAGGAGTCGTGGCAGCCGAGTCAGTAGCGGGAGCGGGGGCAGCCTTGGGGGCGGCAGCAGCAGCAGCAGGAGTGGGAGCGGGAGCCGCAGCAGTAGCAGCAGGGACAGCCGGGGCGGCAGCGGCAGCAGCAGCAGCAGCAGCCTTGGCAGCACCGACCTTGGAGGCAATGCTAGCCCAGGTCTTGGGGACGGCCGGGACAGGGGCGGCGGGAGCAGCAGCGGGAGCGGCCGGGGCAGCAGTCTCCTTAGCGGGGACCTCCTTCTGCTCAGGAGCAGGGGAAGGCTCCGCGGTCTGAGGCTTCTCTTCCTTCAGAGCCTCGGGCTCGACAACGGGGACGGGGGCCTCCTCAGGCTCCTCGGCGGGGGTACCATTGGTCTTGGGGGCAACCTTCTCGGGCTGCTCGCCCTCGCCGCTGACCTCCTCCAGCTTCTCGTCAGCCTTGGAAGCAGCGGCCTCATCAGTGACCTGGGCTTCCTCGGAAGTAGCGGCAGTCTCGGTGGTCTGGGGAGCCTCGGAGACGGCGGGGGTGATCTCCTCCGTAACGGCCTCATCCTCCTCGACTTCCTCAACGAGGTAGCGGAAGATGTCGTTGAGAACGTAGTAGCCGTTGGGCTGCTCAGCCAGAACGAAAGTCTGAACGAACTTGCGAGAGGGCTCAGACTTGTTGGAGATCTCACCAATGACGGAGACCAGGATGTTGTCAAAGGAGGCCTGGGAGTCGACGTTCAGGACACGAACCTTGCAGTCCTGGAAGTCGAGGGCCTTGATCTTGTCGTTGATAGCCTAGTGCAGAAGAAATTTCCGTCAGAATTGGACATTGCACACAGCGCCATCCACATAGATTGTGAATGCTAGGCGGAAAGTCTTTACTCACCTTGGTACCGATAGCAACGGGCACGGACGCGGCCTCGGTGCCAAAGACAAGCTGGGACCGCTTGGAGTAGAAGAGGTGCAGCTTGTCCGGGTTACGGCTCATAGTGGTATAGTACTGCTCGACAAAGAACCAGCCGACCTCGTCCTTGGTGATCTCATTCTTCTGCTGTTCGGCGCTGGGAGTGGCGCTGGTAGGAGTGGAGGACTGAGCCGGTTGGAAGTTGGCCGCGGTGTTCATGGCCGCGTGGGCGGGGTTGAAGGAATCGGGGAAGCCATGCTGGGCAGCGTAGTTGCCGTTAATGGGGACCTGGGTCATATCGGCCATTTTTGAGATCGAGAGGAGAGCGGACGGGATCGAAAATTAATGTGGCCGCGAAGTTGAGTGGGGATCGACGATGGGACAGCCAAGCGGAGCTATCTGAACGAAGCTTCTAGCAACGGGATTGGAAGCTGTGAATAAGAGATCTAAATGAGATTCTGTGGCTTTTTGGTTTTCTTCCGCTCGCTTAACCTAGAGGTCGAGTTAGTCTTGATATCTTAGCACTGTCTTGGGGGCTCGGTTTTGCACCACGATCCCGGCAGCCAATGGGCCAAGTGAGGTGGAGTGGGCAAGGCGGCGCACTTACAATGCGAAATGGACTGAGCACCAATGCAATCAATTGAAAGGCGCGAAAGGAAAGGAAGAAAGGAAGAAAGTGGGGAAGGAAAAGGAAAAACGAGGACACTCTTCGATGATGCGGAGAGTGATGCGGGAAGTATAGGTTTGAGAGCGATGAGAGAAGAGAGAAAATTGAGTCTTGTGCGGGATGGACCGGGAAGAGAGGAGACGGGTAGCAGGGGGCGAAGTTGAGAGGATAGTGAGGATGGATGGTTGTGCGTCTGAACTGGGGATGAGAGAAGCAGAAGAGAGGAGGAGGAAAAGAAGAAGAAGAGACCGAAACGAAGCTGTTTTGGGGGGGGAATTCGCCTGCGAGGAAAAAGCGACTGGCTTTGGAGAAGACTCCGTGCGGGTTTCGCGTGGGCTTGGCACGGGGCTCACCGCTCGGCAGAAAAGAGAGTATCAAAAGGACAGGATTTGATGAGATCGATGATGAGGAGTGAAGAGTGAAGTGAAGTACGAAATGCCAACTTACAAGGAGGATGGACAAGAGACAGTTGATAGTCTTGTCAGTTGCGCTGAGAACTCAGAGGAGTTGACGAGGAGAAGAGTTTGGAGGGAGTGAAATCTCATCAACGTTGATATTCCCGATTGGGTCACGCCAACCATTTCGGACAATCGTGTTTGCCCTCAGGCCATCGCAACTGCCAGTGGCCAGGCAATCAGATCGCCCTCCAATCTCTAGACCATGATATACAATACGCAAAGCAAATTCTTGCACCAGCCAAAAATCTAACACGAGGTAGCTTTCATGATATATTCCAAGATATATGGAGGAGACCAAAAAAGGAAACCAACACACAAAGCCAGAGGATTCAGGGTAGACGAGATATACTAGACAAAATGGAAAAAAAAAAAAACCAGACAAGTCATGCAAATATCATAGCAGATTTAGAAAACGCCAAGGAGGAATATCAATGTAGGAAAGGGGGTATGATGGATGATATGGTATCGGACGTGAGAGGGTTCGACAGTGAGAAAAGAGACGAGCAAGCGATCGTAAACAGTTCCCTTACAGGGACGGACTTCACCGGGGAGGAAATGGAAGAATATAGAGTAGGTGGACTGAAGAAAACGAGACCAACATCGGCCGTCACCAACATCGGCCGTCGCATATGTATGGGATCAACCACAGTGCGCAGCGAGAAGAATCAGCCGTTCCCTTGCCTCAGTCGATTACGAAGTAGTCGCAGCGGCAGCGGCCTTCTCGCTCAGGACTGGCTTGCGCATGACGGCATCCTGACTAGTCATCCTTCGTCCCAGTGCGCGCTCCACCTTGGCCCCAAGAGCCAACTTGTTCAGGTTGTCGCTCTTCTCTGCAGTAGGGACAAAGCGCTGGGCCTGCAGGGGCTTGTTATCCAAGCGCTCCAGGCCATCGCCGAAGTGAGTGATGTCGGCGACTCTAGGGTCTCCGCTGGGTAGGCTGCCGATGGTGCGTTCGGAGTTGGCGAGCGAGGGGCTGCCGCTAATGGTGGAGAAGCGCTTGGAGTTGCGGTTCTACAGTGAATCCAGTCAGCATCAAGGTTTATTTAGGTGTAGTCAGTTTTGCGACGAAAGGGGAAATCAGGTAGAAGACAGTGCTCGAGAGGGGGTAAAGGGGGCGAAGAAATGCGCACCGAGTTTGACATGATGGGTCGCTCGGAGTCAAGAGACGGATGACGGGTCATGTCTGCGGTAGGAGAAGAAGGAGAGCGCGTGTATTTGAGGTGCTGTGGTCTGGAGGCGGGTCGATGGGAGTTGGGGGGTTTTTTGCCTTGGAAGATGGGCAGGTTAGCAGGGATGATCGTCTCCAGCTGGGCTTAGCCAAGACCGCATTTATCGGCTAAGGGGATCAGCACGTACAACGCGGTCAAGCTGTGGGTCGGGATAGCTCGCTATTGTGACAGGCAAATGGGCAGCAGGAAGAAGGCAGGAGGAAAGCGAGCATGAGAAAGCCGGTACTGAAACACAATGTGCAGCCACAGGCAGGTTCGTCTTTGGATGGAACTCAGACGACTCAGGAGAGCCGAAACGGCGGAAGTGGGTCGCGCTGGGTGGTGGGGAAAGGAGGTCGGAGGAGAAGAAAAAGAAGAAGAAGAAGAAAAGAAAAGAAGAGAAAGCAAATGAAAAGAGGAGGTTCGGAGGAAAGGGATCTACTGGAGCGAGAAGCGGAATGGAGACGATCTTCTGCAGGAAGCAGTGCTGGTTGGATAGTCGGTCTGGAGAGTGACGAGAGGCTGAAGGGGGGCAAAGAGGAGCAGGAAGGATGCGGATGATCGATGAAATGGCATGATATGATCTATATTCTGTATTGCTTTCTATTCCATCGTATATCGAAAACAAAGTAGCTTTCGTACACCTCCAATATGGTCTCTTCTATATCAATTTAATCCGTGATTTCCCTTGGTTGGTATCAGTCGTCCTGGAGTATACGGACCGAGGAAGTATGAAGAGAGTCTTACAGAGTGGATTTTGCCACGTGGGATCAGCCAGGATGGAGGTGCAAATCTGAAGCCGACCGGCGAGTTTAATTGACTGCAGTAGAATGATCGATTTGTACCTGGTAGTCAATACAAGTTCCAGCTAGAGGAGGCATAAATGATTCATAACGTGGATGACTCTATACCCCAGGCATCGATGAGTCCTGCTGAACTTTCGGTACCATCATCAATAAGGATAATAACATCTATCCAAGCAATACTACCAGTAAAATCCAAAATTGAGCCAAGTCTCGCCACACCCGAAGCTACATCACACTCACAGCAGAGTACTCTCGGTACAGCAGTAGCACTAAGTACGAAAGGAGCGGGGGGAATGATGTACCCCCAAACTTAACGTTTTCCACGAGCAGCTCCAGCCCGAGTCTTGGCAGAAAAGAGAAAAAAGAAAAGCTATCATCATCATCGTCATCGTCCGTGGAGCTACTCATCCAATCTCGTCCCTCTCATTCGCCATTGCCGTGCTCGGACAACAAGACCAAACTCTCTGTTTCCTTCCTTTCACACCTCCAACCAGCCAACCTGAACTTACGGAGTTGTAATTCAGATACACCCCCCCTCACTGATCACCACGACCAAGCGCCAGTGACGCAAAATCAAGATCCAGATTACTCTGCGTATACTACCCCCCACCACCACCACCACCACCACACCACACCATGCCAAGACCAAAGGCTTTTCTCAAAGAATCCAAGTCAAAGAAAAAGAGCGCCGCGAGGCAGGTACATAGCCCACTGCACAAGCTGAAAGCAACGGAAAGCAATGGAAAGCAATTTAAAGACTGACCACATCCGATGTCCGTAGCTGCCCGTAACAGCCGATGACTATCTCGCAGGTTAGCAGCTTATTTCTTAAGTGTCTTCAAGACAGAGACGAAAATATGGTCCAGATCTTTGGCTAACTAGGAGTCCATCCCAGCGGGCGTTGAGCTCGAAGAAGCCGGCGAGAAATGGCGCGCCGGAGACGCGGCCAAGTCGATGCGCTTCTTTATGAAAGCCATTGCCAACTATGATGAAGGGCTGCAGAAACACCCGGCTGCTTTTGACCTGGCCTACAACAAGTACGTCCACGAAAACAAATACAAAGGAAGGTGGAGATTGTGTTTCATTGCAAGCATTATCTCGATTCCTCCTCTAACCAAAGTATATGCATTATTACAATCCTCTTCTCTAACATCACATCCAGAGCCCGCATCCAATACGAAATCACCCAGCACCCCAAACTAGCAGCGCAACTGCCCGCTCCGCAGGCTGAGATCCTGGAAGTAGCGCTGCAGTCGCACCGAGATGCGCTGTACCTGGAACAGGACAATGCCGACGCCTTATTCAACAGCGGCCAGGTGCTGAACAGCCTGGCCGAGGCCCTGATAGACTCAAAGCATCCTAGCGAGGAGCAGCTAGTGCAGGCGAGCACGTACTTGCAGGAAGCGGTTGAGTTGTTCCAGCGGTGTCTAGCGCTGCAGGAAATGAAATTCACCGAGATGGAGGAGCAGCTCATGCAGATGGAGTCTGGGGAGTTGGATTCCCAAGGACCGGAGTCAGAGGCTGTGGCCGCACCAGCAGAGTCGCAGGCAGCTGAGAGCGAGTCTGTGGATAGCGAACCGCAGGAGCAGTGGGCTGCTATTGTTGAGCCGGTGACGAAGAACACGCTGGTCGACTCGGCCGTAGCACAGTTGGACACCTTGACGGCATTGTGCAATTTATTGACGTTCAACCCTGGCGCTGGCGGAGTGGGCTGGGTGCAGGAATATTCCTCCGAGCTGATCGAGACACGACTGCCAGCCTATGTGGAGGGATCAGATAGGCAATATGAAGCGGGATTAGCGCGGGCAAAATTCATCTGCGTGCTACACGACGTCCTCTACCGGGGTGGCCACACCGATGCCCGGACATACCAGCAAGAGCTCGGGCGGGCATTTGGACCCGAGCTTGACGTATCGAATGATCCAGAGGGACTATGCAACAAGGCCGAAGCGCTGACCTCGCTGAATGGGGCTTTCGCAGATGTACCACCGGCCGAGGATGCCGAAACCTTCAAGTTCTGCTGTGATGTGCGATGGCAAGCACTCTCCACCGCGCTGGACGCGTTGACAGCCGCGTCGAAGCTGCCCAGCGCCGACAATTTGCCCAAGATCCATCTCGCACGCGGCGATGCAGAAATGCAGCGCTGGCGACTGGGTAGGACACCCTGGAACCATGCCATGGCGGCGCAAAACGGGGCCACGCTTCTGCGTAATGCGCAGACATACTACCGCGGAGCAGCGGCACTAGCTCATCGAGATGGAGAGGCCGAGGCCGAACGCGATGGATCATTCAAGGAGGCCATTGCTGCTGCGCTGGCGGGCCAGAGAACCAAGCTGGATCAAATCAAGGCGAGCTCCCTGGAGCAGTTGATCACGGTAGCCCAGGACATGGTGGAGGACGGAATGGTGGAAGCCACCGACATGAGCGCCCTGATCTCGTGATCGAACAAGCAGGAACAGAAAAGAGGAATGACAATATAGAAAGAACAAATACCAGCCGTCTCTCATACGTCCGGGCGGGCATTAACCTCCCGGTCCATTTGAACCGCATCCTGACGAATATGATGCTCCTTGCTAAACTCCGTAGCCGCCGTAGCAGCGCCCTCGATATCCGTAACCACAGACTCAAGCTGCGCCAACAGCTTCTCAATCTCCCGCCTCTGCGCCTGCACCGTCTGCGCCAACTCTGCATTCTGCGCATGCGTCTCGTCGAGTTTGCCGTTCAACGTTGCTTGCGCTTCCTGTAGATACGGCGTCAAATGAGCCTTGTAAAGCTGCTCCGCACCAAGGGTATGAGGCCTATACCAGACAACCAACTCGTTAGCCCCGTAAACACTAGAACCCAACTCCAAAGCAAGGAAACAAGACATACGCATTTCCAGACCCCCTCTCTTCCCCATTCCCCTTCCCCTTTTCCTTCCGCACCTTCGCCTCCGCAACTAATCGATCCAACTCATTCAAATGCGCCACTGCCTCTCTCTCTTCCAGAATCTCCTCAAACTCCGCCTTAGCGCTCTCCTCCAACTTCGCATTCAATTGTCTCCACACGCTTTCCAGACTGGCCGGAACATGACGAGCCGGCGTGGGGAAACAGCCCGAGAAATTGGCGTAGGAGTTTGCGCGGAGTGTGCGTGCGAGAGCTTGGTCGAAGACTTGGTGTAGACGTGAGGCGCGGAGACCGGGGGTTTGTGAGGCTTGCGCGGGGTTGTCTGTTGTTGGGGCGGTGGGCGGTGGGTGGGAATTGGGACCTGCCATGGTATTGTGCGCGTGAGATCGGGAAGCTGAAGTGATTTTGGGTTGTGGCGTGGGTCTGTTTTGTACGACGAGAGAGTGTTGTTTATGATTCTGGAATTTGGGAATTCGGGGCCTTTGGGGATATCCTTGATAGTACCGCGTCGCGATTGTCACGTGATGGATATAATGTATGGACCCGCTTTTCTCAACGGCTGGAAGTGTGCAGGCAAAGAGAAATGAACCTTGACAACGCTCTTCATTACGATCCATATGTGAATCATACCTAATGCAGTAATTAAGTAAGTGTTTGTAACCCCTGAGTCCTAAGTCGTATATCCCTCCAAAGCGTCCTAAATGCCGGCCACGAAATCGACACATAAATCAAACTATTCCAAAACCCCTGCAAAGGAAGTACAAAACTCGATGTATAATTCAACCAGAAGGAAAAATCGTTTGGCCGAGCCAGGGCGTACACTCTGTTAACCGTGGAGGGAACCTATCCATGACATAATTAAGGTTAGAGGCAACACTGGCAAATGACCTAAATTGAGTCGATCTTGCGCGAAAAAAAAGATAACATACCCACGTCACAAGTAGCGCGATGAAAAATAGCATCGCGTACTTGGTATAAGCCCACGCAGCCGAGATAGGCTCGTTACTCCCGCGTCGCTGTGAGTGCCTCTCCACGCCTTCAGAACGGCATTTAGAGGAAGAGGTTATCGACATCCTCGGATCTAGCTTCGCCCTCGAAGCGTGAATAGGCGGGAGTTGCTCTTCTGAATTCTGATGCATGCTAATTGGATCCATCATGCCACCCTCGATAGAGACGGAGTACGGAGTGAAGGTTGGCAAGCTGAAGCTACGTACGGGCACGGGCACGGGCACGGGGACATGTACCTCTGGTGCGGCGATAGATCGGCGTTCTGGTCTAGAGCAGGCGATTTCACTGGTCACCTGGATACCGGCGAGATTGACGAGCGGGGCATGGGTGGCGGTCTCCGTATCGAGAGAGTCAATATTGTCCAGTGCGCGGAGTTGTCGTCGTTTTTCATATATGACTGAACCGGCGCGTAGATAGATGGCGAAGGTGAGAGAGATGACGAACCAGACGGGGCCGTAGAAGACGCCGATGCGGAGGATATCCCAGGGTAGAGAGACCCAGCACCATAGCTGTGCGCAGTTAGCAAGGGAAATATGTTGGATAGTGGAAGTACTTGTAGTCCTTACAATTGCCGAGCCGTATACCCTACCACGGGCTTGCGTGTGGATGAAGAAATATATAAAGGCTGGGATAAACGGTAAACCGTAACAGCAAACCAGGTACTTTCTTTCCAGCCGACGCAGCTGGTCCGAGTTATACTGGTGGAAGAAGGTTAAGTAGACGTTGCACGCCATGGCGAAGGTCCACAGGGCATCTGCGGGCATGAACCTATACTAGACGTCAGACGAGGCCATCCAAAGAGAAAGATAATCACCCAAGGCTATAGCACAACACTATCCAAATCCTCACCATTGAATTAAAAAGGCCTGAAACTGGCATAACGGACTACCCACGCCAGCGTGGATTCCCGACTGAGAGATCAGTGTGGCTATATTAGCCATAATATTTCCCCATGAGGCATAAAACACCAAGCGATTAATCGGCTTCCTGAATGACCGCGACACGATGAACGTCGTGACGATCACAAAGGCGCCGACCAGCGAGACGGTTGAACAGACACGTTCTGTGATGGAGATCGCAGCTAGCTGTTCCTGCGAAGGCGGCATGTTGGCTTATCTCGTATATCGTATCTCATTTTTCTTCGTGAACATCATATACAGTTCATGCTATGTGTGATGATGCTATCATGCTATCGTAGGCCGTGGCTGGTGTGAGCAGCATCAAGCTCGAAGAATCTCCGTCCCCCGCCGGTTCGCGCGGATAGTGAAGGATTTGATTAGGAGCGACGTGGTCGATGAAGTAGAGTTTGGGACCGGAGGTTGCTCCTTGGGATTATTAACCAGTGATGACGAGCCGGCAATCTTCCTCGCTGATCCGGAGTGGACGGGTTGGTCCCGTTGATATCCCAAGGGTAGCTGGGTTAACACGACCAATGAGCTTAGTAGTTGAATATCGACCCCACAGGACCGGCCCGAATCGAATAGTGCCGTTGATGATGGGTTCTTCGCAAGGAAGATGCCAGTCAATATGGTTGGTAAATCGAGGACGATGGTAAGGATGAGGACTCGTGATCGAATCATAGCATGAGTGTCCAGTCTTAATACCTTGGGCAATTAGTTAGCGAAGAGGGGAAGAAAACTAGCCAGAAACAAGACAACACGAGACGACTAACACACATCTAGCATTAGCTATATTTTAATTAATCCTCCCATCCTGCCCTATGTTTTATCCAGATCCAATGAATCAGGTTGCACGGTATTAAGCGCCACGACGCTAACACCAAAGCAAGGACACCTCCAAATCCATTGATAATCCCGTAACGAACAGACCAATTCTTTACTCCTCCAGTCCTCAGTCCATGAGCTCTGAAAACCTAGACTATAGAATCATCTGACACTGACACGAGAGATTACGAGATCGAGTCGGGCGATCCTCCACCATGGAAAAGATCCGCGGGGGCCGTACGCGGGGAAGTGGGATGTCTGAATGCACCAATCGCTGGATGGCGGTCATCCGGCACCCAGTCATGTATATCTCTTAGCTTGAGTCTAGATCTGAAGCCGTCCTTCTCCAGGACAGGATATCATTCATGTAAATACGTCATGCCCGGGTTTCTTAATACGAATCTAGTTACAGCTATTTCTCCTACCCGTTATCAAACTACACCTACCCAAGTCTATATAACTCGTCATCTAACAAGCACATTCCAATCGAATACATCAAGAAAATTTTGATACCTCGGCCCTTGAGACAAAAGCCAATGCACATCAATTCCACACAACGGAACAATAATGACAGGAGCAACTCACTCCCTTGTCTTGCAGATAACAACCCAACTATGTGAAACCGAGAGAAAGAACTCAAACAACAGAAAGAACATTCGGGCAAAAGATAAGAGTAATTCAAAGCGCATATGCAAAAAGGTTAGAACGGAAAGAAAAGGAAAACACCCATCATCAAGAAAAAGAACGCCGAATCCTCCCATTTCTCCAGATTTGTCTAAATCGAGGCTCATCATCTCGTTATGCGCAATTTTCAGCAATCGCGGCTCACCAGCTCCAGTATGGCGGAAAAGCTCCCTTCTAGTACGCTGATTGAGGTGGGACCATGCCTCCATATCCGCCGGCCATCTGCTGCTGTTGCTGTTGCTGCTGCAATTGGGCCTGGACCTGGGGGAGATCATGGAACCATGGGTGCTGGAGGGCATCACTGGCGCTAATACGCATCTCCGGACGCAGTTGAAGCATGCGGTTCAGGAGATCCAGACCAAGGGGGTCAATCTGGGGCAGGAGAACACCCAAATCCTGAGTGGCGTACACGTGGAAGGTGGGCTTGTAATCTGGGAGCTGGGAGATTCCGGGCCAGGAGCGCTCCGAGGGTGTTCCCATGAGCCGGAAGATCTTGACCAGTTGGTCTTCGTTGGCGGTACCTGGGAACAGCGGGCGACCCGTGTACATCTCGGCCATGATACAGCCGGCAGACCAGATGTCAATGCTGGTGTTGTAGGTGCGAGAGCCGAGGAGGACGTCCGGGGCGCGGTACCAGAGGGTGACGACTTCGTTGGAGAAAGTGTTGACGGGGATACCGAAGGCGCGGGCCAGACCGAAATCGCCCAGCTTGAGCTGACCCTTCTTGTTGATCAGGAGGTTCTGAGGCTTGAGGTCACGGTGCAGCACGCGGTTCTCGTGGCAGAAGGCAATACCCTTGAGCAGCTGGTGCATGAACGACTTGATGGTGGCTGGGTCCAGTTGGCCCCGGTCTCCGCGGGTATCCATGTACCGCTTCAGATCGCGGTCCATGAACTCGAAGACCAGCATGAGCTTGTTCTCGGTGTGGATCACGTCGTAGAGGGAGACGATGCTCTCGTGCTTGAGCTCCTTCATCAGGGAGATTTCACGGATCGCAGTCGATGGCGTGCCTTCTTCGGAGTCCAGGTGGATCTCCTTCAGCGCAACCATTTCGCCCGTCTGGCGATTGCGTCCCTTGAAGACCTATAATATAATCATCCTGTATTAGCGGTGAACGAACGGAGGCGGGAGGGAAAAGTGGGCGCAAAGCAGCCCGAGAAGGACAGAGAGTCGGAGCGGTGCTGGGAGAGGCAAGAGATGAGGCTGCCAAGAAGGAACGAAGCGACGACGTACAGTTGCATAAGTGCCTTCACCGAGCTGGAAGTAGAAGAGGAACGAGTCAGTATCTCGCGGTCAACTCAGGGAGGAGGGGTGTCCAGGACGATCATACCTTTTCCAGCTGCTGGAAGGAACTAGGCTGCTGAGATTTGTCCATATTGCGTCGCTGAGGTGGTCGGGAAACGGGAACCCCCGAGGGTTTAGTGGAATTGGGATTGAAGAGAAAGGAACCGGGGGAAACCAGCGTTGAAGCGGACTTTAGAGGGAGAGCTGCAGGATCCCTGAGACGCTCCATGCTGATGGAAGGAGGAGCCCCGCGCGTAGGAAGTGGGCCGGGCAAAGTTACGGCCATCTGCTTATGTACAAGACTCTCTGGCTGGCGCTTGTCTCTCGACCCGTAACGGTAGATAACCTTTTTCTTGCTCTATTTTTAACAACAGTCCAATGAGAAATGAGAAAAATGCGATTCGCTTCATGTATATCTCTTTGGTGAAGATTCATGATCAAGTTTACATCTAGTGATTATCGTTGTTACAAGTGATTCATGGGTAGGCCCGAGACTACGGTCGGGAGGATGGCCTGGGCGGGATGGCTGCAGCGAACATGAGCACCAAAGTTCCTGTCTAGGCCCAAGCTCAGTTGGCCAAAGAGAAGGGCCTCATTGCGCACGCCCCCGACGTTGATGACACCGATGGGCATGCCTCGTTTATAGGCTCGTTCCACAAGTCGCCAGGCCGAATAGGTGGCGAGACTACTACCCAGCACCAGCAAGCGCCCAGCATCATCGATGGCCTCTTCCGCTGCGGTCTTCACCGCGGGGTCGATATTCTCGCCAAACATGATCACTGCTGGCTTCAGGATACCTGCAGTGGAAGTCGGCAACCATGCGCCGTCGCTTTCGACCTCGACTCGGGCGGGTGTCCCGTCTTTTAAGGTGGGAGGAGTTTCCAAGCATGTTGGACATGACGGATATCGAAATGTCGAGTATGGAGCCTCCGCCAGGTCGACATCGCCGTCGGGATTGAGTTTCAATCCCTTTCTTCGTTGTTCCTCTGGATTATCGGTATCGAGAGCACCGGCGGCGACCATACGAGCCAGAAACTCGGCCCAAGCCGGGTTGAGCCGCTCCAAGGAGTCCTGGAACTCCTGTCGCGAGAACTGATTGCGACAACTGGTACAGACCACGGACCGTAGATATCCATGTAATTCAAGCGTAGACAGTTCCGGGTGGGCTAGTGAGTGGAACGAATCGACATTCTGCGTCACAACAGAGCTGATATACTCCTTGGCTCCGAGATCTCGAATCGCCCAATGCGTGGAATTGGGCTTTGCTTTCACGAGCCCCGGCCAGCCCACGAAGCTCCGAGCCCAATATCGCTTGCGCGACTCATGGCGCGTCGCGAATTCGTGGAAATAGATCGGCCGGTAGGATTTGTTTCGGCGGTAGGTCCCCTGGTCCCCGCGGTAGTCGGACAGGCCTGAAGCGACGGAGATACCTGCGCCGGTCAAGAGGACCGTCTGGGTGTTTCTACCCACATCGATGCCCCGGAGATGCAGGGATGGTGGCGCCGTGAAGAAGGCGTTCACGGCGTCGATCGCCCCCGCAATCGTCCTGGCAGCTGGTGGAACGACGATGGCTGGAGGTAATGGGCCCGTGAAGGGGATTCGAATTGCGGGCGTCGTCATTGAGGACGCATCCTCGAGAAGGGAAGAGGAAGAGACTAGGGATGAGGGCTTGGCAATGAGGAGTGGGCGGAGACTCCGGTCTCCTCTTTGGACCTCGTTAGACCTCTTTGGGAGTCTTGGGATCTTCTTGGGGCCTTCGTTTAGTCGGGCGGATTGCGTAGGAGCTGGTCTTGGCTGACTCGTTTCCAGTGTGCCCTGATTCGTAATGAGCTTAAATCAGAGACCAGAGTATGAAGTAGATTAATAAGAAAATAAAAAGAACCAGAACTAAGAATTACGAATTGAGAAGTCTAGGCAGGTTGCTTGAGCCACAATACGATCGTACTGTAGTACAGTAATCACTACCTCACGATTGGGCAGTTCCGTCCTGAAGCATCAGCGCATCTGGAATCTCCGACTTGCCGGATTACATGATCGATCGAATGACATGCCCAGTTTCGACTGTAAAATAGTTGTTGGTTCTTCCACTTTAACCCAACCGCCCCCTCCCCAGTCATTAGAATTATTACTGTATTCGTTTTTTAAACCTGTTCTCTAGTTCGAGGCCATGGGCACACAGCCCCGAAAAGAACACCTTGTCCACTCGTGTTCGTGCTCGTGTGCCTCCAACTAGTCCCAACAGGCCGTGATGCCGCTGACGCAGCCCCTGCGGTGCAGGCTTCGTCCCTCCCTCCACTCCTCCTCCGCCATTCTCGGAATTTCCACTCGCTCCACTCGCTCCAATCGTCTCCCTTGCCTCCGAGGATCCTCGCGTGTCCTGACCTCTTCCGCTCCTTTATTAAAAGCTTCCTGTCCCGTCGTTTGGCTTTCTCATGTTCGACTCCGTGCCTCCCGTCGCGCTCTCATAACACCGCCCATGACGCAAACCAGGGGTCACGGCCACCGTGGCCATTCCCACCACCACCATCACCACGATAATGTATACCTCACATCGACCAACAAGAATGACGCCGGTGTGCGCATTACACGGATTGGCCTCGTGGCCAACCTTTGCATGGCCATTGGCAAATTTATCGGCGGTTACATTTTCCATTCGCAAGCTCTCATCGCCGATGCCTATCACGCGCTCACCGATTTGGTCTCGGACTTTTTGACCCTGGGCACCGTCGCATGGTCACTGAAGCCTCCCAGCGAGCGCTTCCCGAATGGATACGGCAAGGTGGAAAGCATTGGCGCGCTGGGTGTGAGTGGCTTGCTGCTCTGTGGTGGTGTCTTCATGGGCCTCAATGCGGGCCAGGTCTTGTTGGCGCAGTGTTACCCCGACCTGGCTGAAACGTTGGCGCACTCAGGGATCCTTGGACATGGACACGGACATTCGCATAGCCATGGGATCGAGGTGCTAGGCCCGAGCATCCACGCGGCCTGGCTGGCGGCGGGTTCGATTGTGATCAAGGAGTGGTTGTACCATGCAAGTCAGTGGCTCCCTAACCCCCCAATGTCGCGTGACAATTCCAGTCCTCAAAGACTGTATCAGTTTTTATTCAATATTTTTTACTAACAAATCCAACAGCAATGAAAGTCGCCAAGGAGCGCAAGTCGTCCGTCCTCGCCTCCAACGCTGTCCACCATCGCGTAGACTCCCTGACAAGCATCGTCGCTCTGTTTACCATCGGTGGAAGCTACGTCTTCCAAGATGCCACCTGGCTGGACCCGGTGGGCGGTCTCTTGATTTCCCTGATGGTCATCAAGGCCGGATGGGGTAACACCATGACCTCGCTCTTGGAACTGGCAGATACCGCCGTGGACGATGATATTAAAAAGTCGGTGCAAACCGCCGCCGCCAAGGCATTGAAAGCCCTTGAGGACGGCGAGGAAGTTATTGTCCGTGATGTCCAGGGCATGAAGTCGGGACAGAACTACCTCATGGACATTGAACTGGCTGTGCCGGGCGAGTGGGCCATTACCCGGTCTAGGGTGGTGGAGGAGGCCGTCCGCAAAACGGTTGGCGAGAAGGTCCGCGGTGTGAAGCGTGTCAAGATTCGCTTCATCCCTGCCGAGCAGACTGAGCTTACATTCTCCGAGGAATTTGTTTCCCAGGACACCGGGGCTAACCCGGAGCCCGAGAGCAATGGTAACAATCATAACCATAACCATGACCATGACCATGATCATGAGCACAGCCATGAGGATCCAATCTCCCGGAAGAAGCAATAGACTTCACCTCCATAAAAGGAAAACAAACAAAGAGAAAAAAGATGGAGTTACCTTGTTTCGGATGTTCTTGATCGGCAGTTGTTGGCGCTGCAATGATACCCCCCTCTACTCACTCGTCTCTTGGTCGGGCGATATTCAGCGAGCGGATTTCTGTACTAAGGATAGACCGACGTGTGAATATAGACATATACACCAGAAGAGTCAGGAATACAGATGTCTGATGGCATTGTCTCATTACCGTTGCATTCTATTATCGATGGAGTATTCACGAAACCGCCGAGTACTGTAGTACTAGATTAGCTATCCCTTATAGGGCTGTTGGGCAGTGTAGATCGCCCGCTGTGTCCGCTTTTTAACTACTATATAGTATATACCCTTATCAGACAAATTCCTTGGGCAGATCTGGATATCGACTATACCGTGGACGTATCCATACCCCATGGTTCTGGCTATCATCAAGTGGAGCCGCAGCCAGGGAAATCTTTATTCTACCGAGTAATTTAGCAGACAATCGCCAATTTACCCGGTCGCTGGTCTAGACGAGCCACTAAACTAACCTATCCAGACTTATGCATGGGGAACTCTTCGAAAAGGCTAATCGAAGACCCTCTCCGAGAACAGTCCTCGTGATCACCAAGGACCACCTGAGAATGGCTTTCTTCGTTCACTTTGGGTCTCGGTGTGCAATCGAACAGCTCACAGAAGAAGATGAGAAAGGATCATCTGTCCAGCCTGTCCACAGCAAGTGGGACCGCGCGGGGACCCGTTTACATCATTGCGGACTCATCCTTCCTCTTCCATTCACAGCCTTCTTTTTTCCCGCGGTGGATAAACTCTGGAATTCTTCCTTTTCTTTTCTCCTGCCCCGCCCCTTCGAGACTATATATCCAAGTCCAGCTGACCCCGCAGAGATTGTTCGATCGATTTTATCACGCTTATTCGAGACAGTCCTTTCGTACCTAACGAGCTGCGAGTTTGCCAGCTACTTGATTGCTCGGATACCTCGCCAGGTTGCCGCGACCCCTTTCCAACTCCTATACCCCCGCAATGGCGTCGCAATCCCCCCTCTACATCGGGTTCGACCTGTCAACCCAGCAGCTCAAAGGCTTAGTTGTCAATTCCGAGCTCAAAGTCGAATACATTGCCAAATTCGACTTCGATGCGGACTCGACCGGCTTCGCGATCAAAAAGGGTGTCATGACCAATGAAGCCGAGCACGAAGTATTCGCCCCGGTCGCGCTGTGGTTGCAGGCACTGGATACCGTGCTGGAGAGTCTGCGCAAGCAAGGACTGGACTTTAGCCGCGTGAAGGGTATTAGTGGGGCTGGACAGCAGCACGGCAGTGTCTATTGGAGTGCGGATGCGGAGGAGCTGCTGCAGAAGCTCGATGCGAAAAAGTCGCTGGAAGAGCAATTGCCGAGTGCTTTCTCTCACCCGTATAGTCCCAATTGGCAGGACTCGAGCACGCAGAAGGAATGTGATGAGTTTGATGGGGTGCTGGGAAGTCCGGAGCAGCTTGCCCAGGCGACGGGAAGCAAAGCCCACCACGTAAGTGCGCTGTTTTAAGGTTGATCATGGTTTTGCTTGGGCCAATTGGGGAAGCTGACATTATTATCAGAGATTCACAGGTCCTCAGATCCTTCGGTTCACGAGAAAATACCCAGAGGTGTATCAGAAGACAGCAAGGATCTCTTTGGTGTCATCCTTTATTGCCTCGCTTTTCCTTGGCCATGTTGCACCCTTTGATATCTCGGATGTATGCGGGATGAACCTGTGGAACATCAAGCAGGGTGCTTATGACGAAGAAATTCTCAAGCTGTGCTCCGGCAAGTTCAGTGTCGAGGACCTGAAGAAGAAGCTGGGCGTTGTATACGAAGATGGAGGACTGCATCTGGGACAGGTCCACCAATACTACAGAGAGCGCTACGGCTTTGCTGCAGACTGCACAGTCATCCCGGCCACGGGCGACAACCCAGCAACCATTCTCGCACTCCCATTGCGCCCATCCGATGCCATGGTATCCCTGGGTACATCTACGACCTTCCTCATGTCCACCCCCAACTACATGCCCGATCCAGCCACCCACTTCTTCAACCACCCTACCACCGCGGGACTATACATGTTCATGCTCTGCTATAAGAACGGCGGTCTCGCCCGCGAACACGTCCGCGACGCCATCAACGACAACCTAAAAGACACCCCCTCCCAACCATGGGCCAACTTCGACGAGACAGCCCTCTCCACACCCCCAATGGGCCAACAAGCCCCCAACGACCCCATGAAACTTGGCCTCTTCTTCCCCAGACCCGAAATCGTACCAAACCTCCACGCCGGCCAGTGGCGTTTCACATACAACCCAACCACAGGCGATCTTACCGAAACAACCACCGGCTGGACAACCCCGCAAGACGAAGCCCGCGCCATCATCGAAAGCCAAATGCTCTCCCTCCGCCTTCGCTCCCGCGGTCTCACCCAAAGTCCCGGCAACAACCTCCCCGCGCAACCACGCCGCGTCTACCTCGTCGGCGGCGGCTCCAAGAACAAAGCCATTGCCAAGATTGCGGGTGAAATCCTCGGCGGTGCCGAGGGCGTGTTTAAGCTTGATATTGGCGATAATGCGTGCGCGCTTGGGGCGGCGTATAAGGCTGTTTGGGGCATTGAGAGGACCGAGGGCCAGACGTTCGAGAATTTGATTGGGCTGCGGTGGAGGGAGGAGGAGTTTGTGGAGAAGATTGCAGAGGGATATCAGGAGGGGGTGTTTGAGTTGTATGGAAAGGCGGTTGAGGGATTCGAGGCTATGGAGAAGAAGGTTTTGGAGGGGGTTGCGCGTGGAAATGGGAAGGGGAATTAGGTTGTTGATGTAAGTGGGAATGAGTATATGGAACGCGAGTGTTAAGAAACGAGATTGTGCCTGGATATGGATTTTGTCATGAATTCTTGATTGATTAACGTTGGGGAGTGTAGGCAGTGACCCGGGAGATCCGGTGCATATAGAGCTTTACGAGAGATCAACTTAACTTGGGGTGATCTACTATAGTATCACCATGGTATGGCTCCCCAGGAAGTACATTTTTCATCTCGCCTAAACAGCCCCCACAAATGCCCAAGAATAATTATTAAAAGCCCAAAAGCCTTGGGCAGATCAATTTCCACTTATCTCCCTAACTTGTTACATACGCAGTTGATATCGACGGTTTAGTTGGTTAAGCCCGTTGAACATGAACCTGTCGATACACTTACGTCCGTAAGGAGAGTTCCACTCTCCGGACATAACCAACCTAGACCCCTAGAATAGAGGGGCCAACCACTAATCTAGCCCCAAACAGCAAAATCTTCAATAAAAACCAGCCCGCGATCGCATGGACCGCCTATTCCGGACTATCCATAACATCTAGGGGAGTCGAAAACCCCCCTCTGGGGCTGACGACGGAACACGATTACTGTGTAGAACCAGAAGTGGATCTTCGTTGAGGCCCACCGAAAAGATTACCCGTTTAGGTTTAGTCAAGCGTTTGGAGGTACGATTGACCAGTCTCGTCTGTGTTGATTGGATCGTGTACCTAGATGGTTATGAGGGTGCTAAGCATTTGTCGGTTTTAATTAAGGCTGAGTCGAGAGAAATAGGGGCGTATGATGCGATGCTTGGTTTAGTTGATTATTCTTGGAAAGGCGCTTGCTGATCGATGGGCTCCGTGGCGTAGCAGGTAACATATAAAAGGGGCCGTAGATCTGTCTGTCTTTCCCTTATTCCCATAAATTTTGATCCATTTTCTTCTCTAACTCAATTCAATACCGACCCGATCCCCTCGAAGAGTGATATCCCTTCCTCTCCTACTGTTCTCTACATCATCTATCTATCACTGGACCACACCAGCACATCACCCGCGACCAAAGAATAACCTTGCACCCACAAGAACCGCCAAAATGTGCCTCCTACTTCCATTCCTCTACACCAAGAAGAAGCAGTCAGATCGTGCCAAGGCTGCCTCTCTTGCGGAGGGACCGCGCCCTGTTACGGATGGATATGCGGATACGCGGTCGTTGGGACAACCTCAGATGGGACAGCCTCAGATGGGACAACCTCATATGGTTCAATCTGGGCCGTATGAAGTGTCTTAGGGATGATAGTGGAGGAGTAGAGGTATGTGGGCTGGATGGGTTGTGTTTAGTATGAGCTGCGCTGACTGGATGTAAGATATAACGACTTTTGTTCGATGTGCTCTTGGTAACTGGTTGACGATTTTGTGGCGTTTGGTGAAGATTTATCGTCAATATTGGATATTGGTGTGTCTAGGTCTTTTCTTTTTCAATAATTCAACTTTCTGCTCTATTAAATGAACATATTTTATACGTCATTGTGGTATGCGCATAACGACTCGTCTTCCTTCAAGTACCGTGAAAAGAAAAACTCATGTACCAGTCTGAGATCCCCTCCTCCCCCGCATTCCCAGGGACAAAGGGTATGATATATCCCCTTTTCAAAAACCTCGACATTGTAAGAGCCTGCTGGATACCTGCAACTTCCCCAATCTTCTCCAGCGTCTGCCGAATCCACTCCTTTCTCGCAGGCGTAGTAACCGCACAATCCGCCGCAATGAACAGCGGCCACGAGAGCCGCAATAATCCACCGATACCCGTCTCGCCAGAAATAAAATAAAATGGCACGCTGGTGCAGATATCCGCGACCATTTGCTTGCTGATTGCGATGGACTGGAGTAGAGTGTGTTGGCAGTCGTGTGCGGGATCAGACTTTAAGAGTTGCCCGCACATTGCTTGGATTATTCCTTGGATGATGATGCGTGTTTGATGGTAGTTTGTCCACATCGAGGCGAGGTCGACGTTTGGGTAGACGTGGTATTTGTTGCCATGGTAGAAGGAGTATGGTTGATGGTAGTTGGTGTTGGTTACATGCGGTGTTTCAATGGTTTTGTACCGCCAGGTAGGATTCAAGGAAAGTGCCCATGAAACCAGGTCGGCATCGAGATGAAGTGCTTTCCTGATGATATCAACTGGGTTGGCGGAGGTATTGTCTGTAAATATCTTATCGCTTTCGATGGAGAGATCAGCTAATTGGACTACGATGGCGTAGAAATCTTCGATTGATTGCGAGTCACTGTCGCGATAGGTCTTTGCCGCCAGTGATAGAGCCGTGAGCTGGGGTGAGCGGCGTTGTCTGCTGAATATGTTGTTGAATGCCTGTGGTATCAATTATCAGTATCGTATGTAGGGCAACAGGGGGGATCCGTAGTCAATGTACGTACAACCTGCATACGAACAAGGGTGAACAAGGCCCGGCCAGCCGGGAATTCCATTTGTTCCATGCCTCGTAACTCGAGCAGTTTGGTAGCCCCGTCGACATGGTTTGACCAGCCGCTCATGAAATTTTCGCCCCCAATTGATTCGGGGGATGTTATCATCTGTAACTACTAATGAGCGTGAGATAAACCTCCTCGGGACGAACAACATCATACCTCATACGTGCTTAGCAGTACAACGGCTGCTAGAGTAGAATCCGATTTAGCCACCAAGGTATTTCGCAACGCATGATTGGTCGCAACCAGCGCCTTGCCATATTCGAGCCCAGCAGAGTATTTCAACTCCGGCAGTGAATGGGCCCTCGACATGCTAGCCAGCCCTACGGCTTTGAGCGTGGCTTGGAGGGCAGTGGAGGGGTCATCGGTTAGTAATTTGGGCAAATAAGAGAGCAAGCCACGACTTTGTGCATCGCCCACATATATCTTGAATATAAAAGACATGGCCTGCTCACCCGCTGAGGATGGAATAGCTGGGGGCATTCGCAAGGTCAATGCTGCTGAATGGGCTGCAGTAGACGGGTTCGTAGACTTCCGTGCCCCACGGCGAGACTGTGACTGAGACTCAGACTGAGCCTGAGCCTTGGCAGCAACCTCTTTACTTTGATCGTGGATTCGAAGCGCTTGCAGGTCTTGGTATCCCGAGCACTCGCGATTCGCCCGAAGACATTGGGAACATGACGGCCGACGCCGATCGCACTGTACACGGACGGTTAGCAGTTCACCTGGCGACTAGCGACTACATCCAGAATATACCAATAGTCGTCTATCACGGCATAAGGCGCAGCCAGGGCTGGGCTTCCCTCTGTATACCATCTCAGCGTGGGGTGAAACAGCACACGATGCCGAGAGAGGTAACCAGATCGGACGGGGAAAGCTTGTTTAAAAAGGGCCTGGCTTGAAGAATGGGTCGGTGTGCACTTGGCAGCCTAAGGAAATCGGCGGTATTTCAGAGCTGCTGACGCGTTGGCTTGAGGCTGGAGACCAATCTGGTACTGATTGGTCCGAAGGCCTCGAAGTGATTACCTTTCAGGGAGACTAAGGCGACTTCTTCCCGCGCAAGCCATGTCTGTATGCGTTTAAGGCTGAGCTTTTTCAGCCCCCAATTTCGCCCCCATCTCAATCTTTAGGTTTGATAGCGTTTCTACAAAACGCTTCTTGTGGTGCAGATCAAAATGCAAATTCTCTCCGAGGAGGATGCCAAAAGGGGCAGAATGGTTATTTGCAGATTCTTTGGGCGAGGATGCTTTATGAAGATGTTATAAATGGTCTTGAATTCCCGAGATAGAGATGGAAATTATAGCTCACAATTCATTTTAACTCTATTGTTGTCTATTCCCCCGACTATTAACAATTATCTCAACCTTCAAGTTTACATCGTCTTAAGAATACGAACCAAAATGAACGGGGTTTTCCCAGCCGACCTCGCGGTATACCTCCTGTTTACTCCGATCGTTGTCTATATCTTCTTTGCCCATCGATGGACTGGATTCCTTCCTTGGTACTATCTCAGCGTCTTCTGCCTTGCACGAATCATCGGAGGCATACTCGGTATTCACGATAGCAATGGTCTGCCTGCCAACATCATCCAAAGCGTTGGGCTCACGCCTTTGATTCTGGCTGTGGATGGGCTAGTACATGAAGGGTGCGTTGTACAACCCAGATTCATATACCCGATTGATCTACAAGCTGACAATTGGTGGTCCCACAGACGAGTCTACCGCAATCCATCTTCTAGTCGATTCCTGGGCTGGTCGGTCGTCATCGCGACCTCGACCGTTATGATTGCTGCCGTTGCTCTTGTGATAACGGGATCCCTGCATATCTTCCAGGGACATCCTCAGTCAGGTAGTTATACGCAGTGGAAAGTCGGTACTGTTTTGATTGCCGTGACCTGGGGGTTCCAGATGTTGTGGTCGCTTTTGTCTCTGTTGCCTAGCAGAGGATCGAAGGGCGCTGCTGGGTATCATGGTGGTACTGCTGTAAGTTCTTCTAAAAGGATATACAGCTCCTTCACTGTCTAGTGTATGGTTGATAACAAACTAACTGGTCTCTATAGCTCATTCAGGGTGCCTTTGTTGCTCTTGTCTTCCTCGGCGTGCGGGTGATTTACGGCATTGTCTCCGTTTTCACCCAGCGACGAGATCTCAGTCCAATTTATGGATCGCTGGCTGTTCGCGTGGTCCTCATGTTCCTTCCTGAAGTATTTGCGGCGCTTACGATGATTGTTGTTGGTATTCGAACGAGGCATCTCCGGCAGACGACATAGGTCATTCGGTATTAGGCGATTTGGGGTGGATTTAATGTGCATTATACCTATTGAATCGTTTTGGTCTTGGAGAATCCTGGTTGCATTGATCACTAGCTTACTTGCCCATCTTGTTATTTCTGCTCCTTTGTGTCTGGTTCGAATGGCTTTCTGTTAGAGTTTGTTGCTTAACCTGATTATATCACTACTCAGGACACTCCTAGGAACCCATAAGACGATGTATTCGGCTGCTTTGAATTCGAAGCTAACCGTAGCTTCCAGTAGAGCTGTAGCTCGGTATATCAACATTTGGTCAGTATTTAAATGCCATGTTCCAATTCTTTGATCATCCTGCAGCTTCCAACAGAAGTGGGTCCATTCTGGAAGCTATTCAGCCTATAACATCCTCGAGATGAAATCGTCCAGTTTGCTGGTGATGTCGGATAATTCCACTGCTGGAACGAAGCTGTTAGAGACCGTGAATATCTCGGTCACATCAACCGAAACATGATGAGCTTTGGATCAGAGAAAAAGCTCTAGATTTCCACAGTTTATGGCAGACATTCGGGGGTTCTGTGGCAGCTCGAGTACGACGCTGTGGTTGGGTACCGATCGGAGAACACGCTGCCACTTACCTGATTAGGATCCTCAGGACCACTGCAAACTTCCTTGAGATCAGATGACCACACGTCCTCGGTCTGTATTCACTTCCAATCGCCCCTCCAATTCACTTTGGCTTCAAATCTTCCCTCCTCGAGGCCCTTCCCTGTCGACGTGGTGCAAGCGAGGGCGGACCCAGGCACGGAAATCCGATTACCATACCATGGATGGGCGCTTCCTCCACTGAAAAACAATTTTGAAACCAACACAAACCTCTCCGTCGACCGTCCTCCCCCCCTCTCCTACCCCCTCCCACGCTCTAGGAACCAGGAGCTCGGCTGGTCGAAGATGGAAGAACAGGTGAGTCGGCCATCTGCTGTCTATCGCTAGGAGGCTTTTCCAGACTTGCCCAAAATTCGCTTCATGACCCCTCCTCTCTCCCTCCCCCCACCGTCCACCGTCACCGCATCCCGCCCCTCCTCTCCGAGAGTCGTAATTTTTGCACCCCGAATGAACCATTGACAATGTCCGCGCTCCAGGTAGCAAATGCCATTCAGATCGCCTCGAATCCATCCTCCGACCAAGCCCTAAAGTCGCAAGCGTTTGACTATCTCAACCAAGTTCGCTCCGATCCCTCCGGATGGCCCGTCTGCCTCAGCCTCTTCACCAAATCTCCCCCACAGCCCGAGATCGTGCGACATGCGAGCTTGGAAATTGTCAATAGCGCCGCTCAGACGGGTCTAATCGATCTCGCCTCGCTGGCAGTCGTACGAGATGGATTGATGACATACCTGCGGAATGTCTATGGTCCCAACCGCACCGCCACGCCAGATGCACCTTACATGCAGAACAAAATTGCACAAACCGTCACTTTCCTCTTTTCCGCACTCTACGCCAATGGCTGGGAGACTTGCTTCGACGACCTTCTTAGCCTGACCTATAAAAGCTCCGCCAGCACGAGCCGCGACAACCCACTCGGAATCGTCTTTTACTTGCGTGTGGTGAACTCGATCCACGAGGAAATCGGAGATGTTCTGGTGTCGAGGTCGCGCGGAGAGCAGGATAAGGCGAATAGTCTGAAGGACTTGATCCGAGAACGGGACATGCAGAAGATCGCTAGCTCGTGGCAGGAAATTTTGTCGGCATGGCGGGACGCCGACGACACAGTGGTGGAGCTGTGTTTGAAGGCGGTCGGCAGCTGGGTGAGCTGGATTGATATCGGTCTGGTCGTGAACCAGACAATGTTGGACCTACTCTTCCAGCAGCTGGGTCGGGCGGAGAAGCAAGAATTGCGCGATGGTGAGCAGCGGGTTCGGGATGCCGCGGTGGATGTCTTTACCGAGATCATTGGCAAGAAGATGAAGCCTGCCGACAAGATTGAAATGATCATCTTCCTCAACCTCGACTCGATTGTTACCCAGCTCTCGAACAGTCCCCCGTTGCGAGAAACTCGATTCACCTTCAAGTATGATACCGATCTGGCCGAGACCGTCGCTAAGCTGGTGAACATTACGGTCATGGACATTGTGCGGGTACTCGAGACCGACTCGGGCGCTGTGAAAGACAAGGCGAACGACCTTCTCCAGGTTTTCCTGCCTCACATCTTGCGATTCTTCTCGGATGAATACGACGAAGTCTGCTCGACTGTGATTCCCTGTGTCAACGACATGCTCGCCTACGTTCGGAAGGTTTCCAAGGCGGATCCTTCCCAGGAAGCTCGCAACAAGGCGATTCTTCTCCCCATCTTGAAAGCGATCGTCGCGAAGATGCGATACGATGAAACCTCCAACTGGGGCGACGAGGATGAGCAAACCGACGAGGCCGAGTTCCAGGAGTTGCGCAAGAGGCTGGGTGTGCTGCAGCAGATTATTGCCTCCGCAGATGAACAATTATACATCGATGCTATTTCAGAAGTGGTGGGAACAACCTTCGAGAACCTGCGTGCTTCTGGCGGCCAGATCGACTGGCGTGACCTGGATCTGGCTCTGCATGAGATGTTCCTGTTTGGTGACCTGGCTGTCAAGGCTGGTGGTCTGTACGTCAAGGGCTCGGCCACTGGCCCTGCTGCCGTTCGCCTCATTGAGATGATGCTTGGAATGGTTGAGTCCGATATCCGATCTTTCACCCACCCTGCCACACAACTCCAATACATGGAGATTTGCGTCCGCTACACCTCCTTCTTCCAGCGTCATGCGCATCTCATCCCCGGCGTTCTGGAGAGCTTCCTCCAGCTTGTTCACCACACGAACCGCAAGGTGAAGACCCGCTCGTGGTACCTGTTCCAACGGTTGGTGAAGCAGCTTCGGGGCCTCATTGGGAATGTGGCGCAAACCGTTGTTGAGGCTTTGGGCGATCTCTTGGTTATCCAAGCTGAGCTCCCCTCCGAAGGTGAGGATGGTGATGAGATGTCGTCCGAGGATCACGAGGGCTCTGCAGATGCCGTTTTCAACAGCCAGCTGTACCTATTTGAGGCTGTCGGCGTCATCTGCTCAACCAACAGCGTGCCTGTGGACAAGCAGGTTCTCTACATTCAGTCGGTTGTGAACCCTATTTTCGCCGATATGGAGCGCAATCTCCCTGCTGCCAAGTCCAACGATGAACGGGCCCTGCTGCAGATTCACCATGATATCATGGCTCTGGGAACCCTTGCTCCTACCACCAACCCCCCAGGCAACTTGCCCGCGCCAGAGGTCTCCGAGTGCTTCTGCCAGGTGGCAGAGGCGACTTTGGTATCCCTCGAGTCTCTCAAAACGTCATTCAATATCCGCACTGCTGCCCGGTTTGCCTTCTCGCGGCTCATTAGTGTTCTAGGGGCTCGCATCTTGCCCCAGCTCCCTCGCTGGATCGATGGGCTTCTGACCCAAACCTCCTCGCGTGATGAGATGGCTCTGTTCCTGCGTCTTTTGGACCAGGTCATCTTTGGATTTAAGAGCGAGATTTACAGCATTCTTGATACTCTCTTGACCCCCTTCCTGCAGCGCGTTTTCTCAAGCATTGCGGACCCTACCACGGGTACTGATGATGAAATCCAACTGGCTGAACTTAAGCGTGAATACCTGAACTTCTTGCTCGCTGTATTGAACAATGATCTTGGAGCTGTGATAATTAGCGAAAGTAAGTCATCCAATGGTGTTTTCGCCTGATTTTGTGAATAGTCTAACCATTTCACAGGAAACCAACCCCTTTTCGAAACCGTCATTACTACCATTGAGCACTTTGCCAAGGATATTGACGACTTTACGACCGCCAAGATGGCCTTCTCTGTCCTTTCCAGGATGGGTAGTGCTTGGGGTGGTCCAGACATTGCCCCCGGAGCTACCAATGGAGCCGCACCTACTCAAACAGCACTCCCTGGATTCGGCGGATTCATGATCAGCCGCTTCTCACCCCTGTGCTGGGCTCTCCCTACCACCCCATCCTTCAATTCTAAGGATGCACTTGCCAAGCAAGTTCTTGCTGAGGCGGGTGCACTCCAGCGCACAATCTACCTCAAGACGAGTATGGAATATGTTGAATACTTGCGGACCCAGGAGCTGCCCGGCATGGGCATGGGCGGCGACCTGATCGAAGAGTTCTTGACTGCACTCAGCCAGCTGGACATGAAGGGGTTCCGGCAATTCTTCCCAGTAAGACGAACCATCCTAGTATCGAAGTGAAACACATCTCATACTGACCTCTCTTCACCATCTAGTCATTCATTCAGCGATTGAGCGCATAAGCCCCCTCCCTCCGTCCCTCATCATCCACGACGATCGTCATTTTCCTTCTCTCCTGCTTTTTAGATTCCCCCATGCCATATCATATTTCTGTTTTGACGAGACCGAGTAACGAGGTGATGTCTGTCCTCGCGCCGTCCAGATCTGACCTGACCTCAGGCATGACGATGATAAAATCACTTTGTCACTAGGCCAAGACAGGCCAGGCTGTTGCCAAAAATTTCCCCCATTCATGCCATCTATATTTTCATCTGTGCCCTCTTCTCATGGATACCATACACTTTTCATCCGACATGTCCCACTATCAACCAAAAAAACAACAACAAAAAGAAATGGATTCGAATAAAAATCAAATTTCAAAAACTCAACAAAAGTGTATCCTCCTTTCCTAATCGAGTACATGGCGTGTCTGTTTGTCATCCACTTTCCACTCCTGTGGCGCATTCGCATCGCATCGCGGGGCGTTTCCATCTTGTCTTTTATCCGTCCTTTTCCTGACACCCGTGGAGGCAAAGCAAACATCGAAAGTAATATCCGTGGCAGACATTTGAGAGTGGACTGGCTAAAGTAGATTACGAATGAACGCATTTCTCTAGAGCGCTCCGAGACCGGTTTACCACATCACCCAAGTAAGTAAACAAGTAACCATAAAGATAGACATAAGACATCAAATATTCATTCATTCCAATCATCGCAATCTCCGTCATCTATCACGGTATCACCCCAATATTTTTCATATCATCAACATCCCGTCAAATAACCGACTTGATAGTGTGTTGGCGCCCACTTGAATCAAAATCACCAAGAATCAGAATCCGTTCCATAGTGCCAGTCAAGTTCAAGTTCAAGTTCACACCCAAAGGGCCCAGATGTGGTATCCCGTCTATGCAACACCCCCAAAATGACATACTCGAGAAAAAAATGAACAAGAGGAGGAAGGTCACACACTATTTGAGATACTTGGCCGCATGCTCGATGTGATCATCCGCAAAAGTGGCCATCGTGTAATATGAGTGATCGTAATCAGGCTGGTAGCGAATATTCACGCCCTTGAGGCCAGCTGCGTCGGCGGCAGCTTGGAAGTTCTCTGGTAGAAGTTGGCCCTGCTTGTAGAAGTTGTCGCCGGTACCCTGGAAACGAATGCAATTAGCTTGAGAAGATCTTGTTTTTTGGGGGGAGGAGGGATTGGGCGTTTTGGGAGTGCGTGCGTACCACGTCAATCAGGATATCCAGCTCGGGACCGCTCCATTTCTTAATTAGCTCGGTGGCATCGTGTTCCTTCCATTTCTCCTGCTGGTCCTCGCCGAAGTAGCCCTTGAACGCCTTTTGGCCCCAGGGGCAGTTGATGGGGTTGGTGATTGGGGCGAAGGCTGAGACGGACTTGTATTTGCCCGGGTTGCGAAGGAACTGGAAGAATTATTTAGTGATTTGTGGGGAGTAGGAGTTCACGAAGACATGAAGTCGATAGGAAGGGAATGGAGTGAAAAAAACGGGAACTGTCTACTCACCAGCGTAAGAGCACCGTGGCCGCCCATGCTGTGGCCCGTGATACTGACTCGGCTAGAGTCCAGCTGCGGGAAAGCCTTGAAAACAACCTCTGGCAGCTCCTCAGTGACATAGCTGTACATGTTATAGCCTTCGTTGTAGGGAGCCTTGGTAGCATCAACATAGAAACCCGCGCCGGAACCAAAGTCATAAGCATCATTCTCGCCTTCGATGTTCAGACCACCTATAAACAGATTAACAGCCAGAACAAGACAAAATGGCCATCCAATGGATTCCAATCAACCGGTAGAAGGAGAGGGGGGGGGGGGGGGGGGGGGGGAAAATCACATACGAGGACTAGTATCAGGATACAGCACAGCAATACCCTTCTTACTGGCACCATGCTGGAAAAAGCCCTTCTCCGAGCAATTCTCCGCCGTGCAAGTCAAACCAGACAAGTAAATCAGCACAGGGATCTTGCCAGCCGCACTGCTATCGACAGCACCGGGCGGCAGGTACAAGTTGAAAGACATTTCGCAGCGGGTGGTGGTGGCATTGTGGCTGAGCTTAAGCAGCTTGCCGCCGAAGGAGGCGATACGGGCCTTTTCAGTGACGCCGGACATGATGAGTAGAGAGCGTGTGTGTGTGTGTGTTTTCCAAGGGGACAAGATGGGATGATAGTCGGGAAAGGGGGAGAATTAAAGTCGGGAAGAAGCTAAATAGGAGGAATTGGGAAGACCTGACGTTTTTGCGCGGGGTTTTTTGTCCCGCATGAGGGGAAGCTCCACCTTTGGCCGGATTGTATTGCCGCTTTTAGCGGGGGCTCTACAGGAGATGCTCCTTCTTATAAGTTACGACTTAGTTCCCGCATCCTAGAGATAGGACTGTCATGGAGAAGGGCAAAACTAGCTTCGCCAGTTTGTCTAGCTTAAGAAATGGGTAGATCTTGATGGAGCTGTATAGATTACGTCATGAGCATTCTGCTCTGTATACTAACTAAGAGAAATGACATTCACTAGACAAACTCTTCCTTACAGCTCGATTTTGTCAAGTGCGCACGTTAACTTAGCCCCTAGATTACATACTCCTAGTAATTCCGCAGCTTACTGAGATAAACTATGCAGTGATCTATCGGCCTATTTATGATACTAGCAGAATTGTAGCATTAGCTAGATCCTACTAATCCGAAGATTTTCAGGGTTCACGACTGTTTACATATAGGAATTTAAAACGTAGTTAGAAACCCTTCAGGGGCTACCAGATACGTTTTCAATATATCTGTTTCAAATGGACAGGGTACGAGTGTACTGAAGGTAATTCTACAGCTCTTGCTAAGCTGTCCGGTATTTCGTTAGCTGGTTATCGGCATAGAGACTGAAGAAACACTATTCCCCCACACTACTCCGTAAGCAAGTTGTTTGCATGATAGTTTGTGCAGTTTGTCTGGATGACCAAAGCCAATGGATCGCAAAGTTAATTAACTAAGTTAACCACGGTAACTACTTAGTTAACTACAGTAGTGAACTACGCTTAATAATAATTATTAATCCCCCAGACTAACTTGGTTAAGCTGGAAGTTGTGTTTGCATCTTAGTTAGTTTGTGCTGTTTGTGTTGATGACCAAGGACAAGGGCCAATCAACGTTCAAAGGTTCAGACAGCTAGATATAGTCCGTGGTTTATGTCGATAACTAAGACCTAATAAGTTAAACTCTGATTAAACTCACAAGAGACAATTGAATATCTAGATTACCAAGCGTTCGGTCGTTTCGGCCGCCGGGCTGAATAATCTGTGTCCTGATGTTCTCGCTATTCAAGTATCCCGGTACTTTTAAGCAGACCAACCCTCGATCCTTGTAGTATCTGCATCGAACTGTCTTTCTCCCCGCCAATCAATCAATTATTCATTTATCTGCCATGTCTCTCAAACCCCTTACTCTCTGGACCCTTCTGGGCCACGCCGGCAGTCCCAACCCCTGGAAAGTCCTCATGATCCTGGAAGAGCTCAAGATTCCTTACGAGACCAAGCCAACCGAACTCGGTGACCTAAAGAAGGAACCCTACGAGTCTATCAATCCCAACGGTCGTGTCCCTGCCCTCGAGGATCCAAACACCGGCATCACCATCTGGGAATCCGGCGCCATCCTCGAGTATCTGGTGGATACTTACGACAAGCAACTCAATATCAGCTTCGCCGCCGGCTCGAAGGAATACTACGAAAGCAAGCAGTGGCTCCACTACCAAACATCCGGCCAGGGACCGTACTTCGGGCAGGCCGCCTGGTTTACGATCTACCACCCTGAGAAGGTACCCAGTGCGGTCGAGCGCTATGTGAACGAGATCCGTCGTGTTTCGGGCGTGCTCAACCGATCGCTCCAGAACAAGGAGTACCTCGTCGGGGGTAAGTTCAGCTATGTCGATGCTGCTTTTGTGCCGTGGTTCGAGATTGCTACGCTCCTCTGGTCCAACGAAATTGATCTCGAGAAAAACTTCCCACACGTTCATTCCTGGTTGAACCGTATCAAAGCTCGCCCAGCTATTGCCAAGACCATTGAGGAGAAGGAGAAGGCCACGGCTGCCCAAGGGAAATAAGGCAATGTGATGGGCGTATAACGTGGATAAAAGTTGGGGTATTTTGATTAAATCCAAATATATCTGTCTTCTGGCTTTATATCTAGCCATTTCTGAAACCGTAGGCTTGGTAGCGGAACTAGAAAGAATGGAAGACTGTAAATTGGCGAAGCTGGGTTTGCACTTCCCTGTATCAAGATCCCGATTGAAACATGGCGGATAGAGAATCTGTAAGAATTGCTTCGATAGCTATCCAGGTAGGTACGGACTCACTAGTCAACAGACACTGTCTTGCAGCAGAGGTCATCAAGTATGAATATGGGTATGCTTATGTAAGTAAAGGAAATAAAAAGTACAGCCCCAAAGCCACCCATATCTATGAACCAAAAAGACAATCAAACACCAAGATAATATACACACCCTCAATCCAAAAACACCGGGACACCATACACCACCGGTGCAGCACCATTCAAATACTTCAGCTTACACGACGGCCTCGCCCCAGCAACCGCCGCATCCAAACTTGCGTCACCCGCAGAACGAGTCTTGCACTTCCCCTCCACCAATCCCCACGTCTCAAACGTGGACGTCGCAAACCGATCGATATCTTTATCAGTCACGTCCCACAGCGTAGCTACAAGTGCCGGGCTACCAGCCTGAAGATAATTCATTGGCGTGCCATAGGGCTCGTACTCGCCCGCCTCGGTGAGAGTACCACTGCTGCAGCCCATCAAGAATGCAACGGCGCACTTTGTCAGGCGTTTGACGGTACGGCCACGAATGTACTGCGCGCCGCTGCCGTGGCCGAAATACAGGAAGAGATCTTTGTTCTCTAGGGAGGCGCGGAATTCATCTTCGGAGGGCTCCCGATTGACCATTCCCGTCCAGGAATCCAGTTTGGATAGATCCCCGTCAAAGGTTTCCTGTGTTGTGCGCAAATCACCCGTCGGGTTGAGCAGGTATGAACCTGAAGTACGCTTGATGACAGCGCCAGATTGGGACTTGCGGAAATTGAGAACTCGCTCACGGAGACACTCGAGAGATGGGACTCGGCAGACGGGGAAACCCTGGAGACAAGGAAGAGATTCCCATGGGAATAGATGCAAGGCCTTGTCGAGGACTAGCACCGTGTGGCTAGGGGAGCAGGTAGCAAGTTCTTCCCGTGCAGCTTCATGGTAACCGCGCAATGCGTCAAGTGTATCGACGACCATCATGTCAAAGTCAATCTCGTCATAGGCGTTGCGTTCACCCTGAAATTGGAGAATGTCCACCACAAAGTAGAGCAGATCCATCAAGATATCCTCAGGCTCCTCTTCCTCTTCCAGATTGCGGAGACCAATAAAGAGCTCCACAACATTCTGATGCAGGGTAAGACGGGGTGAGGACGCCTTACCCCCCTTTTGACGGGAGGGCAGATGCTTGTCGAGAATACCCTCGAAGGCAGCCGCGAATCGGGCAAACGCATCACCATCTCGCGCGAGAGGCGAGAAGATACCACGGAAACCTCCAAACCAGACATTCTCGATATTCTGAAGCAGGCTCTCCATTCGACGATCAAGAGTTTCCCGGTTCTTCCACCACTCCCTCTTCATTGCCTTATTTGTTTGGGCCTTCGCAGCGTGCGCACTTTGATTAGCCAGCTTGATAAGCTCCTGCATTTCGTCCTTGCCATCTTCGAAAGTAAACTGCTCCTCCTCATCGTCATCCGAATTTCCTCTTCGCAGGGGAAGTCGAAGCAGGAACGGAGAGCGATTCTTTTGTAGTCGTGACACGACAAACTCGGTGCGGTCTGCGCTCAAGGACAGGGAGAGGACATTCCAATTTTCAGGCAAGATATCGATGTAGTTCTCGGCAAAGTTAGTACAAATATCGTCACTCATTTCGATGGTCGTGGGCGAGGAAGTCGGCCACAGCAGTGGATCGGCAAAGTCGGACAGTTGTCGATCAAAGTCAATAGCCATGCGTTCTCGAGCGAAAGCTCCAACGCGACCGATTTCTACGGGAATTAAAATGTCGGTTAGCATGTAAATTGTATGCCTTTCTTTTGTCCAGCACTCACCATTCATATTCGCAGGCGATTGCGCCCAGATAGCAGGACCTCCCGGGGTTGTAGCATGCGAAAGCATCGAAATCCGACTCATCAAGCGAGACGCGGTATGGCTCTCAAGAGTCGAACCAAGAACAGTAGCATCAGCAAAAACACTCGTCAGACAATCACTCGCTTTCGAAAGCATAATGGAAAAGTCCTCGCTGGCCTTCTGCGCCTTGGCGCGCGTAGTCTTAGCCGGAGCGCGGGTTCTCTTTGCCGCAGTAGGCTTTGCAGGTTGTGGCGTTGGCTCTTCTCCTCCCTTGACTGGAGACTTGAGAGATGGGAGGGAGATGGTAGATTCGGGAAGAACACAGTACACGGCGTGGCTGGCGAAATGGCGGATAGCATCGGCGAGAAGATGTTCGCTTTCGCCGATTTCGATTGAGACTTTGCTCTCGCGGGCAGTTGCACATTGTCGGGCTTCGGCGAGGGTTTTGGCAGAGAGGTCAAAATCGCATAGGGCACGCAAGCAATCAGCTTGTTGTCGGAGGACGTCGCCCTTAAGTCGAAGGAGAGAATTCGATTGAACCTCTGGCATCGGGGTCTTGGACGCAGAGGTCTTTTTCGAGGTTCGAGAGGTAGCAGCTGAGCTAGTCGCTCGTGTCCGACGTACAGGTGCAGCAGCGGAAGTCGTCGATGGCGTGCGTCTACTGCTGCGGACCTGCAACTTTGCCATCTTCTCCTCAAGGGCTGCAACGTTCGGCACTTCCGAGGTGCTTACTGTATCAGAAGAAGTTACAGACGCAATGGCCTTCTCTGCTTCTTGAAGCAGGCGAAGCGCTTTCTCATGTTGTCCTTGTACCCGGTAAAGAGAGGCAAGAGCCATGTGTAGTGAAACAGTCTCGATGCTCGTGTGAAGCTGTTTAGACGAGTCAGAAGCCGCGGCAAGAAGATCTTGACCTTCGCTCAGATGACCTCCGAGAATCCAGTAGCATCCAAGCTGAGTTTGAGCAGCAACGAGTCGTACATTGGCATCGAGTGTCCTGTCAATTTTCAAAGCCTGTTCTCCATAGTAAATGGCATCTTGAAATAGGCCATGATGAGCAGACAAAGTCGCTAGATTCAACAAGCAGGTGTGATGAGACCCAAGATGTGGCCAAAACGGAGCTCCTTGAACATAGCTGGCCGATACATCCGGCAAAGACCCGTTCTGAGAAAGGTCAAGCTTCGCCATCCCATCAGCGACAATCTCAACATCCGAGCCTGCACTAGAAGGCAGTGATCGATCTTGTTTCTTTTGAGCCAGCTTTTCAACTTTCGCCCAGATGCGGCAATTCAGTCTCACAGACAACTTGGCAAAGTACAACGCATGAGTCATGGAGCCCTGAGCAGTGGATAGCCGGGACTGAACAAAGGCAGCATCCGCAATCAATCGTTCCCACGAGATCTTGGACAGAACGGTCAAATTGTTGAGCTCGTCTGAGCTCTGACCCTTCTGGTAAAGTACTCTAGCTGCGGAAAGAGTGGCGACTGCCTTGTCAATCTCCCTTGTCTCGAGCAGATATTCCACCCGAGCAAGTTTGTACGAGATAGTCGCGAGTAAGGAAACCTGGTGTTTGGCAAGATACTGCTCGCCGCGCGCGAGCAGGTCTCCAGCCTTCTGACAATGACCGAGACGACAGTGTTGCAGTACTAGTCGAGCAAGAATAACAATAGCATCTGATAGGTCTCCAGATTGCAGGAGCTCTGATGCACGGAGAATCAGTTCCAAGGCAGAGAGCTGCGCTTTCCAAAGGCCGTGGATCTCGGTGTAGTCCACTAAAGCCTTTAGCTGAAGGACCCAATAATCGGTATCTGTGATGCAAAGAGAGAGCGCCTTTGCATCGGAGCACTGGCGGACCATGGAAGCCCAAGAGGAAAGGGTATCGTCTAGTTCACATACGTCCATCTTGCCTTGATGGAAGCCAATGATCAAGCGTAGAGAGTTTGTGAGGTGTGCTGCGAATGGAGCCAGGTCTATGTCCTCACCGGTTCCCTTGCCGCACTGGAGAGCCCCCGTTCCTTCGTCCATGAGTCTTGCCGTCAGATCAGCATTCATGGCGTTAGGGTGTTCCAGTAGGAAACGAAGAGCAAAGAGAATGACTCGGCCGTGTCGGATGGGGTAGAGTTCGGCAGAGTAAATGTCGAGTAAACTGGATACAACCGGGCTGAGAATTGACTGAAAGTTATCCTCACTTGAGCAATATCCATGGAGATCACAAAGAAGGCCCATTTGCCATTCGAGGAGCATTCCCCTTTGCCCAGAGTCCAGCTCATCATCATCATAGACAGACAAAGTCTTGAATCCCTTCCTGCGTAGCTTCGTCTTCAAAAACGCAGAAAGAACGCGGCTGAGCATGAACCCGGGGCTCTGGGGGTCATGATTGAGCATGCTGGGGCTAGCTCCTGCGTTGCCTTTAGCAATGTCCTCAAGTGTCCCTGCGTTGATGTATTCTGAGATGGAGGATCTAAATGCCTTTTCAGAATCATCAAACTTGTTACCATCCAGGTACAAGTGAGCAGTTCTCTCAAACTTCAGAGCGGCAAATGCGGTAGTTCGATGGCCAGGCGAGCAAGTAGCGAGCAGCTGGGTCGACTGTTTCAACAGGGGTAAAAGCTCGCGATAGCCCTGGCCAGCCTCTTTCTCCTTGATGTATCGAGACCAAAAGAGGTTAGAAAGCTTGACAAGTGCAGCGCCGATGTTCTCAGTCAGCGATGTATCGAAACCGTCTCCATCGGTAGCTTCAATGCTCGTGAGTAGTCGGTGGCAATCCGTCAAAATAGGAAGTATGTCATCCCATGGCGGCCTCTGAGACATAACCGATAGTCGTCCAATAGCAACAGCCGAGTCCACACCTGCAAGGATAATACTCTTAGACATTGCAATCCGAACCCTGAACACCTCAGCCTCCTTCTCGTCACCACCGTCTGCCGGAGACCGCCCGACATAGCGCCGGAGTAATCTCAAGAAAGCTTGGAGATATTCCCGGATCTGGGATGCAATTTCGTTCTTCTCGGTATCACTCTCGACAGACTTGGTGATCGTCTCGCCAAACCAGGCCAATGCAAGCTTCTTCAGCCTAGCAGATTCAACCACCAATTCATCCAAATCAGTGACACTACCTCGTAATTGCAATCCCAACGCAATACTAGCCTCTGCGGTAGCCTTCAAAGCTCCATCGAGGAACTTCTTCGATTCTTTCAGGCCCTGGAAATAGACAAAGGCAATTTTGCAACGGACGGTAGCCAGAGCAAGGCTCTGAGAGTTGGAAAGTGGAGTGACTGCCTGGGCAAAGAGCTTGAGCGACTCATCAAGACATCCCGCATCCAAAGCGAGCTGTCCAAGAACGGTCATTATCTTGGCAGCCGAGTTCATATCCTTGGGGTCTTGACGCTGTTTCTTGATTTCCGCCATTGAAGATTGAATCCGCGTAATCGTCTTGTAGACTACCGCAAAGTCGGTCTTCTCAATATCTTTACTGCGATGGGAGAAGACACCGAGGTAGCGTAGGAGCGGATCAATCATTTCCTTACTTTCATCGCAGACATGGCCGGATGTTTTCCACCCCAAGCAGCGTATCTCGAGAGATAAAAGTTGTAGACTGAGCGTCGTGATTGGTTTCAGTGTGTCTTTGCTTGTCGATCCGTCGGTGGAAGAGGACTTGCCGGCGCATAGAGACAGCACTGTGTTGGAGAGGAGTTGTAGCTGGAGAGCAGCTTTGTCGCTGGTCAAATTCCCAGAGTTCATAGCAGCAACAATGATAGAAGCAGGACTACTCCGATCAGACAGTTGCAAGAAAGGAACAAGGCGCTCAGTTGTCGAGGGTTTCTTCTCAGCAACAAGAAGCCGCATCGCATTCGCATGGTAAGAAACCAGCAATCCGTACACCGACTCTGCATTGGCGATATTCGAGAATGTAAGAAGATCGGACATTCGTTCCTTGCCCGCATCTTCATCCGCAACATCCTTTGCCGGCACACCCTTTTTCCCGGCTTGTTTCGTATCGAGATGTAGTTGTATCCTCCTCTTCAGCGATCGAAGTTCCTTGCACGCCATCTCGTTCAATCCCAGAGAAATCAATTTCCCAGCTAACACACACGCGCCCTGCTCGAATTGTATATTCGCTAGTTCCGTTGATGATTGATGGTCGTTCTTGAGTGCTCGTAGTGTTGCCAGAGCTAGCCTCGCGCATTCCGCGGCCGAGGAGACGCCTTTGTCCACGCCGGCCCCATTGGTTCTCCCGGACTTGGTCGAGAGATTATCCGATGTCGCAGTTTGTCGTTTCGTAGCTGGGATTTTCGACGCGTCCGTCAAAGTCTTCAATGTGACATTGAAGACCTCCGTCGCAAGCACGAGCTTCTCCTGAGGCGACAACGCGGGGCCATCCTGGTCAACGAGGTGCAACGTCGTATCATTCGTATTTCGCGTCTTAATCGTTCTAGACGTCTTCGCTCGACTCGTCGTAATAGCGGGTTCCTTCGTAGTCTTTGTATTCCGCCGGACAGGCTTCTCGGGCGCCTTTGACGAACCGCGGAGCAATGTTTGGAGGGACAACACGGTAGCATCGGAGCATGTTGACGTCGACCGCACAGCCTGCTTGACGGACTCCGAAATCGAGCTGGGTGGTAAGACGGTAACCGCCATGGTGCGCAGGGGGGAGGGGGTGAGAGCCTTCACGACAGGAAGTGCGGTCACGAATTCGGACTTTCAAATCGAAGCTTTGCTGATATCACTGGCCAGACCCCGTGGGAACGCTAAACGGGCGTGTTGTCGTAGCAACAATCCACGTTATACCCAATAAGGCATATATGCCTTAGAGCCTCAGGCAGAAAAGGACCTTTCACTTTTGCCCGCGGGCGTTTTCCCAGCGTGTTACGAGAAGCAACAGCACAACCTCAACCCACACAACAATGACAATGACAATGCCACTCCGAATAAGGCCCGCGGTTCTCACGCGCAAACTCCTCTCACCACAATACCCTTCTCCATCCATAATCACCAACTCGTGCCGCGCGCCCGGCTCCAGATTCTACGCTACCTCGGAGCGACTCCCGAAGATCGCAGATAGCTCAGTATGGACGGCGATGGTGCCGCGATTCATCCGGAACCGCAAGTCGCGCAAGGCGGGCGAGTCGAAGGAGTGGAACCCGGCTACATTTTATATTGTGATGTTTACGTTGATCGGGTCGCAAGCGATTCGATTGCTTACGTTGAAGAATGGGTATGCGGCGTATCGGCGGTCTGTGGATGCGAAGATTGAGCTTTTGAAGGAAGTTATTGGGCGGTTGCAGAAGGGGGAGAAGGTTGACGTGGAGAAGTTGTTGGGAACGGGGGATGAAGCGAAGGAGTTGGAGTGGGAGGATGGTATGTCGTTTTGAGTTCTTGGGATTTGGAGTTTGAGCACTGGTTTATACTGACTTGGTATCGTTTCTAGTTCTTCAGCAGATCGAGCAAGAGGATGCACAGTGGCATTCACAACCAAAAGCTGCGAAGGAAGAGAAGTCTACGCAGGAGTCGGAAAGGAAAGACTCGAGTGTCTCTGAGACATCGAGTGATAATGATACTGCGACGAAGATTCAGTCGACGCGGAAGGTGAACTTCTTCTAAGAAGCAAAAAGTGAACTGCTTTAGGCGATAGCAGTTTCAGGAGTGCAGGAACATGATTGAGCAAGAGTTTACCGCACGAGGCCCGTTGTAGTATGATCTCAGGCACTGTAGCTTTTGAAGCGCTTCTTGACAGCGCTCCTCTCCAGCTGCGCACTGGAACTACGTCCAAGTGCGAGACTCTGATATTCCAGGGCCTTTCATCTTGATGCCGACTGCTCAATCTCATGTACTTATACTTGTATATATTCATCCCGAGATGGTCAAAGACTCACAATTCCAGCATATGACCTACTCCATATATACCTCTTCCCACACTCTCAACAACGAACATGAATACAAAATAACACCATGGAATATCAACTACCAACTTCCTCTTCAAAGTAAAATCCGATTCTATCCGGTCTAGATCTAAGTACAACACAAAACTCAAGTCCCACCCACAGACCCAAGCGCTGTACAGAACGATCCATCCATCCAGCTCACCAATACCCCGACACACAGGGTAAACCTAACCCCCCTCCCATCTATATATATCTCCCACACCCCCATCTTTCCAGATCTATCCTTTTTGATACAATACAGTGCATCCCAGCCACACGCCAGGAGATAAGGAGATGAATCATGCAGTAGGGCAGGCGGGAACGGAAAACAAGACTATCCATCCCAGTCCGGCCCGACACAACACTCGTGGCCCCTCAGTTTTTCAAGCACAGAAGATTCAAACCGCGAAACAAAATATGGGAGATGAACGGAAACGGGGCGTAAATAAGAAAGACCGAATAGGCAAGAAACAAAAAAGAGAAGAAATCTGATGCTAAATGGTTGATGGAGGCGAAGACACGAGGAAAAAAATGTTTAAGAAGGAAGAAATGCAACCCCAAATATTGAAAATCATATCGCTATGTAACCAAAGACAGCGGAGGGAGGGGGCAAATCACTGCTTAGCACCCGGCAGGAACTTGGGCCAGTTCTCGGGGCGAGGGACCTGCACTCGGCCGATGTTCTGGTCCACATCCAGGATGAGCTTCAGGGCGTTCCTTGAGCGGAGGTATGGTAGGGGAGCCTTGGCGCCCTGGAGGCCGACACCAGGCTCGACCTGGCCGGTGGGGGAGATTTCGTGTTCCGCGCCGGGCAATGGGAGCATCTTCTGGAGGACCTCGTATGCGGCCAGGGTGAAACCGAACTGCGGTGATGAGCGCATGATACGGGCTGGACCACCCTTGAAGAAGGCCTTCAGACCTTCCTCCTTCCACACTGTCGCGGCGCAGTGGCGCAGGCCGGTGTATTTCGTCTCGCCCTTGCGGGCTTCGACTTGCAGACGGGTCTTGATCACGTCGCAGGGCGTGGTAAGGTAGGCGGCGGGCATACCGGCGATGGCACCGGCAGTGAGAAGTTGGACGACGCCCAGCTTGTTGGTGGCGGTTTCACCGAAGAAGTCGGACTTCAGGTGGGCATATGTGGGGAAGTAGATGGCGGAGAAGGGCACTGTTTAACTGTCAGATACTTTTCAAGAATCATTGTTAGATGATTGTTCTTACCGTCACGGAGCAGACAAGCGGTGGCGCCCTTGTACAGACCCACGAGACCGAGGTTCTTCACGATCCACAAGGCAGAGCGGCGAGGAGCACCCTCGACGTTCTTGGCGATCTCACCTTGGACCTGGAGACGAATCTTGACGATCTCCAGAGGGTTGGTGAAGACCTGGAAAAAAGAAGGAAATTGTTAACGCAAAGAAAAACTAAGTGTTCATCGAAATTTGAACCAACTCACCACTTGACAGGCACCAGCAGTACCTCCAGCCAGAATCTCATGAAGATACCGGATCTTGTTGGTATCCTTATCGGTAAAGGCGCCACGCACGAGATCGTTCACGGTCAGCTTAATGGCCTTCTCGGGAGCCACGCCAATCAGCTGCGGGATAACACCGGAGTACAGGCCAAGGAAACCCTCGTTCCGGATGACCTTCCTCGCGCAGTCAATGGAGTTGTTGTAGAGGCGTTCACCAGGACGGTTGGACCGCTGGTTCTGCATACGGGTCTTGACCAGGTCAATGGGGTAGACCATGAAAGCACCGAACGCACCCGCCAGACTACCCAAAGCAAAGTGATGCGCCGATTCCAACAGACCGTGCAGGAAGTTCTGGGTCTTGGTGGCCGCCGCCTCCACCGCCTGACCCGCAACTGCGACAGGGATACGCCATGAGGCGTCGATGACCTTGGCAAAGTCCTTCTGGGATAGACGGCCGGAGGGCGCATCCAGACCAGCGAAATGGAACAGAATATCAGCCTCCATAGGGGTGAACAGGGAAAAGCGGGTGACGCGAGCGGCCTCGTTCAAAAAGTCAGAGCGGGTGATCTTGCCGTCGCGGCTCTTGAGGGTGGCCTCGCGGACGATCAAGTCGATAATATCCATCTCGCGCATGATGTTCTGGAAGGCACGGACGGTAGCGTAGGAGATTTTGTTGCTGGTCGAGATGTTGCACAGCGTGGGCAGGTTCTCCAGCAAGTGGTCGGAGAGCTTGTGCTTGGAGGTTTCCAGGATGATGCGCTGGAAGTCCTCGGGCTCAATGTAGCCATCACCATCCTTGTCGAAGATGTGGAAGGCCTGGCGAATGCGCTCGCCTTGCAAGCCGCGCAGCATCTGGGAGAATTGGGGGTAGGTCATATCGTGGCGCGACTTGGTGCGGCCAGTGTAGAGGGACGCCCATTCGGAGTTCCAGTCAAAGGGAATGCTATCGGCGCTCTTGTTCAGATTATACATTCCTTTGACGGTCTCCCATTTCACGGTCCCGCTGCCATCGAGGTCGAACAGGCGGAACGCAATCTCGTATTCTGCATCGGGCTTCGTAAGGAGGTTCTCGAAGGTGGCCCAGTCGGACAGGCTAAGCTTGCCGGATCTCCGTCGGTCTGCCACTCGGAAGAGGATGCCATATTGCTCGCGCTTGATTTTGTGCTGAAATTGAGGAATGGGTTAGCCGGGGTGCTATTCTTTGGAGGTCTCGAAATTGTTTCGGAGTTCCATGCGAGGGAACGAGAACGGGGAAAGCGAAGGCATTGAAGAAGAGACCAAAAAGCGAGACTCACATAATCCTCCTGCTTCGGAGCAACCGCATTAATGAAATCGTCCTCGGTCATGTACAACTCGCCATTTTCGTCCTTCTGAGCGTGGCGCAAGAAGTTGGAGCGGGCCTGGAGCGACAGCTCGGGCGCCTCTTTACTGCCAACCAGTGTGCCCTTGACGGTATCCTTGACGCTCGCCATTGTGTCACAGAACAGGACTGTGTCGAAACTTGAAAGGGACTGGGAGCGACCCGAAAGTGAAAATCCACCGCACAACAACTGGGGGAAGGGGGAGGGGGGGGAAGAAGGGCAAGGGAAGATCGAAGGTGGAGAACGGGGGGACCGGGTTGAGTCAAAAAGGAATGATGAACCCGCTGCTGATGATTTCGCGATAATAATAGAGAGAGAGAGACTCCGTCCGTGGCTCGAACAAATCGAGCTGAAGATTGAGCTTTTGGTTGGTCTTGATTTTTGATTTATTCTGATGGATTGACTAAGATTAGAAGAATTCTACAATTGCAAGTCAGATGACCTGGTCCGCGTGTTCCTGGCCATTCAATGAACCAAGTGCCTGTGAATCTTCATAATAATGTTTGGCCACGCGAGTATGAGTTTTTCACCGCCCCCTGGACTCTGGGACTGTGGCCCTTTTTCGGAGGCGATTTACCCGCGAGATCGGGCTGGGGGCCGACTAGTCTCCTACTGCGAGGAACCCGATGGTACTCCGCATTTTCACTGGAGAAAGAGAAAGTGATGACATCCTGACTCGGGAGTATTTCTGTCAATTGTTCTACTTGGAGATATGCAAGATTGATCTGCTATCCACACTATCACAGATCCTACAGTATCCAGATCGACCTGAGATTGACTGGCAGAATAGAATTTTACGGACTCTCCTTTGCCACCACGAGCCACGGTTAAAAAGAACCATCCAGCCAATGATGCGCATACCGAACCCCTGGCGAGAACCAGCAAAATCCGGTTCTTATGACAGTCAGCAAGCTCAATACATCGTTAAATATAGAAAGTACTATAAAGTATAACAATAAACAATTCGCAGCGGAAAGCACCATCCCAACCGCCTCGAAAGTACAGTACTTTCCTCCTGGAGTACCGGAGGATCCAGAATATAGCTCAACTACTACTTAGGACTAGCTTCACCTGGCCATGGTTCAGGTGACCATGCGAAGATCATCGGAAGGGTGAAACCGGAGCCGGTCGCATTTCACATGTCCCTCCTTCGGTGAGTGTGTCACTGTGTATGACTATGTGCGGCATAAAAAGAAAACGCCCACGATAACTCTCGGGTGCCGCCGTGATCGGTGCGGAGCAACGAGCGGGTCCGCGTGAAAGTTGGAGGGATTCTGGAAGTCTGGAAGTCTGGACAGGTCAAGATGGCGCCGAAAAGCGTGTGGAAAAGTTGGAGAACCGCCCAAAGTCCTTGACCTATTGGACACGCCTTCCCCTCTTTCTCCCCAGCGGACCGACCAGTCTCGGCTTAACTCCGCCTTTCTCGGGCGTTAGTCTCTCCGCAGCTCTCCTCACCGTGGCTGAAATGGGGAAAGATCCTTGGGGGGGGAGTGGTTGGGGAGTACAATACTGTAGTATGTAACAAATATAGCTACCGTAGTCATACATAGGGGGTTAGTTAACTAGTTAACTGACTAACTATAGGATGACGAAGCAGGATTTAGGCAGTAACAACGGCTGAATATAGGCCTCTGGATCTTCTTGTGCATTATTCCTACCCCATAGTTAATTAGTTGACCCCGATTCTACCAGCTCTGCCCGCGGCCTGCATGGCATGCCTCTGGTTACCTTGAACCGACGCTTAAACCTGCCTATTATGGCCAACCAATTTATTCTAGCTGCGGCCTCCTCCGGCCTTCATAAAGCTGTCAGTAGCTTCCATCAACACAATTATATTCTTTTCATCACGCTATACAGAACCGAAATAGGAGCTACTAGCGAATTGAGAAGGATATCCTGCGTGAGATAATTTTGAGGTGCGAAATGGTGCCTTTGAAGGCCTGCTACGCAAATTCGGGAGACCTGTCAAACCCCCCGCATTGGACGAATTCTCCAACGGGAGGAGTGTTATGAGCCAAAAGGATAAATCGTCAACAATCGGTGGCATTCAGCGAGAGTATCACGAAGAGAATATATCTGATGTGGTGGTATTTGACTTATCTCACTGATAACGAGCGAAATCTCTTATCGTCCCGATTCGGTAACCTTGCTCCCATCACCAAACCAGCAAACTTAAGGCTTCACATAGTGGGAACTAGACTACTTGTGTCGTTTAGACGAACATTTAAGGAAGCACCCTGGTCAAGTTGAATCTGCAGAATGTGCGCGAAGCCTTTCCGCACAGCAACAGAAACCAGTGGTATACAGGGCTCAAACATGTCGTTGATAAAGACACAAGTTGAGGATGCCATAGAGGCGATAACATGTTTGGGAGAGATGGTTGACATCCGGGAAGCGAGTGAGTATATCCGCGATGCTGAGGATCACCTCGTTTGGAAGGTGCGAATGAAGCATGTTCGGATCCGGGCGATTCATTTGACGCTGAGAGATTTTTTATCTCTTTGGAAGTGATCGATGCGCCTGGCAAGACGCTTCAAGTAGGTCGGATTCAGCGCTGCTCACGTTATGGTTCCAACTTTGTATAACGGCATGTGATACTGTAAATAAAGCACTCGGTATACCTGTCTACTTACCATCAAACGCATTCCGAGGCTTCTCCAACCCTATCAACCGAAACAACACCCTCTCAACTGGCAAGAGAACCAACAGAACCCGATTTAAATAATAAGCACTAGCAATAAGCACAATACCAACCACCATATCGAGAACGAAATGATTCGCAGTCGCAACCACCGTCACTCCCATCACCACTGGCCAAAGCGGAGCAACGACTCGCAGAAACCCGTGCGGACTGTATACCACAAGACAAAACGCAAGAAACGCCGAGTTACCAAAGTGCAGCGAAGGCATCGCCGCAATGGTTAATTGGAATTTGTTTCGCGTCCACGCCGACCCCGAGTTCTCGCCGTGCAGCACATCGATGAAACCGTAGTCTGAAGGGAGGAGACGCGGGGGCATGCATCGCCAGAGCGATAAGATTACGAACGCGATAGCGTTTGTTAGGGCTAGGGTGCGTCGGAAGGCTTGATACCGGTTGCGTGGGAGGTATGTGTAGCTGTAGACGTAGAAGGCAACGCCGACGATGATGTGGGAGTAGTAAATGCTGGCGAGAATACCGATCAGTCGGGGTGATTTGGTAAGAATGAATTGCTGGGCGGAGAGTTCAATATCGATGTGGAGGTAGTGCTCAAGGGAGAGGAGAAGGATGGCATGGTGCTCGGCTTTTTGGAAGATAGGTTTGTTGTTAGCGATGACTCGTGCGGAGACGGCTCGCGCGCCTTGATATATCTGGGTCTTGTCAGATATGATTAAAGAGCATGGGAGTCAGTAGATGCCCACCCAGTAAATAAGCAGCCAGTACCAGATCTCGAGAAGGAATGGGTACCGCGCCAGCCAGCGGGAATGAAATCTCAGTTGAGGTTTTAGTCTGGCTGTCTCGGCAACTACAGCTTCTCCGGGTTCGCCATAAGTATCCTGTTCTCGCTCAGATTCATCCTCGTGCAGTAGTGGTGTGCGCGAAGGATCATGCACACGATCATAACGATCGGCACGCCGGTTGATCCACGCTCCTAGTGTGAATATCCCCGCGATCGCTGTTCAAAGTAGATGAGTAAATAAAAGAGGAGGCTGAACAGATCTAACTTGGTCCGTTCATTGGCATCTTGACGGCTGACTTACCACTAGGCTCGAGGATGTTTTTCAGGTTGCTCATGGCATGCGGGCGCTAATCGGGATAGATATGGATAAGTTGAAGGATAAGATGTTCTAGACACGTATCTCTCAGATATGAAAATAGCCTTAGTAAGATCAAATTTGAAATGGAGCAGCTCTGGAGAGACCTTAAAGAGGCACTGGACATACCCCGGCTGTCTCGGGAGTGGCCGGCTTCTCCACATAAATCCCTGCCCACCGAAGCCTGATTCGTGAATGAATCTTACAGCCACTACTGGTAGGGTGATTGCTTGTGTGATGAGTAGTCAGATCTGACGTTATGGGATTTGACTGGTAGCTTGAAGTTGGAAATCGAGGCTGCCTAGAGAGTCACAAGTCACGGCTGTCTGGGGCCGGGGTTATGATAGCGTGTACTGACTGGCGTCGTGTTGGCTTACATCTTGGCTTATTCTAGTTAACCAATACTCGCAATATTATTAAGATCAATTTATAGACTTAGAACCCTTTCAACAGGTCTTTCAACAGGTATTTCAATACTTAGAGGAGTTTTTCACAACTCGAATTAGTGCATTTAGTGTGTTCTAATCTATCTCGAATATAACTATTCCTATCTATCGTACGGTCTCAGCCTAGGACGGACTGCGTTTACGTACGCCATAGTGCTTAAGACGGTGCAATCCCTAGTGATACGGGCCATTATAAACAAAGCCGTGTGGTAAGGTTATATAGAACCCATGAGGGGATCCGACGGGTATGAAAAATTACATAGTTTTTGACGCCACTCTGAACTTCAACCTAGATTTACTCAGAATCTTTGATCATAAAGCGGCCCGTAACTAAAAAGTAACTTTGATTAGGTAGATATTATTTGCACATCATACTAAGCCACTTTTAGACTAACGACGCCTCACTATGATATGTGGCAGGGACTTGTCCAAAAATGGCCTATGGTGACGTGCGAGTCGGGTTTCTTGTTGCGAATAAGGAATCTCTCTAATTAAGCTAACTTTCTTCGACCAATTGCACTCATTCGTCATCAATTCCTTTGCAAAGCTTGAACTGACTATACTCATCTATCATCAACCATCACAGCTGATTCGGCTGCCTTACTTTTACTGGAACTGCTATAGTCTCTAGACTAGTGGCCTTGAGTAGTCGGCAGAATGTCATCATCCTACAAGACGGTGAGTCCTTGTGTATCCTCTAGTTTTTCGACACTCATAATCAAGCTAGAAGCTGGATCGAAAGCTAAACAGTTACACACCACTTGAACCCACGGACAAAACCAGAGACTTCCTCCGTGACTTTTTCGAAGTCCTTCCTCCTGACGGAAGGCAAAATCTGGCGGAGGAAGTTTCAGAATGCGCAGATAAGAAGCTTCGGCAACTATTCCAAAGCATCAGAACCGGTTTATTGATTCCTTTGAAAGCACAGGGTGGCAAAACACCCGCTGAATTGACTCCTGAAGAACCAAGCGGATATCTCAAGTGCCTAGACACGTAGCCCGTTAGCAGAAGCTCTCAGTCGCAACTCCCACACAACTTTTTAGAAAGAGATGGCAACAAATGTGTTGCAACGGGGCATTACCGTCACCGTCACGCTCCTCCACCGAACGCGATGACGAACTATATTGAAGCAGCCCACATTATTCTGGGATCTAAAATCAAGGCGAGGTGTGGGCGAGGTAGTGAAAGACAGAGATGCAAACATTTGGGTTAATCTAAGGCGATACTTTCCAGTTCTTCGCAGTATGGAGTTTACCTCACCAGCAGATCAACTCGGAAAACAACGTCCTGATGCTAGGCCCCCAGCTTCACAGAGAATTCGGACAATTCTGACTCGTTTTCGAAGCAACCGGAATTGCTCACCAATATCGACTCAAGACCTTTCCAGATACTATCACAGCACCGTTGCGAGACTTACCTAAAGATCGGCTTGTCAAGTTCCGAGTTCACAAAGGAAGTTGGGAACTTCCAGATCCTAGACTTCTCGAAATTCATGCTTGTATTGGTAACTTTCTACATATGAGTGGCCAGGCGGAGATAATCGACAATCTTTTGGAGAATTACGAAGAATGTGGTGGGCTTGCTCCGAGTGGAGGCGGCAACCTAGAAGACCTTCTTGCAGCGAGCAGTCTCTCACTACTAGCAACGTCTGACGATAGATAGGAATAGTAATATTCGAGATAGATTAGAACAGACTGCAAGTGGATATAATAGTTCTAATTGTCAAGAAGAAGACCTATTAGAAGACTTACTAGAAGACCTACTAGAAGACCAGTTGGAAGACCAGCAAAAAACGAGTTGTATAACTATACATAAAATTTCCCCCAACGAGGGTAATGATGTAGACTGCATAAGGAAGAATAATTAATATATAGCTTTCTGACCCCCTCTAAGCAAATAGAAGCTGAGTATAGTTAGAAAGTAGAGGGATTTAGATTTCAGACTGCTCCCAGTTTTAGTGTGAGCTCCCCCGAGCTAAATACCCACACATGAATGTCTTCTTAGTCTGGAAGTATCTCTATTGATATCTCGAGAAACATATGACAATCGAGGAAGAAGCGAGACATTGAAGCTCCAATTATGCGTGGAGTGGATATCGTAAATGATCAAATTGGTTACAAAAATACCCGCATTATCATGCCGGTCAAAAACGCTTGATTGTGAAAGGAGATCCAACGCTAGCGCCACCATGTTCTCATCTTCTGGTCCCATCTCAGGCGTGATCGTAAATTCATGTCATGTCACATAAATGAAGACTGAGCTGATTTGATGCCAGCTCGTGATTTGAAGCGAGTGCGGTCATGTCATGTCTTGAGTCTTTTGATTAGGGTCACATTCGCCTGAGATGAAAAGCGTCCGCTCTTACATTTGCCAAGTGTGCCACATCTGAAGTCAACAGCTCCGCATACTCTGCAAGTGAGAGGGAGTCGTCTTGGATAGACTCAGCGATGCTCGTGATAGCCCCGGGTACGCCATAGGACAAGCTAGCTATCTTCTTTAGAGCTTTCTGGTCTGCTCGGCGCAGTTTAACATCTGATCCTAGTACTAGACGTTGCAGGAGTGTCGTTGCCTCGCCTATCGAAAGTGGACCCAGGTCGGCGCCAGCTCCATTTTCAAAGAAACGATTGTTTGCCGCATAATTTCGACTTGTGATCAAAATTGATCCATTTCCACCACGTGGAATGTAATTGGCAATAACGTCGAGGTCATCGGCTTGGTCGAAGATCAATAGCCAGCGACAATTGACACCCCAATCCACACTCTTCTTTGGATTGTTCAGCCACGCTTTTGCGAGTTTCCGCCTTGATTCCGGAGTCGGGTGACTGTATGTGTTTGTAAGGCCTAGGTAGCTCGGGATTTGGCAATAGTCGGTCATCAATTGGGCCGCACTACCAGCGTGCAGCCAAAACACGGCGCCGAATTGGTTTTTCCTTGAGTAGGCATATTCGATAGCCAGATCGGTCTTGCCAATGCCACTCTCTCCGCAAATTGCAAAGCTGCGGATACTGTTCATGTCCGCAGGAAGAGATGTCTCTTGTGGAAGAAGGTGCTCATCCATCGATCGCAAGATATCGTCCCGGCCGACGAAAGTGTGGTTTCGTGATTTCTCTGCGAGGGCAAAGCAGGGGAGATTCCAGTTTCCAAGACTCAGCATCCGAGTATTCAGTTGCTGACCGAGGTAAAGCCCATAGTCCGAGAGAGAAAGTTTGGGAACGCTGCATTCGCTGTGGTGGCATTCCCCCGAGCATGGTTGACGAGACATCGTAAAGGTCCGCATATCGCAAAATTCCATCAGGTCGTAAAGGATTGTCTCTTCAAGCAGAATCGCACGTTTGAATTCCAGTGTAGATCTCCCTCCCCTTGTAATGGGCCGATTAGGTGGATTCGGAGGATTTAAAGTCGCGGCAGGAGGAGCTGAGTCTCTATACATACTCTTTATCTGCTAGGCACCGACTAGTGACGCAGAAAAGTTTGTCAAGTGTGCAATTTCTCCTCTTGCCATTATCGAGTTCCTTTTTGTGATTCGCGCTGTAATAATATCATTGCCACGTTTGGGATGTTCACCATGAATTTTCGAGAAGCGAGCGGAGAAGACTCCTTCCTGAATGGGATTAGTATTCCCGGTTTGAAAGCCTACGAAGCTCTGCGTGGGGAAAAAGTACCCCCACTTTCGGTCCAGATCCTTGCACTACTACGGCTGCTTGTTGGATATGTTGGCTTCAATAACGGCTGAAATTATGGGGTGGCTTAGTAGGCTACCGGTCGGATTTTTGACTAAGATTTGTAGCCGGGGTCGCGAGGCATGAGGTATTCTCATAGTAAAATATAGTTACTCAGAGCGTAGACCCATTGTTCAATGACGATAGTCAAATCTCGGCGAGATGTAAATCCTCCATTTCTGTTCACTTAAGGCAGTTGAATAGGCATCATGTATAAAGTTAAACAGTCAGTCATCAAGGACGCTAGTATGATTCTGGTAAGAGGCTCTTCCGCCTCCTTCCTAAGTTCGCCAGGAGATCACGGAGTCGCGGTGGAGAACCTCTCCGTTTGCGAAGCCCGATCTCCGGTTCGGGCAACAGTCTCATCTGGGATCAAATCATCATTAGTTGAATTGTTTAATCCAACACAGACGCTAGTCAACGTGGCCTATTCTCGGGATAAACCTACCGACCATGAGTAGCGTTGTCTCTTCTTATCAATCAGTCTACAAGAAAGCTTTTTTATTTAGCTTGTGAACAAGTCCGAATTGCTTCGTACCTTGAAACTGAGAAACATCCTTTCTTCTTGATTAAGGCCGTGTTCATCTTTCTTTTTTTTTTTTTTTCATTTGTTTATTTTCTCAAATTGGGCATTTATAAATGACGACTTTTTAAACCATGGCTTGCCTCGAAGATCAACACAAGCACAACGTCAGTACGACGCAACACGATTTGCAAAGTTCAACGTTTATCTCAAGTCCCCTACTTAACTCGGGCACTACTGCCCGAAGGCGTAAGTGGATAGACTAACGGGAGCCCTGTGCCGAGGGATGTTTAACAAGAATGGTCCCACATCGAGCATGCTACACATACTACATCCAGTATATACCAGTCAAGAAAACTCATCCTCTTGTGATTTCACATTGAAAACCATGCTGAGCGACCGGGCGCATGCTCAATTTTCCAGTTCAATTACCTCCTTGGCCTAGTGTGAATGACGACGCAAAGTATTGCAGGTGGCCCCCCTCCCCCCAGCCGGGTCTTCGGACTTTGGACCTGCCGCGTGATTCCAAGTGGTCACTACTCCTTCCCGATTGATGGTTGATCGGAACTGGTGGACAGATTTTGCTTCCAGACGCACCTGCTGGGGCCTTACCGCCTGAGAGAGATGGCCTGCTAGGGAAGGTGCATGTGGCTGCATGGCACACCAGGCCATCACGGCCCATCACATCCTGTTCAGTCCAGGACTGGCAAGGACGTCATACTGATTGGATGTGGTGACGGGGTCGAGCTTGCGAGCCAGCCTTGCAAGGTTGGGCCTAATGCGTGATGAGGATGGTGATTGTGCGGTGTGCAGCGTTCAGTGCATTGGCTGGGCGCTTCGACAGCGCGCGATGGTTGGCTGCCAGGTATCCCTCCCCCGCCCGCGACTCAGTATATAGCCGCCCATAACATCCACGTCCTGGACCAGTTCTTCGTCGTTGCTGCATCGTTGTTTGAGATTTTTCTATTTTCTTCTCTTTCTATTTTCGTCCGCGCTTCGTTCTGGCTGGTCCAAACGAGCTGTTCTTTTCTGCCTTCCCCCTCCAGATTGTATCTTCTCAAGTCTACTACGTCGATAATCGTCTTTCTCTCGATCCATACTTTTCTCTAGGTTGTCTTCGTTGATCGAAGTTAAACCTGTGACTACAAAACTACATTGTCATCTTCATAATAAAAATTTCAATTCCCTGTTCTGTCAATCTTGTCAAAATGCTTCGATCCGCCAAGCCCAAGCTTTCCCTGAGCATCGTTACTGCCCCGACTACATCGCGTCCGTCGCTGTCGCTCAAGTCGCCGGTTGCTCCTCGCACTCCAATCTCGCCAGCGAGTCCAGCAAGCAAGCGATTTTCTTCTTTGCAAGTACCAAGTTACTCTTATGTCAACTCATGCTCCTCGAAGAGCATCCTCAAGAAGAACTCTGCGGTGCGACCAAGTGTCGCAGACAAGCGCATCCAATTCCAAGGCACGCCCACTATCCACTGCGTGACCCCAATTGAGAATACCGATGAATACTATGGCAAGCATACCAAGATGTCCCGAGAAGAGCGACGATGGACTGTCCGCGAGTGAACTGTCTCGTGTACTGTCTGGACATTTCTTAATGCCAATGGCCGCGCTCTCTCTCTCAGAAACATGGACTCTCAAATGATCGGGCTCAAGATTGCCAACAAACGAGGAGTTGGATAGTCAGGAACAATTCAACGATCCTCCAAACCTGAAAATCAAGGCTTGCTGCACCTCAGACTCGAGCCAGCTTGGCGAACTACCAGCCTTGCAGAACAGTGTTCAGCCCTTTGACAGCTCAGGCTATTCAATCTCTTGTGAGCTGACTCGAGGTACAAATGCGGCCTTGGTCCGTTCCGGGCCATGAAATGAAGATGACTGTGTCTCAGTGTGTTGAGCCGACGATTATATCTTACGACGTTGACGGGCCCACGATTTATGATCTATATTTAGTATAACCAAAATAGTTTAACCCAATCCAGTCCTTACCTACACCCAGTCCTGTGCTTGTAAAAAATATTTTCGCTGTAGCCTTATAAACCCGATGTTCTTACCTATTTCGGGCAAGAGAGTCCTTAAGTTTCCCTGGGGAAGATGTGAACAGGTCGGGCTAGGGTCTTGATTTCCAAGCATATCGATTTGACTAATGGATCAGTACGAGGCTGATTGACTTGTGGAAGGCCTTGGTTCCACATTCTCCAAAAGCTTCTGGGGCATAGGATATCATTGGCTATATTTTGCGGGGACTGAGTCACGCTACAGATTTCCCAGGTTCGAGTCAATTTGACCATCGTATTGAAGTATAAAAATACAGCACCAGATTTCCGACTTGATTGCAATCATACGTATCCTTTAAAAAATTTCTCATGTCTGAGGTAAACGAACAGTCGCCTAATATTCAGATCGTCACGGAGAACGTGGTGATCAATGGCCACCGAATTGCCTACGGCGTCCACGGTTTAGGGCAGCCCATCGTCCTCTTACACGGAACACCCTCATCATCTGCAATCTGGCGTAATATCTTTCTCCCACTTGCAGAGGCTGGGTACAAGGTCCATTTCTTCGACTTACTAGGCTACGGGCTATCGGAGCGCCCATGGGATCCATCCGTTGACACCTCCATGTCGGGCCAGGTTCCCGTCCTCGAAGACCTACTCTCTCACTGGGGTATCGAGTCCTTCCATCTCGTCGCACATGACATTGGAGGTGGAATTGCACAGCGTTTCGGAGTATTCTATCCTCACCGACTGCTATCGTTGACTTTGATCGACGTTGTGAGTTTTGATAGTTACCCGTCGAAAAGAACGAGGGAGCAGATGGAGAAAGGATTGGAGCGGCTCATCCACGTGAACGATGACGACCATCGTGCACACTTTAGAGATTGGCTGCTATCTGCCGTGCATGACAAGCAGAGATTCGCGGATTCAAGCTTAGATACCTTCCTTGGTTACATATCTGGTCCCATTGGCCAGGGAAGTCTCTTTCAGCATCAGGTGCGACATTACGATCCTAGACATACCATGGAGATTGCCGATCGGCTTCATGTGTTGGGTAATCTGCCTGTACAGCTGATATGGGGTGCCAACGATGAGTGGCAGGTGGTTGATTGGGCACATAAGCTCAATAAAGCAATCCCAGGATCGAAGCTGACAATTCTTGAAAATTGTGGGCATTTTTCACCAGAGGATCGACCTGAAGATATTGTTCAGCTTGTGGTATCATTTATTCGGCGCTGTACTAGCTGAAGCGGGTTGCTGTCTTTCACGGCTTGCGATCCCTGGATACGGAGAACTGTATAGATCCGAACAAATGCTATTCAAAATAATTATGCATAGAGGCAAGGCGCTGGTACTTTAAAAATAGCACCAAGCCCAATGGCCCTGGAAATTGGTCAATCGTGTCAGCATTGAATGCTATAATCTCTCATTTTATAGATTCTAGCACTGGATTACGTGGAAATTCCTTGCAGTATACGGAAATATAGTGCCGTAAAAATAGGCCCCGAACATCGTAGATGTTTCTATTTTCCCGAGAAGCGTATTTCACTCCTTTGAGGCATGTAGAATAGACGCCTGCCATGACATCCACTATTGTCCTTCGAACTATGAAGCATTGCTGTTCTTGGGTTTAGGGCAGCCTTTCAGGGCTTGGTGGGCCCGTGCATCTCCGATCTTTTCTGCCAGCGCGTCCGTTGACCATCGCATTAAGCTTACCAATGTTCTTGCCCAGAGGCTCAGCTGCGACTTTACGCAAGTCGGCAACGAGCGCCTCGCGCAGTTTTCTGCGATGTAGGCGAGGCCTACTTACTCTCGCGATTGAATCATCATGGTAAGTCCAGTCTTGCCCGAAGTCTCTGATCCGCGCACGCGCTAATCGCAACCGCTTGGAACGAACAGTGACGACACCTCAGTTGCGATCGTTGAGAAGATGAGCGATATCTCGAGAGGAGACCAGGCTAAAATTCACTTCCTTGAAAACATCACCGCCGATTCTCGAGCTCACCGTGGAATTCATCCGATCCTCGCCCTCGAATCTCACCAAGAGAACCTCGCCGATCTTGTCAATAAGGCCCTCCTGAGTCTACCGACGTCGAATGACGGAGCCGAGTCGATTAGACTAGCTGATGGATCATTCCGCCAAAGGCCAGACTTCATATCTGCTACCAGAGGTCCCGGCATGCGCTCCAACCTGTCGGTCGGCCTGGATACAGGGAAGGCCCTTTCGGTTGCATGGCAGATTCCCATGGTCGGAGTCCACCACATGCAAGCGCATCTGTTGACTCCTCGACTGGTATCATGTTTGGATCATACCAAGGAGTCAAATTCACCAAATCTCACATCGCCACAATTCCCGTTCCTGTCTATCCTCGTCTCCGGGGGTCATTCGATTCTAGTCCATTCCAAATCCCTAACAGATCACAAAATCATGGCATCAAGCGACGATATTGCAATAGGCGAGACACTGGATAAATCAGCCCGAGAGATCTTACCTCCGACCCTACTGCAGGAAGCCAAAACGACCATGTACGGCAAGACGCTGGAGCAATTCGTCTTTCCCAATGGACCGGCCGATTTCGCTGATTATCGACCCCCAATGACCCGCGGTGAGGAGGTGATCAAGCGTAAAAGTCAGTGGGGATGGAGTGTGACAACTCCATTTGCGAATACTAGGGCATTGCAGCTCAGTTTCTCATCGGTCGCAAGTATGGTCAATAAAATCGTCAAAGACAAGGATGACCGCTTGTCCGACGAAGAGAGGGTGGATCTAGGTAGAGAAGCGATGCGTGTCTGCTTCGAGCATCTTTCCTCGCGAACGATCATCGCTCTCGAGGCTCTCCGTCTCAGATACCGCGATGAAGACGAGATCAAGACCCTTGTCGTGAGCGGGGGTGTCGCAGCCAATAAATTCCTCATGCACGTTCTACGATCATTCCTGGACGTTCGTGGATTTGAACATGTGAATATTGTCGCTCCGCCTCCTTACTTGTGTACCGACAATGCGGCTATGATTGGATGGGCAGGCATTGAGATGTTTGAGGCTGGATGGAGGACTAATTTGAGCTGTCGGGCTCTCCGCAAGTGGACTCTTGATCCAGAGGCCGAAGATGGTGGAGTCCTAGGGCCTACTGGGTGGATTCGGGATTGATTGTCCCTGTAAGATTATGTATACTCGAGACTGTATATTAGCGATACCCATATTGTATATTAGAGCCAAGCCATTCTACTCAAGGATTGAGAATTTATTTGAACGCATAGGCTTCATTTGTTGAAGGGATCTCGTCACTTGCGGTTTCTACCTCATACAAGTAGATGTACACGTACGAATATGCAACTGTACACGAGACACGTAGCGAGTCAAGCTTTGAATACATGACCAAAGACGCCGATGCAATGTTTGTTAACAGCCCTCGGGGATTTAACAGCTCGGGAGCCATGCAAGCTATCTTCCCATACAGGTCCTCCCATCATATCCATAAAGCCTCCACAGTAGGGTATCGATGATGCGCCGCTCTAAACCGTGCAGAAGAACTAAATCCATGACCACTTGGCTGTGCAGTACCGAAATGTTTTAGAGAAAGAAGAAATGAAAATCCACTGTGCTGATCAAGATCAACCGCCGACGGGAGGGCCACCGCGTTGGAGGGAGGCGATTTGCTTCCGAAGCTCAATAAAGAAGTCTTTGCCATTCGCCATTGTGTTTGCTGCTATTATTAGAGGCTGATTTACCCAAGGGAGTAAGTGTAGCCAATGTGAACGTACATTTCGAGCCCCATGGGCCACCTGATCGCTGGTTGTTCGTGTCTTTGCCAGCTGGCTTGTAGAAGGGTGCTTTCGGTTCTGTGGCATATCATTAGATGACCGTATATAAATATGCAGCTTATAGCATTCGAAGGGTTAGACGTACCATTAGGGCCTGTGGATCATCCGTGATGTCAGCTTCCATCTTCTGCCTCGTAACTAGACACGGCCCGCTTACCTTTCTTCAGAACATTCTTAGCCTCGACAGCATTGAACCCTCGAACAGGTACATGCTGATCCTGCGCTGGACTAGCAGCACCCCAGGATGAATTACCACCGCGATGACCCCCTTGGCCCCCCGTCTTGTCACGGTTTCCATTGCCTGACTGGCGTTGTGATGACTGGCGAGCTGGCCCGCGCCATCTGGAACGAACAGGCATGATTAGCTGGATGTGGGAGAGTTCAGAGAGGATATCTCAATTTTAGAAGCATACCTGTCTTCACCTGCGCCGCTCATGGTAGTTGGAAATTGGTGTAAGGGTTGAAACTCGGAAACGCCAGCTTTCAAGGAGCATGCGGGGAAGCTGTGGCCAAGTCCGCGCCAGCTGGGAGAGATTGGACACCTGAGGCGTACCACGGGTGTCTCCGCCTTGGACGAGATAACAAAACACTTGAATCGAATCCAACCGCCAGTTCTCCACTGGATCGAGCAGACCTTTGTTTTTGTACTTCACCCTTCTCAATAGACGGTCGCCTGGGTCTTCCGATTATCCTGTCCTTTCAAGCAACTCCCCCAGTGCCTCGCCACCCCTGAACTCGCGACCTGGGACCTGACGTGTCGACTGTCATCCCCCCAACGTCGATCACTATCCGAAGCTCCCCAATCTTGATGGGAAACGATGGCGCCTATGTCTAGACACTCTATTCCTGGGCGTCCCTCGAGATCATCTCAGCCAAAGTCATCATTGAAATCGTCGCGCAGCGCCGTGGACTCCCCAGAAGGCCCTCCTTTAAAGAAGCGCAAGTACGTGCCTGGAGGACCCGGAGGTGGTGGAAGATTTGTCGAGCTCGAGGCTGCGCGACAACAAGAGACGACACCAAGGAAGAAGTCATCTGGTTCTCACCGTCGTCATTCCACAAGTTCACGAAGTCGTCCCGCGCGCGAGATCGAACACCCGACACACGCTCCTCCTCCACCACCACCACCCCCTGTGCCCACTACACCACCCTCCGTGACGCGCCCGAGACGAGATAAAAGAGAGAACCGAGGTCGCTTCACCTCGTCAACAGCCGCAGCCCTGGCTCTCCAACAAGGAGATGGATACAAACCGCGCGAGGAGCGGGGTTGGGAGGAGTTTCACCCGGACCTGGACATCGATAGCAGGCTTGCTGTTTTCGCTTCGGCGGAAGTAGACACGGTTGATCCTGCTGTCAGTGCCCTGACACTCGAGTCTATCGCAGGTGCCAGTGTCCAGGAGAATTCGGGCACTCCCATGATACATTCCGCCGACCTGGCCTCGCCCATCCCCTTCAAGCGTAGGCCTGGACGTCCGCCACGTCGACCAGAGGCTATCCTCAATGCTTTAATTGCACAACAACAACAAGGACCGAAGGTGATTCCGCCGCCGGGTCCAAATCCACGGGAGAAGTTGACATTGCCGAAGCCGTCCTTCCGCCTTAAGGATCCATTTACCTTCTACGAGAAGAAAGGCGTTGGTCACCAGAACTATGTCGATCGGACGATGGCTAGCGTGGGATATCAGGAGAGTGACCTGTTCCTTCGCCATGACAGGCGTTTCATTCGTATGACAGAGGGTGCGCAAGAGGACGACATGGATATCATTCAGCCTGCAGTCACAGAGGGCGACGTTAATGCGACGATTGGGCGGGTTGAGTATGATATGGACGAGCAAGACGAGAAATGGCTGGACGAATTCAACTCCAAGCGTCGAGAGGACCAGCTGGAGCCCATCAAGCCTGCCATATTTGAGATCACCATGACCAAGATCGAGAAAGAGTGGCATGCCCTCGAGAAACGGATTCCGAAGCCGAATCCTAAGCCACCACAAACGCACCGGCCTCGCTCCAGCTCTGCTGCCGCGGTGAATGGCGAGACTGCTGGACCGGGTGAAGAACAGGACAGTAAGTGCGCTATCTGCGACGATGGTGACTGTGAAAACTCGAACGCGATTGTCTTCTGCGATGGCTGTGACTTGGCCGTTCATCAGGAGTGTTATGGCGTTCCTTTCATTCCGGAGGGTCAATGGCTATGCCGAAAGTGTCAGCTTCTGGGCAGAGGAACCACCAACTGTATCTTCTGCCCAAATATCGAGGGCGCATTCAAACAGACTACTTCGTCAAAATGGGCTCACCTGCTTTGCTCCATTTGGATACCCGAAGTCTCCATCGGAAATCCCTCTCTGATGGAGCCAGTCACCGATGTTGAGAAAGTGCCACGCAGCCGCTGGAAGTTGCTCTGCTACATCTGCAAGCAGAAGATGGGCGCTTCGATCCAGTGCAGCAACAAGAACTGCTTCGTTGCGTTCCATGTCTCATGCGCGCGTCGGGCTCAGTTGTACCTCAAGATGAAAATCGGTCATGGGCTCATGGACTCACATCTTCTCAAAGCATTTTGCGACAAGCATGTGCCTCCAGATTGGCGGTTGGAGCATGGGACTGATGCGGCGACTGCCGATGCGATAGAATACTACCGCAATACCATGCAGGGTAGACGATGGGGTGATAGTCAAGCCGCGGCGTTGTCGTTGGGACCCTCACACGCCGAAGATGGGGATGAAGATCGGACCCATACCCCTCGCATCACTCTGACCGTCGGCGGCAACAAACGCAAACGCGTTCCCAAAACCATCTGGAAGTTGCCTTCTGGCGCCCCCGTTATCCCCCAGGTGGTTCTCGACTCTGTTGTTGCCGCTCTCGGAAGATTCACCGTCCGCGGCCGCAAGCACTACGCTGAAGAGGCCTGCAAGTACTGGACCCTCAAACGAGAGGCGAGACGAGGCGCTGCTCTTTTGAAGCGGCTGCAATTGCAGCTGGAAACCTTTTCATCGATGGAGATGACACGCAGAGATTACGTGGCGATGGGTGTGACTGGCCACAAGCGCCTGCACCGGCGCATCGAATTCGGCGAGCTGCTCTACAAGGACCTCGATCGACTGCGGATGCTATGCGACGAAGTGAAGAAGCGTGAGAAAGAGAAACTCAAGGATGCGGAGATGCTCCGCGGCATCGTTGACATTGTCTACTTCCCTATCTTCCCGTTGCTCTGGCCCATCTTTGAGAAAGCGCAAGCGTAAGTCACACCTTCTCTATCTTGTTCACGGATTAAGCTAACCTGACTACAGTCTTGATGGCAAAAGCACCTTTAACGCGGGCATGCAATCAATCCGCAAGCGGCTTCAAGAACGCTTCTACCCCTCCGTTGCCTCTTTCTCTGCCGACTTGGCCAGTCTCTTCACATCAGAAATTGGCGTCGCACCTGCTGGTGATACTGCAGCTCTGCAGGAGCAGATCAGTGGGCGTGCACCGGAGCTCAGTCTGGAGCAACGCGAGAAGCGGAAGTTGGCCAAACGAATCATCAAGTCTATCCAGCCGGCATTGGAGGATGCGATTCGAAAGGAGAGCGAGTTAAACCGCAAACCATTCGAAAAAGAGCTTAAGGAGCTCGACGTGATCCTTGACCACAGTGTGATGTCCCGCCGGGACTCGATCGAATTTGAAGGAGACACCGAGCTGGTGGCTGATGAGCCTGATACCAAAGTTGAGCCTATGGAAGGCGTTGAATCTACCGGACCTGCGACGGAGACTGTAGCAGAATCGATGGAATCTCACCCAGTTGAGGACGAGACTGAGAATGGCCAGAAGCTCGCTCCTGAGGACGCAACCACCGAGGAGGCTGTTTCTAACGAAACCAAACCCAACATCAACGCAACCTATCGTCGCCACCCAACCCCCGTGTTGACCGAAGAAGACCAACAGCTGCCCCTCGCCCAGGGCGGCATCCAATGGTACATGCAACCATTTGACCCCATTGGTACAACCATTCACGAGGAACGCTGGACCGGACGAGACGTTATGCGCGGGATGAGCGAGGAGCTCAGTGAACTGGACGAAGATGAACTGAAGGATCTAGTAGACGATGAACTGGACCCAGGTGCTAAGAATGCGCCCGCCAATGCAGGGCAGCTGCCGAAGGACGTTCGTCGGACGCGCCGGGGACGCTTCAAGTGATTCATATCATGAGGATACATTAGTTTTATGAGCGAGCATGAGGCGCAGGCTGGAGTTTTCGGAGATCTGATCTTGTTTTGGGTTGCTGTGCAAAGTAGTTTAATATGCGACAATGAAATAATCATACTCTTAGATTTCCTGTCTTTGGATGATTATCTATTCTAGTTCCGTCGTAGAAAAGCTCATTGTAGTGTATAATGGAATTATTGCTAAGGTCAAGGAATCGGCCAAAAGCATACTAAAACCGCCCCAGTTCGCGTTTGGTTACCGGAGTTGCTGCAGCCTTGGCGCCTTGCGTTGCTGTCCAACCTGCATCTTACCCCCTAGGACAAACACTTCATTACACACGCCCTTTTCTTCGTCTTTTTTTTTCCTTTGTCCTCTCGGATATATTATTCTCCTACATATCGTCGGCTCTTTTCTTCGTTCTTGTGTTTCCTTTGCCCTCGTGTTTGTCTTCCAGCTCTCGGGTGTGTTTGTTCCTTTCCGGAAGCCTAGCGCCCCGTCCAGACTTCTTATCTTCGATTTCTCTTCCTTCCTTCTCCCCTTCCCCCATCCAACCTTCTTTACCCTCAACCCTCATCATGGCTGATTACGAAAACGACAACGGCCGTTACGCTGGTAAGTATTTTCATCTCGGCGAGACGCCTGCACCTTCTAACCAGTCGATTTTTTTTTCTCCCTAGACGAGCCCCGGTACGACCGCGACCGTAGCGCCTCCCCTCGCGATGAGCCCCGAGCCGACCGTGCTCGCAGTCGCTCCCCCAACGGCCGGGCTGAGGACAGGTAAATAACACCACCGACACTTAATCGCTGCCCAACTTTCGCTAATATCCCTTTTCAGCCGACCTGGTCCCCTGCGCAAGGCCCATCTCGTGGAGGAAGAGGAAGAGGAGGGCGCCCAGAACACTGGCTCCAACCTGTTCGTGACTGGTATCCACCCGCGTCTGACCGAGTCCGATATTACGCGTCTCTTTGAGAAGTATGGCGATGTCGAGAACTGCTCGATCATGTTGGACCCCCACTCCAAGGAGTCGCGTGGCTTCGGTTTCGTCAACATGAGCACTGGTGAGCAGGCCGACGCTGCCAAGGAAGGTCTCCAGGGTGAGGTTATTGAGGGTCGCACTCTCAGCATTGAGAAGGCCCGTCGCAGCCGTCCTCGTACCCCTACCCCTGGCAAATACTTTGGTCCCCCCAAGCGTGGTAAGTCATCATGTCATCGTTATTGCTTTGATAAAATGCTAATCTCCCTAGATGATGGCCGTGGCCCACCTCGTCGTGGAGATCGCTACGATGATCGCCGTGGCCCTACGGGCGGTGGTGGCAACTGGCGTCGCCGCGATGATGATTACTATCGCCATGGTCGCTACGACTCTTACAATGATCGCCGCGAATATGGCCGTGATTATGGTCGTGGAGAGGGTGGTCGTGGGGATGGCGGCGGCTATCGCCGTGATTATGGTGGAGGCCGTGATTATCGCCGTGATTCTCGTGATGACCATGGCTACCGCGGTGGCGGCGGTGCTGGCGGCCCCGATCGCTACGGCGATCGCTACAGCCGCGAGGATCGTCGTGGTGGTGATGATCGTCGTGGGGGTGCTGCCCCTGGCGCTGGTGCCGAAGCTGGTGCTGGAGAAAGCCGTGGCTACTACGATCGCGATGCCAACCCTCCCAGCTACGATGCCGCCCCTCCTCGTGAGCCCCGTGAGGCCCGTGAGCCGTACTCCGGTGGTGGCCGCTCCTACGAGGGCCGTGGTGGTGAGGATCGTTACGCCAGCAGGTAAGTATTCCCTTGCATGCAACCTAAAGTGGAGATGTCGGTTCTTGATATCTCTGCCTTCTGATGGCTGAATGTTCCCCTGTCCCCCCATCTTCCCCTATCTCTCTCTCTCTCTCTGTCTTCTCCCTTTATGTCCTCTTGTGTGTCTATTTTCCTTTTGTCTCCTTTTTCTCAAATTGTTTTAATGCGGGGTTTGAGCCGACGGGGCCACGGGCGTCGTTATCCTTTCTTGTGTCTTTTTTGCTCTTTTCTTTTCTTTTCACGTCGCCGTCTCAAACGATAAACGGAGCGCCATCGGCCCTTACTGCGACCGACTCGGCAACTATTCCATTCGGTCGATCCCAGTCTTGTCGTCATCTCTTGGTCGCAAAAGATGATGTGGCTCTTTTTATCTGTTCGCGACGCAACTCGGGAAAACTCTAGCGGCAAGGAAGAAAAAAACAATTATCGCTGTAATTCGGCTATCTCTTGGGGTCAGCACCTTCGGTCAAAACTGTTCGCCTTATGCACACCACCAATTCTTCAACTCCTCCAGTAACGGCTCGGTCTGTATTCGACAAAGTCTCTCTAAAAAATTGTGTCGGCTTGTTCATCATCATCACCTTTTCACCTCTTCACCTTCACCTTTTCATCTATCACCTGCACCCCGTTTTTCCGTCTTTATTCTGTTCGCCAAGGCCGTCGTCTTCGCATATGTAGTATCGCCGATATAATTGCTACAGGCGATTTAATTATCCGGTAACCCTCCGGAGGACGACCTTGGTCTAGGACCAGTTCTATACCAAAGGTAAGATGTTTTTCAAGCGCTGACCTAGGCACCATGAATACTGCCTCTGTGGAAGATGTGTTTGAGTCTCGACCTTGATTATGGATTTTTTCTTATCTGGAACTTGCCCTATATCCCCCCTTGGACTCCTTCTAAGTACTGGTTAAAGCAGTGGCCTTGGTACTCAACATGGGATTTCTACTCACCTTTCTTAGGAATGGTGACCTTCGGATAATGTGGTAAGTGGTATTAGGCAGCTGTGTATGCGCTCGGGTTTAGGTTCATAAAGGAAAAGCAAATATAAACATAATTGGCATTTGGACAAGATCCCTGTACATCATCCGTTCTCGCTTCAATATATATTGTCACGCTCCCGCCCACATTCAAGAGAACTTTGCGTTAAGACTCCCGATTGACGTACATATTTGTCCATCTCCGAGGTCTTATTAGTTCATACAGATCCTCTCGTAGACATAAGTGAATATTTGAAAATGAAATTGGGGGTATCATGCAAGCTTTGTGGAGCTTCCTTCCAATAAGGCCCACTAGTGCTGTCTCTCAAAACATCAACACACTGCAGCCTCTTACATCGTGAGAGAACAAAAACGTATGCAGGATCCATTTATCCACAGCACTGAGTGAACCCATGAAAGCACCATTGAACGCCGAAGAAAACCATAATCCTTTGCTAACAGCCCTCACTCCGACTCTTTCTTCGCATCACCTTCGACTTCCTTGCTCTTCTGAATCAAGAATTCCCCTAGCACCTGGAGCGGGTTGGGAGGTCTGGATCCGATTTGTTAGACACTCTCTGCCTTATAATCAATTGGGACTGTGGTGGCAACTCACTGGTCCCTTGTCACGGTCTTCATCCCTTCCAGTAGATATGGCACAATCTTCTCGTTCAGATATACCCGCGCTGGGGCACCGCCTGGTCGGACCTGGGTTGTAGCAGCACTGGAGAGGTCCATAGATGGTGTGTTAGGGCCACCGTTGGTGTCGGCCATGGTGGTGCTTGTGATTTGCTTGGCTTGAGGTGCGGTGGGATCGGAGGGAGTGGGAGTGGATGTAGGTTGATCGGTGGGCGGCGCGGGGGTGGACTGGTGAAATTGCAGAAAAAAAGAAGGTTAGACAGGCGCTCTGTAGGGTTATTGTAGTGTAATGCGTTTCCAGAGGATTGAAGAGGTGTAGAAGCTGGGTTGGGTTCTTCGGAACCAAGTTGTGTTGAGCGGAGCTGTGGAGCTTCTGGAAGCTGCCCTTCCCGTCGTGTCTGCGAAGGATGGAGGGGGCGAAGGGGGTGAAAGGATCGGGGGCTCACTGGTGTATCGGCCATGACGAGGTTTCAGAATTAGACTGTGTCTATAATCTTGCCATTTCTTTACCTTTCGTTCTGGCAAGTCCATCCATTGCAAGCTGTTGCTTTGCACTCATGCGCCAGTCACATCACATACAAACAGTGCAAACACCCCGATCAAGGCATATTACACACGTGACCTCGTGTCCTGTCGCGATGCACTTGACGCGCCAGGGACTGCGGCCTTGATATTCTGAATGAGTTTTGTCTTGCGAGGATCACCCATGGGCTCTCTCCGGTATGTCTTTGCTGCATTACTGGGAGACTCAGCGCTCCGTGAAGCGCAGAAGGACATCTGAAAAGGACACCGACCTCGAAAGCAATTTTAGTGAAAGGAGACCCCCAAGTCCAAGTTCAAGTCCCTCCTCCGGCGCGGTGGGTTCGCCTACACCTGTACCTGTTGCCGAGGAACCGGAGGCATATATTCCCAGCAGCCAGACGGAATTGGAGACTTCCTTGCCTGCGATTCAGACTGATGAGGACGCGATCGAGGCGTATGAGGCTAGTAAAGCCGCAGAGGATGATGCCGAACCGGGATTGCATGTGAGATTACGGGATGGGGTGTGGCAGCGGGGGAAGAGTTCGATTTACGTGGACGCTTTTAATTTGGTCCTGGAGACGGTGCTGGATGAGGAGTCACATTTGTTTAATGAGGCTGAGATGGGGGTGTTTAAGCAGTGGAGGGAGTTGTCCTATGAGTCGCAATATCTGTAAGTCCTCTGTATACCCTGGGAGCTGTTATCTCACCACTAGTTGAGGTATTGACTGTTCATTCTAGATATGTGCGGCTTTTCTTACGCAAAACCTCGGCCTGGCACCGTATTAATCGGTTGGGCTATTACTCTGATATCTCGGACTTGTCTGCGGTTGCTACCGACCTCCAGCGAGATCGTATACTGCCCAAGAGCGAGAACCAGGAAACAGGTGACCTCGACTTCGGAAATAGCTTTCGCTTCGCCGATGGTACGCAGGAAATTACCACTCTTGAAGAAGCGTCGTCTCTCCTGTTGCTTGATGAACTGAAAGGGTTTGCAAAGGAAGTCAAGGCTCAAGGGAAAAACAAGAAGGAGCTGCTGGCGGCTCTATGCGAAACTAGTCAATCTCAGACTGGACTCGGCTTCAAGGACCAGTCATGCACGAACCAACCTGGTAATAGGGATGGCCACTTCCTTCACAAGATCCTGGATTACACAGGGCAATGCGTTCGGCTCACTCCCGGACCCCGGGCTCTCTTCGAGCGTGTGCATTTGGTGTTTTATCGATCGACTGAATGGACAGAAAAGTCATTGACGACTATCATTCTCGCAAAGATATCGCGGCGAAATTTCCCGCAGTATATCGTGTGTCGATCAAATTCGATATTCTCGTCTAGAGGCGCGCTCTTGGAATTCGAGTCTGCTATTCGGACGCAATTTGAGATTGACAATATCCTGGAATTCAACGGTCCGCCAAGCACGGAGTCCTTGCAGCGGATCATAGATTTGGGTGACAAGTTCTACCCCCGATGGCGGGAACTCGTTGATGAGGAGCAGCGGAAAGAAGATTCCATCTACCAGAGCGGCGAGGGTGCATATCTACGTCGGTTCTCTCCAGCTTGGGTATACACGAGGATCATCCACAAAACCCTCCAACCACTCGGCCGCTTCAAAGAACACAAGCGCGAACACGAAGTCCTCACTGAACTTCTCGCCCAGCGCCTCTTCCACGCTGCCCGCCGTGGCGCATGGTACCAGCGTAAAGCCCTGCTAGAAGAACACTACATGTGGGCCCTAACACCAACCGAGGACCGGAACGAAGAAAACCAGCGGAAATTCTGGAAACGGGTTGCGCTTCGAACGTGCGAAGAGGGACTTGAGGATCCCCTCTGTCATCTGATATACCACTATGATCTCCAGAAACGGATCATGAAGCTGGAGAAGGCGTTGAGGGTGGTTAAGCGGGAGCAGCATGATTTTGGACATGTCATGTTGAGTAAGCCTGCTGAGCGGACGATTGAGGGGATTCGCATTGAGGGTGATGACGGGCCGAAGAAGGGGAAGGCTACTGTTTGGATTGATGAGAGGGAGGGTGGTGAGTGTCGTGTGGAGAGTATGTGTTTGAGTTGGTATCGGGATCATGGGTGGAAGGGGTATCATTCTGAGGGAGGTATTGTTAGGACATTGGTGAGTATATATATATACCTTTCCCTGGATGATATACCCTGATCATGTTCTAACAATGTTCTTGCAGTTCGGCCTCCTCTTCTACGACATCCTTTTCACCTACGTCCCCAACGTCTTCCAGACCCCCTTCCAAACCTGCCCGCTGGACCTCCACACAGACGTATTCTATCTCTCCCGCGCCTCAGAAATCAACCACCGCCTCGTGGAAATCACCAACGGCGACGCCGAGCGCCTCATCCGTGAAATCCACGACCGCGAATCAGCCGCCCAGCCCTGCGCTATCGGGATAGATTGGTCCTTCGAGCTGGACGATCTGATCGAGATCGTGCAATGTTTCCGTGGTGAAGCACTGGCTACTATTTGCAAGGTCATGGCGCAGGAGTATCAGCAGCGTGGTGGTGGGATTCCAGATCTGTTTCTATGGAATGCCGAGAAGAAGACTGTATTGTTTTCGGAGGTAAAGTCGGAAAATGATCGGTTGAGTGATACCCAGCGGTTATGGATTCATATTCTTCTTGGGGCCGGGGTGCAAGTTGAGCTTTGTAATGCGGTTGCGAGGGAGGTAAGGACGGAGTGAGTGATGGGATGAGATGACGTGGTGCTGGATATAGATTCTGCATTTGTACATGAGGACTTTCTAGATTGACGACGTACACGACCAATATAACCCTTGATTAACAATACGATACTAGTTTTTACCATCTACATTTTCTACGAAAACTTGCTCGGCGCAAATCAGGAATCAAAGACATGGGTATAACTCGTAATAGTTCTTTTTTTGAATCGGCGGATCTAGCACATATGGAAGGAAAGTGACCTCGACATTTATATGCGAGAAACGGCTTTCCTTCATAACTCCATCCCCAATAACCACAATCAACCACGCCTTCGCTTATGCGACAAGGGTGGAGGCGGTGGCGCTCTCATAGCGCCAGGTGGGGGGCAGGACACCGACGGTCTTGTAGTAGCGGGACAGACGGTGGATGCGGGACTCGATCAGAATGAGGCGGAACTTGGAGTCCTTGTCCTTGCGGTTGCGCTCGAGGTGCTTGCGGACAGCGACGGCCTGGTGTGAAAGCATGTTAGTGGACGAGACTCGAAAAAAACAGATGATGCAGAATAAGAAGAGGGATGGAAATCAAGAGCACGCATGTGCTTACCTTCTTGATCAGGAAGTAAAGGTCCTCGGGGAGCTCGGGAGCGAGGCCTGTATTTTCCAAAATCTCTCTGTCAGTCTTGTTCCAAAACCAAACAGAGGCTTAGCTACTGGTGCATTTCTGCTACCAGAGTAATGTTTTTATGTGTGTTGGAGAGGGAGAATCGAGGTGATCACAGTGTGAAATTTTCATCCCATTTTCCAGAGAATCGATTCACATGCGATTGCGCTCGTTCTTCATCCAATTGAAGCGATTAGGGGATTGGCGATTGGAGTCGTACCGTTGGACTTGAGGATACGGAGGATCTTGTTACCTATTCACAGATAGACGTTAGTTGCCATGATTTTTTCTTCTTTCCGATCTTTTAAAAAAGACCGCGATTCGCTTTCGCATTTGATTGCGCCTTCAACGGGGAAATTTCCATACCGGTCACAATCTTGACCTGGGCAACACCGTGGGAGTCACGGAGGACAACACCGATCTGGGAAGGGGTGGCACCCTTCTTGGCCAGCTTGCAGATGTGGTCGACAACCTGGTCGGGGGTGGTCTTGAGCCACGCGGGGGCGGCGCGAGAGTAGGGGAGCGCAGAGGACGAAATGCCCTTGCCCTTGGAGTGAAGGCGACCCATTTTTGCTGTGAAGGTTGGTCCGGCGACGGAAAGCTGGTCGGAGGTTGTCGAGGTGGATGAGAAGTTTCACGGTGGAGTTGGATGGTGTTTGAAGGTTAGAAGGGCCGGTGTGTGGGTCACGTGTGCGCTTCGCTTATTTTCCCGGCCGGATTTTTTTCTTCTTGAACCTCAAAACCGTTCCGCTTTCCGCTTTTGCTTTCATTGGAGATTCAACTGCGATCTCGTCTTTGAGGTTACTCGTTTGGATTGATGTTTCCGACAGTTGCTTGAGGTTGAGACAGTCTCTCGCTGCTCTAGTCTCGCCACCTGATTGATCCTTTCGCCGATTATATACGGTCAGTGTTACTGCTTTCTCTCCTTTGACTGCAACCCATCCCTTAAAATGATGAAACACACACTTTACTTTTTTTCTGGTACCTCTTATGTCAGAAGCGTGTCTTCGGATGCGTCTTCGATGATCTAACTGGACTTCTGATTATGTCAAATGGCTTTTTACACGCTTGTCATTCACATTAGAAGACTGTCTTGCTGACTTTGCTTCTAGGCTCTCATAGTATACGTGCAATATGTCGCAAATCTCTAGAATAGTACCAATGAACAGCCTTTACTTTACATTGCTTTCCATTCGCTAGTATCGTCTATTTGATACCTTAACATATGCGGGTGTAATTTACATGACCCTGATGGGGCCTGAGAGCACGTTCGGGGGTATCAAGCAATTCCCTACCGACGCAGTCGCTTGGATACCCTCCGGGTTTCTGTCGTCTGAGATGCATACACAACACCTTCTGTTGACTCTTTTCGTTTCTTGCCTCTGGCCGTCTTCGTAGCAGGCTTGATCTCCAAGTGCTCAGTCTTAATATCCACGGCTTCTTCTTTAGGCGCCGCCAATGACACAGCAGCTGTCACCTCAGTCTTGATTTCAATCTCCGAAGCCTCCTCTTTCACTGACACATCGACCTTTTTCGTTGCTGCAAGTCGATCTGCAAACGACCGCAGGTCTGCGGTAAACAGCACACTATGCGCCCACCCTGCTTCCTGACCCCAGAGCTTGCGGAAGTGGTTGGCAACAGCATCATAGGTCGCTTTGGTAAGTGACTTATGGGAGCTTTTACCGAAACGGTAGTCACGCTGTGCGATTTGCCATACTATTTGAGGTTAGAAAATCGGTCATTCGACGAGGCCTTGGAATGACATACCATGGGTATCAACGGGTACGGATTCGCCCCATCCGAGACCCATCAAGCAAACACAGTCGGCTACCTTTGGCCCAACACCCTGTAGTTCAAGAAGGCTCTCGTGAGCATCGCGGTAGCCCTGCCTTCCTTCAGGCTTCATCTCATCGCCAGGCTTTGCTTCCACTCCGAATGCTGGTGACTCGGGGTTGCAGAGACTATCCAACCACCCTTTCTCTCGTTCTTGAGAGACCATGACGGCAGTGTGGTAAATGTATCTTGCCCGATACCCAAAGCCTAGACTGCGTAGATTGCTCTCCACGTCCTTGCCCGCCAAAGCCTCTGGCGTTGGGAAATCATGGTATGAGCGGTCGCCGACCTTGGCAATAAATGGCCCATAATGAAGACATAGTTTCTCGACCATTTGCGAGATCCGGGAAATATTGTTGTTGCTGCTGCAAATGAACGACACCAGGGCTTCCCAGGCATCCTGTCGCAATATCCGAATTCCAGAGAATTGGGCTGCCTTTTTCTTGAAATTGGGATCTTGAGCGGACCATTGGGTATAGAGGTTGGATAGATTTGGCGAAAGGTTGAGGTAGTGTCTTATAATTTGGAGAACAAGGTCATCTTGCGAGCTGTGTGCATGCGCCTTGTTGTCAATTGGCTCTGTGTCGGATTGCGCTCGGGATGGATGTTCAGAAGTCGGCGGGGTTGGGAGAGAGGCTAAGGCTGGTGATCGGTAATCGCGGTAATAGAGATTGGATGTGTCTTGTTTCAGAGATAGCAGCTTGCCATGAAGCACACAACGCCATTCTTCGCTTTCGGGGAGATGTTGCCATCTACAAGGGGGTCAGCATATGGAACCAAATGATTATTTGACAATTGAATGGACTTTACCTGAAAGATTGACCACAGCGCAACGTTGTATTAATACAAATCTCGCTCAGGCCTATCGGGAGCTTGCGCCACTCTGAAAATGCACCCGCCATCCTTGTCGTTGAAAGGAAGTTTGCAATTGAAGGCCTATCGAAGACTGATACGCTGATAAGAAGGGTTTCTGCCTGTGTTGCTGGAATTGGTAGGCGGTCAGTGTCCTACCGCCCCCTGCAGGAGCTTCCAGTTTTCCCCTTCGCTGAGCTACCATCCGATAGCTTCGTCACTCCTCAAGCTCAACATGAACGGTGACACCTATTCCTCCAGAGGTTTGTAATATTGGTCGCATGTATTGAATTATGCTAACTTTTCCAGATTCGGGTCGCCCCCGCGATCACTTCGTAAGTGACAATTCTGGCTTTCATCTGGCTGCGACTAACCAATTCCAGCGTGACGAGCGACGTGACCGAGAACGAGGTGACAGAGGAGATCGGGCTGAGCGAGGAGGAGGAGAGCGACGACGCTCGCGTTCTCCTCACTTCGGTTCGCGTGGCGCGCGACGTGAACCAGAGGCCAATTCATACTCTTCGAGCCGTGACTACCGTGCCCGAGAGCGAGAGGACCGCTATTCCGGCCGCCGAGAAGACCGTGAATGGGACCGAGGTGACCGAGGTGATCGTGGTGACCGCGGGGATCGGGGAGATCGTGGAGAGCGTGGTGATCGCCGCCGACGCGATTTCGATGACAGACCTCGACGAGACCTATTTGACGAACGACCCCGACGTGGCGGCCGTGATGATCGCCGAGACCGCGGAGACCAGGATCGTGGTGGTGAACGAAGGGGGGTGGTGGTGGAGGAGGAGGAGCTGGTGGTGGTGGTGGTGGCGGCGACCGCGGTGGACGGCGAAGTGCTTCACCACCACAGAAGAAAGAACCCACCCCAGATCTGACGGATGTGTTGTCCGTCTTGGAGCGTAAGCGTCGCCTGACACAGTGGGACATCAAGCCTCCCGGTTATGAGAACGTTACTGCTGAACAGGCTAAGCTATCTGGCATGTTCCCTCTGCCCGGAGCTCCTCGACAGCAGCCAATGGATCCCAGCCGCCTGCAGGCTTTCATGAACCAGCCCGCGGGCGGTTCGGCCGAGACCACAGCTCTCAAGCCCTCCAACTCCCGTCAATCAAAGCGCCTTTTCGTCTACAACATTCCCGCTAGCGCAACTGGAGACAGCATTGTGTCTTTCTTCAATCTACAACTCAACGGCCTGAATGTCGTTCACAGCGTCGACCCTTGTGTCTCTGCACAGGTGGCCGATGACCAGACATTTGCCCTTTTGGAGTTCAAGTCGCCCAATGATGCGACTGTTGCTCTGGCATTTGATGGAATCACCATGGCGGAAGGTGCCGAAAAGGGCCTCGAAATCCGCCGCCCCAAGGACTACATTGTTCCTAATGGAAGCGCAGAGCAGGAATACCAGGAGGGCGTGCTCCTCAACGAGGTACCGGATTCACCCAATAAGATCTGCGTCTCCAACATCCCCGCGTATATCCCCGAAGAGCCTGTCACCATGCTGCTCAAGTCCTTTGGTGAACTCAAGTCCTTTGTCCTTGTCAAGGATGCTTCGACTGAAGAGTCACGGGTAAATGTCCTTTCCATTAATTCATATATAGACGTTGTTCTAACTCATCACAGGGTATTGCATTCTGCGAGTACGCTGACCCCACAGCGACCACCATTGCTGTCGAAGGTCTAAACGGCATGGAGCTCGGTGATCGTCATTTGAAGGTCGTCCGCGCTAGTATCGGAACTACCCAGGCTGCTGGCCTCGACATGGGTGTCAATGCGATGTCCATGTTCGCCAAGACCACCTCCCAGGATATGGAGACGGGCCGTGTTCTTCAGCTGCTGAACATGGTAACAGTAGACGAGCTCCTGGACAACGAGGACTACGAGGAGATCCTGGAGGATGTCCATGAAGAGTGTGCTAAGTACGGCAAGGTCTTGAGCCTGAAAATCCCTCGCCCTTCGGGTGGCAATCGCCAGGCCGCAGGTGTCGGTAAAATCTTCGTGAAATTCGAAGCCAACGAGGCCGCCTCTAGTGCTCTGAAGGCGCTTGCTGGTCGGAAGTTCTCGGATCGCACCGTTGTGGTATCATACTTTGGCGAGGAGAACTTTGATGTCGACGCTTGGTGAAATAGGAATTACCCTCGGCGTGGTCTTTGTTTTTATCGTCCTTGCACTTTGCTGATAGCAGAAGGAAATCCAAATGTATCATAGCAGTTCGGCCCTACATTCCCTGGTCATGATGCCTTTTAAAGTGTTCTTTGAAATCTAATGCTCCGGCGTTCTTTGGTCGATCTTCATTTCATAGTAGGATTGGAACTATTCAGGAGAATTTTACCGAAGCTGAGATCGTCTTATCAGCTTGCCAAGTTTGTTTTTTAACCGTCATCCCTTGAGGTTACTCGTTCACCAAGATCTATCCCGCTCCTCTTCACGCAAACACGTCCTTTCAAACTTTACCTGCAGTTGACCACATGCCTGGCCCTGCAGTCATCGGCCTATGCGGAAATAGCAACCTACCCTTCTTGCTACAATGAGGAATCTTTGCTTTGTCTTTATCAACTACGTTAGCCATCTTTAGACGATCAATTTGAACCAATGAATTTTGAGCATCGGGATAGCCCTTGTCTAGCAGCTCTTATCTTACAATTATCTCATATTATCTTGGTCAACGAGATGCCTGAATATGAAATCATCTATTTCTGGGCAAGGATCAGGGCTGCGGCTGCCTCGGCAATGACCATGATAGTGGCCTGGATGTTGCCAGTGGGAAGGTCGGGATGAATACTGCCATCAACGATGAACTGTAGGAGATTAATATTATCAGTATGCATGATCCCACGAAGGATATGCTATATCAAAGTGCACTTACCAGGTTGTCCATTCCATAGACCTTGGTGTTAGTATCCACAACAGATGTACCATTGTTCCGGCCATCGTCAGTGCCCATCTTGGCAGAAGAAGCGTAGTGGTCACCAGGATATGGCGAGGCAAGAATGGCAGAGGTGTTCAGGTTCTTGATCAGTTCGAACCCAGATGAAGGAGCGTGGATATCATTCACCAGCTGCTGAATGAAAGCGCGCATAGCTTGACGATCACCTGCCGTCTGCATGTAAGGAGACTGTTCGATAACAGTGTTCTGCTTTGAGTCAAGACCGAGGACACCAGAGGAAGTAAGACCGTGGGTCATGTAGACCTTGATCTCGACGACAGAGTCCTCTACAGGGGCACAGGAACCCTGGTAATACCGAGTATGACCGTGCAGCTCGTTGGAGCTGAAGAAAATCATCCGATGCTTGCCCTGGGTCAAAAGACCATTGCCTTGCTTGTAGAGGTTGATATCGGTAGTGTCGCTGCCGTTCAAAATGCTGTCATAATCGGGAATGCCAAAGTCGCCGTTAGTCTTCACGGTCACGGTGAAGATCGGGTGGTCTTTGATTCCAACGCCGACTGGAAGGTCAATCCAATCTTTCTCAGCGGGAACAGCGATGCCACTCTTCTTGGCAGTCTCGATCTGGTTCTTGGGACCGATTCCAGAGTTGAACAGCACACGGGGGTAGAGAGGGCACCGGCAGCGAGGACAACACTACCACCGTTTGCAAGGCTGATAATCTCAGTCTTTCTGGAACTGGTCTGCACTTCAACACCACTGACTCGGCCACCCTCGCGAACGACGCGAAGCACCTTGATGCCCAGGTGCAGGTCGAAGTTGTTGCTCTTCTGAGCAATAGGCAGATAGGTACGAAGAGGACCGGCACGAACCAGGTCCTTGATGTTCCAAGAAGGGTAACTGTAGACCTGGTGTTTCTCATTGGGCTGAGCAATCATGTCAACCGATTTCCAGCCAAGCTTGTTGAAAAACTTCGAGAGCACAGTATAGGCACCCTGATCATAGCGCTTGCCATCGGTTGAAGGCGATATAGTGCCCGGATTCCGCTTGTAGAGCCTCTCGGTAGCAGGCTTGAGATCTTTCCACTTCCATCCCGCGGGCCAGTTGTTGTTGTCGTCAAAGTCGTGCTCGGGAGGGTGCACGAAGACCATATAGTTCACTGTCGTACCGCCACCAAGAACACAGGCGGCATAACCACCGGTGTCGGAGCACATGTACTCGCTCCACTCAGGAAGAGCCCCAACATCAGCAGACAGACCAGGAAGATCAATCGGCGTCAGCTGGTTGCCCCAAGAAAGAGAATCGTTCGCGCCGGTCGCTACAGTTGGGCCGGTGCCTCGCTCAAGGAGCAGAACCTTCTTACCGGCCTCGACGAATCGTTCAGCACTGATGATACCGGAAGGCCCGCCTCCGACAACGATGTAGTCATAGTATCCATTCTTGAAGCTAGATGCAGAAGCCAAGCTTCCGGCAGCAGCAATCAAGACTGCCTGCACATGTAGAAACCTCATGGTTCTTAGTTGTACAGAGGCTAATCCAGGAAGTATGTTTCGCTCTATCGGCGCTAGAATATAGGGTTATAGAAGTATTTAATCCTCCATCCTCCACATCTCGCCGTCAGAGTGGCCTGTTTCACACGCTCCCGACTCCGGAACTTGGCCGTGCCCATAGTGTGTCATAATTCCCTTGATCAAGTGACTACCTTCCCTGTCGGGAATAGATAAGCCGCTTACAGAGGATTGGAAATCTAGAGTCGACCGTCTAGAATACTGGAACGCTGGTTGAGTGGAGCAGGACGACAATTCTTTCGGAAGTGAAAAGCGGAGGATATCTTCAGGAACGTTTGAGTAATCCTTCAGTAATCAAATGTTCTTGAAACAGGGCCACTTTGGGTACTAATAAGGCATAGCGCGTTAAGATCGCTCAACGATATGTTGATGCAAAAGACTCCACCACGAAGCCGTGGGAATAGCTGTGCCGAAGTTCCACCGGCTTCCCGAGATGTCGGATACTCAAGTCCTATTCGTCTAGCCGTACCGAAGATTCTCCTCCCAGTGCATTATACGTCCTATAGAAAGGATAGTCATGGGTGGAGATTCGATGAAAATGGCAAAGATCGTCGGTACCTAGATCCTTCAACCGTTGGGTTGCGTTATCTGATCGAGATTTTCAGGGAGATCAGGGACGAGTGAATGACCGGATTTTGTATCATCCACCTCAATCCATTCTTGGATGCCCTATCTGGTTAGATTAGCAATCCTCAAAAGGCTAAGAGCTATAAAGGCCGCGGGAAAGCGATCATGTGGTTAATATCTCGTGAGAAAGTTTGCAGGGACCGTCCCTTGTTTCAAGAGACCCATGTGGCGTACTGTGGCCAGGAAATTCGGGCATCAGAATGATTAAGGAAAGAGAACGGTTTCACGAAAGGTCACACTCTTGTAGAAATCATCCGACAAAGGCACGTCTTTCCCCCAATTATGAAATATGAATCTGGATTAGACGAGCACTCCATAGAGACGGACTTGCTTTTGTTTCGACTAGAGCATTCCGATTCGGTCTCGAAAAATTGACTATGACGAATTTCACAGTTCAATTACGAACTCCACGTTTACACTCTGAGAATAGTAGGATAAGACAGGTCAAGTGAAAAAGGAGGCATAACCCGATTGTGCTGAAATAATTGCGTCCGCGATACGGAGTAATTTCAGATATTCCTCAACCGGTGGCGACTAACCGATAGATAGAATTCCTTGCGCCTATTTTATCGATTTAGGGCTGCCATACTTGTGGAGTTTATATGTTGGAGGTGATTAGAGGCACACGAGTCTCTGAACTCGGAGCTTTGGTATCTCCATGACAGGACAACGACAAATTCTACAGCCTTAGAAGTTGCTGGAAGCCTACTGAGGATCCAAAAGCCCTGTCACTTTTCACATTGATCTGAAAATTCCCTAACTAATGATTCAAGGTGAATTAAGCCACATATTATACAGAGGTCACCCAATTTTTTGTTCGTCATCTCGCTCCCCTAAAAGAGGAATACATCTTCATAGTATGAAGAAGGCCTAGATGAACAGCCTCGCCATTTGCTACAGGATGCTGAGACTTGCCGCCAAATATTCAACTATCTGAACTGAAGCTTTTGACCGGCCCCAATAGCGTTGCAGTAGGTTGTGATGTATGCACAAGATGCCTTACCGATCGGGATACAATTCAAGCTTACGAGAAAGCGGATCTAACATTTAGTGCTGGTCTAACTACATGCCTAGGAAAATAGGGCTCCCGAATTTTCTAGTCGTGATTGAGGAGTCGAGTACGGTGACCGATAAGTCGAGGATTAATTGCTAATTTGGAGGCTTTTTTCAGACATATCGCACTTTGTGAAATTCACAAAACGCTCTTTGAGGTAAACCCTTGCTCTCATCTAATTATCCAGGCGAATCATAAATGTTTGCGATTGCCTGGTGGACCTAGCTATTTCGAAACTTTGATATAAACTTGGCAGATCCTCTACGACCATGCACCACCGACAACATCTTGACATTTCTGGTTCATAATATGCCAGTCATTCTGACCCCACTACAGGGAAATGAGCAGGCCATGCAAGAAACATAGTTCACCCTAACCAAAATACGGGTGCTCTTGGGCACGAGAATCAGGGTCAAATGCAGAACGGCTTGTGGGGGATTGGCAGGATTAAAGGGAGCCATGAAGTCAGCGGGATGAACACACGTGGTTTTTAGTGGTCATAGTGCGAGTGCTGTCTTCGAACTCCTTGAAAGAGTCGACTCCTGTCCATCTAGGTCCTATCTCGCTCCAGATTAAATAATATGGAAAATGACAAGAATAACATCTTAGGTCGAACAGAGTCTCTCGGCAACGCGCTCCATTTGATTATCAGTTGTCATGTCTCCTTAGTGTTATTCTGCAACATTTGGGAATATTGGACTATGTGTAACGATTTACGGCTTCAAAACGCCAATAATACACGGCAACGATGCCGGCAACAACGAGACTCCAGTAGAATTAGCCTGAAAAGCCTCGGTCTAATCGAATCGGCATTTTCCGTCTTCATATCTGCCGGTCTTGCTCACATTAGGACATTAGGGAGCGGGGAATCCTTGCTAAGCATTCGAATCCGCGGCTGAAACGCGGGGCCCCACGCAGTTTATGACACTAGTACGGTCACCAAATGTATTGAGCTATGTTTGTTCCGCTCTAAGGGGCCAGAGACGCAGTCTTGTTGTCAATTGACACGGTGTATAAGATGCCTACGAAAGGCCTCGCAATCAAGAACCTCTCAAATCAATTCAATTTGTGTGACAGATTCGGATTCTCTGTCAGATAATTGGGATGCGAGTTTCGCTTCTTCTTGCGGGTTGTGCCACCCTGGCAAATGCCTATGCGCATGGAAATGTGGACAAGAGAAGCTCCTTCCAGGCAAAGTGCGAGTCTTTTGCACACAAAATCCAAGTCGCAGATGCGATTATTCATAGCGTGACCCATGTGCCGATTGGGACAAACATCTCTATGTCAAATGTTCCTTCCGTTTGTGCTTCAAATGCAGATGATACAAGCAGCACATTTGAATTCTGTCGTGTTACACTTAATGTGACGACTTCGCCGAAGAGTCAGATTTTCATGGAGGCGTGGCTACCCAGCAATTACTCTGGTCGATTTTTGAGTACTGGAAATGGAGGCCTCGGTGGCTGTATGTTTCTTCCAATGACATTATGAAACGTCGGAGCTCACATTTCATATCATAGGCATCCAATATTCTGACATGGTCTACGCTACACAATACGGATTTGCTACAGTCGGCACCAACAATGGTCATTTCGGCGATACTGGTGTCTACTTCTACCACAATACTGAAGTGCTCCAGGACTATGCTTACCGTGCTATTCACACCGGAGTAGTCGTTGGCAAAGAACTCACCAAACAGTTCTACTCTCAGGGCTATGATAAGTCTTACTATTTGGGCTGCTCGACTGGTGGTCGAGAGGGCTGGAAGTCTATTCAGAAGTTCCCCGATGACTTTGATGGCGTGGTGGCTGGATCACCTGCTTTCAACTTGATCAACCTTATCAACTGGGGCGCTCGATTCTTACCAACCACTGGCAATCCGAGCGCGGCTACATTCATCACGGATGCTCAGTGGATCACTATCCATGATGAGATTCTTCGACAATGTGATGATCTGGATGGTGCCGCAGATGGGATCATTGAGGATCCTGATCTCTGCCAGCCGATCTTTGAGACTTTGCTTTGCAACTCGACTGCAAGTGCTGGCTCCAGCTCGTGCCTCACGGGTACGCAATTAAAGACCGTTAATACTATCTTCAGTCCTCTTTACGGAAACAGTGACACCCTCTTGTACCCCCGGATGCAACCTGGATCGGAGCTGACGGCGGCCTATGTTTACTACAACGGCATGCCATTTTCCTACGCGGAGGATTGGTTCCGCTACGTTGTTTACAATAATCCAACTTGGGATCCTGCATCATGGACGATCAATGATGCCGTGGTCGCGGATGCGCAGGATCCGTACGAGGTCTCGACATTCCAAGGCGACATCTCTGCATTCCAGAAGAAGGGCAAGGTCCTTCACTACCACGGAATGGAGGACCCAATCATCTCGTCTGACAGTTCGAAGATGTACTACAAGCATGTCGCTGATACCATGAATCTCAGCCCATCCGAGTTGGACGAATTCTACCGGTTCTTCACAATCAGTGGAATGGGTCACTGTTCGACCGGTGATGGTGCCGGATCTATTGGTCAAGGTGTAGGGACCTTTGCCGGAAATGACCCAGAGGACAACGTTCTTCTTGCGATGGTGCGATGGGTGGAAGAGGGTATCGCACCGGACTTTGTGCGTGGTACCAAGTTCAATGGCACCGAGGTGGAATATCGTCGGAAGCACTGCAAATATCCTAAGCGCAACAAGTATGTTGGTCCAGGCACTTATGAGGATGAGAATGCTTGGAAGTGTGTTTGATTTCATGTCTACAGTCAAATCCATCATGTAGTCTCAAAATACGATATTTGTTCCTTTTTACTCTGTTTGTAGAGGGGTTTGGATGGTTCATCGCTCGTAAGAGGCGTCTACATCAGATGTGGCTGCAAATTGAGAGAAGTAGATGATTCTGGTCCCCCTTCTTGCGGTCGTAATTGAAACTCAAGGCAATCTTTTCTTCGTATTTAGATTCGGTTAAGGCAGAAACATTCTTGCAATACTCTTGCGCCATGATTAAGCTCTCTTCCATTCTACCGAGGACTTGATGGTTGCCTTGCCCGAGGCACCAGTGATTCAGGCTTCCAATTTAATTGAGGGGCCTGATTCAGACCGGATATTTAAATATTAAGTTCACTCTATACCGACCATGTATGCCAAAATAAAACCTCACCCTACATTCTTGTAGAGCCTGAACATCTGAGAATCTTTGAAACGCACAGAGGCCGCGTTAGGAACCAGATATGCCTATTACCGAGATCGGCTGCATGGGCGTTAAGCCTTCACTTGATGTCATCAACGACAATACGACAGAGGGCGAAATTCTGACCAAGTTATACGAATATGTGGTTACTGCACCTGGAGGACCACTTCGGGTGTATTGGGGTCTCGAGAACGAGAATCCGTCCTACCTTTGGGCACTGTTCGACTGGGATTCGATTGAGGATCACGAGAAGTTTGCTAAAACGTAAGTATCAAACCCTTTCAAGCCCCACTCCGATAGTATAATAACAGGATCACAGACTAGGCCAGGAAGCCGTAAAAGATATGCCAAAAATCCTGACCCATGGCTTATTTACGAAGCACATTGCCTTCACACCATCCCTACCAGTGGCTCTACAGTCTCCTATGACAGAGGTCATCTTGGCTTATTTCCCCTCGGATGACATATCGGCTCAGAAAAATGCAGCCATCTCACATCTCAAAAATGTGGAGGAAAACCTAAAGAGCTGTTCAGACATTGGGCCTCTGAGCTACGGATGGGGCGTGGAAAACGACTTCCCCATCAGGGGCAGACAAGAAAACCAGAGAGCATCAATCCTTATGTTCTTCATTGGACTTGATAGTATTGATGCACACCCAACTTTTAGGAAGACATCGACATTTGAGAAGCTGTTAAGCTTGATCCAAAACATGGAGGGCATCATTAAGCTAGAATTTTTCTCCGTCAACTTCCGATCGCTGAGCAGAAACGCTGAAACGGAGAATTCCTGAGGATATGTAACTTCTCTTTTGGAATTCTATCATTCATGCCCAATCTGTCATGGCTATAGCGGCTGATAGCGGTTAATTCACAAAAACATGTTGATTTTGGGTATGGTTTCCCGCAACCAAGCCACCCTTTGATTTATTGCCTAAGAGTTCTTTTAACCTTGATCAGAAGGCAGCAGCATGCCTTTCACGGTAGTTATTGAAAGATCTCAGTCGAAAGATCGGAGAAAAGGTCTAGCTAGATACGTTTTTAATACTCTCTTTCAAATCGTCTTTCCAGATGGCTTAGGCAACATCTCTCGATTTATCTTCTAAAGTATGATTGGTGGGGTGGTTATGAAAACTTATAGAATCATTTTTATTGGTTCTCTACCAATATCTTCACGGACTAGTCAAGCAATAGGGGTGATCTGGAATTGGTTTAAACACTCGTTAGCACTCAACAACAACCCTTCCCGATTAGGACCCCGCCATCGAGACCTGATCGTCGTGGTCTTGGCACTTTGGCTCCCTAGCTTCCCTCCCCTCTCAACCCTGAGAAGTACATAGTCTTTGTCAGACTCACGCTGGGATTGATTCAACTCGGGAGTTATTTTTAACCTTCAAAAACTTTATACGGCATCAATATGGTTGGCGATTCACTCGAAGAGGATGAAGTGCGTGATGAGGTCGAGCAGCAGCTCGCTCATACCTCTTTCAAGTGCTCCTCGCTCAGCCGGTTGTCTGGTGGCACCGCGAATTTTGTCTACCGAGGCACTCCTCTCTCTGGAGATCCAGAGTCCATAATCATCAAACATACCAAGAACTATTTGTCCTCCAACGCTAACTTCAAGCTTGATGCTGAGAGATGTGTGAGTGTCCGCCAGCGAAGCGAGAAAAAGTACTAATACCGAGCTAGCACTTTGAAGGAGCCATTCTCAAAGCACTTGATGGTTTCGAGTCCCACGACTCATCAGAGAGAATCACTGTCAAGACGCCTCGGCTCTTCCATTTCAACAAGGAGACGAACACTCAGATCCTTGAAGATTTACCAGACTCTATCGATCTGAAACACTTTCTCATCTCGGATGTCTCTGGAGACATGTCAAAGGCCTCAGCACGAGCTCTGGGCCATAGTCTCGGATCCTGGCTGCGAGCTTTCCATGGCTGGGCCTCCAAGGCTGAACGGGCAGGAACCAAAGAGATTCTCAGCAAAAACCAAGCGCTGAAAGACCTGAAGTTCTACATCAACTACACCTGGCTTTTGGATACCATCGGCAATTATCCAGCCATTTTAGAAGACAGCCGCGAAATTTTCGAGAAAGTTCGCGATTTTGCGGCAGAGGAGCTAAAGAAGACTGAATATGATGACGAATACAACGTAATCCATGGAGATTTCTGGACTGGAAAGTAAGTTCTCCCTCAATACTACCCGCTCGGCAGCGTATATGTCAACTCTAACTGTGGCAAGTGTTCTCATGCCCAATATGCCACTGACCAGCGGCTCAAAAACAAAGCTGCTCGTCATTGACTGGGAAATGGCTCAGATTGGCAGTCGGGCTTTGGATTTGGGCCAGATGATTGCCGAAACATACGAAACCAAGCTATTCAAAAACGCCGAACATGGAGTGTCGGTAATCGAGGGCTTCATGGACGGATATGGACCTCTGAGTGATAAGATGGCATTCCGAACAACTATCCAAGTCGGTGCTCACCTGGTCTGTTTTGGAAGTCGAGTTGCTGGATGGGGTAGTCCAGAGCAAGTCGAGGAGGTTGTGAAGGTTGGAAGAGATCTGATAGTACAGGCATGGAAGGAAAACAAGTCTTGGTTTGAGGGACATGCCCTGGGGTGTTTGTTTCAATGGTAAAATTGCGCCAAGGTATCAAAAGCAGGAGACTGGTCGCATTCAAACAAACTATACAGGACAGTGTCATTGTACATAACCGAAATTCTTGTTCTCAGACTCGGATATTCCGCGCATTTCAGCCACGTCGTTCGATTAAGAGCCGTGGGGTGCGGGATGTTAAGTGCGAGGCTATACGCATTGTCGGGTATCGAGCCAACACCACACGTGGATGTATCGCTGGCAAATCGCCGAGTGATTGGCCCCCGCGTGGTTAATCTCCTCAATATCGGGATAATTTCTTTTTGTGTTGCGTGAATTATACCATTGATAGACACTGTCGCTGTTCTTGAATGCTGTGCACGAGAGATTGGCGTTGTAGTCTTATGACCATCTTCCTAGCGAGAAACCGCCCCTGGACCGCTCAAGTGGTCTACAAGAAGACTAAGCTCGAGAGAAGAAGCCAAGGATCCATGTCAAAGGTGACAATGTATTTGTAATAACATAATGAGGTTCCATTAACTAGTTTAAATCGCCTGACAAGCCTTCAACCTCATATCATTAGCTATACCATAGTCCGTACCAGAGCGACGGAGTCAATCAAAGTCAACAGCACGACGGGAAATCCTGTCAATTCGCATTTTGATAATCGGGTCCAAGACTGGCAAGCATGATACTCATCAGCCGCTATATTATCTCCAACATTGGAAATAGCAATCGAAGGGCAATAACCAATTATGAGCCATGTAAATGGCTGTCAGTACCATTCAGGAGATCAATCAAGCCTTTTGATGCCGCAAGGCAGTTCTTGGTGTATAATCAAGACCCCTTTATATACCATGGGCAACTGCACATTGATCGAGCGAACATGGGTTGCTGTATAGCATAGCTGTGATAACATTCGGTTCCATTGTTTGCCTAGGTATGGTTCATGATCCGCTGAAGTGCTTACAGTCGTAGTTCATCGGACGATATCCAGTACGTCAAGGTCAATCACGCAAGCAGGGGATTGGCTGAATAATGCTAGTCATGATAACTTAACTATGTGTTGAGACTTCAACACGCTTGACCCAAAGCGAACAACCACAATCGCTGCAGATTATGGCATGGCCATTCGGTCCCTGAGCCACAAAGCAGCCCATTGGGCCAGTGGTTCCAATCATACCAAGATTGTGTCAGTGGCGGTTCGTCATCCTGGGACCCCTATCCTCTAGGGGCCGAAGCGCTGTTTTGTTGAGTACTGATTCGTGTACGGAGTAGACAACCGCAAAGAAGGCCGACCGGTCCGGCACAACCGACACACAGGCAAACCAGGATAAGGAAGATTCAACGTGGCGGTTTCAAAAAACAAATCTAGCCGAAAAAATTAATTGCGCCCGTGAAAATTGGCAGTGTAGACCTGTAGGATCGACGTGATACGAGTAAGTGGAGAGAGGAAACAATCAAGACAGAGAGAGAGTCTGTGGGGGCGGACCTCCCAAGAGTCGTTACCCCGGGTCCAGTCTCAGGTCACCTGCCCTCCCCGCAGGTCTCCAGGTTTCTTCTTTTTCCACTTCGCATTCGGTTCTTCCACACCCCCCACCGATGTCGCGCCAACGCCTACGCCCGGCATGCGCTCCCGAACTGGCTGGTCCGTTAAGGTTCCTTTTAACAAAGCCATGACCATTCTTAGCTAACTATGATTCTTGCTCAGCTTGACCTGTCGGACTCGCAAGCTCAAATGTACACAGCAACCCCCGTCACCCCTGCGACGCGCGCCCAACTCCCGACTAACAATATTTATCAGGTGACGAGCAGAAACCAGTCTGCGCACAATGTCGCAAAGGTGGTCGAGAGTGTCGCCCCAGCGAGGGTATCGTCTTTCGCCATCAGCAGAATGCCTCGATGAACAATAGCGAGCAACAAACGCCAGAAGGCCGAGGCGATTTGAAGGGATTCTTTTCGTATAAGAACACGTTTGATAAGGATAGTGTGTGGCTAGATATTCCGAAACATGGTATGCAAGTTGTCTGCATTCAGTCCAGTCTCCGGCGAGCCTAGGAGCTTATCATTTGTGGCAGTCATCTTCGTCGATAATTCCGACCCCTACGCCGAAGATCTCGAGATCGCAGAGTCTAGAGCTGTCGCGCTCGCCCAGGCCCGTAATGCACCATGGAGCAGTGGCTCTAGGGCCAGCGATGCAGAATCCCACGGATTGGAAGCCTTGTCTGCAGTCGCAAGCCACGATCGCTTCCCATACTCTCCCATGACCCACTCCGTTGTCTCCGACACCGTCTCGTATCCCTCTCCGAATCGATCCCGAAGCAGTGCTATGCCTCCTCCCGCATCACCATCAATTTCAATATCCGCCAGCAGCAATAACACAAATATCAACTTTCTCCTGAACCCATCACACTCATTATCACCACCCATCGACCCATCCATGACCCCGGATCAGAGGAGCGCCTCGCTACCAACACGTCCGGCCACATTATCAAGGTCTCTTGTGGAACAGAGGGATGGTCATGCCGAGACGGACTTTGAGATTGCATTTCTGCTGCGACATTATACCGAAGGGCCAGGGTTATGGTACGTTGCAAAACAAACGTTCTTTCCCAGATACCAAGCTGACAATGGTCGACAGGATGGATCTGTTCGACTTAGGAACATATTTTGCGTCTTGCGTCCCAGTGCGAGCGAGGTCGAACCCCTCCTCAAATACGCTGCCTGCGCATACGCCGCAAAACAATTGGGCCGTGTCAAGGGCGTCAAGGCGAAGATGGGCGGCGTATGTTCTCGACAAGCGATCATGGAGGTATGGTCCGATCAAGACACTGATTTCGCCTGGCTTGGAGCGAAGTACTATGAAAAGGCCATTCAACTGTTGATGAAAGAGCTTCAACCCGATGCAGAGGCCCCGCCTCCGTTAGGCCCACCAGATGCGTTTGGGCAGTGGCAGGCCAACGAGCTCAGTGATGACGCAGAGAATCCGCGTAAACGGCGGCGGCGAGTCTCTAATAGTAGACTGTCGCGGGGAGTTCATTCGGATGAAATTCTGGCTGCGACGGCCATTTTATCGGTATATGAATTTCTCGACGCGACGGGCCCTGCATGGAGTCGTCATTTGAGCGGAGTCAAGTCTCTGCTCGATGTGGCCGAGGTTGGAATTATGCCCTCGGATCATCATTCGTCGGATGGGGACAGTCCGTACCAGTATAAGAAGTCCCGTCTGTCCAGGGCACGGAAGGCAGCATTCTGGAATTTTGCCCGGCAGGATTATCTCGCTGCCTGTGAGTTCACCATTTTTTGGTTAAATCTTTTCTTGCGCATCCTGCTGACCCTGTCAAGTCATCAACGAATGCCACACAAGGCTGAACACAGAAGACATCGTACTGTGGACCCAAGCCGGGTTGCTACTCGACCCAATGGGCTTTGTGCAACCCAGCAATACGGGTGAGGCAGGGTATCCCGAAGGCAACGATGTAATGAAAGAAGACCAAATCTGTAACGCGCTGGTTTGGATCATGTCGAAGCTCGTCAATCACATTGGCTCGGGTGACAGCCACAATGTGAACGATACCCGGTCTGTAGATAGTGGGCCCCTTGGTGTCTCTCAGCAGGTCGTCTTCGAGCGATGGTACAGGCTCGAGGCCGAGTTGGACGCATGGTACAGTGGCCTGCCAGATACATTCAAGCCTTGTGCGCGTATCGATCCGTCCCGCATCGCACACTACCGTCCCGCCGAAGAAGCCAAGGACCTCGCCACGCTGCAAGAAATTTGGCACAGCATTCCAATGTGCGCATCCAGCATGCAGCACTACCATATGGCTCGTATTCTGCTGTTGATCAACAAACCGCACGAATCAACGTCCCGTCGGAGTACCATCACATTGCGGCTGCAGTCGTACCGGTCCATCGAGGCCGAAATCGGGTTCCACAGTCGCGAGATCTTGGGCATCGGACTGGCGCGGCCGGATGGTGGCGTCAGAATCAATTCATTGCAGCCGCTATTTGTTGCTGGTCAGTGCCTTACGGATGCGCGCGAGCGTCGCACGGCAATTCGATTGCTGCGAGCTATCGAGGCAGACTTGGGCTGGGCGACTGAGTACCGGGTACAGCAGTTGCTGAAGGAATGGGGGTGGGAAGAGAGTTTCCTGCGTTCAGTGGCGGGGACATGAAAGATCATTCTGTATGTGTTGAATTGTTCATCACACAAGTTTCGCTGGTAATCGCATCGAACGGTTATAAAACTGCACATCCATACTTCCTCGGACTATTCGCAACATGTTTGGTCAGTCGGCTGAAGGTGTGGTGATATGGTCGCCCTTCGACCACAATGGATTGCAAATCTGTCACCACACTTGCCAGTTGTGGCATCCCCCCGAAATACCTGAGCTGCACGGGTGGGTGATAGACATGGGGTCGTATCCCTGGGAACCTGTCAAACGCCCATAGTTCTCCAGATCTGTTAAACGGCCCGAGCCCAAAATCCACCCTATATATGGCTGGGGTCCCGAACGGCGAATGGTATTCACGAAATCCTCCAGTTATCTCACTGGGGAGGTGGCTTTATATAGCCAGTACTTAATAGAAGAGGCACAGGGACAAGAGAAAGCGAGAGCGGGAAGAGCAAGAACAAGCAAGAATAATGTCGAACTGGAATGATAATAACGCATATCCGGATTGATTATAACGTAAATAGATACCCAATGAACCGAAAATCTCTGCAGATCCCGCATCCATAATTGGGCTTGCTTGTTGAGTTTCTGGCGGACCTATTCGTGCTCGGTTTAGTTTCCTCTGGTGGGCGGAGTTGCATCATTCCCGAGCCAACAGCCTATGGAAACCAGATTAAGTTGTTCTGCAGATCCTGATCAACGAATTGGGTCAAGTATCTTTCAGAAAAGGTAGGTTAGTCTGTTTAGTGGGACATTCAAGTATTCTATTTACTGTACAGTATGTAGTTTCCCTTTCTCACAAGCATGCGTCGTGGACAAGAGTCGGGTCTATTCGGAGAGTTCTCATCGTGTTGATTATTACCTTGTCGAAGGAAAGACTTTGCTTGGGCAAAGCCGAGGCCTCTTGGAATACGAGGCGATTCGCTACTGGATCCTTGAGATCGAATAGGGCTTTCCGCCATCGAGGCCGTTCAACACTCGTTTCATTGTTATCGATTCTAGTAGAGGACGTACTATGTACATAGAATCAGTGCAAGTTTGGTTATAACTCAAATAGTGGATTACGTAAGAAGACACATGGGGGTTTGGCGCAGCGGTAAGATCCACATCGATCCTCTTCAACCTCCCAACACACACTAATAAATTCTTCAGGTAGCGCGTGTGATTCCAGTCCACAAGGTCGTCAGTTCAAATCTGGCAACCCTCACCACTCTTTTTGGCAACTTTTTTACATCCCGAGTCAATGTTCTCAGCTGTGCAACACTGCACTAGATTAGTTTGGTCCAATTCTCGGTCCAGTGATGAACTTACTCAATTTATCAAGGCAATGTCTAGCCATGACCGTCGTATCCCTAGCAATGGAATACGGAAAAAGTCCGGTGTCAGGGTTCGGGATACCTTCCGCTACGTGTGGGGGGGGAGCGCATATCAGTGGAGAGTGTGGGCATGGCGGTGACAACGTAGGAAAAGTTGGCGAGATTGTTAGGCTGTGGAAGCTTACATGAGTAGATGGAGAATGGGCATATACACAACGATATAGAGAGTAACTGATTGGATGATATAGTTGCTGGTGATGTTTCGCTCGTATATTATGAAAGTATGCCCCTGCTACAGAAACTATCCAATTCTGTGGGCATATTGGAACCTCTACCGTTTGAGCAGCTTGAGAAGTTTTCTGTTCGGTTTATAAATGGACCTGGTTGGGTTTGCAAATTTGAGGCAAATTTGAGGCTTGGTTTAGCAGCTAGTAAGAGGACCTGCGAAAATATTGGGATATACAACTCCAAAAGCTTCTCGGCCATAAGGATGCTAGAAACATAATTGAGGGTTTGGTTTGTAGGAATTTTTTCAAATTTGTATATACATACAATGTTGACATGTATATTTGTGGAGATGATAGATTGTCGGGCTTGTTTCCCATCGTGATGAATTACATCGATTTTCATGCAACTACCTACATTCAAGACCCAGGCAAAGCCGAAGCTAAGGTCGCCGAAAGTGCTTATTAATCTAGTCAGTCATGTGATCTTTCAATGTGGCAGATTACCAGGGGAGCCGTCACATGACATGACCGCCATGCCCAAGTATAACCAACAACAAAACAACATAACGCCTTCATGGTGATGCTACAAAGATAAAAACCTTTATTGGCACACGATAGATGATTGTCCAGACTCGTTTGATCTGAAATAAAGCTACGAAAGCAAAAAAACCTGAGAGGAAAAGAGTGGGGATGAATTAACTCGGGGTTAGCCCCTGGACACGGGAAAGAATTCTAAAAAATTCTAAAAAAAGTTAGAAAAAATTCATGAGGGCTGCCAGATTTGAACTGACGACCTTGTGGACTGGAATCACACGCGCTACCGCTGCGCCAAGCCCCCGTGAATGAATATTTAGTGATCTAATTCAATTTATAACCCTTCATGCTATAAACTTGACATTTGGTCATAAAGTATGCACAGATGCCAGAACAAGGTAACGTGACCTTTACACCGCCTGTGCACCGTCTTTTTCCTTTCTCCACCGCTTCGCAAACATTCGTTGGGTCGTGTGGTCGACTACATGAAAGAGTTTCTTCCTGAATAATGGACCCACCAAGGATTTTCTGATATTGAAACCCTCCTATGATATTCACATATATCACATATGTTAATTGTTAGGTAAATTCTAGCACTCTTGCTACTACTAAGAATATTAGCAGAACAATCATGGTACCATAGAAAGGTAAGTATAGGGCCAATATAAATCTCTCATGAGCGCTGCCCTCTAATTAACATAATTCGGGGATACCCCACAGAATGAACTTGTAAATAGGTGGAACTAGTCTCGGATGCTTGGATTTATCACCAGTGCCACAATAGTGTAAATATCGGGACTTGGGGATATGAGAAACAGTCTACTTCCTTCCACGATTTACTTGAATATACTCTCTGCTTTGATGGCATGCCCCCAGACCCAGTAACCGAACAGGCTCAAATACCAAATATGTCAGAACACTATGTTCTGACATGATCGAGACCGATATAAGTAGAGCACGTAACTTTAGGGTGGACAAGGTCCTAATATCTGCTGTAAGACCTTCCTCCACGCTCTTCAAAAATTTTGTTCTTTGAAAGCTTCGGCATCATGTTCTTAATAAGTACTGTCTTATCTCATGACCTATGAGATGGCTATAAATATTTATATTGCAAACACATGGATCAAACTTATCGAATCCTGCCATTCTATCTATAAAGCTGACACTCTAGGGACCATTCACTATCACTAATGTCCCAGGCAAGCGTCATGAAGTATCTCTAGCTTTGCAAGGTAGCCTGTGTTTAAAAATTTAATACTGGGTTTTTAGCAGATTCATATTCTAGGAGAATCCATCATTAAGTCCGTTTGGTCTGGGCTTGCTACGTCTGACTCACTACTGGAAGAAGGAGACCAAAGACTGATAATATTTCCGAGCTCTATCTTCAATTTGTGATACATGATTCATTTTCTGCAGAGCTTACACCCATAGGATAGGGCATCATTCATTGCGTCGTGTACCCGTCTCGAAGCTACAAATCAGCTAGACACTAACGTTTCTGCCGACCTTAAGAGTGCCCGGGTTGGTCGCATAAGTTGAAGTGGTGTCTCTCTTGCTTCATAGCGTAAGTAGGTAAAGTTTCCCGTACTAGTCATACATACACGCATAAAACCGAGCTAGTCTAAGCATAAGGTCCATGGACACCAAGCAGTAGTTTACTTCAGCGCGTTTAGTTTCAACGGATTCAGAGCGCGAGTGCTTCTCACGCTATCGCCAAAAATTTGTTACACTTGGTAGTAATAAATACTTTACCTTCATAAGGGCATAATGCATCTGTATCTTAAGGTCCCTTCAAATGGGGGCGGGAAAAAGGGGAGAAAAGAGGAGAGAAAAGAGGACTTAACACAGGGTTCTAGAATTCATTCTGGGGATATGGAAAGTCGTGTTAGTACTACACTTCAGAAATACCATAGGTTATCGTCATTAGGTCAATACGACCACCACAAGCAGGAGAGGTAAATGTCCCGAAATTGAAAAAGCAGAGTAGCCTAGCTATTCAAGTTTGTGTTCTGTGCTCGCGACTAGATTTGATGAATATCCCTGTCAAGGTTGGTTTCTTGATACACAATTCTCGAGATGTAAGATCTCCTGAGATGCGAAATTGCTCAAATGTAGCAAGAGGCTTAACCCAGGGCTAAACAATGTCCTTTCCGAGAGTCTGAGGGGTCGACTCGTAGTGCGTGAGATGGCTAGCTGGAATGAATACAATGGGTGGCCTGTGTGACGAGCGTAATGCCGGCGAACAATCCATATACCCCGAATTATCCTATCAAGTCAGCAGTCGATGATCGACGAAAAAGCCAAAGCTCGGCGCGCTTCTAAATCCCGTTTGATTCGATCAAATCTCGGATAGCCATTTCCGTAGCCCTGTATGTTGTGATCTGTACTATGTATAGCCATAACCTGCACGGTCAGCATCACACGATCCCAACATTGAAGCCGTGTATAGGAGGCCTGTGTACAGCACATAGACGTTCTATCGCATCCAGCCACGAAAGCGGGGATGACCCTCGTTGAAAGGTGGAGGAGTCCAGAACATCGACAGTTGACTGATCAACTGTCATGTATACGATGGGCTGATATCAACGTCAAAAAAGGTCCGTAGTCGCTGTCATTGGTCGCGTGCGCAGCGAATGCCAGGAGCCATCACAGTAAGACGCGGGCTGGCGATGGTGATTGGGTGACTTGGCGCGAGGATCCGCACGCCGTACGACATGACACTGGCCACTCTGCTGTCGCGCAGGGTTGTGGGATTGCGAAGGAAGCGGCAGAGTTTATACGGGCAGGTTGATTACTGGACTGGGTTATGTGAGGGTGAGTATGGCGAATGGTCGAATCAGCGGGTTGCGCTGGGATAGCGGGAATCGAGAGGCGATACAGAGATCGACATGTTTGTGCTTCCGTGGTGGATTTGGTGCAGTTGCGTATTTAGTCGGATGAGACTGGTACTGTCACGGGAAGTTCTGTTTCTGTACTCCGTACGGGGTTGAGTCCGGAATACGGAAATATTGTATTGCGTCTTATGCTCTCTAATGTACACTCCTCCTTACCTCCGTAGTTAAAGGATGATTACGATGATGGCCAGATTCAGTTATGATATGCACGGATGACAATCAGCATAATAACCGAAGGACTGCCATCGGCTATAAACTTTTCATACCACGAAATAGTAATGATAATAATCCCTGTCCTCCATGAGAACATTGACAAGGGAACTTACATAAGTCGGTAACTGCAGCCCGAGCCTTCGAGAAACCCAAGAAACCTAACCAAATTCCCATTTGGTCAGATCAACCAGGGGCGGTTCCCAAAGAGGCTGTAAATCTCCGAGCCCCTTACAGGCTTACAGAGACCAAGGGTAGGCTGGGGGCACTAAGCTGTTAGTGTGCCCATCGACCTCTTCTTTCTACCCACGAGGCTGAAAGCGGACCCTAAAGAACCGACGCAAAGATATGGTTCGTTCTAGATTTGTCCAGACGGGGAACTGTCCGATAACCAGGGGATTGGGTTAAGATAGAAAGGATAGACATTAGAATTGCCATTATTGCGAGAGTCATTATTGTCCTGATGATTGCCATTGTTATTGCTACCCTTCGCATTTTTGACCAACAACGGCATGTAATGTACTCGCCCGTGTAATTGGAAACTATTGTCCATAGCGTTTATGGCTATGATAACGATCATGGTCTGTGCTATAAGCCATTATTGCTCGCTAGTCAATCGATACTTTTCCCCCTTCCACTGTCTCATCTTCTTGCCTGCGTCATGGCCATTTCCCTACGGTTTCCCACGGTCGCATTGCGCGTCACGGACAATGGTCATACAGCCATTAAGCCCAATTTCGGGGCGTCATCCACAAATCTTCCACCATCGATATGACTTACAGACCATGCTCACTGTGGAGGTTAGAGTTATACGACATTTATACGACGACTCATATGGTCTTCTTTTTACAGTTGGCCCTCTGACTGTGCCCTTGGTACGTCTACACGGTACAAAAGTTGCCGAAGCCATTACTGTAGAACGTGGCCTAAACGTGGTTCAACGATCCGCGGGCCTAGTTGTCTCCGCAGCCTTCCAGAACCATTTGCGACCGTGGGAACTTTGCCGTTGGTAAAGTTTAATCGGCTAGTTAAGGCAATTTGGTAACTTGGTGTAGTTCAGTTTTGGATCGAGGTTGTGTCTGGTTCAACTAGAGCTGCCATGGTTAATGATCCTGTTCCTGCGCCGATCTATACTTACTGGGATGGATGAGCCTCGCGTATCTTTGCCAACCGGAGCTTCGCTTCCAAAGTTCACGGAGCAGTCAACCCTAAATGCCGTCTTACAGTATGTAGTAAGTATCTGAAGAACTCCTATGGTAGTACAGTACCACGGTCCAATAATGTGTCCCAAAGGTGGATACGCTGGTTCTCGACTTACCACGTTACCAGCCCGCAGTCCAACGGTAATTACCGTACAAAGTGCATACTGTGCCGTCCGATGAAACCCACCACAAGGCCTGGCAGACAGGGAACCTCTCGTCTTTTCGTCTTTTCCCCTCCGGAACCAACGGCAGTCCAGCATTGTCTTGGACTGACAGACCTAAACTGCACTAACCCAGGGGTGAATCCCTTCCCCTGGTCAGTCCAACAGGCCCTGCCCTGGTCGCTAAAAGTGCTGCCAACCCGCCATGTACCATCGGAATTGGTTCTTTGCCTTCATCGAGGGACTGTGTGGAATTGCCCCTCCAATCGCCGCCCGCCGCCACCATCGCGTCCATCCCGCTCGTCAGCTTATGCTTCAATGGGCTTGCACTAGGAACGGGCCTTGTCTTTTTCTGACGGAGGAGACGGAGCACAGTCAAATTCTTGTCACAATAATTCTGTCTGTAAATGCCCAGGCCGGGGGTTTCTGCAGTGGGATTCGTCCCTGACAGTAGGCCCACTGCAGCCAGACTCTTGACTGCTGCTCTTTACCCTTTACTGTTTACCGGATGGAGTGCAAAGCTACCCACTGGACTAACGACAGTCTCCAACTGGCTCAAGTAGTACTACTGCAAATACCTCTTCCCAAGTATGGTACGCTAAAATACTCAATACGTTTTGTACGGAGTACTGTATACAAAGACAAATCCCGTTCTCCGTACTTTCATCTTGTTGCATGGGATCCACTCCTCCTCTCTCCGTGAGTCCGTGTGTCTCGTTCTCCACAAGTTAGTTACTCCTGCCCCCCTCTCCAATCGAAATCTGGACCTACAGTAGACTATGAACTACCGTAGTCGAATAATGTGCTCGGAGTATGTATACCGGGGTGGTGCCCACTTGGATCTCCTTTCTCTCCTTCCTCCCCGCTTTCGACCACTTCCAATCTCGACGTTCCTTCACGGGCTGTGCACGCTCGGTCTTGTCGCGCTGGCGCGTTAGATACCCTGCGTCACCTAGGAATATGCCGATCTGGCACGATCTTTGACCCAACATGGTGACCGCGAAAGGATACTGCCCTGGCCCGTTCCTCCAGGAAAGTCTTTTCCCGACAACGGGTGGATGTACGTGCGATATATGCTTCAATGCTCCTAGAGGTCAAGAGTCGATGCTGACAGGAGCTTTCTTAGTTACTGATGGACGATACTGCGAACCGATTCCCGGCATAGGCCCCAATGGGACCGCCGTAACATGTTGCTTACCTTGTCCACTCGCCGACTGGCGATATGCTGATGGTGAGTGATCTATACACCTCCCCTAGTTTAGACGCCTAGATACTGACCACGATCTCTAGATACTGCGAAGCGAGTCGAGGTCGCTAGCTGGATCAGTGTTGCCATTCTGCCTCTTTGCATCTTCCTCCTCGTCTCCTACGCCGTCCTCCCGGTCAAATGGACCAACCGTCACTACCTGAGTATCTGCTTTACCCTGGGTATCTGCTGCATGGAGGTAAATCGCAGAATCAAAATCGAAACGGCCATGGAAAATGCAAAAATAGGCATAACTAACAGATACTTCCCGCACAGATCGCATTCATTATCCCCCTTGGAGCCAAACCCGACCAATGCTATAATGCCATCACGCCTCATGATATGTACACCGACCTCTCCTGTGCCTTCTCCGGCGCGTTTCTCCTCTTCGGCGGATGGCTCGTCGTGATGTGGAGTTTCATTCGCACTCTTGCCTTCCACCTGCAAGTGTGTTGGGAGTTAGTGCTGGGACCCAAGTTCATGTGGGGAGCTTTCCTAGCCGGTTTTGGTATACCAGCTATTGCTATGACGGTGATGTTGATTCTCACGGGCGTGTCTTTCCGGTTCGGCCAGATCTGCCATATCAACATCAAACACGGCGACCAGGACTACTGGTATCCAATCATCTCCGTTGCGGCCGCAGCCCTGGTACTCCAACTGGCCACTCTGGCCTACTGCATACATGTTTACCTACGCTCTCTATTCGACAACTCCGCCTCCACCACCGAAAACTCCTCCGGCCTGCCCAGCTACACCAGCAGCGTGCGCACCGTCACCGCACGCCAGGCCTATCGTCGCGTCCGCCGTGTCCTCCAACTCCAATGGCGCGGCGTTGCCCTCGCCCTTATTATCATCGGAAACGTCATATTTTTCGCCGTCGTCTTCATCAATCTCGACAAGGAAACCGATCCCAACGCAGCCAACATGGCCAAAGCAACCGACTGGCTAGCCTGCCTCGCCTTCGGCGGCAGCAAGGAACAATGCAAACAATACGCCTCTGCAATGGGCCCCAACGAAGCCACCCTCCTAGCAGTAGTCTACCTACTCTCCCTCGTGGGAATTTGGAACTTCGTCCTGTACGTTCGTCCGTCCATGTTCGTCGGGTGGCTCGAAATCTGCCGTGGATTCTCCGCACCTCGCGAATTCGTCTCCGCTGATGCCCACCGCAACCTCGACAACAAGGGCTTCGAGATGCTCACCACCGGTACAGGAAAAACTCCTGAACCATATAACTACAACATGCGCTCGCCCAGCCCAAGTCGGATGATGCGCTCAGCCAGCCCGCGCCAGATGATGCGCTCACCTAGTCCGACAAATACCTTCAACGGCCGCCGCAGCCCGATGGCCGCTAGCATGACCTCTGAACGCAATGTGCAATTTGGTCACCAGGAGGCACGGTATACGCGTCCGTCGATGAGCTTTAGCGGGCCACGGCCTCCTACGTCGCCGGGTGGGCATGATTGGGATCCGTCTCAGACGTTCGCACGGGGTCAAGTATGATAGCCGTTGCGGTGGGACCGTGAGGCGGGCTTCACTAGTCAACCTGGTTCCTTGCTACTACTGCAAGGGCAGGGTGCCAGGGTGAGGCGAGGCTGTGGGCGAAGCGACATGTTAGAGTTTCCACTTACCAAAAGGGTTAGGACCCCGGATGGGGCCCAAGGGAGGTATCTGGGGCCTTACGGATGATCCTTGGCCGCTGGCGTGGCAGGCTTTTGCTGCTGTTACAGTCCACTGCTGCCAAGTCTTCCATTTCGCATGGAGATCGTGGTTTTCGCGTTCAGGCTATCGGTGTTACGGAAAATCGGTCCATGGAGTCTAGGGACTTGTTCTTTTGCCTCGTTGTCACAACTTACATTCCCTATTGGGTACGGGACGCAGTCTACGCTCTCTCGCTCTCACTCTCATTCTCTCTCACTGGATGGTCTTGGTGTCTATCCATCTCTATACTTTCAATTCCCCCAACAAACTGCGTGCTTTTGACCGAGCAATTGAGGTTTAGGTTATAATGTCTGCTTCTCCTCCTTTTGAGTTCTTCACATCTTACCACTATTACTGTATTATCATGCACTATTGGCGCAGTACAAAGTCTAATATGAGAAGCTTAAAAAAAGTCATATTTTAAGACCCTCTTCTGCTATTGCTTGTTGAATACTGTAGTTCTTTCGACACTCGAGACTAGATTATCTAGTATCTACGGAGTTCTCGGCGGATATTGCTTCTGGCCTCGCACTACGTGCTCCTTTGGAAGTACCGAGTCCGTCCAAATTCCATTTTGGGCGGATGTCCCCACCACCGAGATTCTCTCGATCGACCATATCCATCCAAATGGATCCTGTCCCACTCATACTTGGTCGATGACGATCGCCCATTGCGACGGACACGGCAAATTGTCCCACAGGGCGCAGGGGGAGATTCAGAATCTGCCCAGCCTGAAAAATAGTCCCGCTCAATAATAAGTGCGACAGTCAGCCTAGTCCACCCAGTGCCGTAAGCTTACACCATACGACATAGTTAGTTAAAGTGATTACGCACCACCTCAAGACTACAAGAACCAAAGGTCGTAAGCAACACTGCATAACTTACACCCGTACAATACATACTAGTTATAGCACACTTCCTGACTCAGACTTTAAAAGGAATAAGTGCGATCCAATAGTACAGCTCCAAACTCCCGATATTCACGCAAATCTTTGCCACGAATTAAATCCGGTTTTACCACACTACAGTGTAGTACTATCATTGTTCAAATACAACAGTAGTATCAGTTCTTCTCTTCGCTCTTCCACAATCTACACATACCAAAGCCAAGCCCAAGCCACCCGGCTAACAGCCCAACAAGGCGCTAGCGTTAAAGCAAATCACACAATCAAACAATCCCAGAAGTGATAAAACAATCTAGAACCCTTCCAAGCCCTATCCCGCCCGAAAGCCGATAGGCTCACGTGCGCTGAAACACACGGCCAGCCGTGAGGGGGGGGGGGGGGGGGGGTGGGCTCTCAGGGTTACCCCCTAAGACTATCACTAATTGGGTAAGTTGGCCGTTCCTGCATGAGTAGGGTACCGTGTCAGCGAGATGGTGAATATTTCGGGTTAACTATGTGGACTTTCCTTCACTATATTATCACGGAGGGTAATCGGTAATTGGGACTGAAGGAGGACGGAGAATTGAAAGTACGTAGTGCCGGAGGATAGGAAACTGGAACCTGGTCTTGGTGCTGGGGGTTGTTAGGGGTTTGGCTTGCGAGTTCGGGTGAGTGTGTATGGTTCCACCGGCAAGGAGTTAGGCGAGGAGAGTACATAGAGAGAGGTATTCATGGTCAGGGTTTGGAAAGATGTTTCGGCTACTGTTGCATTGTGGAGGGGTGTTTTGGATTGTAGGACTTTTGAGTGTGTTGCGAGGCTTGACTTGCATCCTACAGTAGTGTACTGTACGATTTTTCGGAGGATACTGCAAATTAATGCCGAGGATGAAAACTATGGAGTCAATCATGCTTTGTCATTGCTCTCATTAACTATGTTAACTATTCAGACACCTTTGACCGAATTACGTCTGCCATCCAATCGAAATTTTCCTCGTTCTCCCCGGCAAATCTTGCCACCCCCGCGATTTCAATGACAGGGCCTTTGGGTCAAACATCTAAATTCCAGCCACGAACCAGTTCTCGACCCCTACCGGTCGTAGCTCGGCAATTTTTGAACTACCACCGCTAGAATCCGGAATTCTGAAACTACAGTATGAAGATCAACGCCCCACCTCATGATCCATTGACCATGATGCATGATGCATCGTCCGAGTCATGAGCCATTGACCAAACCCCGCCCACCCTTACCCACAGGCCCGAATCACCCCATGGGGAAGCAGATCGAGCCTCAAAATCTAGATGACCACTGGCCGATGCCGAGGCCGACATGGCGGGGACTTGGATTCAGGGCTGATGACATGAGTGCCCCGGATGCATGAGGCCGAAAAAGTCAAGTCGTCCCACGGGTAGCATCCTATAGAGCTCTACTGTACATAGTACTTTACTCTTCCTATGATGTAAAACCATATGCAAAGTATACCAGTGACTGAATTCTCTTTCCCTTGGTCGATCCAAAATAGTGATTCAAAGTGATAACCTTCGAATTGACGATCCCCGTCGGATCCCACCGGTACATCGTGCCCATCGATGATCAACCAAGCATCTTTTCACTCAGCAATAATAATGACTTTATGAGGGATTTATAGGAATTGGCATGTGCTTTTTGGGAATCTTTCGATCATCCGTCTGCCGTGTTTGCGGGGGTTGAAAAGACCCCGTAGGCACAGCACGACACGTTTTGCCTAACTAGGATGGCCTTGGTGTTAGCTAGTGATGTTAGATTGGCGATTGACCTTACAAAGAGAGACAGGACTATCGCACTACAGAATTTACTGCCGTTGCAGCTAATTTCCATCCAATGACAACCACTGGACTACATGGTCTAGGACAATGTAGGAAGGATTGCGGGGACTGGCGGGTGCAGGTGCCAGGTAAACCTTATCCCCGGGTTAGCTCGCCGAGGTTCACTGTTGGTTTGTCAATACCCATGTGATTATAATCGGGTTGTGCTGAAAGGAAGTTTGTTTGATCGACGCTATGCAGGGTAAGGCCTTTTTGCTTTTGTGGCCAAGTCTTCTGATTTGTGCGTTTGACTTAACCCTGCATTGATGGGCGTGGGGTCGATACTTTGGGGGCCACGTATCTTGCGGGGTTTGTTGTTTTTGTTTTTCAACTGTTTTCTAGAGGTTCTAATCGTTTTGATCGTGTATGGGTTTAGCTGTATTTTGGAAGGAAATCTAAGGAATGTTAGAAGGTACAATTCATTGGTCAGCCTTGGTAGGTTATGGTGCTGCGTTATGACAGCTTGAAGCTGACTGACAGCATGAATGTCCCCTTTGGTACAGCCCCCTATGCTAACGAATCAGCATTCAAAGATCACACCCAAGATCAAGATCGAGCTTCACGTTGAACCGTTCAGGAGATAAGGGCAGGTTTTATTTGAGCTGCAGCTTAATCCTCAATTTGAAACCGGCTTCGATGTCAATCTTGGTCCTGGATCTTCTTTCCTTCATTTGCCGCTTCACCAGGGGAACTATAAGTCAGCCAATTTGCTCGAGAGAGGATTATCCTGCTCATCTCATTATTAACTTTGCCCATGCAGAAATGCCATTAGCTTTCAAGAAACATTCTTCGCCGTGGAAAATTGAGTTTGCAGAACAAATTTCACTGATTGACTTGGCTATCTAATGCGTTGTCCAGTCAATGAATCAGATGAAGAAGCAGTTTTCTTCATTATCGGACTAATATACATAACGGCCACAAGCGACTCATATATACACACTCAATTCCATCGTCGCGAAGAACCATAGCTTGACTATCCTGCCACGTCACATCGCGCTGCACTAGAATCGTATTCAGTGGCACCTCAGCCCCTGATGCATCATCCGGCTGGCTAACCTCCAGCTGCACGTTCTGTTTGCCCATGAACTCACCCGGTGGACGCAAATCCGAGCTATTCACCTCATAACTCTTCAGGCCGGAACCTTGTGCGCCAGTCGTTCGTGAGCGGGTACCGATCGAGCTGGAGAATTTGGAGGAGAGCATAACGAATAGGGGGCGCAGGGTGGGCATGCAGGCTGAGATGATGCCGCTGGAACACTCGATGAGACACCAGGTGCAAGCCTTGGCGAGAGTCCATGGGGTGTCGGCGGGTTCGAATTCGAAGAGTGTTGAGAAGCGGTAGGCGCTGGTGAAGATAACACTATGAAGATGGTTGTTAGTGCAGCTCGTTGCTTAAGCTCTGATGCTAAGTCGATATTCGAGGGAAGTGGAGACGAACAAACTACCCAGCAGAAATATTGCAATCACTGACATCCGATGCGTCACGGTTGCATGCAGTCCCCAGACAAGGTGCACTGGCAGAGCCAAGATGGCAATATCGGTCAGAATATTCGGTACTGCGTTTCCGATAAACGAGCCCTTGAGGTTGATGCAAGTACCCGGCAGGCTCAAATTCCAGGCCCTTGCGATCGGGTTACACTGGAACACGCTCACGCAGATAATTGCGATGACCCATCCGATGACGATGCTGCCCAGGATAATTGCGGCGATTCGGAAGCTTCTCGTGGGAAATATGCGCGCATACATGAGAAGGATGGAAATCTTGACGATTCCTATTGTCGTGCAGTATACGCATTCAAAGGTCATTAACAGCTGGCAATTGTCAGTCTGTGGGTATGAATGGATGTCAACGCTCTACGGCAATCGAACCTTGGCAATTATCACGATGTTGCCCTCTGGTAATATGTCGGCATGTCGACCCATGCCAAAGTGAATCACTGGATTGTCAGTCTTCATGGTATACTGGCTATGGCAGGCCCGGGGAGCTATCTTACTCGTCAAGTTGAGCGCACGCGTTGCGAACAGGAACACCTAGAATCAACAAAGGAGGTGCTTCAGCTAGGTAATCAATCTTCTTCAAAAGATAAAATCCAGTACTCACCAACGACAGCAATATCACATAGTCATCAGGGCCAATCTGGAGGCCTTTCTTCCATCGAGCCAAAAACCGCAGAATGACAAAAAACACACCCAGAACCGTCATGGAGATGGTTCCCGCCCGATACTCCCCTTGACGACTCTCATAGATATCCGTGGTCTCCATGCTATATGCCGACTATAGCGAAGAACAACGAACGACTCGAAATAAGCACCAGTACCCTAGTGCATGGCTTCCTGCCGAAATATGCAGGGAAAGAAAAGCAATAAACTGCAGAAATCCCTGGTCTATAAGCCCACACCATATATTGCGTTCTTCACCTCCGAAATTAAATCCAGACTCGATGAATCCTTTCAACAGGAAACCCCTTCCTCCCCTGCAGCTACGAAGCAAAACTGCCGATCATCCAGCCGTTAGAGCCTAGTGAATCCACATAAGGGCACATTTTAACTCCTGTCAAAAGCGCAAGCTCCAGCGGAAAGAAGGATCTTCCGCAAATAAGCGCACGAGAATCTGAGCAACCCTGTTGCTTCTAGACAAAAATATATTCGGTATGCCTGCTTTCTTGGCCTCGAGCCCGGGATCCTTTCTCCCCTGTCCGCTATGTCCGCTATGTGGAGCCGCTGTCTGCCACGCCGTTGGTCCCGGACAACCTCCGAGTGGGACAGGATCAACGCTAGATCCTGGCGCTGTATAGGTACGAGGACCACCATGTTTATGATGCTTGATAGGCGCGCGGTTGCTGGCTTGTGGGCTCGCGATAGTTGTGGGAAGGCGAGGGAAGGCGAGGCTTGGCTTTATATCCACTTGAACGTGGCATGAGGTGGGTTTGTTCTCACCGAGAAGAGGTGTAAATGAATCGTTTCGAATAGACTGAATGGCTTGAACGGATTACCAGCTTGTCGGAAATTGGTGGGGTGCCGTTGCTGGTCTGCGTGAACTTCGGTTGAGCTGCAGGCTTAAATGATTCATGCCCCTTTAAACACGTTGTCATCAATCTTACTACTTTCGACTGCGGATTCTAGCTGTCTGTGCAGTTTGTGGATTCTCCTATACCTTCAGGTCCTCACGACTAGTCAAAGGTTTACGTATAGCTTCTAAACAACAATGGCTGTCAACAACACCCCGATCTATGTCTTCGTTCCGGGTGCATGGCACACTCCCGACACCTTCGATGGCATCCGCGCTCTCCTGAGCAAGCGCGGACATGATTCCGAAGCTATCTCGGTTCCTTCTGTTGGCACGGCCGAGCCGAAAAAGTCTGGTCTCCACGCTGATATCGCCCATACCAACGGTGTTATTCGGGCATTGGCTGAGCAGGGACGTCAGATTGTCGTGGTGATGCACTCGTATGGTGGCATGGTGGGCGCAGGCGCCGTCGAAGGTCTTGGGTACGCCCAAAGATCCAAGTCTGGTCAACCCGGTGGTGTGATTATGGCGGTATGGCTGGCTGCTTTTGTGACGCCGAAGGGGAGGTCGGTGATTGATATGCTGGGAGGAAATTGGCTTCCATGGATGCTGCTCAGCGTATGTATTCCCAATTGATTCCAGAGACAGACCTAGATATTCGCAAAGAACCGTTACTGATGATCACCCAGGACCCTGATGACGGCTACTGTCGCTCCTCGCAACAAGAAACCGTCTTCTATCACGACATGACTGCCGAGGCCCAAGCAGCCGCCATCTCCAAGCTGAAGCCACATGCCAAGCCCTCCTTCCTGGAACCGGCTACCTTTGAGCCCTGGCACGAGATGCCATCTATGTACCTCTTCTGCGACAAGGATGCTGCCCTGCCGCTATTTGTGCAGGAGGGCTTTGCCCAGACATTGGGTAACCCGGTGACTTTCCACGTTGATGCGTCGCACTCGAGTTTCTTGAGTAAGCCCGAGGAGACGGCGGACGGGCTGGAGCTTGCGTTGAAGGAGGGTTTTGAGCAGAGTGGGATTAATTAAATGTTTGGGTGTGGTATGAGTTATGTTTGACGTGCGATTATTGTTTTGTATTGGAACATTAGGGATTTTGAATTGAATTTTGAATGTCTTGAATGGCCGAGAGATTCGTAGAGAGTCGCCTACAGATACGCATCAATAGCTCTCTGCTTGGTGATGTCAGGCTATATAACAGTAAAATTGGGAATATTTGGGACTGAATTGCTGATGAACAGGTCAAGCACTTATCACACTTTTTGAGTTGGATGGTTTAGTGGAAGAGCATTTGTTAAATGAACTTTGACCTTGGTATAGGCAATATTCACTCCGAAAAGTGAGCATAGTACGCCGTAGATCATATGGAGGCACTTGGCCATGGTATTAAACACTACATAAGTCTATGGATAGCTACATATACATTGATCTACCCGCTCGGACTCGAGGACATGCCGGATGTTGATATTCTGGTCCGCCAAAGCTGAGCTTATCGGAGCGCACGGAATCCCATTTATGTGGAGAAAACAAGTGTACTTGCCGATAAAGTGCAGAACTAGCGGTCAGGCCTAATCTACTTGCCTCGCCAATCCAGCTAAAGCCCCTCGAGTTTCGATGTGAGGACCCGAGGAGATCCGGGTTCAAGAGCCGTATATTTTGCACCTCGGCCAGAGGAATGTGGGAACGGGAAAGTGGCTGAGATTCAGCCTTTTGAGGGATGATCTGCTGGTAGATACTAAATAATACTAGGGCAAGCTCTGTAGCTGAAGATTCCAAATGCCCAGGGCTGTGTATTCCGAGTATATTTTCCAGTCTTGTTGTATTTACCAAGTTTATCGACTTGTATAATTCCTTGTCGACGAGTACTAAAAGTAAACTCTATATGCATTGCATCATCCGAAATGCCCGACGTCACCGCGTCCCAAGGCGGAGAGTGAACTGTTCCGTTTAGCTCCCGAAGCTGGAAAGCACAGGTAACACACAACTAACCAACCTCCATCCCCGCTTCCCAGCCACCACCACCACCACCACCATCACCGAGTCCTCGTTCTTTCTCTCCTTCCTCAAACTTCACCCTCAGCCCTCTTCGTTCTGCTCGATACTGCAGTTCTGAATCACAACCAACCCGTCGCCTTCTCCTCCTCCTCTCCTCCCCCAACCTCCTCCCTACCTACCCGATCCCTCGACAAAAAAGCAGTCTCCATGGCTCCTCCTCCTCCCGCTACCTTGCCTCTGGCCGAGAGGCTGAAGGCTCTGGCCCAGACCCTCCAGTATGTGATCCTCCTGCCTCTGTACCAACATTGGTAAGGCCCCAAAATGTGAACCAGCACCGCTAACCGAATACATCGCTACAGGTTTGCCTGGTTCGTTGGGTATGTCAACCCCACGGGAATTGCGGACGAACGCTCGTCTTGGACCTGGAGATAGCATTACTGACCTGCAGTTCAGCCACCTCACCCTGCTCCTCTCCGTCTTCCGCTACTCCCTGTCCTTCATCTTTTTCAACTACTACTCTTCCGCCGCCCGAATCTCTTATCGCCTGGCATTCATCTCTGCCGCCGTCACCTATGGAATTGTCGTGTACAAGGGCCACTTCGCCCGGGGTGTCTCCGGCAGCGTGCCTCAGATCGTGACCAAGCTCATCTCCGATGAGAATGTGCAGTATCTGGGTGAGTGTTTTATGAACTCGGTGATGAGGCAATGTGGCAGTCTGCGTACGTGCGGGGAACACCTAAGCTCATATATGAATCACACATAGGAATGGCTCTCGTCTGGCTCTACTCTCGCCAGCTCATCCTCGCTCTCCTCCCCTTCAGCGTGTACTCGGTCTTCCACGTCGCGACCTACACCCGCATGTACCTGATCCCGACCCTGCAGCCCCCAGCCCCCGGTGCTGCAGGTCCCGCCTCGCCCACCTCCGGCTCCAAGCCCACCGGCAAGCAGAACCCCCTCGCTGAGACCATTGGCCGCTTCATCAAGCAGTACTACGATGCCAGCATGGGTGTTGTTGCTACTCTCGAGATCCTGCTCCTCTTCCGCCTCGTCTTTTCTGCTATCACCTTCTCAAAGGGTAGCTGGATTCTGCTGATCGTCTACCTGTCCTTCTTCCGTGCCCGCTACGCCCAGAGCTCCTTCGTCCAGCAGGCTGTTCGCCAGCTGACCGCTCGCGCTGACGCCTCGATCTCTCACCAGAGCACTCCCCCTCAGGTTCGCCAGGGCTGGGAGGCCTTCAAGGGTGTCGTGCGCCAGGCCTACGAGGCGACCGACATTGGCCGCTACATCTCGGGCCCCGCCGCTGCCAACAAGAAGCCTCAGTAAACGCTTCAATCAGAGATTGGATGGACCTTTCCAGCAATTGGGCTTTTCGGAGCTGTCCGCGACTCGGAAGATCCTGGCCTTTGGATTGGTTCACATGGTAAACGACAGTGTCAATGCTATTGGATGAAACCATCCGGTGGCAGTCTTATATTTTCAACCATCGATGAATGTGAGGTGATAAGGCGGGTCTCAGTGTATGTATGGTATGGGAGACCCGTGGAAGAGGGGGTTATCTGTAGAAAAGAGGCGGACGGGGAGGGAGAGTTCCACCATCATGATGCTATACGCAACGCAACGCAACGCAACGCAACGCCCATGTTTGTTTTTGTTTTGTTCCTTTCCTTCATTGTTCTTCTTCCAGTCACTTTGCTTCGGCTTTTGTTTCTAGAACTTCGTGATGCATTGTTTCTGTATCATTCTTCCTGCCAATATACCTGGACTCGGAGGCTTGTTTTTAGGGAATATAACTTGTTGAGGATGACATTGGATCAATTATAAGCTTTTTTGATGGTCGTATTGATTAGTCGACATGGTTTAATATGGTCTTTATAAGCTTGGTAGAGAAGGGCATCCTCAATAGGCGCGATTATGATTTGGAAACAGTTGGCAGGTAGAGTTACTAGCTCCACAGCTAAAGCAGTAGTCCCGACCACGGCTTTTCTGACGAACTTCACGCTTAGCTCAAGTCAGATGAGTTCTCTCAGTCCCCAGAGTGACTGGAAGATTCCTCAAGCATGGAAACACAGGCGATTGCTGTCAGCGCACTCCTCGAGTTCTTCGCGTCGGCCGAGTCGGCCGAGGGAATGACGCCCCTTGCTACCGCATCTTAAAGCACTTTACTTTCTTCTCTGCCTCTATTCAAGCCAAGTATCTTACCATACTCACAAATCTCCTTCGATTCAATCTTCCAGTCCTTCCAAACTTGCCCCCGCGATGAAAGTCCTCCTAACAGGCGCAACTGGCACCATCGGCGGCGGAGCGTTGAAAGCGTGTCTCGCACATCCGCAAATCACAAAAGTCGTCGCATTCGTGCGCCGTGCTCTCCCAGAAGATGTATCTTCGAATTCCAAACTCGAAACTGTCATCGTGGAAGACTTTTCGACGTGGCAAGATGATCTACTGGATCGGCATATGGACGCTGCGGCGATGATTTGGTAAGTCGCACTCACATTCTGGACGTACTTGTCGAAGGTAGTATTGACTTGTTCTGTACCAGGGCCCTTGGCTCCTTGAGTCCTACGCACAAAGTAGACGTGGAGTATCCGCTGGCCTTCCAGGAAGCCTTTATCAAGCGACGCAGTCAGCAAGAAAACCCGGCGGGTTTCCGCTATATTCATGTGAGCGGTAAACTCGTCGAACAAGATCCGGATAGGAAGCTGTTTTTCATGGATGTGCAGCGGAAGACAAAAGTATTGCCTTCACAAAATGTTCCCCGTTTGACAATTGTTCCTTCCTTCGGGGGTTAATACTGTTTACAGGGACTGCACGATACCAAGGCAATCGCATTAGCTGAGCAAACCGACCCGTGGTGGAGGCTGATAATTGTTCGCCCTGGAGGGGTCTTGTACGATGGCTTCATGACGGGTATGCTAGCTGCCGCTATGGGGAAGAATTGGGCTATTAATGTGGGCACGCTTGGTGCTTATTTGGCTTATGTTGCTACTGGGGGAGATGTCGAGGGGGTTATTGTCCTGAATGGGACTATTGTGACCAAGGGGAAGGAGTTGCTTAAAGCCTCCTCCTAGACTGGGGATATTTTGTTCTGCTGTTTTCGTTTCGTGGTAAGACACTAAGGGCGTTATTGGTATAGATTTTATTTGAAGAGAGATAGATTTGAGAACGTCTAATTGATTATTTCTCCTTTTCATGGTGGATTGATGTTACTCGCAAAGGGTATCTCGTGAACGAATCTGCGGATCTTGAGGACATTGATGTCGACTCTGCAGATCAGATTCATTGTATAGAAGTAAAGTCAGATCGTATCATCAATATCAAGAATATGTGTGACAAGTTGCTTCCCAAGAGCATTCTTCACCGAGGCAATCAGTAGTTCATGCAAGCCTACCTGTCTTGTTGCATAATTGGTAATCGCAGTGTCTGTCGCTTTTCTCTTTTCACCCCGATGGGTTGAGATCGCAGAATCTCCCACCTTCAGTTTTCCCAGTACAGTCGTGAGTATTTCGGAACTCTTCAGGGCGAAATGTTCTCGCGCAGAGCTCCGGCCAAGAGCCGCCAAAGAGTCAACGATTTGCTCCAACAGGATGATGTCGGATTTGAGCGGTTTCGAAGATTCCGGGCCAGTATCCTTGCTCAGGCCGATAATTAAAGCCAGAGAGGCAACGAAGGCGGCGATTTCGGCCGCTCTGCAGTGGATTCGATTTGTTCCAGCTAGACATAGACCGAGATATCTGTATAGAGTCGTCTTCGACGCTTCTAGACACCGATCACGATACTGCACTGCGTCGGCTTCCAGTGCGAACAAAAATGGAACGTTGGCAAGGATTTGAAGTAAGAAGAACCACAAGTGCGAGAGTAACCGATCGTATTCCCGAGCACAGTTCAGAGATTGCTCTTCCTGAAGATCAGGTCTTTGCCACCATGAGTCTGGCATGGCATTCTGCAGCCCTTCAATGGCAGTATTTATGGACTTTGCCTCTTCAAGACTATTCTGGAGTCCAAACAAATTTCTTTGGCTCAACTGGGCTGATAAGATGCACAGCCGACGTTGAAAGTTGGCATTCTCATCTGCAGATGGATCATCCCAGGAATAATCCGGACCGAATGGCTGCGTAGCCCCGGTCTCAAACCCGAGAATTAGACTGCAGAAGCTATCTCCCATGACAGATGACAGCCACAATCGACGATGAAACGCCAACTCTGGAGATGTTGATTGGCGTATGGAAGGCTCATAGCTTTTGTGAAACCCCAGAAGCCGTGCAACATCCAGCGCTCTTCTGAACTTCATCCATGCTTGCTTGAGATCTCCTTCATTTATATGGATCATGCCCAGGAGGAGCAGGCATTCTAGTCCCTCGGTGGAGCATGACATCTCCTCATGAGCGAGAACCAAGGTACCCACAACTTGGGTATACCGCCGGACATGATCATCAACATCGGCCATCTGGAGTTGACTGGTCTTGTAATCAGGAGGTAGTTGTTGTATGCTCAACGCAAAGAACAAAATCGCCTTCGCTATTCCCATGGTACTGAATTGTGCTGCAGCACTAATGTCGCGAACCGGTGACTTGTCTCCAAGTTTCCAAATCGCTCCGGGAGGGTTCGGAAGTTCCATCGCCCACACTCCGGTATGACTGGCTATGCTGGAAGCGTCCGCTTCAGATGGGAGAAGTTCAAGGAGAATTTGCTTGGCTGTTTCATCTTTGTATTGAAGCAGAGGCAGCTGCACTTGATGCGGCTTGGAACATTGTTCCTGTGGCAAGGAAAGTCCCGATGGCGTGGGTATGCCAAATTGATCGGAAAACAAGTCTTGATCCAAGATTTCATCCCAGTTCAATGGTTGCTGTAAATCAATCTCATTTTTGGGAGGTAATTTGCATGACTCTTGGCTATCAACTAGAGTACGCAGCAATTGCTCTATGCGCTCGAGTCGTCCATCGTGGTCGGATAGAGTTGTCGATGATGCATTGGATTGTGTCTCCGGGGCTTGTAGAGTGCATTGAGCACCAGTTCGAAGGCACTCAGAGCAAGCTGCCACGTCCTCAGAGGCTAATTGACATTTTACCTTGCGCCTCCTGCCTGGTGTGGGTTAGCGAGTTTTAAAAGGACCAAAAACGTGACAACCCCATACATTCGTAGCACCTTTTAGTGCTGCGCCGCAGGCGTTTCGAAGGATGATGACTCTCCATCCCGTTTGTGGGCTTGTTGCCTGAGTAGGTAGGTCTAGAGGTGCTTCCTCAGTAGTTTGTCAGTTCAGATTAGTTAAGTTAGTGGGGTTGATTACTGGACTTGCAGGTCCTCCTATTGGTCGAATCCAGCCACTCTAAAGAGCTCGATATGAGACAAGCTTCTGCATTTTATGAGCAGCCAACTACTCCGTACAGTATCTATAGCGAGCGGGGTTTATGCAATTTATGCAAGCTGTCTGACCGTAAGCTTCCATTCCACCCCCTCATAATCCCTGTCAGTTACAAGCAACTAAGTTTCTGAAAACTATACTTGGCTTCAAAAGTACGATAGCTCTACAGCTTAATTATGGCTGGATCTAAGAAGTCACTCGACTCGGTGATTAAGAATCTGGACAGCATCAAGGCTGATGATTTCGACACTGACGGCGACCGTAATAAGCCGCTTCTGGCTGCTTACGCTCTTGTCAGTCGCCTCGAGACACCATGGGAGACTGTTTCAAGGCTATGTATGAGCCAGGTAAATGTTCATGCCCTTGGCTTGTTTGCATAGTTGAACAACAAACCTTCAGCCAGCCCTAGTCGCAAGTTTGAAGACAGCCAAGGACTTGCAACTGTTCGAAAAATGGGACTCAATAGGTAACTCGACTGAAGATAGTGACAAGCTCACTGCCATGGTCAATTGTGATCCTTCGCTTCTTGGTCAGTCGGGCGCCTTGAATAAATTCCAATTGCAAGACCAAAATATCTCGATTGGGTATACGTAGCTGAACATACAAATCTTGCAGCTCGGATTCTCCGACATCTGGCAACAAACATGTGCTACAAGAGGTGTCCGCCAACGTTTTCAAGCCTACGGAATTCTCGATCTCCCTCCTGCAGCCTAAATTTGGAGAATGGATCAATTGGCTGTAAGTGTACCGCTAACATGGAGGATCATTAGATTTGACCTTTCTTTGATAAACGCTAAGTTTGATTCCAGCTATAATGGAAGTCTCCCAAGCTTCCATAAGATGCCAGAATTTCTCCAAAATAACGACTACAAGCCTCCCACAAACCCAGCCAACGGCATCTTCCAGGACGCTAAAGGCTACAAGGGAGACTTATTTCACTATTACGCAGAACACCCTCGCGAGGGCAACTCTTTCAATCAACTGATGGACGGTATTATGGCTCGTCAGGCAAGTCGGCTGGACGTTATACCTGCCGACAGCTTTTGTAAATGGGTCCGATCCCAACCTGCCTCTCTTGGTGGACATTGGAGGAAATATAGGTCATTATATTGAGAAATTCCGGCAGGTGTATCCAGATACAGCCGCGCGATTGTATCTTCAAGACCTGCCCGGTGTGATTGCAAACTCGAAATGTCCAGAACCGGTGAACAAGATGGCGCATGATTTTTTCACGCCACAGCCTATCAAAGGTGTGTATATCCCTATAATATCAACCAACTTTAGGGACACTAATCGCTTACCTCAGGAGCTCGCGTGTACTACATGCATAGCATAGTTCACGATTGGTCTGAAAAGCCCGCTCATAAAATTTTAGAAATGCTAAGAGACGCCCTGAAGCTTGGATACAGTAAGCTGCCGATTGATGATCACGTCGTCCCGGACAAGTCAGCACACCATCAAACGACCTTTTTTGACCTTACCATGATGGCTTTTGTTGTTGGGCAAGAGAGAACGGAGACTGAATTCCGCACACTAATTGAGGCAGCGGGTTACCGTTTTGTTAAGGTCTGGAGGTCACCACTAGCACCTCAGGCTATCGTGGAAGCCGAGGTGGCTTAACTACATGGTGGATAGGTAATCTTTGTTAATTAGGTTGAAACCGAGTGATTTCGATAGCAAGTTAGTCTGGGAGTTATGTTCATCCAATCTTGCTCCCCTATTTTCAAATTCATATATCGTTACTTGTCACAATCAATGAGAAGCGAATGAGCCGTAAAGACTCATTAAATAAAAAACAAGACAAGTTGAGGTAAAAAGTCCAAATCAAAGAGATTTAGTTCAAATTCGGGTCACTAAGCCTGCCTCGACCTTCTCATCACTCACCGGCCCTTTCCAGATGCACTGAAGATTTCATCATCATCGATAAACCTCGAGTATCTCACAATAAAATAGCTCTCACACCCTTGCTACTATACTTGGGAGCAGGATTCCACAAGTCGTGGTCATATTCCACATCATCCACGTCCGTCTCAAACAACTTCATCCGTGGGAAAATGCGGAGCGTCAGAGCTGCCAACCCAACGTACATATTGCAAGACGCCAAACTATCACATAACCATTAACCAACAGACTCAAAAGTTTAAGATTTTTCGGTGTACTCACTTTTGCCCAATACACTGCCTACTACCCTTCGAAAATGAAGTCAGACTATTCTCCATCCGGAACCTCTGAGCCTCATCGATATTGAGCCATCGCTCTGGTTTGAACTCGTGCGAATCCGGGAAGATATCTTCATTGTGATGATTGATGGCATTGGACATGCCCATGGGTGTACCCGATGGAATCACATATTCGATCTCTCGCCCCCGGAACTTGCCTTGGTAGAGGAGGTTCTCGGTCGGTGCAATACGGGGTAGTCTTCCTGAAACGCCGTACGAAAGACGGAGGGCCTCGGTTACTACTGCTGTTAAATAAGGCAGTTTTTCGAGGGAGAACCAAGATAGATTTAGAGCGTCTGCTTCTTGGAGTTCTTTTGTGAGAGGGGCGAGAGTTTCGGGTTGTTTTAGAAGATATACTGTCACTACGGAGAGTGTCCACTTCACGATGTCAAGTTAGAAATATTGATCAAGTGATCTGACTTGATTATAGAAAGAAACTTACTGCAGTAGTCTCAGTCCCAGCCCCAATCATAGCACATCCTTCGCCACCGATTCGAAGATCCGTCTTCTCATGTTCCGGTAACGAGGAATTGAGGAGATCACTGAAGATACTTGGGAATTGGGGATTCACGCCAGCCTCGTGTTCCTTTCTGGCCTTCTGTACACGAGCAGGCATCGTCTCATTCGATTCTTTCAACATAACACGGATGTCCTCTTCGAGCCAGTCCGCGAAGAGCGGTGCAATGTCAACCAGAATCTTCAAAAATGGCAAGAACCGAAAAGTGTACATTGATTTGAGAGCACCGTATAGAGGCTTTCTGAAATTCGGCTCCCAGTTTTCCTGTCGAAACATTGTCAGAGAACATGGTTCTGGTTTACTTGATTATAGCTTTCTAAGCTTGGAGTTATAAAACACATCGTTCATACCTGCTTTAAAAATCCAAACGTCTCTCCAAAACAGTATCCTGATATCACATCCGCAGTGAAACAACTATAAGCCTCGGTAATATCAAATGGCTTCCCAGCATTTGTTTCTATCACCGTCAGCACAGAACCCACACCTCGGCCAACTTTTCTGGCGTAACCTCAACATACCAAGACGGATAATCTTATCACAAAGCTCATTGGCAAGTTCTTTAATCAAAGACTCAAGCTTCGCAATCTGCGCCTTCGAAAAGAACTTGTTCATAGCACTCCGTCGAATCCGATGGAGATCGTGTTCAGCCGTAGCAAACATCCCATCGCGAACAGGTCCAGCCATAAACTCCAAAGAGTGCTTCTGCTTGTCGCGCCTGCGGCCTTTTCCGGCGTAGATCTCGTCGATGAATGCTATGTCGTTGAAATGGAGTTCTTCGGGGTTAATGCGTACAACGGGCCCTGTAACAGTAGGTCTCCGCTTTAAATATGGGGGATTGTGGGAATTGGGAATTGTGGAGTGGAAGACGCCATCTTACCGTATACTTCATGCATCCTTTTAATCTCCTTCGTATACATGCCGCCCTGAATTAGATCGAACCACGCCTCGTACATCCATGTTGCAGCAGCCAGTTTTGGGCCGGGAATATGGCTGAGCGGGTGGAAGGGGGAGATATTATACAAAGTCCGTAGGATCTGATATGCGACGTAGACGCCGATGAGACGAATGACTATAGATACGGAAAGAAACCCTTCCACAGCCATGATTGATGAGCAAGTGAAATAAATTCTCACAAGCAGAGGGTTGGGATGGGGTGGGCGCAAGTTTGAGGGTTAATAATCTGTACTTATACTGCTACCGTAAGAAACGCATGACTCTTGGCTTCGATGTCCAAATCCGGCGTCTGAGAGATGCTTATTGTTCGAACCCTCAATTTATGCACGATTATGCCGGCAGAAAATGACAAATCGTTCCCGTTGTCCAATTATATTCTACATCATCTTTTGTACGTATCATCTTTTAGTTTTACGCTAGTCATTAGTGGCGTACACGTGACTCAGCGGTGTCTTGAATCTTCGCCATACAAAAACGACTCCTTTCTCAATAGCCCTCTCCTAAAAAGAGGAGTTAGCTTCATAGCTAAGACTTAATTAGAACTAATACATTCAAAAGGCGTAATGGTGGTGAACAGATCTGTGATAAGGCTACCTGAAGTAGGAGGATAGCGGGGGCCTAGATTGCAGCTCTTAGGTGAGATCTGAGGTCTGTGGGCCCGCTTTAGCTGTAAGATCTTGTCAGCATAAGGCGGCCTTCAAGGCGGTGAGCCTTTAGGCATAAAGTTATTTTGAGAAGTATCATCAATCGGGTGCCGCAGCTTGTCCATGCAACTAGCGGTGCTGACTGATAAGCGAACCAGAACTAGTTCTAGTTAAGTTAGTGAAAGCACTCATTTCTTTGGTGTTTATTAATCCAGCCCGACGAACATGCTAACGAGTGTTGACAAGACTCTGCGTCGTGGGACTTTCGAGCCGCCCAGAAGATTGAATGGAGAGAGGGCCGTTTACCCTTCCAGATCTGCAGAATCTCTTGTATGACAGATCTCTATTGGATTTGACTGGGAAGAAAGCTCACCTATCCCTAGTCTAATCTTTCTACATCTATTACTATATCATTGTGTTGGCTCTCAAGGGATCGAGTTTACTCGGAACAGCTCTTAACTAGTCCTGCCGAAACCTAATTCTAGTAACTTTTAAGGTTTCCTCAATCTCCGCCGAGCTAAACAAAGACCAGCCAGACTACCAGAGTACTATGTAAATTTAGAAGAGAAGCAGCAGGTCTTGAATGAGACAAGGTAGTTCGTAGTATTATCCACGTCCCCAGGACGTATTCACAAAGTTACATACAAGTGTCACATGTACACATGTATATGTAGCGGCATATGCACAATGGGGAAAAAATCGAGGAGACAAATCGAGTCAGGACGGGCAACAGATCCGCCACACGGACACACATACAGACAAAGTAGTACTTGCAAGGAGACAAGGCTAGCGCGGAAACAACCACACGAGAAGCGCTAGCGAAATCAAAAAGGAATCAGACATTAAGTGAGGGAAAGGTTGCAAGGGGGGGTATAAGCAGACGCTGCTTCCAGAAGAAGAAGGGGGAAAAATGTTGACCACAAACAGAACGCCTTTCTTGGGGATAAGAGGGCGGGAAGAAGAGAATTTTGTGCAAGCGGATGGAGGGGGTGGGGGGTGCATTCATTAGATAACTGGGGCGCCGGGGTTGGGTTGGCGTAGGGAGTTGAAGAGGTACTCTGGTGGCACGCGCTGCATGTCAGTCGGTCGGTCTGTACCGAAGGTCTGGGGTGCAGCACTGTAGCCCTGGCGACGGCGCTGGATCTTATTGGCGATGACGCCGGCAGCGACGATAAGGAAGACACAGCCCAGAGCGCAGCAGAAGGCAACCAGGACAACAATGCCATTGGAGTGGTGGGATGCTGAGATGGGTCAGTGATGATCGGACAAGATGAAGGAACTGTGGGATTACTCACATTGGTTTGTGTACGGGTTCTGGTTCTCCGTGAACAAGTGCGACATACTACCAGGTTCACCGTTATACTTGGACGAAAGGATGAACGGCGTGACAGCGGTTCCGTTGTACAGAGCCGCAGAGGCATTGCCGAAGTCTGGGATGACAAGCTCGCCCATGATCAACAGCGTCTGGTCATTCTTCAACAAAGAGACAGACGAATGATCCTGGTTGATGGGAAGAATATCCATACCACGAATGGTCGTGCCCTTGGAGAACAAAGAACCCGCAGAACGGAACTTCGATCCATCGTAGTTCAGGAGGAAGGCCGAGCCATTGGTGGAGGTGCCACCAAGCCAGAAGTTGGAGACGTCCTCACTAGCAGGAGCAAAAGCAGTCACGGTCCCTGTAATATCAGAGGTGGATGCGCCAGAGAAGGCGGTCCAGGCTGATGTCTTCTTGCTGAAAGTGGCGACAACAGTCTTGTTATCGCCAATCTCGATATCACCAACGGCGTACAAAGTGTTTGAGCTAGCCCAGGTAAGAGACATGACAGTACCGCTGATAGACGCACCAGGCCAGCTCCATGTGTTGAGCGAGGTATCCAGAGCACAGACAGTAGTGCAAGGGAGCGAGCCAGCGGAGTCAAAATTGCCGCCGAAATAGAGCTCGGATGAACCAGGTCTCAGCGCGAGAGAGTTGATACCAGAATTCTGACCCGTCAGAGACCAGGGCTGGTTGTCCATGAACGAGTTGCTTGACAAGTCGTAGGCCACCACGCCGCTGACACTGGAGTCCGCGATGGTTCCAGTGATGTTGCCACCGAGGAACAGAGTATTGTTGTACACCGCCATTGCGTAGACAGTGGAGTTGTTGTCCAGACCCTGAGGCAGGCCGAAGATCTTCTCTTCGGTACCATTCAGGAAGGCAACATTGTGAATCGCAGAGCCATTGCTGCTCAGCGCAGTGAACTGGCCACCAACAATGGTCAAGTTGCGGCTAGATTCGGTATCATAGACACCCGTGATGATTCCAACGCTAGAGGTAGAGTGGTTTGTGTTCATGGACAGAGGCACCAAGGTCAGGTCGTTGGGGTTTTGCAACGAGACGGCGCCAGACGCAGTGATCCCATCCGTAGCGAGGCTGCCGGCAAGGATGGCGGTATCGTTATAGGAGGTTACAGCAGAGAGTTGCCCTGCAAACTCCATTTGAGTATCATTGAGGCTCTGCAGCCAGGCCTTCTTGGAAGGCACCCAGATGGCAAAGCCGGCAACGAAAACGGCCGGGTGATCACTGGTGGCACGGATCTGGTTGAACTTACCGCTTACGGCAATAGTGGTCTCATTGATGGCCGTCGACACGTTCAGCTTGATCGGGTAGATGGAATCGACCTGACCGTTAAGGCCTTCACCTAGGGACGACCACTTCTTGGAGGAGAAGGAGTAGGAAGCCACATGGTTAAGACCGTCGGCGCCGCCGTCAGAAGTATCGGTAAACTGACCTCCGACGTACAAGACATCATTGAGGGTAGTCATGGCAAGTACCTCGGAGTTCAGACCGCCGCTAGGCATTGCCGTTGCGTTGCCATCGGTGATAGACATGACGTTGTGGATTGTCTTGGTAGTGAAGTTGCCAGCCACGTAGACGATACCGTTATTTTCAGCCAGACTCATGATCACGGCATCCTTGTCCAGGGAGTTGCCAGCCGTATTGATGTCGGAACTATCAAGGTTGGAGGTCGTCCCGGAGGAAGGGTCAAAGTCATACAGACCATTCAGACCACCGCTGGTTGTGTTTGAGAGCAGTTCAAAGCGAACCTTTGACGCCACAAGTGTGAAAGCTCCCTGGCCTGAAATAGGCCGAAGGGTAACGCTGGGGCGGAAAGAATCACTGCTGGCATCAACATATCCAGAGTACAAGGTGTCATATTTATCGTAGTCGTTGGTCTGATAGATGGTCGTTGGGGATGGCTGCGAGGCATCGGTACCAGTCGCAACGGTGGCCGTAACATTCGCCATACCACGCGAGCTACAGCTGTTGTCTTGAATACATCCGGGGGTGTAAAAAAGAATGGTGTAGTTGCCGGACTCCTTGATATCGGGGTAGAAGACGACCGAGGTGCTGCTGTCGGTGGGGTCAGTCACCGACGATGAAATGTACCCGGCATCATCGACAGTCCAAGAGCCAGTGTGAGTGGATTTGGAAGGGTAATCAAGTCCCGCACAGCTGGGCTCGTTGAACGCATCAACAGCATAAGACAGAATCTGGTCCTGGAAAACTTCAATGCCGTTCAATCCAGCACCTTGGCCGTACCAATCCAGAATTTCAATCTGGAATCCCTCCATACCAACGGGGTTCACCAAAGTGAAATCGCGGTATTTTTCGCTAGTACTGTCAGAGAGCGGGCAGGAGGAGTCGCAATGAACCACATTTCCCGAGTCATCCGTGTACGTCATATTCATAATACCATCGTCGGGAAGAGCTCGGAACAAGAAGCTTTTGGTACCGCGTCCATCCAAGTGGGTGTTGTAAAGGCGAACTTTTGTCGGGTTGAAAGTAAATCCGAAGTACGCACGCCAGAAGCCAGGGGCATAGTCGTGGAGCAACCAGGTCTTTCCCGCGCCCGCCTCGCCGCTACTCGAACAGATCACATTGCGGGGATCGATGTAGCCAGTCAGGGCAGATTCAGCATCGGAGGTGATAGTCGCATTCTGCAAGTTGAGGATCTGCTTGTTGTTAGACGAGCTAGTGGAGTTGCCAAGGCCATCAAAGGATCCTCCGAAGATGATATGGCCATTATCACCCTTGATGATCGAGTTGACGGGGCCGTTGACTCCATCAAAAGCGAGATCAGTCCAGCCATCGCTGGGAGACCATGCGATGGCATTGGATGTGTTTTTGTGGGTGAAATCTCCACCAACGTAGACACGGTTGGTGTCCTGGTCGCAGAGCACGGCCGAGATCGAGCCCGTCAGGCCCGGCAAGGCTGTGACAACGCTGGAATTGGGGTTGAACAAAGCCGCGCCGGGCGATTCGACACCTCCCAGCGTAGTGAAGTTACCGCCCACGAATATCCCAGCCAAGGTACCGTCCTTGTTCGTGAAGGCGCACATGTCTCGGATCTGTGCGTCAGCAGACGAGAGGTTCGTAAGAATGCCATTGGGAAGCGGGGTCAAAATGGACGAGCCCTGGCGCTGGGTGATTTCGGACTGGCCCTCATATTCGTATAGGGATACACCATCAAAGTCGCCCGTGATGGTCACCCGGCCCAGCGAGGAGAGGTCGATTTGGGGAATCGAGACCGCATCGAAGGTCAAGGCATGTGCGGTCGGCAAAAGCGCAAATAAAGTCGAGATCCCAGCCGCCGCGGGCCCATACAATGAAGAAACCCTCATTGTGTGGGGAGCGACGACAGGCAGCAGTGAGATGGGAACTCCTGTCGGGTTGGGAGATGGAGGGGAGTATAAGTGAAGCGAGCGTGGGTGAGACGACCAAGGGAGTGTGTCGTTAAGAATTCAGGAGGCCGCAGGCCTGGCTAACGCGTGGGACGAAAGGAACGTAATAAGGAATGTGGCATGGAAAGAACGAAGAAGAATCTAAAGAATACAAAAGAATGTCGGATGCATGTCGAGACCGAAGCCTCTTACTGCAATGAAGAATCAACGAATGACTGGAGGTGGTTGGTGAGCAGGTTAGAAGTGGAGGGTTTGGGCGTTGGAGATGCAGATTGAAAGGGGCACACGCAAATGAAACCAGGCAAACAGAGCAAAACACTGTCACTGACAATGGACGGGCTGTTGGTACCGCTAAAACCAGATAAAACCAAATAAAACCAAATAAAATGAGCTAAACCCCATCAAAATACGCCAGGCCCGACCCAAGCCACGCCGTTTCCCGACGCGAAAGGGGGATTATCCACAGGGTTGGCCAATCAACCTCTTTACATCACCAGCCCTTCCGTCCCAAGTGGTCCCACCCCGGCCGTGGGAGATGCGATCGCCAGTCCTGCCAGTCGCAGGCCACGCTGATGCAAAGCTGGAGAACTAACAGTAAATCGAATGTCGTGTCGTGTAATGAATGCTTGACCTTCTGATCATGTTATATTGCTAACTATATTCAATACTTGTCTATATAGCACTTGGATACAGTCTTCACAACCTCAACTTACGTCGAGATGACGGCTGTACCGCTAGTTGAATGAGGATCTACAGTTAAAATTACCAAAATAACCAAATCTCCCGTCACTCAAACTCTAGACCTCCCAATCATCCCTTCTGTGAGAAGCAGTTATACCAGTGCAGGAAACAAAATCATTCAAAACAAGATATCTATATCCTACGGCCTTATAAAAGACGATTTTGTTTGTGAAAGACGAGCTCAGCGGCCTCTCGTCTTTCTCTGCGGAATGGCCTGTATAAGTTCTCAACTTGCGTTGTATCTTCAATACCAGGGCTGAAACAACCCGTCGCAAAAATCAGATCTAAGCCCGTACCAAGGCCGCGTATTTATAGACCCAAGGTCCACTGGTGACTCCGTCAATTGCCCCAGTGTCTACGTACTCTATCGAGGGCACAGGGAGCACCGTGGATGGTCGTTATACTATAAACATCTACGTTTACTAATTTTGCAAAGGTTGACTACCGGGGCTACATAAACAGCTATGAATATATCTTTATCTACTTTGTACTCACCATCAAAACGTAGGCGAAACTTGATATGCACCCGTTAGAGAGGTAGGTACATCTCCGTAAATAGAGCAGGTCTCACCATGCCACAGATTAATAAATTAGGGTTCGTCTCATCTGCATGATCCAATTTATCGAGTCTCATAACCTTAATTGCAGTATCCGACTCCCGGGTGATCAGCCAAGGGGCAAGTTTCCACCAAGTTCCAACATGATGTCTCAGTCATCGTCTGCGGCCTCCCTTGAAATCCCTTAGTTACTTACCCGCAGACTACTTTGCAGTCTGGTTCACGCTTCGATCGTTTGAAAGGGAAACTTGTTGATGACTAAAAGAAAGTAAAGTAACTAACTAACTAACTAACTGTAAGACTGGATTGAGTTCTTGGTGGTTCATCAATGTCTTTTCGAGGGCCTCGCTACATACACAGGTTTCGAACTTATAAAATATCCTAGAGGGTTTTTCTTCCAAGAGACTTTGATCAATATTTATTGAATAATTGAAGATATCTTTATTTTCTCTACGGAAGCTGCCTTGTCTACCGGCTGTGCCTCGGATAGAAGTGAGTGAACCTGGAATTGAAGAGCTTGGGGTGTTTAGTCAGGACCTGAGGCCTGGGTGAAAATATAGTTCCAGGTCCTGTCGGGCCAAAATGATAATATACCATTTGGACACAACCCTCGTTAACATATCTTAATTCTACAAACGGCCTCCTTCTTGAATAACATCTCAGATTATTTCGCCTAGTTCATTGTTTTTCGGCAATACTCACACCAAGACCTTTTCCCTCTCAACTGCAGCTCCATCTCAGGTGTCTCGTGGATGCCCATTACACAAGGCACCACTCAGGCACCACACTAAACCCGATAAGGCGAAAGTGGCCTCCTCTCCTGCGGCGCGCCGCAACGCGACCTCCGAGAAATCTGAGAGCTCTCCAAACCCTCTCTCCTACCATACCCACCCAACCCCCGCTTCCATCTCCTGTCATATCCGTCATAACTTTCTAAATCTTCTTTCTTTCAATTCCTGACCGACGACTCAATCCCCGCGAGAGCTCCTCCATCATGTAAGCTCTTCGGTCCCATCAAACCCGACGCCTTTGAGCAAAGCTAATCGTGTTGAACGTATAGGGAGAGCTTTGATAACATATACCTGGACCTCTCGAAGCAACCGGGAAAATGCAAGCTGGCCGAGAGTGGTCTGGGCTGGCGTCCCTCCGGTGGCGGCGACACCTTCACCCTCGACAGCAGCAACATCGGCCACGCCCAGTGGAGTCGCGCCGCCAAAGGATACGAGCTGAAGATCTTGTCGCGGAACTCGGGAGTCATTCAGCTTGATGGATTTGACCAAGAGGTACACCGGATACACTGCTGCGCGTTCTACGATGACCCGACATCATGTTAACGGATTTTCATCATTTAGGACTTTGAGCGACTGAGCAAGGCTTTCAAGATCTGGTACGGCATCAACGTCGAGACCCGCGAACACGCCCTGCGCGGATGGAACTGGGGCAAAGCCGAGTTCACCAAGGCCGAGCTATCCTTCAGTGTCCAGAACCGACCCGCGTTCGAAGTCCCCTACTCCGAGATCTCCAACACCAACCTTGCAGGCAAGAACGAAGTGGCGGTTGAGTTTGCGCTTTCTGCAGACCAGGCGAACGGTGCCGACGGACAGCCCGCGGGGAGCACGCAGAATCGCGGCCGAAAGGCTGCAGCAGGTCCCGATGAGTTGGTGGAAATGCGCTTCTACATCCCCGGTACTGCCGTGAAGAAGGAGAAGGCCGAGGGTGATGAAGAGGAGAACGAGGAAGAGGTGGAGGAGCAGAATGCGGCGAACCTCTTCTATGAGACCTTGATGGACAAGGCCGAGATCGGTGACGTGGCGGGCGATACTTTTGCGACTTTCTTGGATGTTCTGCACCTTACCCCCAGGTTTGTTCTCTCCTCCATTTTCTGCTGGGGATCTCTGTTACTTACCATTTCCCTCTCAGAGGTCGTTTCGATATCGATATGTACGAGTCCTCTTTCCGTCTCCGTGGCAAAACATACGACTACAAGATCCAATACTCTGCCATTAAAAAGTTCTTCTTGCTTCCGAAGAATGACGATACCCATACTCTGATTGTGCTCGGCCTTGATCCCCCTCTTCGTCAGGGCCAGACTCGCTACCCGTTCCTGGTCATGCAGTTGAAGTTGGATGAGGAGATCAGCCTGGAGCTGAACATGACAGAGTAAGTTTGGACACGAGAATACGGTCGGGTTGAGTTCATATAGCTGACGCTGTTACAGGGAACTGTTGAAAAAGCAGTATGGTGATAAGCTTCAGGCACACTATGAGGAGCCCATTCACCAGGTCGTGACCAAGATCTTCCGTGGGTTGTCTGGCAAGAAGGTTATCATGCCGTCCAAGGACTTTATCAGCCACCACGGACACCACGGCGTCAAGTGCTCTATCAAGGCCAACGAGGGCTCTCTTTACTTCCTGGACAAGAGTCTCATGTTCGTTCCCAAGCCTGCTACCTATATCCAGCTTGAGAATGTCGCGGTGGTGACCATGTCCCGTGTCGGTGGCGCTGTTTCAGCCAGCCGAACCTTTGATATCACTGTCAGCCTCAAGGGTGGTCTGGGCGAGCACCAGTTCAGTAACATCAACCGGTAAGAGAAACATGCACCGTCTTTAGGTATCTTCTGCATGCTAACGAAGGAAAACAGGGAGGAGCAACAACCACTGGAAGAGTTCTTCAAGGCCAAGGGCATTCGCATTAAGAATGAGATGTTGGAGGAATCCTCAACCCTTCTGAAGGCCGCCCTCGACAATGACGACCTGATGGAGTCGAGCGACGAGGAGGGTGCACGGGCCGATCGTGGCTCGGCAGATGAGGATGAGGAGTCAGTGGATGAGGACTTCAATGCCTCGTCGGACTCTGATGTTGCGGAGGAGTACGACTCGGCACATGAGAGCAGTGGGGACAGTGACGAGGAGATGGGTGATGCGGGTGACAACGATGACGATGCGGGTGCTGGATCGGACGAGGGGGAGGAAACCCGGCCCAAGAAGAAGAGCAAGACTGGGAAATAGATGTGTATAGCTAGTTCTTTCTCTTCTTTTCTTTCTCTTTCTCTTTGCTACCTGAGATGGGATGGGGCCTTGTGTATCCTGGCGTTAGTTGATCATAAAATGCTCTTGATATCTCCAAGGAGTGACCACAGTATGTGCTGTCAACAGTTTACCGGAACAGGCGGATCCACCCGGTGGAGCTCACGTGACGGAAACCCCGTAACCCCTGATCTTGGAGAGTCCGAAGCTGTGAACTACTCGAACCGGGCAAGGAGACGCGACCGACAGATATCACTACGAACTATCTCACTAGCAGAGTAGTCCTATTAGACATAGAACTAGCAATGTTTGCCATTGAAGGCGCTCTATGTACTGTATACACAAGTGGATTGGGTTTGCATGGTCGAGAACATGACAACTGGCCGTATACTCCCACAGCCTGGCCCGCATTCCCCAGTTCAAAAGACCCGAGGAATGTACGGTGACTCGCACAATCATGAGAGGGAACCGTCGTCCCAGAAAGAATAATTACTGGTCACAACTGGTGCCATTGGACCGGACAGATGATGTATCGTACTGCAAGTCGAGGTGGTGCTAGAGTTAGTTGTGCCTGACGCGGGTCGATCCACGCCCACTCCAGAATAGCCAGAGAGAGATCACTGGACCCGACAAGAGAACCTCAACCCCCCCTTTCTTTCCCAGACTGGCAGTGCTTCTTTCCTCTCCACCCCCAATCCTCCCTCTCTCTTTCGATTTCTCTTTTGTTGCGCGCTTCGAGCTGTCCCTGCTGGAGCTGCTTCTTGTCTCTCGCTTTTTGATTCCATCTTCTTCTTTTCCCCCCTTCCTCCCCCTCCTCCCTTCCCCCTTTTTTTGACCCGACGCAAGTTTCTCTAGGTATGAATCCCTGACATTCTCGATCTTCGTTTCAATCCTCCCCCAGGCCGACCTTTTTTTCCTTGTCCCTTATGATGACAAGCTCCTACAAGGGTACAATCTAATACTGATGATTTGGTTGGATTAGGGAACCTTTTCGCGTTGTGTATCCTCCTAACGAGCTCCACTAAACAAAGACCGTCGCCATGTGTACGCAGCTTCTACTCTCTTCCCCCCTTCTCCGAGCCGATACCACAATTTCGACCACTCAGGGAGACCCGGCCATGATCACCAGAACAAGTCGCTGATGAATTCTCTAGCTTCGCCGATTGCGAACGGTTCCTCCGTCGCGTCCCACGACTCTCCCACGCCCAGCAGCGGCAAGGAGTCTCCTTTCGTGGAGCGCACCAACCCCATGGGCTCCGGTAATGCTCAGACTGTCAGCTCGCGCGACCCCAAGGCCGTCGCCCAGGCTGCCAACGACATGAAGAACGTGGTCCGCCGCAAGCTCACTGGTTATGTCGGTTTCGCCAACCTGCCCAACCAGTGGCACCGCAAGAGTGTCCGCAAGGGATTCAACTTCAACGTCATGGTTGTCGGTATGTACATTGATACACAGCTCTTTTCCGGTCTATTACCCGCCAATTGGCTTGTGCATGAGCATTTCTCACACTGCACTCCCGGACAGGTGAATCTGGTCTCGGAAAGTCGACCCTCGTCAACACCCTGTTCAACACCTCCCTCTACCCCCCTAAGGAGCGTACCGGCCCCAATGCCGACATCATCCCCAAGACCGTGTCGATCCAGTCCACCAGCGCCGACATTGAGGAGAACGGTGTCCGTCTCCGCCTGAGCGTCATTGATACCCCTGGCTTCGGTGACTTTGTCAACAACGACGACTCGTGGCGCCCTATTGTCGAGAACATTGAGCAGCGTTTCGACACCTACCTTGAGGCTGAGAACAAGGTTAACCGCAGCAACATTGTCGACAACCGCATCCACGCCTGTGTCTACTTCATCCAGCCTACTGGCCACTCCCTCAAGCCTCTGGATATCGAGGTCATGCGCCGCCTCCACACCAAGGTCAACCTGATCCCTGTGATCGCCAAGGCCGATACCCTGACCGACGAGGAGGTTGCTCTGTTCAAGGAGAGAGTATGTTTCTTTCCATGTTATGCCGTTTTTCTTTCCATTTGGGGGTTGTTTGATTGCCTTGAGACTAATCTGGTTCTATTCCACCCCACTATCTAGATCCTTGCCGATATTCAGCACCACTCCATCCAGATCTTCGAGGGTCCCCGCTACGAGCTTGACGATGAGGAGACTATTGCCGAGAACCAGGAGATCATGTCCAAGGTTCCCTTCGCCGTCGTTGGTGCCAACTCCGAGGTCACCGCCGCCGACGGCCGCCGTGTCCGTGGTCGTAGCTACCCCTGGGGTGTCATCGAGGTCGACAACGAGGAGCACTGCGACTTCGTCAAGCTGCGCCAGATGCTGATCCGCACCCACATGGAGGAGCTCAAGGAGCACACCAACAACTTCCTCTACGAGAACTACCGCTCGGACAAGCTCACCCAGATGGGTGTTGCCCAGGACCCCAGCGTGTTCAAGGAGGTCAACCCTGCCGTCAAGCAGGAGGAGGAGCGCACTCTCCACGAGCAGAAGCTCGCCAAGATGGAGACCGAGATGAAGATGGTCTTCCAGCAGAAGGTTTCCGAGAAGGAAAGCAAGCTCAAACAGAGCGAAGACGAACTCTATGCTCGACACCGCGAGATGAAGGACCAGCTAGACCGGCAGCGCCAGGAACTAGAGGAAAAGAAAGCCCGCTTGGAGAGCGGCCGGCCCATCGAAGAAAAGGGCAAGCGCAAGGGTTTCTCGCTTCGTTAAGCCTACCGCTCAGCTCCTTCCTCTCCGTGACGTTGACGGCCGCTGCTGAAGTTGCCATTTCAGTCATGCAGTCCCGCTATCTCTCGCTCTCTTTTTTGAAAACCCCTTCCCTTGTCCCATGGGGGTTGCCACATTTCCTTGCTTGTCATCTCCACATACACACACACTCCCTTACTCTGGACACTTCCTGGTGTTCCCCTTTAACGCACATCTCTGTTGCAGCTTATTCCTTTTTCCTTATTTCCTTGTCTTCCACTGGATGGGCCCACGCATCGCAAAAAAGAAAGAAAGAGAAGAATGGGTTATTGAATAATAACGACCCTCGTGAGGTCGACTTGGGAAATCAAATCGTGACTAACTAGCCTTTTCATTCTTCCTCTTCTTTTTCTCTAACTACCCTTCTTGTGATGTACTTTTTTGCTACGCCATATCTTGCTTCCTTGTCCGGCCCCCCTTTTCTGTGTGTCCTATTACCCCGCTCTTTATTCGCTTTTTTTCTCGTTAATCTTTTTTTCACCTTGTTTCGAGTTTGTTTTTCTGCCTTGTGTGCCCTCGGGGGCATGTTTGGTATGTTTGGGCCGTCTTTTTTGTCCATGTCTTAGTCAATTGCAGCGCTTCGGCATTTCCTAGATTTTTATTCTTTTTGAGATTATGTACCGTGTAGAGGGGGTTTGATTTGAGATGCTATAGCTATACCCCTTTGGTAAGTTGGGTGATGTGACTATGGACTGTTTGGGGTCAGTGAAGACGATCTCCTCTCGAGGATAAATCGAGGATTTCGACTTGTATTGTAGCTTCGTGTATAGCAGACATACGTCTACAAGAATACGATGGTTGATAGTTCCTACCTTACGCGCGACTCTTGTCTGGGACGTTCCTAGGAGTGCCTGATATACACGCTCACGGACTCCTCCAGTAGGACGGGCCACGATGGTACGGACCGAGGAAGATGCTATCCAAGCTCCCACTTATTGGTTGGTTGGCTGTACTCGGAGGAAGTCAAAATTCCTTCCTTAAGTACTAGACGGCATCACTACGCTCCCTGAAGAGACACTCCTGATTATCTGTTGTCAATGCACAGCCTACAGATGGATTTTCTCCTGGATAAGACTGACTTGTGACTTCACGTTTATAGTGCAGGCTAACCTATTAAAGAAAGACGAGAGAGAAGTACGAGAAGCACAGTTTGGCCCCGCAGAATAATATACGATTTAGGATCATCTCCCTAGATTATGTTTATAATGAAGCGTTTATCAATAGTAACATTCGCTACGCTAGTATAGGGTCTAGCACTGGGATGGGATATCTGATAAATGGGGAATCCAGAAGAACCCGAACCTCAGACTCCGCTATACACCCTGGGGTGAGAAGCCGATATAAGCCTTATACCACATCATCATACACGGTTCTAATAGCCTTCTGACTTGGATCGGGTAAGATAGCTCCCGGTGAATCCGGGGTTTAGTGCTGACCCTTGTTCTATTGTTAAAGTGGCACTTGTCATACATGATTCGTGAATAATTACGCCAACTTGTCTCTTCTACGTCCTCTGCAAATAACTTGGGATCAAGTAGATGATGAAGAAAGAGCTGTAGTAGATTCGTGTCTATGATACTTGCTCTTTTTATGGTACTATAAAGCTCAGCGAGCTTGGTAGGAACCAAGACATTAATGGAAGTTTCACCTATATTTACACATGAGTCGCACTGATATTGGAGCGACAAGAACGAGTGGAATAGAAAGGTATTTTAGTAGCGAGGAACCCAGTGAAGAAATTGGTGTAGTGATAAAAGACCTCGTTAGAAGCTATGATACAGTGGAAGCAATTGAGAATCTCTTAGAAACTGTTATCGAATTCAAAAATGAGCCCTTATGGTGGAGAGTACATTTAACTCACACTACCAAGTCAAACTCTCACGCACCAAATCCACCGTCGCACAGTGGAAGGAGCCTCCGGTACTGTTAACATACCTAAACGGGCAAGGAATGCACTGCATACCCAGTGATTCGTACCACTGAATTGTCTGGTGATCGCTCTACTCAACGACCACTCGTTTTCCATCCAGAACAAGCGCATTAAGACACAGCCAGGGACTGGTCATGTATTGTGGAGGCTCATTAGGGGCCTTTGGAGTGTAAGGGTAGGCTTCCAACTAGCTAGGACAGCATGACAGCGTAATTTCGCTTCCGTGATCTTCATCGGGATGTAGACGAGTAACCCATCTTGTAGGGGCAGAATGGTTGCATCAATATGCATTGCTTGCAGGTCGTTCACATCGAGCATTTCAATATGATACCCAGCCGGCAGGTGCTTTTGGATATACTTGAGACAATCGGTCTGAATTCAGTACACTGGATTAATACTGCTTAATGAGGGGGTAAACCCTAGCATGAAATTACGTGCAGGTATGTACTATCTCAGGCTTATTATTAGGCAAACTGAGGGCACCTACCGACATATGACTGGGTGACTGGCTTTCAATACAGCCAGTGGAACTAGTATGCAGTCTTTCATCCACTCTTGGTCCAGCTGTACCGGATGGAAAAGATTCACGACACGCAAATGGAATGACCATTTGCTTGAGAAGGTTACCCCAAAACCATAAGAGCGCGACATATTCATATTGGGGTATTTATCATAGCCAAATGGAGTGAAACAAAATCTTGGCTAGCCCTGAAAATGGCTGGCTGGTACTTTTGTGATACCTGCAGGGCAATATCCACTGTGTCATTACCCCAATACGAACGTCTCCAAAACACAAATATGATCCATTCTTTAATAATCAAGAGCTAGGCTGTAGAGCCTCTCGAGAACCAACTTATTTGTAGGTTATATCACGCAAGACGCACTCCACAAAAGGGAAATGCTCCTTAACCAAGACTCACTGCCAACTGCAACACATAATCCATCCACCAGCTTCCCCAAAATGAGCAATACGAATTCAGCTCGGACAGAGAGTCCCGCAGAAAGATATATCTACCCCGCAGAGCGGTCGCGTCATCTCGCAACAATCTTAGGGTTCCCGTCTAAATGCTCCATCGCCTCGACCTACTATTCGGACGCCTGTCAGGAGATTATCAATCTGGCGATAGCCATATCTTCTTTCGAGCCTGTCCGCCTATATACGAGACCCGAAGATGTCCCAAAGGCACAGTCAATGATTGATAAATACGCCGTGACGCTGCCACACACGTCAAATGTGAATGTTATTCCCATGCGTACAAATCACCTTTGGGTGCGAGATACCGGCCCGGTTTACGTGCGCAGTTCCAGCAATAACTTCTCTTCGCAACGTTATGCCATCAATTTTCGATTCAGCGAATGGGGCAAAAAGGACGAGATCAATGAGCATGACCGTGCGACAGACGGACTGGAATGGCCCCTCATGACACCAGAGCAGTTGGAAGAAAACGCCACCTTCGCCCAACGAATCGCCGCACACGATATCTTGCCCTCACCAGTCATGCAGATTGACTCTAAGATTCGTCTAGAAGGGGGTGCCCTAGTTTTTGACGGCGAAGGAACCCTTCTCGCCACGGAAAGCAGTATCCTCAACGAGAACCGTAACCCGGATTTGTCCCGCGCCGAGGTCGAGGCCGAACTGAGCCGTCTTCTCGGTGTTGAGAAGATCATCTGGTTCCCCGGCCGACGGAATCTAGATGTAACAGATGTCCATGCCGACGCTGAGGTCAATTTTGTTCGGCCGAGTGTGGTCGTGCTGTCGCGACCTCATCGCAGCGCTCCTCGGCCGTGGATGGAAATCCATGAGGAAATTCTGGACATACTTCAGCGTGAAGTAGACGCGAAAGGACGTCGCTTTGAGATTCATATCATTGATGAACCGGACCCGAACTGTCTTTCGAGGTTGTTGACGTGTGACGAGCCAGCAACCAACTATGTCAATTTCTACTTCTGTAACGGCGGTCTTATTCTTCCACAGTTTGGGGACCCAGTGCGAGATAAAGCCGCACTGGAGACAATGCAGATGTTATGTCAAGATCGCAAAGTTTGCCCGCTGCAAGTGCAGGCTCTGCCGCTGGCCGGTGGGGTGATTCACTGTTCGACGCAACCGGTTATTGACGTCGCGGATAGATGATGTTGCACCTTACCCCGGCTTCATTTTCACAACTCCTGCTGTCTTTTGCTGGCAAGTTAGTAGCTGACTGACATGTTTTCTCGTTTTACCTCCTATAGCTTGCTAGTATCTTAGTTGATCAAGAGGGATTCAAACTGCCAGATAGTGGGAACCAAGCATCTCAGCTCTCCAATAGTTACCTTTGTCTTTGGCGTCGTTCTCTTTCTGGAGTAAAGTGCAATATTAGTTCGAATTGAAAATGGTATATATCCCTATCCATGGCCTTGAGCTTAAACACTGGTCACCTATAATGGCTGCCCTTATAATATCTTCTTCACGAGCCTCACAGCTAAATCCAAGATGGAATTCCATCAATGGCTATTAATGGGAGGAAATAGAGTAAAATATTTTCCGTCATGAGCTATTCTAGTCTCGGGTATGATGTTCACTATGACTTTGCTCTGCAAAGAGGTTATGGGTGAGCATCAGTAGCGGTATGCAGCTTAGCTGAATGGTCGCACAGCAGGACAGCCTTGCATTCGCTTTACATAGCATGGAGGCCGCGCACTTCGGCTACATATGGATCGTCCTCCGCCTTGCTTCTTTTCTCTTTTTCATATGATCTACCAGTCCTCTACCTTCTCCTCAAGAAATCAGCTTACTGACGTTTGAAGATGTCTCCCGAGAGCTCTTCGAGATCACTGATGTACAGAAAATAGTTTCCTATGCATTTGCCATTACCTAGAAATCAACTTAGGTATCCGAACAATCGAATTGGTCCATGTCCACCTTTGAATGGTCAGGTCTATATTCATATTCATTCATCTTACTTGAAACTGTCTATACAAAAAAAAGCCATCACAAACTATAATCTAAGAAGTCCCATTCATCCCCTAAAGGTGAGAAACCTCAACCCTCTTCCCACTCCCATCAAACTCAATCTTCTTCCCCGTAATAAGCGACTCCTGCAGCGCACATCCAATAGCAACAGCCTTAACAGCCGAGTCCAGCCGCAAAGGAGGCTTAGTATCATCCAAGCAAGAAGCAGTAAACTCATTCGCCTCGGTAATAAACGCCTCACGGAAGCGTCCATAATAATCAGCGGGGATCTCGCGCCGGATACCGGTCGACTCGTACAGGTTGACGAGGTTGAGCTGGGGCTGGGTGTTGATGGCGATTTTGCCGTCTGTACCGAAGATTTCAGTGCAGTCTTCTTGGCCGGCGGCCATCATGCGGGAGCAGTAGAGTTGGGCGATTTTGCCGCCCTGTTGGTGCAAACGTACTAATTAGAATCGTTTCCAAAACGAAATGTCAAGGAGAAAGGACGGGGGGTCTGTCACTCACGTAGAACTCAATAATACCCAGCGCGTTATCGCGATCATTATGCTTGCGCAAGTCCGGCTGCACAGCCGTGATCCCAATGGCAGTCACGCTCTTAACCTTAGTCTCTTCACCGAAGAACCACAGCGCCAGATCGATATCGTGGATACTGCAGTCAACGAAGATACCACCCGAGAACTCGGCGTAGGCCACGAAGAAACCACTGGGGTCCAACTTGTCGCATGTCTGCGATCGGAAGACGGATGGAGTGCCAATGTTGCCAGCAGCCATTCTGGCGTGTGCATCGCGGTAGGAAGCGTCGAAGCGGCGGCTAAAGCCGCAGATGACTTTCTGGGAGGGGAATTTCTTGATGGAGGCTTTGTAGGCGTCGACAACGGATTGGGACTGTTTGCGAATTGATGCCACGTTATTATGGAGATGCAGTGGTCTGGTCTCATATGCGATAGGGGTATCCGGGGCCAATTCTTTTGTTAGGCTCGGACAAAACTTACAATTTCGGGACTAGTAGAGATAGGCTTCTCGCAGAGAACATGCAAGCCACGCTCAATAGCCTTGATAGCCTGCTCAGCATGCACGGTAGTCGCGCTAGCAACAACGACAGCCTGCAGAGTCTTCTCCTCGTTCAACATAGTCTCATAGTCGGTGTACGTGCGGCAACCGAACTCGGCCTTTGCAGCGTCCAGCTCAGACTGCACTGGCGAGCAGACGGCGATCAATTCTGCGCGTGGAGTGAGAGTGGCGAAATGGCGGGCATGGCGCATACCTGCATAAGCAAATTACATAGTTAGCAATTGCACTTGGAGAGGGTCAATTGCATTTGCGCAATGCCCGATTAATCAAAATGCGTTTTTTTATTGAAAAAGGGGATGATTTGTACCCATGCGACCAACACCGGCAACTGCTACTTGGAGCTTCTGGGACATTTTGGTAATTTTGTAGTATGAGAATTGGAAATAGAGAGGACAGGCGAGAGGAGTTGAAGAGAATGCGATGCTTCAATGGCCATGGCGAGATAACCTTGCTATTAAATAGCTGAACACTGCTACCTGCTGCCTACAGCATAGGACAGCTTGCGCTGCCCCTCGAGCCCCTCGGCGAACAATCACCATGTATTGAATGAAGCTGATCAGTCTGAAATCATGCAGGTTGTAACTGCTTCTAGTAGGAGGCCGGCGACAATTTCCCTTTGTGGAGAGGGCGTGCCCACTTCCCCGCATCGCCGGTGCACGGTGTTCCCCACGACTGCCAGCTCAATTAATTGAGTGGTCGTAGTTGACTCGAGATCGAAAATTTTTTGCCTGAAATGCGGAGATGGTGGAGAATATGTCACAAGTTAGGTAGTAGATTTAGATGGAAATTGAGCTGTGGGCGGGGAAGCTAATTGAAATGTACAGAGTGCATTGATCAATGATAGCACACAGTACACATTATCCACAATTCAAAGTCGCAGTCCAGCCTATTCGGAGGCATCATACCCATCCCACCCCCAGGCCCCCTTCAACAACTCCCGCGTACTCGTCGTAGGATACGCGTGTTCATCCTCCAACTTGACAAGCACCCCGAGAAGAGCCTCCTGTTCCAATCGATCCGTAAACCGATCACCACACATTCCAATCGCCACAAATGCATTCACCAGTCCCGGTGGGCTATGCTGATTAGACAGCGCGATCCCGCACAACCTCAATACAATCGCGCGCACCTCGCGATCAACCGTGCGCATCGCCGTGCGCTGGCCCGGGCCTAGACGGGGCAGCTTGGGGTTGTATACTGTGAGCAAGATACGCGCTAGATCGAGGAATTGCAAGCCCGCGACGTGGCAGTTGTTCAAGTACCATAACTCGGGAAAGACTTCGCCGCGCGAGCGGTCTGGTCCTCGCGCATAGATGGGTTTGAAACTGGGCGGGCCCATTTCAACCCACAGTCTTTCGAATGCGACTAGTTCATCGTAGCGCGCGATACGCATGTCCGTGGTCGGCTTTGGATATAGTACGCCCATGCTGGAGGTTGACTGGTATGTGTCGCGTGGGAGGTTCTCTTCCTCCGAGCCGAAGCAGTATTGTAACACATCGGCGCAGTGGATTACTAGTCGGTCAGCCCAGACGTAGTCGTCGGCTGGTTCAAAGGTGCGGTAGGGTTCGCAGGGACCGAGGGGGAGGCGGAAGGTTCGTTGTTTGCTGAAGGCTGTAATGATTTCTTGGCGGAGGGCGATCCAGTAGGCTGCGTGACGCAGGCCGCATCCTGCTACGGCTGAGATAGCTTGTGCATCGAGGAATACTTGGATACCACGAAGGGCGCTCTCAGAGTCTTCGCCCATGGATGGCACTGGAGAACCCATGTTAGTAAGATGAGAATAAGTTGGAAGAGACTGGGGAGCTGACTGTCTACTTCTTCGTAGAAGCGGAGAATCACAGCTGCGGCGAGAAGATTCTCATCCTGCGCCTCGCGGGAGTGATCTGATAGTGACACAAAGTGTGCTATACATTCATTGTGGTAGTGGATGGCGGTTTCAGGTGTGAGGTTTGGAAGGGCTTTGCCACCATAATGGACCTGGTTCCCCTTGTAGTATTTTTTGACTCGACTCAGGTGTCTCGCCGAGGCAGTATATATGGCATTCAGTAAAGGTGGACATGTCCGAGCTCGAAGGGGTACTGTGCAAGCAAAATGCCTCTCGCCATCACATATATCAAACTAGTCACCAATGTCAGTCTAGAAAAGATATGGGAGAGGCAAAAAATGTCAGAATCACATACCCACGGTGCAAGCTGAACGACAAAGTAGCGCATCAAACAAGCTTCATGTTCATCAAGATTAGGCAGTCCATGCTCAATGCCACTATCAATCTGGGAAATGAGATCTCTCGTTGTCCCAGGCGAAGCCTGGCTGCTATGAGAAAAGTGTGGTGAAGCGGATGAAACCGAGGAATGATGTCTCGGAGACAGCTGCAAGGGATATGGCGAGTACTCCGTCAAATGGCTACTTTCGGGCCGATTCGGCAGCAGCAGACAATGTTCGGACGAATAAGAGCCGAGCGGATCACCCAGAATAGATGGCTTGGTCAGGGTCGGATGGTCAAACGAGAGTTCGCTCTCACGTCTCCCGGGATCTAAATGTGGGGATGGAGATCTATTGCATCCTTCCCCTAGGGTGTAGCCTCGGGCTATATCGGCTGTTTCATCCACATACTTGTAATCCACTGTCGTACCGGATCAGCAACTGTAACTGGTAACATCATACCCCGAAGATGACAGAATCATGTAATTAATTTGCTGGGTATTGAGAATTCATGCGATGAGATGGGGCGAGAACAAAGGAAAGGAACGCACCGCGTCCGATGGGGAGCCAGGGCTGATCATCGGAAAAGTCATATCGGGCACTTGCACTAGAACCATGTCGGAAGCCTGAGGGAATCTCTTGCCATAAGCAAGATGCCCCGGTCCGCTCGCAACGTTGACATGTCGGCTTCTGCCCATCACCTGGCGCCGGGCGTTAGTGTTCGTCCACACATGCCGGGAGTTTCATGAAGTATTCACTCACATTTTACATGTCGGTCTAACAGGATATCATCAATTAGTGATCAGTCGATAAACTGGCGGGCAACACCCAGAATATCTCAAGTCTTCGTCGGCGCACTTACTGCGGCATTCCTGGCTTTAAAATTACCACGTTAATAGTCATTGGTGTGTACTTTCTCGCCGAAGTGGGGCCACTTACCAGGGGACTGCCTTATTCCGCCGCATAATGGCAGGAACAATCTGTATAGCTTGCAAGAGAGATTGGGAAGGTCGATGGGGAAAGGGCCTAGTAAAGAAGGAAAGTGAAGGCAGGCGTCGCCGGCCATCTCCACACGTGGCAAGTGCAACAGTGCGGGGTACAAAAATCTGGGGATTGGCCTTTGCCACACAAACTGTTTCTAGAAGTCTCGTGACTTGTAGTTATCTCGTCTGTTATATCTTGGTTGAGGTAAGTAGGGAGATCTATCTCTTGTTCATGCCAGACAGCTTACAAAAATTGTCGTTTTGCCAGGAATGAACCCTGCAACTGTGCCATCCGATTGCTCTCACCCCGCCCTTTCCTTATTGTTGGTTGGGGAGTGGATCTCATGCCGCAGCACAGCTTTACCTAGCGCATCATTCTTCTGGCAGCTTCGGCCTCCACAGCGTTAATTGACGAACCTGTACGGCCCAGAGTGAGCGGTCATGATCGAAAATCCTCATTCGAAGAGGATCATTTGAAAGATTCCATCGAACATGTCGAGTCTACGAGCGTGCAAGACGCGCTGGAATCGATTGAGTCAACCCAAGTCAGCAAATATTCCTGGCTAGTCTCGATTACCGTTGGCGTTGGTGGATTGTTATTTGGTTATGATACTGTCAGCATTTCTTCCATCCTGGTTGTGCTCGGCGACGACCTGGGACAGAATCTCAACAGCAAAAATAAAGAATTGATCACATAAATCACCTCGGGCGGCGCCTTCATGGGTGCAGTGGTAGCTGGATTATGTGCTGACTGATACGGATGAAAATTGGAAATCTACAATGGCTCCGTGGTAACTAGTCTACCATCACAAACCAGGCGAAGCGGCCAAGGTCATTGCGCAGATTTTCCCAAACGGAATCCTGCTACAGGTACAACAGAAGGTGCAGCACATTACTATCCACGTGTACAAGACACGAAACGTAGACAAGAGTCCCTGGTGGCAGATCAAGCAGCTCTACGTGATCCCAGCCAATTTCCGCGCTATGTCCGCAGCATGTGGCCTCATGGCAATATCACAACTCGGTGGATTTAATTCCATCTTGTACTGCTCTTCGCTACCGTGGGCTTTACAAACCCATTGCAGTGGGAACCATCATTGCAGCAACAAACTTCGTCTTTACCTATATCAACCTATTTCTAGTCGACCGCATCGGCCGTCGCCAGATTCTTCTACATAAATTGTGCGTGATGGCCGCCGCACTCGCAGTCGCTGCAATTTGTTTCCGCTGGATCCCACCCAACCACGATCTCGAACTTACCTCGCATGAGCATGGATGAGCCGCAGATACTGTCCTCGTATACGTGGCTGTCTTTGTGGCATCTTATTCTGCCAGTGCTGGCAATATCGCTTGGATGTACTCTTAATTCTACCGGCTCGAAGTTCGCGCCATGGGTACGATGCTGCTTACTATGAGCTGCTGGGGCTCGAACTTAATAATTTCCTCTGCATTCCTTACACAGATGGCGAATACTACGCCATCACTGGCATTCGGTTTCTACGCTGCGGTGTGCTTTTTCAGTTGGATCGGTGTGATTTTCTGTTACCCGGACGTGAAGGGTATGACGCTAGAGGATATCCAGGAGGTCTTTCAGCACAGCTTTAGGGTGCAGTATGGCCGCGAATTGCAGAGTGAGTCTAAGTGCAGTGACGATACTGCGAGACTGAACGTGGGAATCGCAGAACAGGGTTGCGTGGGGAGTTGGGGTTACACATAAGATGGGGTTTACCTTTTTTATGACGAGATATCTTGCATGGCGGGTATTCTAGACATAGATTTCTTTTTCCTACCTGTGTATTTTGGTTACGGAGTCCGTGCGGTAATGTCACCGCGAGCAGAGTTGTTTGCCGATGGTTTCAAGATCGGTAAAGCCTGACCCGTTATGCTCTCTTGAGATGGCTCGGTTTGGGGCAGGACTCGCCGGCGCTAACCCTCTTGGTGAAGCGGACCCACTTGCCTTTGCTTATCTGCCAGTTGGATCTGGGCACGCGAATCTGCAACAGCCTGAATGGCATGCTCTGGTCTGAGAATAACTTATGACTAACTTGAGACACTAGAACAATTGCGTTGACGATCAAAGGAAGGCGATCAATACCTGGGAGCAACAATAAAAGGATTAGAATATGGACTTTAGATTAGATTAGATTAGATAAAGAGAATGAGAATTTTCATTCGGAATTCGATATTTGGGTAAGACCCGGGCTATTTGCTAGTTTCACTAACGGGATGTCCATACTCTTGAGAAGCTTTCATGGGATAAAAGTCGTCATCAAAAGGTACGGCTCGGTCGAACTCCGACAGCCATTGATATTTCTCTTTTTATGGCCAAGCGAACGCCAAGAATAGTAAGAGATAACCCATACATGTCGGGGAATCTCCGTTTGATCTGCAAGGCAGATAATGCAAATGTTTCAATATGTTGCGTCGCAGTTATCTACCCCGCAGCCGTGAGGGGCGCGATACATGTCCCTGATTTTCGAGTCCATTATTCGGACAAGCTGGGTACCACTGCGAATAGCTCCTGGTTAAGGTAATGAAGGATCGAGCGTGGAAAAGCGTGGGAGAGTATTAGAACCAAGTTGCTACATCTTGGATTTTTGAAGACTATAGGATAAAAATATCGTAGTATTGTAACTGTAAACTACATACTTCGGCTTGGTTTCACCCGAGCTCTAAAAGGCCCCGGAGAACTCCACCTATGGAGATTTCGGCACTTTGCACTCATAAGCACCACTGGAAAAACTCAATCGTACATCCTGAGCTCCTCTCACATATCGGTTTCACTCAAAGGCGTGCTAACTTGCGCTGCTGCTTGGCAATCATATCAAGCAAAATCTCCTCACTACCACCACTCACAACCAAGACACGCACATCGCGGCTGATCTGCTCTACTCTCTGCCCTTGACCCTGTCGAGAGTACCCAAGACCGCCAAATACTTGCTGTGTCTCTCGAGAGATCTTTTCGAGATTGTGTGCAGCCTGCACCTTGAGCATGGCAGCTAGAGGAGAGAAATCTAGAGAGGGTAGGCGAACAGATCGGTATACCAGCTCCTCCACGTAGGCTTGAGTGGGCTCAAGCATGTTCATCATTCGTGAGAATTTCTGACGGATGACTTGATTCTCGAATAGAGGCTTGCCGAAGGTTTCACGCTTCAGGGCATATCGATACGCGTCTTCGTAGGCGACACGTCCGAGTCGGAGGGCCGTGATACCAACCCACAGCCGCTCGTGGGCGAAGGCTTGGAAGTGAGTAAAGAAGTCAGCCTTGGTTTGCTCATCCTGGTCTGATTTGAGTACTCACTGGACATGATAATTTCAAAGCCCTGGTTCTCCTTGCCCAGCAAGTTCTCGGCGGGAACCAGAACTTCGTCGAACTCCATATACGTTGATCCTGGTCACCCACTTGATTAACTTCCAACTTTCAGGACAGGTACGGTAAGATGTTCTTACCGCTAGAGCTAACACCAGAATTTTCAATCTTCCTCTTCGAAATCTTCTCGTTGTCCAGTGGCACAATAAACACGGAAATACCCTTGGCACCAGCAGGGCCAGTCCGCGCAGCTACTAGGCCATGTGTAGCCCAGCGACCCTGAGTTACCCATTTCTTCTCACCACTAAGAACGTAATGCTTGCCATCTAGAGTTTTCTTTGCGGTTGTCGTGAGCCCGGCAACATCAGAGCCAACTTGGAATAGTTAGTGACCGGGAATCTCAAATAGCTGATCGTGGATATTGTCACTCACTCTGTGGCTCAGTTACACACAGACAATGTCTTTGTTGTCCGCGTAGAAGAGGAGCAAGGTACTTCTCCTTCTGCATTGGGGACCCATATCGGTCGAGGGGTGGTCCTCCAACGGTCGCGCCGCCGTTAATACCCCAGATAGTACCCAGACAAGCACACCGAGCCATCTCATCGATGATCTAAAAACATGATTAGAAGATTATGTAGGGATTTGAAAAAGTTGAAGGATGTAGCTCACAATCGCATCGTGGAACTCGTCCCATTCTGGATTGAATCAATTTCATGCACATTTCACTCATCAGCGTGATGTACTCACCATCCGCACTCAGTCCTGCAGGTAAAGTTACACCCTTTAAATATTCCTTCGGGAGGGGGAATGCCGAAGCTGCCAGAAAGCCCAGGGACGCATGTCTCTTAAAAGCCTATAGTTTGTGAGCATCAGCGATCGCCGTTGTTGATAGCTTCGACTTACTGTTTCCGGAACCTCTGCATTTCTCTCCCACTCTTCGACATTTGGTGCAATCTCTCGATCGACATACTCGCGAACAAATCGCTGGAGCTTGTAATGGCTGTCCTTGAAATTTGGGTGATCATGGCGGCGGTGCCATGCTGGATCGGCGCCAGGAATATCGGAAGTGAGTGCAGAGGCCATTTTCAAGATTAACGATAAGCGACAGAGATCAAGCTTTGATTCATTCAAAAAATGATTCAAGTTGGAGAATTGAATTTAGAGTATATATAAATGAATTGTGTGGAATTACTCGGGCTCGAAATGCGCTTGCCATGAATTCCGGGAACCGCCTCGGTAAATTTCTACAGTCAAGAGCAGGAATATTCCGAAGTCGCAAGTACTCAGCATCGGACCGAATAAACCAGGAATAAAACAATCCTCAAAACTCCAGCCCTTCTATTATATTGATTTTAAGAAATTCTATAACACTGCACACTCATCTGTTACGATGGCCAACACTCGCCTAAGTCAGATACAGACTCACCTCGAACCTAGTGGTTTGGAGATGGATCCTACCCGTGTTGACGGCCATGTTATTATCATAACCGGTGCAGCGCAAGGTAATTCCCCTTAACCAATCAATAAATTCTTCAGTTGACTGATAATTTATAGGCATTGGTAGATCCGCGGCCATTCTCCTAGCTCAGAAGGGAGCAAAGGTCGCGATCAACGATCTCGATGGTGGAAAAGCAGCGGATGTTGTCCGTGAGATTCGAAGCCTGGGACACACTGCCGAGGCCTTCCCTGGAGATGCCTTGGATGAGAAATTCCCTGAACGGCTGGTGACTGGAGTTCTGGAGAAATGGGGGAAGATCAATTGTCTTATCAACAACGCCGGTATGACCGTGTCTCAGAAAACTTTGAGATGAAGATGTGCTAAAATATACATCAGGGTTCTGCCATGACAGCGCTATTCACAAGATGCCAGATGCCAAATTTGACATTGTGATGAAAATACATAACTACACGCCATTCCGTCTCTTGCGGGCTCTTTCCTCGCATTGGATGAATCCAGCATTCCGCGATATGCCTAAGAGCATCGTAAATGTTTCCTCGACATCTGGGCTGCATGGCGCCATGGGTCAGATCAACTATGCAACAGCAAAGGCAGGTATTGTTGGACTTACCAAGACTGTGGCAGCAGAATGGGGCCGGTAAGTGACCCAAAGCAAGGTCGGATGGAACGATTCGATCGATTTTTTAACCTCGACTTAGGTACAATGTGCGAGCAAATGCTGTAGCATACGGATGGATTGACACTCGCATCACACGACCTCCGACTGAGTCGGAGATACTGAACATTGGAGGTCAGGAAATTAAGCCTGGCATTCCTATGAATGCTAAAAAATGGCGAGACGTCTCTGACATACCTTTGGCTAGACCAGGCACAACGGAGGAAGCCGCCAGAATTATGTTGTTCTTAGCTAGCCCACTTGCTGCATATGTAACTGGAACCTGTATTGAGTGTACTGGGGGTCGATTTATGTGAAAAATTTGCAAATTATCGAAAATTCAATGAACATTGACATATGGACTATCTATCTCACCCACAACGATATTCATGTTACACAGAGTGAAGTATACGGCCTGTAGCCTGAACGAAGAAAGTGAAATGCTATATATATGTCTTTTGTGGCGAGAACGTCATCCAAATACAGCTGGGCTTGTGGTTTAGTGGTATAATACTCCCTTAGCATGGGAGTGGTCCGGGGTTCGATTCCCCGCGAGTCCAACTTTTTGCCGGTCGGTAGTTATCCTCGCACCGATGTTAGACAAGATTATCACCAGCAATGTTTAACATGCGACAACCTTTTTACGGAAATGTGTCAGGGTATCGACCATTTACTCCGACCCAGCTATTCCGGTCTTTGTACCGCGGGAGTTGAGATTTCCGATTCTCGGAATTTCCCATTTAAGCATAAAATTTCCGAGCCTGGTCCCGGCCATCTCTCCGACTCTAGTGATGTAGTCAAAAGGAACGAGCGCCATAGAATAGTCGCAAGAATTGAATGATAATATAGACATTTTGTGAAAAAGACCAGTGTTCGAGTTTGTCCTTTCTTTCATTGATGCACATCACGAAAATGTCAATCTACTATTCGCCGACATGGACGGCCATTCCAGACAATCTTTCAATTTCTCAACTGATGCAACATGGCGTCGAGAATACACACCCAGAAAAGGTAATCTACGAGGAAGCAATCACTGGGAAGACCGTCACATACGGACTCTTTCATCAACAAATTCGCCAGACAGCATATAACTTGCGCCAAGCTTTGTCCCTGAAGCCGGGAGATATTGTGTCTATTTCCGCCTCTAGCTGCATCGATTATATCCTCACGGCTCATGCCGTCTGGTGGGCTGGTGGTATTGTGAGCGCGATCAACAACAGCCTACATGCTGATGAAATTACGCACGCCATTGATCTTATCAAGCCAAGGCTCTTCATTGTCGATAGTACTTTGTACGAGAAACTCCCGGCTATCGGGAAAAGCTCACGGCATTTCGACTCTCCCAATAAGATGGCAATCTACACCATCGGTAGCGAGGGTAGTACTGACTGGCCACCGCTTCCTATTGTCAATCTACCCTCGAATGTGAGAACACTTGAGCTGCACAATCCCATTCGCGCAAGCAAATTTGATGCAAGAAAGACTTGCGCCGCAATCTTGCTTTCGAGTGGCACAACAGGCGCATCCAAGGCCGTAATGTTATCGCACTATAATCTTGTTGCCGCCTGTTTCCAACTACGGAGTGACAATCCCCAAAACTGGCGTGGATCCCAGAGAGAGATTTTCTTCCCACCGTTGTCTCACGTATATGCGCTTTACGTCTGTTTCACTATGAATCTTTGGTTGGGATCATATGTCTGCCTGATGCCTCGCTTTGATCTGGAGCTCTACTGTCGCCTGATGCAAGATCGATCAGCCACACTGGCGAGAATTGTTCCAGCTGTTGCCAAGTTGCTTGGCGAGAATCCGGTTGTCGGTAAATATAAATACCCAAAGTTGGAGTATTTCAGTTGCTCTGCTGCTCCATTACACGTGAGAAATTTTCCTATTGCCCCTCGCCCTAATTCTGCGAGTATAATTCACTCATTCATCTTGATGTGAGTAGGAGGAAACAGCAGCAAAACTCCGCAAGGCATTCCCTGGTGCAGTTCTATGTCAAAGTGAGCATGACTCTGGTCCCACTGTAACGTGTCTCTCTGATACACTGACACTTTTCCAGCTTACGGATGCACTGAGCTCTCTGGGCCATGCGTTCAAAGTGGCGTGCGGAACAAAGGAATGCCACTTGCTGCTTCAGGCACGGTGATCGCGAATTGTGAGATCCGATTTGTAGACCTCGACGGGAAAGATGTCGGAGCCAGAGGGCCGGGAGAGATCGTTTGCAGAGCACCAAACGCAATGATGTGAGTTGTGCAACAGATAAAAACGTTCGATCCGAAGCTGACTTGCTGCCAGGGGATACAAGGATAATCCAGAGGAAACGGTGAAAACAATTGCTAAGGATCGGTGGCTTCACACTGGTGATCTTGGCTACCTTGATAAGGATGGTTATCTTTATATATATGATCGCCTGAAAGAGATGATCAAATACAAAGGGTACGTCTTTGGATGCTCGTTCTGATCCTTTGGCATTAACAGGGTTACAGATTTCAAGTTGCACCATCGGAGCTCGAGAACATCATCATTCAGCATCCTTCAGTGCACGAGGCCGCGGTAATTGGGGTTTGGAGCCCCAAGGAGGATACTGAAATTCCTCGGGCCTTTGTGAGCCTGAAAGCGGCGCATGGGCGGGACACTGTGGAAGTCTCAAAGGAAATTGCGACGTTTGTTGCGAGTAAGGTCTCAAATTACAAGAGATTGAGAGGAGGAGTGGTGATCATCGATACATTGCCGAGAAACCCCACGGGAAAGCTTCTGAAGAAGAAATTGAAGGAATATGACGTGAAAGCGCAAGATGGTGAAAAGATATTGGCCTCAAAGCTGTGACGCTTCAAACTGTGTCTATAATTTCATGCGATAAACTCTTGTTTAGAATGAGATTTTAAGAGATTTTTATTTCTCGATTTTGCAATCTATTTATGTAGACTCCGAATGTAAATCGAGTAGTAGCTTGTAGTAGAACGGAGGATCTGACAGAAAATTGGGTCAAATACCACTGCTCTGTAGGAAGTCTCCTCACTCTTCAACCATTTTTGCCCGTTTGGAAGGCAGAGGCTCCATAAGTAATTCCCAGTCGAAGTCCTCAAGGTCATTTAATCCATTCTCAGCGATCCATGCAGGCATGGATCTCGACAAGAGACTTGCATATTTCGAGTTAGGCGAGTGATTTTCCGTTATCGTTTCTGATGTGTCTTCAGGCAAGTACATGTCGTCTTTGAAAAGCTCACTGAAGTCTGGTAAATTCTCAGGAGCTTGTAACAGCTCTTCCCAGACATTATTGGAAAGAACATCACTCAAAGACTCATAGGCTCTTGAAGCAGCCCCAATGCTCAAGGAAAGATCATGGAGGAGTCTTCTTGCTATTTCCTTGATATTGTCCAGGTGACACGCCTCATCCACTGGGGTTGCTTGTCGCCTCTCAATCTCGATCCAATACAGACTCTCCACTAGCGCAGATGTCAAAAAATAGCCACTGGGCTTGTGACTGCCGAACGCATCGGTGTAAGATTGAACCGCGTCTACCATTGCTTTGCAAAGAGAAATGCATGACTCGCGACGCTGCAGCTCATGCTTCTCCGATGGTAAATGGCTATGTCTAATGCTTAGACGAAGGAATGTAAACCTCTATCGTGTGAGTATTAGTTTATGTTGAGTAAGTGTGGGGGTAAGATTCTTCAAAAATTCTTACCAGAAAAACAAGAAGTCGCCGCCGAATTTGTCTCTCGTCATCACCTTTCATGTATTCCAAAGCCTTTTGGGATTCCCAAGAAAGATTATCTGGAAGACGACGATAAGCCAGCATAATTTTGGTATCTGTCAACTCAACCTCATCAAAGTCAATTTGTTTTACTGAGGCTCGTGGCGAGAAAAAGCCATCCCAGATATAAGCCCACAAATGACTGTAGTTGACCATGCTTTGGAGCATGTCATGATGGTCGTGTACGCCGCCGTCGGCTTCGTCTCCAACAAACTCTCTGACGCCACACTCATTTTCTCGCACAGAGTATGAGATCCCGATCTTTTGCGTGATTCGTTTATCCAGAAAGTACAATGTCCACCAAAGAGACTGGCGGCAAGCAATTTCGTCCTCCGTATTTTCTGGCCATCGCTTCTGATTGTTCAGCTCAAGACAGCGAGCAATGTGAAAGGCCTGAGAAGCACTCTGCAGAGCCGTATGTAGCTTTTCGGCTGCCAGGAAAAATGATGCCGCGATAGTGTGGTATATCATGGTGTCCAAATCATTGTCATGGAGGACTCCAAAAGACTCCATTAGACTTAACCCTTGACAATAGGATTGAGACCCGGGAGCAAAATCGCCGTTGACAAATGCTTCATCCATCAGGTCCGCGTAGGCCAGCACATTGAAAAGAATGGCAATAGTTTTACAATTTGCCGCAGTGACGACAATTTGATTTGGATGGCTGCCACGCAGCGCCGAGCTTATGGTGACCGATAGTCTGTCACGAACCTTCTCTCCGCGCAAGAAAGGCCAAAAACATCCGAACTCTTGCAAGAATGCTTCCACGCGGGACCATAATATAGATGACTCGGGCAATTGAACAACCTTCGTGATTCTCGGCGATACTCGCTGTGACTGTGGTGTGTCCTTGCCCTTGCCAAGCTTTCGAAGGGCGCGGATCTGGGAACTTGTCGCAATACTGCTAGGACTACTAGGAGACGTAGCCTTAGCAACGAAGGTGTCCGTTGTCTGAAAGATCGCGAAATAATACTGAGGGGAATGAGGAGCTTCTGGTGATAGAAGACGATTATCCAGAGCCGAGTCAGGAGTTTCCATGGTAAGAAACACGTTAGAAGGGGAAGAAATCTGAGAGAATGATTCGGCAGGAGGCCTTAGCGAGTCTTGCGTTTTATCATCATCTCCTCTACGATGGCGATTGTGGCATAGTTCATCCACTTTTCGCTGCAGCCGAGCAAGCTGGGTCTTCATGGACGAAGAGCTTTGTCTTTTCTTCGGTCGAGAAACCTTAGGTGAGAATGGTTCACTGGATAGAAGGTCTTCTTAGCATCAGAGAGATGGGAACTCATCAATTACCCGAGTCTTCATACCCTATCAGAAAATCAGAATCGCGCTTTCTCGGCTTTCGGCCTCGAGGTTTGTATTCCTCAAAGGCGCATTGAATGCCTCTTGTTTCACAATTGGAGCATAGTGGGCCTCCTGAGCACTGTCACATCTTAATTCAGTCGGAGTAAGATATTGAATATTGATCTGATGGCTACAGACCTTCACTTTCCGTCGGTGGCACTCGTGGCTTATATTCCGAAATCAGTAATTTCACTAGTGACAAAGCATTTCAAAATAGGTGGATTACCAGGCATGCGGGGTATATTGGTCTCGTTTTGAGCGGTCTTGTCTGATCTGCGACATTGTAGATTGATTTATTTTGGAAGACCTTCCCTTCGAAGATGTTGTCCTGAGAAAAATACTACGGATGGATATTGTGGTGGCAAGATGCGGGGAAATTTCCGGGGGTGGAGCGGCTCTAGTTGCCGGCAAGAATGCCGAAGTGTTCGGCTATGATGTAGTTGATGTTGCCGCCCAGAACTCTGGCACGAAGTATTGGATGTCCCAAAAGGCTAGATTGCACATAACTATGCTCTGGGGATGGGCAGACTTCCATGTTATGGTAAAGTCTTCGTTTCCGTGCACATGAGGGAGAATATGATGGCCTATTTGGGCTGGCTTTTTCCCTTTCTTCTTCTTTGTTCCTTAGCAGTTCTCAGATAGCTTCGAACCTGCTGATTGGCATCTTTCTTCCTGCTTCCCCTGCATAGTGGCGCTTGGAGCGCCATCAGAATATCTGAGGCTCATTCTCTTCTATCGCATTGTTCTAGGTGGTGTTTCAGTCCACTGGAATTTGTGTAAAGGACCGCAGCCGTGTCGCTACTAAATATTTGTTGGAATTTATATTCCATTGCCTGATATAATGCTTGGAAACTAGTAACAGCATTGGAAAGCGGGAGTAGTAGATATGAGATTCTCCGAGATCACTCCGGACATTTGGTTTGTGACTTTCTGCAGTGCTGACCGAACGTTAGTCTTATTCGGATTAGCTCTGTTATTGATTCCCTGATCTTCAGTTCCTTGATTTCTCTCTTGGGATGAATCTCGAGGATTTCTAAGACCGTGCGCAATGGATCATTGAGACTGACTGTCCTTTCTCCAGCTGAAAAAGTTAGTGCTAATATACCCCCTCTTCAGCTCCAAGCCATGTTGACGGTCAGACCGATGTTGCAGGTGAGATAATCTAATTGACTTCACTCTCTCTATACAAAAGTGCGACCAAAATCTTCGTGCTAAGCATCCAATGATTTTATTGGTTGAAGTCCGAGTGTCAAGCCACATTATTCCTATCGATTTGATTCCGCATAAATTGAAATTTCATAGAAAAGCGTGTCGGGACTGTCTAGAAAATCCACCGATGCCCCTGTCCCTGTCATTCGTCCGGCTTACGCTTGGCGACACAGTCCGCACTGGTTGTGGGTTCCGCCAACACAGAAATGTTCGTACATATCGACCAACCCCATTTAGATCCGTTTAGCTAGATTGGGAAAGTCAATATACACTCTTCAAACCCCTGTAGACAACTCGAATCATCTTTCGGTCACTTTATTGATGGAATTCCACAGGTGCTGTGATGCTCCAGAACTGACAGTTGCATGGAGATGCCAAGCCCGCCGCGCATTTGATGATTTGATCAATAATCAGCCTCAAAGAAGCCTGCTTTTATGCCGTTTATGCCGTTTATGCCGTGCGATTGCTGGCATCGCTTTACCATTGAAATGCCTATTTGGGAAAGTGCACTAGAGAAGTATAATTCTTCCACGAGGATCGAGATCGATGGCCCGTGCGATTTCAGGTCCTTCCAGTGTCCAGACCAGCCGGGGCCAGGCGTTAGATCCCGCTAGTCCGCCTCCAGCTGATTGCTGACTTTCAAACAAGAATATCATAACTATTTACCAGGGGATTGTGTTGTTAATGGTATTGTATGTCATCTTTAAGCACCCTTCGCTTCACGGGTATAAAGTAGGTCGGATTTCTCACTTCATAGCTTTTGCAATAACCCCAAAAAAGTTATCCTGGCATCTTGGAAGATATTCTGGGTTGATTGACATCATGGTTTCTGGCATGTTTGCCGTAATGGTAACCCTGTCGGGCCTCATTCCGGATGCTTTAACATCTCGCACATCGTCGTGTACTACAAGTACTTTCAAGTCACTTGAGCTGAAAGGCATTGACATTACTTCTCTCGATGTTACTCCTGCCCACAACCTTTCTACCAGCGGTCGCAACGCCACTGGTGGTGCTGGTGTCATTCCAGATATTCCTGGCACCCCTGCGCCAACAGTGGATATCTGCTTGATCACGATTACATACACACATCGTGGCCAGGAAGATGTCGTCAATACGTACATAGGGCTACCTCTCAATAAAAAGGACTGGAACTCAGAGTTTTTGATGACAGGTGGTGGGGGTTGGTACGCCGGTGGTCAGCCTGAGCTTTTCTCTCCAGTCCTGGCGGGATATGCATCCTCCTCCACAGACGGAGGTCATGACAATGTCGCCACGCTGGCGGATTGGGCGTTGAAAAAGAATGGGGATATCAATTGACCTAACGTACAGGACTTTTCATCTGTCGCCATTGCAGAGGCGGCCATCCTTGGAAAGATGGCGACGAAAATGTACTATGGGTCGGCGCCAAAGTACTCGTACTGGCATGGCTGCTCTACTGGTGGTCGTCAAGGACATGCCATGGCGCAGCAACATCCTGAACTCTTCGATGGAATTGTGGCTGGTGCACCGGCAGTCAGCTGGGAAAAGTTTGCTCCTGCTGTCTTCTGGGGTCCGCTCATGGCTAATCTTCTTGGTAAGTCATACATTTCCTGATTTAATTGTTAAACTCTTTGCTGGAGTAACTTAACACGGGGGAATATTCCAAGTTTGCTTTTTTTGACCGCCAGGTTATGATTTTTCTTGCCTTTGATCGTTCTTTCTTTTATTTACGCTTGCTGGCTTGGTATATTTCATCATCTAACCGTACTTCAGATGTCCAGCCCCCGACTTGTGTTCTAGACGCATTTACCAAAGCGGCTATTGAAGCATGCGATCATCTCGACGGTGTGAAAGACGGTATCATCGCCTTCCCAGGGCAGTGTCACTTCAAGGCTTCCTCATTGATTGGCCATAAGGTCCAATGTATTGATCCTAGCGGCGAAATTACAATCACTGAAAAGATGGCCCAGCTTATTGCCGCAATCTGGGAAGGACCTCGATCTGCGGATGGAAGTTTTGAGTGGTATGGCTTCCACTACGACTCTAGCCTGGCTTTTATCCTCGGTACTACATGCACATCAATCGATAGTTGCACGGTGATTCCGTTCTCGATTAGCGATGACTGGGTAAAGGTTTTCCTGGCTCGTGATGCCTCTTGACACTTCCAACCTTACACGGCACGACTACGATCGGCTCTTCCAACAATCCATTCACCAATTCGCGTCTGGAATTGGAACTGAGAACCCAGGTCTCAGCAAGATGAAACGGGCAGGAACCAAGATGATTGCATGGCATGGTATGCAAGACCAGCTTATTCCTACGAACGGCACGGCGGACTACTACAACCGTGTTCTCAAGTTGGATCCTCATGCCGCAGAACATTATCGGCTCTTCTTAGCGCCCGGGGTTACCCATTGCGGGTTGGGTAGCACTGGCTTTGACCCTACTGAGACAGTCCTCGGGGCTCTAAAGGCGCGGGTTGAGAATGGCACTGTGCCGGACCGTCTTGCAGCTGTCGCTGTCGCTGTCGCACCTTCGGATAGCTCAACTACTCGCACGGCATATTTGTGCCCTTACCCGGAGGTCTTCACATACGTTGGTGGAGATCCCAATGACCCTTCGTCTTTCACTTGTGTGAAATAGCGGGATTGCAATGATTTATTAGTGAAGCCATCCTATGCGGACGCCCTCAGTCAAGAAATCCATTCCAAAGAGAGCAGTGCTTGATGACAAGGACGGTATACGGCCACTAATGGAAATCTCCGTCATAACCGCTGTTTGCTTCCATTACCGGGATCTTTATAAGAGGGCCAGTCTGGCCCTGCTAAATCTTTCTTGTATCCTCTCACCAAGAAAGAAAATTACATAATTTCTCCTCTTAGCGTCCTTGACGTCTTCTATACTGATAGTATACTATATTGATAAGATGAATTTCTAGACTTCATCTGCGTAAAGTAGAAGCATCTTCAATTTTTATTTTTATTTTGCAGACCTGCGCGTAAGTACAGCTTTTGATATAATCTCAACCAGGTGGAATCTGATAAGGTAGCATACTCACAGGTATTTTATTCGTTGACTGACTAGAAAGTCGTAAAAACAAACTGCAAGTTGCGAGGTTGACCAGTTGAGGGCGTACCCTTGGTTGTTTGGGCTGAGAGATCTCCTACGTTTGATTATCCGCACCTACTACCTATGAGTTCGAACATCTTTCCTCTCTTCTTAACAGCAGGGATCAATCCACAGATTCTTCGACCTTCTTCAACCTCCCCTGGCCTCATGACTTTCTTCACTTCCCCACTTTTCTCAATCTTGCCCCATCGGCAGTGATATCTGATATCTCGCTCAGCCTATTTTTAAAGGTTTCGGCACGTGTCTCTCTTCGCAGACGCGTTATTATCATTGCGACTCACCTCACTCTCATTGGCCTCCCTGTTGAGCTCTTGCACATGATTTTGGACTACCTCTCACCTGTGGACCGTGTCTATTTGGCGCTCTGTTGCCACCGACTTATGAATATTGTCACACGTTGTGGTGGGAAGCCACTCAAAGGCATGCTCGCTTGTGAATGGGGTGGTGAACCAGACAGTGAGATCTCCCGGTTCTTGGCCAGAGTCTCGGAGGACCTACCGGAATACTATAATTGCTGCAACTGCATTCAGCTATATCTCTGGAGAAACATCCCACACCCAGGGTCATTCCAGTTTGACAGAATTTGCTGCAAACCCGGTCTAAAAACTAGACATTGGGGTGGCACCAACGCGGCCGTCTGGCAATTAAGAGACACGCGGTATCGTCTTGATGTTGCCCATGTCCAAACTGCCATCAGACGACACCTCCATGAGCCACAATATGGAAATTCTGTGGATTCTCTATCATACACAGATGTCAGAGTGCCAGATCTTTATGGTTGGGATTCCCCTGAGCGTTCAATCTTCTTCCAACACCACGCTACCCAAGTTACGTCCATCGACGCACGGATTTTCCCCAATACCGCAAGACTGTGCCTACGAGTACAGAGCTTACGAATCGGGCGAGAGGAATTTCTCGAGGAGAAACACAAGGATGATGCTGTCGCAAAATGGGGACATTTCATACAGAGGAACCAGTGTGTGCACCTCAGATGTATCCCCCAGCAGTTTGCAACCTCTGAAATTAGTTGTGCGCGGCCGCGCCCATCAAAATATCCCCAAATTCCCGAGTCGCTGGAAAGCAAATTTGTGGCCACCTGCAATGATTGCCTAATACACTGCACTTTCGAAATTTGCAGATTAGACGGTGGATACCTGGCCTTTATTTGCACTAGATACGTGGACCTGGGAGCCGGCGAAGTCCCTAGTTCATACATATCGATTATTCCTTGGTCTGACGACAAGGATTGCTCAAATCAGCAATCTCGTTTCGAGAATTGCCCAGACGATGGAAGAGCGAAGAGGATCTTGTCTGAGGAGGATTCAATCCCTCGGAACATCAGGCTTGTGACTGAGCGGAAGTATGAGGTCGAATTGACCCGACTACTAGAGGATGACGGGTTCTGGTTTGAGAGGGTCGATTATTGAAGCAGTTTTAATTTTCATATATGATTGCGGTGGAACTTTTCTTCATATCGAAATCTACCGAATCAACGTGAACATTCACCATATCGCATACTGATTGTAGGACTTGCGGTGCTCGTACTAGAGGATTAGCCCTCGTGAAGTGTATTCGTTGGATCATCTCCCTCTATAAAACCCATCTGCGTATATCCTTGATTTGTTGACTCTATTGCCGATGAATGGTAAATAGTTAACGATCAAATCAGGCTGGAACGAGATGGAATGCTCGGGTTAAGCCCGCCTTTACTTGTAAGTAGTAGTTCGGTAGAAGCCGGGTGCTGTCGTGCCTGAGGCATCCAATCACGCCCTCATTCACCCTTTTGCGTAGGCGGTCACCACCGACGGAAACCAAAGCCAATGACGCACGTTCTGCCTGAGGCGGCGAGCGCGGAGAAAAGAAAAACACCGCCGACCAGAATTTTGAGTCGGACCCGAGGATCGCCAACGGGGAAGTTATCTCCATTACTCACCTCCCTTCTCTTATCACTCTTTATACTTGATCCAACAGGGGGATCCCTTCTCTCTCTTTACTCGTCGGCATCCCCCCTACCCCCCGGGCCCCGACCGTATTCGGGAGTCCAGTGTCGGCTCATATTGCCATGAGCCTGACCTCGCGACTATTCGGCCTGTTTTCGACAACGGCGGCTTCGGCGGACTCGACTGCGGCAGCACAAACCCCGGCGCCTTTGGTTCATCATGAGATAATCCTTCCGGGTTCTACCCGGCATGCCCGGGATGACCATATGTTGGAGGAGGAGCCCCGTCCGCCATATCTTCATGTATGATTCTGTTTCGGGTGGCGCACAGGCTACACTGATAAGTCTGCGGAGGCTGACAATTTTCATTAATACAGGCAATGCTAGCGGGTGGAACTGGAGGAACATGTGGTGATATGTTGATGCACTCGTTGGACACCGTCAAAACCCGGCTACAAGGCGACCCGAATTTCCCGCCTCGGTACACTTCGATGACCTCGTCATATGCGACTATCTATCGACAAGAAGGTTTCTTCCGTGGGTTATACGGTGGAGTCACGCCAGCGGCGCTGGGCTCTTTTCCCGGCACGGTGGTATTCTTCGGCTGTTACGAGTACACGAAGCGGGCGATGATCGATGCGGGCATCAACCAGAACATCGCATATCTATCGAGTGGTTTCTTGGCCGATTTGGCGGCTTCCATCGTTTACGTCCCCTCGGAGGTCCTGAAGACTCGACTACAACTTCAAGGCCGATACAACAACCCACATTTCAACTCAGGCTACAACTACCGCGGCATGACTGATGCCTTCCGAACTATCATTCACCAAGAGGGCTTCTCAGCGCTGTATCACGGCTACAAAGCTACCATTTACCGTGATCTCCCATTCTCTGCGCTGCAATTTGCATTCTACGAGCAAGAGCAGAACATTGCAAAGCAATGGGTCGGACACCGGGATATTGGACTGACCTTGGAAATTCTTACGGCGGCTACTGCAGGTGGAATGGCTGGCGTGATTACCTGCCCATTGGATGTGGTTAAAACGCGCATTCAAACTCAGCAAAATCCTCCGTCAAAGTCCACCCGGTTATGTAGCGCGAAATTCGCTAGCGATCACGTCCCGAAGGAAAGCCCGCGGCCCCATGCTCCTAGTTCGTCCCAATCACACGCGTCGTCGAGGACGCACTCGCGACCGATTTCCACCTCGTCACCCTCTACATCGGTCTCTCCTCCTGGAGCTCCACGGCTAGACACATCATCCGTGTTCACGGGACTGAAGATGATCTACCGTACCGAGGGCTTTGCGGGGTGGTTCCGCGGCGTGGGCCCACGCGGTGTGTGGACCAGCATTCAAAGCGGAACCATGCTGGTGATGTACCAGTATCTCCTCAAGCAACTCGAGATTTACCATGGCTCTTTGGACGAGAGCCAACCGTTGTGATGTTCAACATAACCTGCATGCATTTGGAACGGGGCCTACTTCATTGGGGTGGCGTTTTGCGGAATTCTTCTTATTTCTTCATCCTGTGTACTTCTTGTGTCCGTTCAGAGGGCCTTTGTTTTGTGTATATTTCTATTTCCCATCTCCCATTGTGATAGACAATCCTAACTAGACGGGCCTAAGGGCCTTATTGTACCATAGCTACATCATTTGTGATAATACTTCTTCCATTCTATTCCATTCTTGGAAAATAAAATAAACCTACCTTGAGGAACGACAAAGAGGAAGTAATTATAATCATGGACGGGGTTCCTATTGTACGTTGGGTGGAATTTCGAAGGCCCAAAGGGCAAACGCGCTAGCGTGTTTTGTTTTGGCGATCCGCATGTAAACAATTCCCCATTCAATTCCCCTCCTCCCCTTGCATCTGTACTTGCCTTTTCCCCTCCCGCTTCGAAACATTACAATCTTACAATCCGTTACTTTGTTACTCTACCACCCCCAGATTACTCCTTTTATCCGCCCGTCATTTGATGGTCGAAGTGTTTGGATAAAGTTCCTTTATTGCATCCCATCAGAACGTCCGCCCGCATTGACCCGGATCCTTATCCATCCAAATCCACCATGTCAAGCGGCCTTCCCTATTTGAACAAGCTGCGCAAGCCGGAGCTGGTCGAGTTTGCAGAGAAAACCGATCTTCAAGAGTATGTATACATGCTCGCGCTGCGATATCCCACGCGCGCTGTCGCATTGCAGTATCGTATCCAGCGCTGACCCTCGCTTGCTGCCGCATTCGCAGCTTCTCCGACTATAACAAGAATGAACTCGCCGTCGCGCTGGACAAGCACTTGAGCAGCAATCGCGCGATTTTCTCCGGGGAGAAGTCTCTGGCCGATTACTACAAGCGGCTGTCGGCGCCTCCCCGTGGAGGATCGCCCGTCAAGCGCGAAGCCAAGGTCGAGATCACCCCCACCGTGAAGAAGACACCCGGCCGCAAGCCCAACGCGCAGAAGCAGGAGGAAGCAACGTAAGTACCACCATCGCGCTGGAGCTCAACAGCGCGTCGCATGCGACAGATCCATCACCATGCGATTATCATATTAACCATTTGCGACAGTTCTTCCGAGGAACCATCAACTCGCAAGTCGCCCAAGTCTCCCGTCTCGCCCAGCGAAGTGGTGCGCCGTTCTACAAGCCGCGTTCGCGCGGCCTTCGACGTGCCTCCATCCCCTGCACAGGTGACGGACGCGATTGACCGGCAAACCACGCGCGTGCGCGAGGGTCTCGAGCAAGCCTGGACCTCATCTGGTGTCACGGAGCGCACGCACTTGCTGCGCGCCAACCTGAGCAGCCTCTTCGCGATCGAGGCTCTCGTCGTGCTTGTCGAGGCTTACACTGTTATATCCGAAGAGCTGCCCAACCGCTTCTTGACCACTATCAAGGCCAACCCTACCCTGCACACTCCTACTATCCCGATCAAGGTCCCCGATCTGTTCCGTCTGGTGACCCCAGGCTTCTGGGCTCCCTTCACCCTGTGGCTCCTCACTAACTTGGTCCTCCCCTTGATCGCCGCCTACTTCTTCAACCTGAGCTGGCACGCTGCTACTGGCGGTGGTGCGCGCCGGGGTCGCTCAGCGGCTTCCTCGGGCACTTTCGACCCCCCTTACCTTCAACATCGCCAAGGCGTTGCTTGTGTGGAAGGTGTATGTTCAGGGCTTCTCCTTCTGGGGCCTGTATAGCAATCTTGCCCTGGAGCAGGTCAACACTGCCATTCCCGGCAACTACTACGGCATGTGGACAGGTGCCGCCATCGGCGTGATCGGCGCACTCTACGAGGCTATTCTACGCCGCTCGTAGGTATAGTCAGGCTCTGCCTTGTTCTGTACAGGCTATCTGCCTTTGACGATTGCAGATGAGGATAAGGAACGGTTCTAACGAGGTGGTGTCGGATGTGAATTTCTTGTTTTCGTGCGGTTGTTATTTCCCTCCCCTTTGCTTTCCCCCCTCCCTTTGCTTTCCCCCCTCCCTTTGCTCTAGTGGTGTTATTTAGTACATTTTCCCCCTCTCGGCTGATATCCTCGGAATGTTGGAGGCGTGTTGTGGCTTGCTACTACCCTCATGTTGGACTATGGGATTCTGTGGTTTGTTTCACTGTTGCTTTTAAATGTCTGCGATTCACGGATCGAGTCTTAGTTGTTTGTTTGGGATATGCGATGATGCGATATGCGATATTGGCTTGTTTTTCAGGTCCTTTCTTTCCTGTTTTGGATTACCTTTCTATCTTCTTGGTCTCTCGTTCAGCCAGAGGAGGCGCCTGGGTTTTGGAATTCCATTTTGGATATTGGTTTGCTCTTGGTGGTTCATCAATTTTCCCGTGTGCACCCCCTTTTCACGTTCCACATTGGACCTTTTCTTCAAATGCGGTTTGGTTCATGGATTGAATCTATGCGGGGGTATCCGTTCGATCGACAGTATAGTAAACGTTTGACACCTTCTATCTTCCTCCATGTAAGGTTTCTAGTCCGCGTAAGATCACTGGGCCCTCTTTAGTCTCTGTGCCAGTTCCACTGTAAACAACACGGGCACGGATGTCGACACTTCGACCTTGTCGGCACGGATGTGATTGCTCGTAGATAGTTGGCCTCCAATCTCGGTGTGCCAGTCCTCCACATCCCATTCAAAACCCTGGGTGGTAATCGACGCCGGAGCTGAGAGGGGGATGATCCCAATGTTCTCTTCGAAAAAGTACTCCATCTCTGTACCGGTCTCCTGGTCTCGTTCCCTTTTCAAGGGCGATTGATTCTCCTTAGCGGTTGAGTCTTGGTCTGGTGAAACCTCGGTATCTGGGCGGTTCGTGGCTGGTGTATAGATAATATTCTTCCCCTCCTGTAGAACGAACGTGATACTTTCTTCCGAAATGAGGTAAAGGTTTCCACCCGCGCCAGACCCTATTTTCTGTTTCCCGTCGTGGGGGTTGGGTTCTTGGGATTCGCGTATCGCTCGCTGTGTCTGCGTCATCAAGTAGAGATGATGGATTTGGGAAAAGGCCTGGTCGACGCGTCCACCTAGACCGCCGAGAATGACAATCTCGAGACTGGATTGAGATGGTAGCGTGATTGGAGCGGCATTTTCCTGGCTTGTGCTGGGAGATTTCCTCTTCTGGCGTCGCGGAGATGTGATGATCCCTGTTGCTTGGCTGTTGAGGTGTTTGAGGCACTTTGTGAAATCTGTCGAATATTGATCTGGATCTTCCACGACGGGTACCCCTAGGCCCTCGTAGTGTTGTCGTACTGACGGCAGAATGGAATCGAGGTCGCCCACGATTTTATCCGGGAGCTGCGCCGCTGGTCAGCATATATATAAACAATTGATCCTGATAATCAGAGGCAACAGGTAGGGTTTCGTGCTTCGAATATTGCTTCAAAGGGCCTGACTGATTCTCTATGTACCCGATGATTCAACACTTCTGTCAGGACAATGGTTTCTTACCTCGGTGGATTCTTTCCCGAGAATCTTCATCATGTCGTACAGCCGATTAGCCCCGCCATCGGCACATATAATGTAAGAAGCTGTGTAGAAATGAAACGTCAGTCCTCCTCCCTGTTAGACTTGACCCACGGCTATATGCATGTATGATAATTGATATATGAACAGAACCTCGAATCCTCTTCTAGTGGGGTCTCACCGTGTTCACTAAGGGCCCCAAAGGCCTTTTCGTTGATTGGCTGATTCAGTACCAACAGCGCATAGGGCGAAGGACTCCCTTCAGGCCGGAAGAAGCGACTCGGATCCCACTCCATAATGCAGAGAAGAACAAGCTCGAGTCAGCTGGGATCGTCGAGGCTCAAGTGAGTACTGTCGGAATATCGCAGAGCTCAAGCGTAGCCGTCGAAGCGTTGAGTCGCGTGTAACTCGGCTCCGCGCAACGTGACTGGCCGAATGCCAAAGCCTCAGGCCGAAATCCACTTCTCTTTCCACCAACTTCTCCGTCCGCGGCTTCGGCTTCTCCCTCCCGCTCTTTTCTCTCGCGCCCCGGGGTCATTCGCGGTCTCGATCTCGGTCTTGGTCTCACATCGGCCGTTTACTCTCATTCCTCTGCATCATGTTCCGTCCCGCCGCCCGAGCGCTTGCTCGCGCGCCTGCTGTCGCGGCCCGTTACCCAGCAAACACTCGATTGATAAGCACTGCTGGTCCGACCTCGAGATCGAGAAGCTGGAAGAACACTTTTCTTCGGCTAGGATTGGCAGGTGGTGCTATCTACTACTACAACACGAGCAGTGCTTTTGCTCAAGAGCCTTCTTGTATGTCATGCCGCTGCTCGTTTCCATCTTCCTTCCGCACCCGAGATGCAAAACCGGGATCTGTCGCATTGTCGGGTCAATGGCTACCTTGAATATTGGATCAATGCTAACCTCGCCATCTACGTACAGTCTCCCTTATCAGCCAATCGAAGAATGAGAAAGCCGAAGATTCTTCCCTCCCCACCCTCGACTCCATCACCCCCAAGATCCGTGAAGAGAAGGCTGCTGTCCGGTCTCAGCCGAAGGCCGATGTGCCTGCCCCGGAGGCTGTTGCCCCCGAGCCCGCTGCTGTGGAGGTGAACCCCCAGATTGGAATTGACTCAGAAGAGCCCCCCGAGTCTGCTGCGTTCAACCCGGAGACTGGTGAGATCAACTGGGACTGCCCATGCCTGGGCGGCATGGCCCACGGCCCTTGCGGAGAGGAGTTCAGGGCAGCATTCTCCTGCTTCGTGTACTCGGATGAGGAGCCCAAGGGAATCGAGTGCATTGAGAAGTTCAAGTATGTTGAATCGAGATTGATCTTGGCACTGATGACGTCCATGCTAACAAGTTCCATAGGGGTATGCAAGATTGCTTCCGGCAACACCCTGACGTGTACGGCGCCGAGTTGGAAGATGACGAGCCTGAGACTGATGCCCCTGCGCCTGTCCCCGCCGCCGAAGGTGACGCCGCTGCTCCCACCAATGTGCAGGCTGAGGCCGAGGGCGAGAGCCTGCTCACCAAGGCCCACTTCGAGTCTGAGCAGCAGGACAAGGAAGCCAAATGATTTCACGCCAGACCCATGCATCTCGTTTGACGCTTCTCATTCCTTCTCTATAATGTGCGCGGTGTTCTCAATTGGGGCGTGTATTATATCAAAAGCCCTTTCCCGCCTTCTCTGCCTTGATTGGAGAATCCCGCGCTACATTTTCTCCTCTCTGTCATTGATCTTCTCCGCATATTCATTCCCCCGTTCTGCGCTCCTACGTCGTTGGTCCCATCTTTGTCTTTGTGTAACTTAGTGTATTGGTATGTCCTGTGCTCCGGCCCTGTTTGCCCGCTAAAAGAGGGGGAGATAGAATAGACTTGTTGCATCATGAATGTTTTTATACGACGGCAGCTTCTCATTGTCTTCACTGTAGGGGCTCGTGGACTGGTGTTTCCTTCGTGGTGTGTGTAAAACCTAACCAATCTCCTTTATCTCCCTTATCACGAGCTACGAATCAGAGTTGGACATGTAGCCCGGTGGTGTTATAGACTAAAGCGTGCCGGTGACAGGAATTAGCGCCCTTCCTCTCTAACACCTACTGCGCTCCCCTAGGCCTAGCGGTGCCAACTACCGGAGGCGAAGAGAGTAGTCACGCGCACTCCGTCCAGCAAGTTCTCTGCTCAGTCAATTCGAGTTGCCTGTACCGGTCTCTAGCCTATCGATGGGTGGAGAGAGATGGTGGAGTGATTATCAAATTAATATGGGTTTTTAAGCTGGTATAGCCCACCCATATTGCGGTAAGCATAGATATATATAGGCGGGAATCGTCACAGGAACAGGTCAAACCATATGATGCATAATGCGGCATGTGCATTCCTATCAAGGCCAGCTAAACTGACCTGACCCAGTATACAGGGGGGCAAATGCAGACTACAGTACTGGAATCGTGAGATGAAATATTGATGGATTGGGAAGGGGCAGGTTGAGCTGTCCCTCGGCGGTGTAACTCGTTCCGTAGGTTATTGTTTGTTTCAACTCAGTTTCTAGCACATACGACCATAGGGTGTGGAGAACAGGGCTTCCCGTCCGCTCAGCCGTACTTAAGCCACACGCCGGCCAGTTAGTAGTATGGTGGGTGACCACATGCGAATCCTGGCTGTTGTATGTTTTTTTTCTGTTTGCCACCTTATTAGGTTTTTCTAACCTAATAATAGTTCAGGTAACTTATGCACTTGCACTTAGTCAATATATACTGCACGAACTATCGAACGTAACAACTTGCCTATTAGAGAAAGTGAAACTGAAGGGAGGGTGCACGGTATAGGGGGAGGAACACCCGACCCTCGCCGAACTGACGAACCTAGGAATTTAGTCGTAAATCTATCTCGATGAATAGCTAAGACATTTATCTACTAGACTAACTAAGTTGTTACAAGTCAAGCGAGATGATGACGGAAGTCTCAATTCGGTACTGTCTGCGAAAGAATCAAGTCTAGAGAAGGAAAGAGAGAAGAAGAAGATGCGTGGTGGGATATGGGCCTTTATGTCCTCTCAGGGAATTTCCCCTTTCGGAATCGCATGAGGCCTTCCAGGCAAACATCATACTCGCCAGTCGCCAGTTGCCAACTCGGCCCTTTTCCATCCTTTCGTCACATAAGTACGTAAACCCCGATAGTCTAGCGTCCTAGAAATACTACTACTAGCTAGTCTTTAAGCTAGTATTTATCTACTTCTGCTTCCCTGAAACTTCTGGCCGTATCATTAAGGACCTTTCGTTCCATAATTAGTCTTCTTACTCTACTTTAAGAGATAGAGGTCTAAGAGACCAAGAGTTCTGTTTAATAGTGTCGTGAAAGCTCTTATATAACACCTACACCGCCTGCCGTCCTCTATTTTCTCCGATCTCACTGCGCCCAGCCGCCTTGACGACGAGCGCGTTACGAGCTCGCCCACCACGCACCATGTCCATCGAACTACTATCAAATGCCTACCAGGATGATCAAGGTCAGTATGTTACTCGACCACATCGGTGTGTCTTGAAGTATACTAACTCAAATCCACGCTAGCTAGTGTGAATTCTCTATCGTCCTCCATTGAGTTTCCCGGGCTTCGGGGCGACCAAAAAAAACAAACGGCCCCTACGCATTCACTGAAGAAAATATAAAATTAGTCAAGAGAGACCAAATTTTGGAGGCCGTAGATTCTTCACCGATCATATGGGAAAATGGCGGGGTCAATATTGTCCGAATTTCCGTGAATGCTGTTGTCAAGTATGGATATGACGTGAAGCTTTGGGAAGCTAGGAATATGATATTCGTGGCCCAGAATACCACAATCCGGCTTCCGCAGGTTTTCGATGCGTGGGTGGAATATGGCGACGGAAATCTCGATGATGAGACTAGTATGTGCTTCATCGTTATGAGTTACATAGACGGCTTGTTACTTGTCGAAGTCTGGCCTAAGTTATGTGATGCTCGCCGGGATGATATCCAACAGCAATTACACCATTTCCTACGCGAACTCCGCCAAACCGAGAGCGAACATCCAGGGCCAGTTGGCGGCGGTGTGTGCCAAGGTACCTTCGTCACTGAGAATGGTGCTGGGCCTTTCACCTCAAAGGAGGAAATGGAGGCGTGGTTTGATGAGAGACTTGCCGTCTGCCGTGAGTTTAGGGTTGCAGACCGATCACAGTCAGATTTTCGTGGGAGTTTCCCGCGCCTAGTCGTGTGTCACATGGATCTACATGAACGCAATATTATCCTCGACTGTCATGGGAAGGCCTGGTTGATCGACTGGACCTATACAGGAATGGATCCGGCATACTTTGAAACAGCCGCCATATCAAGGCATGGTAGAGAGCAGTACTTGGCAGGTCTACTGGACCTACTGGGATAGTTTAGCGGAGGGGCTTCAGGGCGTTCAGTTGAAGGGGTTTGATGTACTGAAGAGTGAAAACCGCAGGGGCAGTGGTACTGAAAGGCAAAAAAGAAAACATACAACAGCCAAAAGTATGGCCGACCTCACCTAGTGCCTATCGTTCGGTGATGCGCGACTCGCTTTATTCAGGCGGTCTTCAGACGGCTTCGGGCGGCATTTCATCTACCTAAATATTCTTTACCTAGAGGGGGTGAAGCCCTGCCCCTAAACGTGCTTTTGTATATTTTAGCACAGGGAAAGATTTCGCGAGCGGCCGATGTAGATAGCGAGAAAAGATAAATTCAAAAGACACGCTAGGAGCGTCTAGTAGTGGTCTCTTACTATTTAGCCTGCCTGCTTCCCTCCTTAGTATACACGCTAGCTAAATAATTAATAAAAACTCTTAAAATAACTAAAAGTAAAGATTAAGCCGCGAAGTTATTTCTGTTCTAGATTTTAGTAAGTATAATAACTTAGAAATCTTAATTACTGTCATCCTAAGGGCTAAGAGGGACTACCACCGTATACTTTATGTCTTTAATAAGTTGTTAGTACCTGTTGAATTTTATGCGCAGTATATAAGATCCTTAAGCACACAAAAGAGTATATATGTCAGAAGAGTAGTAGTAGAAGCAAGTGGTAAAGAAGACTAGATATAAGAAAGAAGAATCGGCTAAGTAGACTAAAGAAGTAGTCCGTATATTTCGGATCAGTTGTTCAATTTCACCGTTTCCCCATATTGACCAAAATCTGTTGAACCTCCTCAATACACAAAGGCCCCGACATTCTTGCACTACCTCCCGAAGATGTTCCTTTGTTCACATGGCAAATGACCATGAGGGTGGCCTGGAGTAAAGGCACGTTTAAGATCAACTAGCCACTCATCAGTCACATTGTGTTCTTCATTCACCATCTCAATATTTTACATTTGTTCACATAAGTCGCATCACGAGAGCCTGGGGGAGGCGCGTAAAAGCAGTCATGTTATGGTGGACCACCTTGGTGGAAAGTTGCTCCATCGAAACGTCTTCGAAAGTACGTCGCGCGAGACCAACGTTGAAACGATCGTGGATTGCAAATTAAAGATTCGTAAAATATTCCTAGAACGGAATCTATCTCTATCGGTTTTGGTTGAGTCGGCAACTTTCCGCGATGCGCCTTGCGTTGGATGGCAGCCGTTGGTGGAAGATGTAAAGGTATCTGGCGAAGCCACCGATAATAACGGCGCTGGTGGTAAACATAAGGCGCATCATATTCATATATTAGGGGTACCTGCTTCGATAAATTAATTCTCTATTTCTTTAAAGGAAAGGCAAGCATAATATAGGGAGAAATTTTCTGTTGGGACAGGTGCCTGGTAGTTGGGTTTGAGCAACCCCGAACACAAGATGTGTCAGAACACGTTCTACAATAACCAAAGCTGGTCGCAGGATTCATTGGCACCATACTGTAGATCCTAGCACTGATTGTGAAACCACAGTTCCGTCGCACACCCGGTCTCAGTCTAGACTATCCAATAACTAATACCATGGTGGGTATGGTAGTTAGTTCGAGAACTTCATAATCACCTATCCAAGGAAACTTGCTGCCAGTAGCTCTTCGAAACCTTCTCCGGATCCTGGCTATTCGTAACGTTGATCCAGATGGGTTGAAAGTATTTCATCTTATACGATGCATCCCGAATAGTCTGGTCCAAGATGAGGACAACATTCCGTTGCAGCAACCAGTCGATACGGTCCCCAGACACTGCAATAACAGGAACTCCTAGAGGGTCAAATTTTTCCTTCAACTTTTCTATCTTAACTCGCTGCTTCTTTGAACTCCGATCCGTCTCGCCCATCCAGTTGCGTAACAGTTGCAGTGAGCGTACCCATGCAGGTCGAATGCCCTTAAATCGGTTTGAACAAGCCACATCCATGACTCGCGCGAAGGCCATTTTCTCCTCGGCTGACACCAAGCCTGCGTTTTCCACTTGATTTCGGAGGAATGTCCACAGGAGTGTTCGGTCCCATCCACAGTCCTCTAGTAACGCGAAGAGACCGGCGGCGCAAGAGAACTTCCACTCTCGAATGGCGACTACCAGAGGAAGAATAATTTGACTCGTTTCGCGAGGCCAAAACTTGAGCTTCCTCGGTGGGCGCTTGTTCGTCCTTGCAGCATAGGCAGCTCGAACATGTTCTATTAACTCAGGATGAAGTCTCTCGAAATGGTGAAGATACAGCTCAGCAGGCTGCGTCTCGAAAGAGAGTAAAGACCAGTTAGAGGAGAAGTATTTAAGAGTATACGGGAGAGCCAGAAGATGGAGAATGGGATTGATGATAAAGTATGCAGGTAGGCCAATAGCAACGCCATAAATTGACTCTATGAGAAAGCTTATGGCACTTAGAAATGTGTCGATGGCATCTCGCATCGAAGACATGATTGGAAAATGCGGGAGTGTTCACTGGATCAAAAGAGTCGCGACTGGACTACGAAACCAACGGAATCTATCCCACTTTTATTGATCAAAAGACAAGCAACGACACTAAAAAGCCATTGCTTCTCCTCTTAACGGAAGAAGTGGAATACGAGGAGGCGCAAGACACTTGTCCATTCTGAGTTAGCAAAGATTAGAAGTCCAGCCAAATACGGGCGGCACAACCACAAGAAGGGAAGTCGGACCGAGCGTATAATATTCCAGAGGCTGCTCAACTCTACACTCCATCCGGTCCACTCGCTGCAACGTTTTTTCTATCATGCCAATATTCACCCGGCTGAGAAACATCTTCTCTAAACTAAGGAGAAATAAAAGCAAGCAAAAGAGCAAACCCCAATCTTCACCGACCAACAACCCACCTCAGCAAACCCCCAAAAGTTGCGCAGATAAAGAAAACGCTAATCGAAGCTTCTCGTCAAGGCGACATAGTCGCCGTGACAGAAATCCTCCAAAAGGGCGGAGCAACTCCAGACGGAGAATCATCCTTGCGCACAGCAGCCTCCAACGGTCATGCGGATATCGTTCTCCTCCTCTTGAAGAATCGGGTAGATCCCGACAAACTCGACAGCGGCGGCCAAGCCGCTCTGCACAAGGCAGTTATCCACGGCCATGGGAAGGTGGTTCGTCTACTCATCGAGAATGGTGCAGACCCGTTTATAGGCACTGCGCCTATTTTGCGTTTTGCAGAGATATTTTGGAATGAGAGGCCGTTGGAGTTACTGCGAGAATTGCTCCGCAAACACCACCCGAAAAGATTTGAGCAGGAACATCCTACACCAGCTAAGCGACCTACAGAACCAGCAGTGAAGCCAGAAGTACAGACGGCTCCAGTTAAGGCATTCGAGAATTTCACCAGAATCTCTGCCCCATCTCCAAGCGAAGATCGCTGGCCAGATCGGGTTTTTCTCTCAAGAGGGGAAAGAATAATCGTCGCGCCATCTGATCCGGCGTATTGGAATTGACTCTTTATAGCGAATACCATCAGGTGAATTCAAGACTTGCATCTTAGTAAAGTAGCCCAGTGATTTAGTGTTTGTGTCTTGTTATTTGACGAGGCGAGCATTTCTGCGATATGAATTTTAGCACGGGTTTTAGACCCATGAAGCCCTGTTTGGCGCAAGGACGGATTCTAGAATTGTGCGAGAAATCTTTAACAGTGCTTAGAGGCTGTGCCCTTTTTGACCGAGCCAACTCTACTGATATTACTCCTGACCTTTCAAGTAGATTGACTTGGTGTTTTCTCAAAGGTACCAAATAGCGATACCTAAAATGCTAGAGCTTACCCGGCATAAGGGCGCCCGGCTACCGTAGTCCTTTGTGTCTCCTTTGAGTCCACGTCCTCCTGCCCAGTCTCAAGTAACAGCTTGACCGCTACTGCATGGCTGTACTAGGCAGCCCAGTATAATGGTGTTCAGCTGTTCGAGTCCTTTGAGTCCACATCCACCCACCCCGTCTCAAGCAGCAGCTTTACTGCATATTCATGCCCAGTCTCTGCGGTCAACACCTTTGGCCGATATTTACCTACCCCTGAAGCAAACACCTATATCAGAGCTGTACTAATGAATGCCCTTTCAACGCAAGACGTTCATGTTGCAGGAATCGGCACCACTGGGAGCGGATATATCATCCGATTCACGGACCCGGAGTCGACTGAGATTGCCGATAACAACACACAATGGCTGCAAGAACTAAGTAACGAGGCTGAGCTGGTGAAACCACGACACGGAGTAGTCGTACACCACCTCCCCACACAAGGACTGGATCTTGAAAGAGACAAAGCAAGAGCTATCAAGATAATCACGTACGAGGATGACCTCACAGAACGCAGGTTCCAAATCGAAGACATTGCTTGCGGTGCTGCTGGAAACTGACGATTCTGATCGCAAGGTGAAGAGCTGTAGGCGATGCAGAAATGGTGTCGCAGGACTGCTACAGTACCGTTGTTTTTACACTACACCTTTCCTGAAGCAGGACCCATTATCAGAAACGAAAGCCTGTGGGAGCATATAGCAGACGGAAAGGTATGAGGCATCGGAGCCGAAAACAGTGTCGCAGTGTCACAGTCAGATAAAGTAGCATACTGCACCAGGGCGAGCCAAGTTAATCGATCGCATGACAAGGTTCCTCGTTCTCCAAGCATTTTCTAGTGGACCACATGAAGAATTTATCAATTTCTGGCCAATAAACCCGCGAGCGTCGATTCTTTCCACGGGTACGATGCCCCAGGCCCCTCCACAGTACTGGTCCATCGCGGAGAATAAAAGATAGCCAATTCAATTCTCTTTTGATTAGCGAAACACCTCATATATTTTGGTACGGGACAGCTCTTTAATCATGTTTGTTTGCATTGAAGCGAGCTACTTCTTTCTGCACCTCTTCTCTGGTCAGAATCTTCACTGTATCCTTAGAGAGGAGATAGGCAAGGCTAGATCAGACGTGTAACGACGACGGTGAATCTATTCTACGTGATTAAGTCGCATCAAGATCAGTTCAGGCATGAAGGACAAGCAAGTTAGGGTCTACGTGCGAGTAGAAAGGAGGGTGAGAGAGAGAGCAAGTTTAGCCGAGGGCCGCCACGTTGGCGCTTCAGGGGTGTTCAGGGCGACCGCCTAGACGAATGACAAAAACGGGAGAACAAAAACATACAACAGCCAGGATTCGCATGTGGTCACCCACCATACTACTAACTGGCCGGCGTGTGGCTTAAGTACGGCTGAGCGGACGGGAAGCCCTGTTCTCCACACCCTATGGTCGTATGTACTAGAAACCAACTCTAGACAAAATATATGCCCCAATACTCTTAATACAATGTATAAAGCGCTGCATCAGCGTGAGTGAGAAGGGTTGAGTGCGCAATAGACAGGGTGAGAATCAGGGTGAGAGCGAGTGATTCTCACCCTCCATCGTGTGACCACCGCACTGACCCTCTCACCTGAGCTCAGATAAATCGTTATTGGTTCACTTCAATCTGGCTAAAACCGTGGTCTCTTGGCACTTTTATATCCCATCGAAATTTAACCACGGATTGGCCAAATCAACGGCAAGGCTGACTTGAATGGCGCCTTGGGCCAAAGTGGTGTGCTTGTTGTCAGACACCATGAATATCACCCGAAAAGATAAAAATCCAGTGAGACTATTCTGTGCCTATTCAATGTGACAGTCATGATTAACCCAAGATTAATTGCTAGGCTTTAACAGCGTGGATTTATTCGGAGCAACTCACTGTAGGGTGGCAAGTTTGAAGTTATCAAGATGTCTTTGAGCTAATTTATCCTTCCATATGCTTTGGTCTATCTACATAAAGGGATGTGAGGTTCTCCCAATTTAGGATGGACGAGCCACTTGCAGCAGGAAAGAGGATGGTGGACGGGATAATCTTCCCCTACGTGTCCAGGCAACAGGCAGGTGCCGGCACGTCTATCGAATATCTATATTATCAACCAACCATGGACTATTGATCACATGATTCACCGTTGTAAGTGCTCCTTAAGTCCCGAATCATGAAAGATTATACCATCAGCTCAATGAATGAACTCTGCACATATTCCTACGGACGAGGTCGCTATTGGTCGGTTCCAGAGCCCGGGCAAGTATACCAGGGATACGCCATGCAAGAGCAGAATTTCATAAATCATTCAGTATTCGTTATAACTTCATCCTAGTTGCACAGCTTCAGTCCCTCCGACTTGATATCGGAGCCTCTCATAGTAGTGTGGCAAGTTACTGGAGTCCTTGAGGGGCTTTGAGCCTCTTCACAACCATGTTGCTGGTGTGTCTGTATATGTGGATAGTGGATGCCGACAATTATGGACATGCCCGCTGCAGCAAGGCGAATGGCGGATGACGTCTTCACTGACCCGTTCGAGCGACTATCAGAGACCGATATCTTTATTCAAGGTCCATCTACCCCTCTACTACTGAACCAAATCATTCGCATTTTACCATAGTACGTAGAGATGGAATGATTTCCCGAGGAATAACCAAAGTCACGGCTAAATAACAGGGTATAATACCAATAGGTTTTACGAATAAGGAAAATGGGTCCAGATGCAGATCATCAATATGTAGGTTATGGACATGAAGTCTCACATTACAACTAGGACATTTCAATTGCTATCTAATGCTAAGGCCTAGAATAACGTAATTCACAAGCGAACCGGCCACACAAGCGAGCCGGCCACCCACCCCCATTACAAAATTTTTGAACAGGATATCGCAACCAACACCTATTAATTCAACTAGATAATACGATTTTTACATGAAGTAATCCTGTGGCCAATTCTTCCACATCTACTACAGGTAGGCGGAGCCCTCCTAGCCGGTTGAATCGGCTGATTAGGCAGATCGACCTATTCATGCGATACTACCTCATCAGCTTGCATTTGCTGAATTGGCTGCTAAGCTAGCTGTAGGCCCTCTTCGATCGATAGGCCCCCTTCGTGTGCAATCTGCCTAGTTGATCGAGTGCGCTTTTGACGTTTCTTTTTATTCGCTGCGCGTAGATCGGCGTTCTCCTTCACTAGTAGTGCAGTGTTATATAGCGCAATTTCATGGCCCTTAAGAATCTGATCAACCACTAATTTCAACGGGCTTAGTAGGCTTTTTGACCGCTGATCTATTAGATCTCTTATTATTTTAGCCTGCTTTTGTAGCTGAGCTACCGTTCTAGGTATTTTCGGTATGAATTAGCTAGATCTGCTGCTTAGTCGGCTTAATAGTGGTAAAGGCGTTCGGAGAGAGATATTAAGCTTAGAAAGCACTCTATCGGTATTAACTAGTACGATGCTAGTAGCTACGAAGCTACTTTAAACGATATTCGGCTAGAAAGCTTCTAGCCGTGCACGAGGATAATCTACTAGAAAATCAAGCTTATCGATATAATTATAGCCTATTCGGGCTAAATCGCTCACGAAGCGACTGTACGTACGCTTTAAAATAGCAAA